AGGACCACGCAATTGCGATGGTAGCGAATACAATTGGAACACGGCATGCTGGGCGAGCCGTAGGAGTTGATCGTTTCAGCAAGTGCTATCCTTTGTTTGTATTTGGTGGTTTTGGAGGACATGATGAAAGAAGAAGACGGCCATGGGTCGTCGTCGGTATTTCCTTTGGCATACTTAAGCGTGGGGACCACGCTAGGCAAGAAGGGGGATAGTGTTACGAACGCACTCAGAAGGAGTATCACGTGTGTCTTGGCCCTGAGGCTCGGCAGCATTGCTGCACAGAGAAGCCAAGAACTAGGAACGAAATCACGGGACCATGTGTCACGTGATGGCATGGAGCTTTTGGAACCATAGGGTCCAAGGTTCCTGGAGCCTGGGATCATAGGACCCATAGGGATCCAAGGCTAACGAAGGTTCTATATAAGACTGGCACGTCTGCCATTAGATAGGAGCTTCGTGCTCAACTTCAAATAGTATTCTGATACTTAGTAACTGTCTTCCCGTCTACGTGATACACCTACCTCTCGATCATCAGAGATCAACTGCAGCCTTCTGTATTTACAGCGAGTAAATACCGGACCGTTACATACTTATAACTTATCTTAAGGGCGATTTAAAGCTTACTTAGCTAACGCTAAGAGACTACTAGTCAGCTTCTTTATCTATAGTAAAATCTACCTTAGCTTAGTTTATATTATAGGGAGAGGACCTTATATAAGCTTAGTATATATTATAGTTAAGTTAGGGGGTACTATAAAGATAATTATAGTATATAATATATATAACTTATATAACGTATCAGATCTATATATATATAGAGTCTAGGAAGGAATACCTTAAGAGAGTATATTACCGGAACTAGATATTACTCTTAAGAAGTTCTGGAATAATAGTTAAGTAGTAGTAAAGGACTTTAATATATACTACAAGGAGTAGTTTAGGAACCTACTACTTCTAAATAGCTACCTAGCTATAAGAGTATATATAGAGGTAGTAAGAAGTATAATAGTAGACTATAGCCTTGAATTTACTCTCTTAGTAAGTATAGTTACTTAACTAAGAGTAGATATTTAGTTAAGTCTATAAGGTATAGCGATCGACCTTAGCTAGTGTAGCATTAAACTTATAGATAAGCTAGCTACTTATAAAGTAGTCCTAGAGTTAGATATAGCTTCAGATCACCTACTAATAGAGATAGTAATCTTAATAGACTATTCTAAAACCCTAATAGTCTACTAATAGAACTATAAAACTATAGACTAGGCGACCTTCTAAAGAATACTCTAAGAGCTCTTACCCTCTATAGCTAAAATTAATACTATAATTATACTAATAGACTTTAATAATATTATTAACAGGGTAATAGAAGTAATATAATAAGTAGTAATATCAGTTATAATAAAGAAGAAGTATACTAAGAGAATAGTCCCAGGGTTTATAAGGGCCTATAAAGAGGCAGTAGATAAGGTTAAAAGAGCTTAGAGATAGTAGAATAGAGTCGGAAGTACTATTTAAGACTTATAAGAGTTTATAGTAGTAAAGAGAGCTAAAAAGAAGGTGATCTAAGTCGTATAAAGAGATATTTATAAGAAGAAGGTATTAAGTGTATAAAATAAGAAGAGGTTATAGTTACTAGTAAAGTAGATAAGATAAAGGGGTACTAAAGCCTTAGCTTTTATACTAGATATCAGGAAAAGTAATAGAGAGTTAGTAGAAAATATAGAAGATAAAGTAAAGGTATTATAAGCTACCTTCTTCCCTTAACCTCTAGAAGTAAATCTAATAGATATATACTTCTATAACTACCTTATACTAGTAGAGCGATAGACCTCGATTAATAAGTAAGAAGTCCGGGAGGCGTTAAGAGATACTCTTCTAAATAAAGCCCTAAGGGAGAACAGAATCCTTAATAGAGTCTTAAAAGCTATAATAGATATTCTAGCTCTAATCTATATAAGACTCTTTAACTAGTTTATTCGACTCTAATACTATCTAAGTAAGTTTAAAAGATTAATTATAGTAGCACTAAGAAAACCCGAGAAAGATAACTACTTATAACTAAAGTTATATTATCTAGTAGCCCTTATAAACACAATAAGAAAAGCTATAGATATTATCCTAGTAAAAAGAATATAATATTATACAAAATAATATAAGCTTCTCTTAGTATCTTATACTAGAGGCCGGAAGTAGTTCTTATATAAGTATATAATATACCTACTCCTAGAGAAAGTATATATAATATAGAGGAAATATAAGGTAGCGAGCCTCTTAATACTCGACGTCTCTAGAGCCTTTAATAATATCTCTTATAAAAGACTCCTCTATAACCTCCGAAAATAATATCTACTAGAAAAGATTATTTAGTAGATAGCTAGCTACTTATAAGATAGAACTATATAGATTAAACTTTATAAGAGCGTAAGTATAAAGTTTAGAGTCCCTATTAGAATCCCCTAAAGCTTATTACTATTACTTATCCTATATTTGTTCTATAGTATAGACCTACTAAAGATAAGTCGTTTAAAAGAGCTAGTAATAAGCTATATTAATAATACTAGCTTTATAGTAGAAAGAGCTACTACTGAATCTATAGTACGGAAATTAGAACTCTTATACTTAAAGGCAAAGGAATAAGCTTAGCGATATACTTTAGTGTTTATACTATAGAAGTACGAGCTTATATACTTTACTTATAAGAGTAATAGGAGGAAGATTATAGTATAAGATAAACTAGTTAACCTCGGAAATAGTATAGAAGTATAAGTAAAAACTTATACCCGCTACTTAAGAATTATCTTAGATAGTAAACTAAATAGTATAAAGTATATAGAATACGTTAAGATATAGGTAAAGAAATCTATTTAAGCTATAAGAGTAATCTCTAGCTTAAAGTAGAGAGTATTAAAGGCAGATATACTAACACTAGTTAAAGTAATTATTACCCTACAGATATTCTATAGTTATTCTACTTAGTAGATCTTAAACTTTATTTATAAGAAGAAGATACACTAAGTAAAACAACTAAGAACACTAGACGCCCTCTAAAAGAAAGCCCTTTACTTAGCTACCGGAGCCTTCTGATCTATAGCTATAATAGTACTTAACGCCGAGATAGAGATATTTAATACTAAAGTATAACTCACTTAGCTTAGCTTAATTACTATATATCGAATTAGAGCCTCCCTAATATACTAGGAGATAAGAATACTAAGGGAGAGAAGTATAATAAGTAAAGAATACCTAAGAAGGTTACTATTTTAAGAGTTAGAAAAGGGTATAAGACGTATTATATTACTAGAAGTATTTAAGAGACTCGAATAATAAGTACTAGTAGTAGCCGAACTATAATAGATTCCCCTAATATATATTATTAAAGACGCCGAAATAGTAGTAAAATCCTATAATAAGCTCTAGTAGGAGAACCTGATATTATATATATATATCTTCACTAATAGAAGTAATATTAAAAAACAGGTAAGAGTAGCTATATAAGACCTAAAATAAAGAAGAAAGTACTAACTAGATATAAGTCTATCCTCCTAGTTTATAATATATAGCGCTAAACTATATAGTATTTAGATAGCGCTAGATATAGCTCTAAAAGATAATAATATTAGAAGGCTTACTATCTTTATAGATAACTAAGCTATAATCCTATCCTTAGTATACCCTCGGAAGTAATCCGGCTAAACGATTCTATAGAAAATATACTACTTAGTAAACGTTCTTTAATATAGATAAGTACTAGTAATAATACGCTAGATTCTAGTATATATCAGAGTCCTTAGGAATAAGGTAGCGGACCGACTTATAAAAAAGGCTATAAGCTAGAGATACTATAAGGATAGGAGCTAGCTAATAAGGGAAACACACTTACTATAGCTCCCTTAATTAATCTTGTTATATAAGAAACAGATTAAGGAGGAAGTAAGATACTAGTAGACTAAACGCTAGAACTAGAGCGAGATATTACTTCTTTATAAGAAAACTTAGAAGAAGTTCTTCTAATATCATATTAACTAATATATTAATAAGCTCTACTAAGGCTTTATAAAGGCTAAGAGTTCAGTACTAATCTAGATAAGGACTAATAAGATTAGTCTCTATAGCTACCTTTATATAATTAAACAATTAGATAACCTATAGTACGACTATAAATAAGCGTACTAAATAGTTAAATATATTATTAAAGATTATAAATACTTAGACGAATTAAGGGATAAGTACTTTATAGGGGTTCATACTAATATAAAAGTATATTTAAATAATCTAGAGCTTATTCCTAGAATAGTAGCTTTTATACTAGTAATAGGTCTTATAAACCCGATAGCTTTATATATAGACTCCTTACTAGAATAATACTTTATACTTCCTTAGGGGGCGGCTAAAGTAGTAAATTAGTAATAATACAATAGGGAAATTTGAACTCCTCGCTAGAGAGAGGCTATAATAATAGTAATATATATCAGAATAGAAGCAGAAGGCTTAGGGAGTATATAAGATCATATAGAGTTATACAGGTTTTTAATATTATTTAGATTTCTTTTATTTATACCGGTTTCTTTTATACTCTGTTTAGCTCTAGATACGGGGCTAATTAGCCTGTGATTATACATATAACTAGTCTATAACAGTACGTCTGCATAGCGCTAGATAGTAGCTAAATAGACTATAGATTTTTAAAAAAAAAAAAAAAAAAAAAAACGTATAATAACTACTCCAGGCCAATCCAGTCTGACCGAAACAACCATGCGGAACATTTCTGTACGCAGCCAAAAGAAACACCAAACAAAGCTGGCCAAGAAGTAAATAGACAATAGTGATGAACATAAACTGTGTTTGCCGTGAATATAAACCTCCCAGCAGGCTGGCAGGGCTCTTCCTCAAATGATATGCCGTCCCGAACTAGCCTAGCCCCTTGCCGCCCTCCTCCTCGCCTGTCAAGCACAGGCGGTGCAGCGCAGCAGCATCAACGAGCATCGGACTTCAACGAGGCAGAGCGAGACGAAGAGGTGAACAACAAAATCAATCGCCCCGTCGCAACGCCACGACTTTCCATCAAAATAATTATCTGCATCATCTCCAGCGTGCCCATTAACATCGGAACCGCATCCGTTTTCTCGTGAAACGGATGTCGCGATCGCTCTATTATGAGTGAGGTTGGGGTCGCCGACCGCGCACGGCTTTTACGATCAAAACACAATGAACTCAGGTAAATCAATTCTGCAATCCGTATCGTTTGAAAGCGCTCGTCCGGGCGCATCGATGCATGCCAATATCATGATGCTGACTGGTGTAGTCGAATTGTTACGTCGCGCAAGAGGAAGCTCCGCGAGTTCTTTGCCGTTTGCGACCATGAAGGCCCTCTTCCCCAAACCAACCTCTCCAACCCCGACGCGCCGCCCACCTCCGTTGCAGAAGAACGCTTTCTCGAAGTTACAGACATCTTGCAGTACGTGCAAACTCTCTCCCTGCCGACTTTCAACCCGGTCGAGGCCGTTGTTCCTTAAGCACGTGTCAGTTTGCTAATTCACATGTTCACAGAGACCGGCTGTTCGACGAGTCAAACCTTCCAACGCGTCGACAACTGAGATCCGATGCCTCGAAGCAGAAAACGTCCTCCCGCAAAGCCAGTCCCGATGGAAGACCCGCAGATAAACCACGCAAGGCATCAAAGGGTCAGCGTGATGGCTCGAGATCCAGGAAGAGCCGGGCAGCTACGCCCAAGAGTGATGTTGGAACAGCAACACCAACACCTACTGCCACCGAACTTGGAGGAGACTCGAATGCGAATTCAGGAACTGTTCAAGGATTACCAATGCAAAGATCGACTTCGAAGGGCTCGCAGACCGATCTTCCTGCAGAGGCATCCGCAGTGCTGGATGAGATAGTTGAGGAGACTTTTGAGAATGCAACCGAAACACAGCCATCGGCTCCGGAGGAACCGGCCCCAAAATCAGCGCTGGAGAGTGACAGAATATTGACCAAAGTAGAGAGCAGACCGAACAGCCCCGGTGTCGATCCAAGGAAGGCGATGCCCATATCCGCGGAAGATGCAGCGAATTTACCAGGACAGTTGATTCAGGGCTTGGGATCGTTGGATGAGCACCACAAAGCAGTTACGGCACACTTGCCTCCCAAGGATGTGCAGGAGAAACGTATGCGAGAAGCGAAGGAAGCTCGGGAGCAGAGACAGGAACAAAGTGGACGCCTGTTGATCAACCCGCCTCGAGATGTTGTACGGAACGCAGATGTACTTTCATCCCCGGGCTCCACCATCGATGCCAACTCTGCTACGACGCCAGCAATGCACGAGGCGTCAACTGACACAAGTCCAGAGCATGAATCAAGGTACGACGCCGAAAAACTTAACAACAAGGACGATGATGCTTCAACTCCACCAGCGATAAAGCGGACAGCAGAGGAAGAGGCCGAGAAAGAGGAGCACGACAGGTTGTTGCAGGCACAAATCGACGTTTCCACGGCGGAGATAATGAAGGACAATGGTCCTGATGACCAGTCTCTTTCTGAACAGGCTGGTATTTCTGCTGGGCAAGCTGGTGATTCACAAGCCATTCAGACTGATGTGAATGAAGGGGATACAGGTAGACTCATAGAGGAAGCCAGCGAGGTCGTTCAAGATATTGTTGAGGACGACGATGAAGTCGTTGGCGTCCCTACTCCTGAGGACAAAGTCATAACTACTCCTAAGACTTCTGCACCCGAACCCAAGGATTTGCAAGGAAAACAACCGGAGGTCCCTGACTCTGAGGCAGAGGAGGATATCACGCCAAATGCTGATGCGATGGATGTTGACAAAACAACTATCAAGGACTCATTTGAGAGCGCACCTGTCGTCGAGACCCCAGTGGCTTCACCTGCTATTGCAAATCCATCGGAATCAGGGCCGAATCCAGCAAATGAATCGAATGCATCATCTGCTACTCCTTCTGCGACCCCGCGAAGAACACCACCAATACCTGCTCCTACACCAGTGCTAGAGCGAATGACCACAAGGGTGGCTTCGGGGGCCATGCGCCACAAATCAGTGTCTGAAATTCTGGGAGAGACACCTAAACCTAGCACAGCGTCAGATTCGGCAGGAAATTCCCACTCTCCATCAAGAAGCACGACTCCGCAATCTCCAGGCACTCGTGTCAGAAGTTTGGCTGAGAAAGCCAAGGAAAAGGAAAGGAGCAAACTTTCTACTGTAGTTTTTCCAGGACGACCACCAAAAGCAGCTGCTCCTGAAAGCTCTCTGGTGGCAAATGCTTCGCCATCTCAGGCACTAAAGGATGATTATTTCATGCCACTGTTCCTCGCTACGGCATCAACAGACAAAAGCCGGCCCTTGGATGCTATCCTGCAGACCGCCCATAAGACAATCACGACTGCCAACGCTTATGTTCCCATTTGCGAAAATCAGACATCAAAGGTCCTCAAGCGTATCTACAACTTGCAGTCCGCCAACAAGTGGACATTGAGACAACCCAAACGATCAGCGGAACCCATCCGACAAACTGGCCACTGGGATCTTCTCCTGCAGGAAGCAAAATGGATGCGTACCGATTTCCGAGAAGAACGTAAATGGAAGGGCACAGTTGCCAGGAATCTAGCATATGCCTGCGTGGAATGGTGGGAAACTAACAAAGAGGACAGGAAGTTCCTTCAGGTGCACGCGACATCACCTCCTATTACAGATCCCTCAAAAGACGTGGAGATGGGAGATGTTACCAGCCAAGCAGGCACTCATCCAACGCCAGATCTCGTGGCTTCGGGCGAGTTTGATTCACCAATGGATGATTTTGATGAAGAACCACGACTGAATTTACTTGAAACGGTTGCTCCCACTGCCATTTTTGCGCTGCAGGACGATGATGTTGTCTTCGGTCTTCGAAGATCGCCCACAACCGACAAACTCCTGGAGGAACTTCCCATGTATGGTGCACCGCTGCGAGTGCCCCGAGCAGATTTGCCTACTTCAGATATTGATCCTGATCGGTTCTGGAAGCGACCTGCCTTACCACTGAGCAAGTACGTTGAAGGTCGGTTGGAGCTCAAGACTGCGGAACCTCCCAGGAAGAAGAGCAGATTCGAGTACGAGCTTGAAGATGATGATGATGATCACGTGGTATTTGGAGAGCAGCAAACAAAACGACCGATCCTCCCCCCCGAGAAAACAGACGTTGCATTGTTCAATCCCGAACACAAGCATATCCGCGATCGCATCCATTCCTCGCATCAATTCAGACCACCATCGGAATTTCAGATGCCACTTCAAAGCTTCTTTGAGTCTCGTATAGCGTCCCAGTGGACCTGGGATGAGGATAATGAGTTGAAGGGATACGTGCGAGACTACTCTTATAACTGGTCGCTAATCTCAAGTCTTCTTGGAAGCAAGTCTCTTTATGTCACCGGTGCGGAACGCCGAACTCCATGGGAATGTTTCGAGCGATGGATCCATCTTGAAGGCCTGCCCGCTGATATGCAGAAAACGCACTACTTCAGAGCATATACCTCCCGTATCGACGCTGCTAATCGCAACGTAACGGCGCAGAACAACGTAGCTCCACCACAACCTAATGCAAATGGTCAAGTACAGCAGGCTCCACGAAGAAGACCCACCACCAGCATTCGAGTTGAGCGTCGGAGGAACCAAAGGCATCTCACCATAGTCGATGCGATGAGGAAACTGGCCAAAAAGCGTGAGACTAGTGCTCAAAAACAGGCTCATGCTCAAGGTATGGCCGCAATGCGAAAGGCCAATGAAGCTCCGAATGCCAACCGTAATCTCCTCGCAACTACTCCTCAAGACTTCAGCAAGTTGAAATACGAGCGCGAAGAGCAATTCCGCGAGCGAATGTTGCAGATGCAACAGCGGCAGGAAGCAGCACGAAGAGTAAATTCATCATTTCTTTAACATATATCCTATCACATTTACTAACATTCGAAAGGCAAACGCCACCATGCAACAACAGCCAGGAAGGAATCCAGCCAATCCACAACAACCTGGACTGCCAAATGGAGTCCCTCGACCGGCCAATGCATCAATGCCTATGAATGGCTCAGCTCCTCAGAGTGGCCAAAACCTCGCTGTCCCTGGTCAGAACAGGCCTCGCCCCATGCCCCCTCAAATGCCCGGCCAATCTATGCCAAATAATCTTCGTGTTCCTCAAATGCCCATGAACGGTGTTCCAACAGCTCAGATGCAAGGACAAATGCCATTACCAAACCCGGTCTTGGATGTCGGACTCGTTAGCCGTGCTCAGCAAATTTCGCAACATCAACAAGCCATTCGTTTACAACAACAAGGCCAAATTCCTGGCCAACCAGCTCAGATGCACAACTCCCCTCAACGTATGAATGGTATGCCCCAACCTGGATTCCCAATGCCAACCAACATGATGCCTCCATACAATCCAAACACAAATGGAGTCTCAACACCGCCAGCCAACTCTCACGGTCCATCTCCCAACCAAGGCCATGCTGGCTCCCCACGGATGGGCCAAAATCCTCTTCAGCCTCCCAACGGTGCCACAACGTCACACATCTCGATGCTCGAACACCAGATCAAGCAGAAATACCCGAATGCTACCAACGAGCAGATTACGAACATGATCCAGACCAACCTTTCCAAAACCATTCTCGCGCAACAACAACATCATCAACAGCAGAGACAAGGATTTGCACAAAGTGCAATGAACGCTGCTGCAGGAGGGAATGCTATTGCTGCAGGAATGAATGCTATGACCAATGCTGCACAGGGTACACCACAATTATATGCTCAGATGCTGAGACAGCAGCAAGAAAATCAGCAAAAAGCAGCTCAACAGGCACAACAAGCAGCAGCAGTCGTTGGAAATGCTCAAAGTCCAGGGAATGGGAACGGAAGTGCTGGGAATTCAGCTCAAGGGCATGCTCATCGAGCAAGCACCGGATCAGCAAGTGTACAAAGTGGCAAATAGATGTATTATGTTTGGGTTGACGAGTTAGCGATGTATTGGTATGGGTCGGGTTATGCTTTTTGGATTTTTGGTTATGGGATGGGATGGTCATGGTTAGGAAGCCTGACTTGCTGGAATCACATTGTTAGAGTAAAGTCAAAGTCGACTTGATAGAGCAGCGCTCTTTAGCTGCTACAGTGTTTTTGATGATTGGCAATAAGCCATGCTTTCATCCTCCAGAGAGGAAGGATTGAAATGCAACATACATAATACCCCTTACTTCTATGAACAGCTTTTTGTGGCACTTTCATCTGGATGTGAAGATTGAAGTCTGACATGTGAAATTGTTTCTGTCTGGTCACGTGAGCTCTTGCCTTGAAATGGTGGCGGCAAAATCTATCAAACATGGCAAACTCGAAATTTCCTGGTTGGGTCGGCGCGAGAATCTCATGGTTGCCGCCTTCACAGTCAATAACGCCTGCTTCCAACAACACACAATCCGCATCTCATATTTCCCGACAAAATGTCGCCCTCTAAAGAAGAACCCTCTGCGGCACCATCTGGCAAAATTGCCATAAAAGGCTTCTCCCTCTCCACCAAAGCCAGCGCTTCAAAACCCGGCGCAAAGCCAAAGCCACAACCTCCGCCCTCAAACCTAGGAAAGAGATCAAGAGGTGGCTTTGGGCACGATAGCGATTCCGAAGATGATCACAGAAGCCAGAACACACACGAGGCTGTCACAGGGTTTGGCTCAGAAGGGGCGATCCGGCATGAGAGTAGAGAGGAGGGGGTTTGGAGGAAAGGAGGCGAATTGGTGATCAAGAAGATGGCGAATAGGGATTGGAGAGCGGAAGCTACTGCTAGGAAGAGGGGGACGGGCAAGGATTTACTGCCTGCGGAGGAGAGGGCTATGAGGGATGGTGTGAGGAGGGAGACCGAGGGGAAGGAAAGTGGGAAGAAAGAGGGCGTGGATGTGGTGAATGGAAATGATGGAGAAATTCAGTGGGGCTTGAGTGTCAGGAAACGGGCGAGGACGGAGGAGTCTGATGGACCTGGTGGGCAAGCGGAAGGACAGGACAATGAATCTGCACCTAAACCCGAATCTATGGAGAACCTACGAGAACTCGAGGCAGCACAAACCTCCAAACCAGCACCTGTCACCGCAGACGAAGAAGCCCTCGCCTCCCTCCTCGGCACCTCAACATCCACCACCAAACGCCCCGACCTCGTAATCCCCACCCCTCTCACCGAACAAGAAGCCTACAAAGCCGCCGTCGCATCCGCACCCGACCCTTCCTCTCTAGAAGACTACGAGCGTATCCCCGTCGAAGAATTTGGCGCCGCTCTACTACGAGGCATGGGCTGGAAAGGAGAGAAGAATGCGGATACAAAGAAGAGGGAGGTTAAGAGGAGGCAGAATTTACTTGGGCTGGGAGCGAAGGAGTTGGATGGTGCGGAGGAATTGGGGGCGTGGGTGCAGAAGAGTGATGTTAAGAGGTTGAATCCTGGGGGAGGTGGTGGGAGAGGAGGAGGTGGAGGAGGATTTGGTGGAGGGGAGAGGAGGCCGAAGGCGGGGGAGTATAAGAGGGAGAAGGAGAGGGAGAGGGAGAGGAGGGAGGAGAGGGGTGGTGGGGGATATAGGAGGGAGAAGGAAAGGGAAAGAGAAAGAGATAGGGATAGGGATGGTGGGAGTGGGAGGGATAGACATAGGGAGTATAGACGGTAGGAAGGCTTGCAGATAGTGATGAGATTCTGATCCAAGGAAAGTTGCAGCGTAGTGCACGCGCAACTTTTCGCATCTCGATGTTAGGGCAGCCGTCATCGATAGTTGCTCTACTCGATACGGAACAGAACGAAAGAAGAGAAATCGTACAGAATCAGAAGTACATAGACACATACAATGCAGATATGCCGTCAAGCGGGTCCACCATATATGTGTATCCGATCAAATATCAACAACCTGGAGAGCTCAGAATATGCTTGAATTCGAACCACTACCGCCCTCGACGTCGATCGCAATGTATGATCGTACTCCGCAACGGTTCAGTCCAACAATTTTAACAATATTATTTACTTCCCGAAGAGCTTCCTGCATATCTGATCCCTCTAAGCAAAACTCCAAATCATCCGACCTGTCACCTCCCAACCCGAAACCCGAGCCTGTACATACCATACAAGTCCAACACAACACAAAACAAAACACAACACGAAAACGAGGTCCCCTCTCACCACATCCCGCAAGCTTGAATACCCCACCAATCTAATCCTATCCAATCATCCGATCCAACGAACCACCTAACCATCATTTCAGCCTATCAAATGTCGTATACGTATTTGTGATTACAGTATTGGGGGATTGTCGGATATCGGACTCCGGATACCGTATTCAGAAAACGAGAAAACGGGGCGGGAAGCGGGAAGCGGGAAGCGAGGAGAGAGCGAGAGACAACGCGAAACGGGAACGAAAGCGAAAGCGAGGGTTCTGCGATGTGCAACAAAAACTTTCTCTTCCAACGAGTGAACGGGCGGGTGATGCTGCTCTACTTGTTATTGGTTGTTGATTGAGTGAGGGATTCTCATAATTTTAATTGCTGGGATAAAATGATTCGGCATCTGGTTCAGGGAAGCTGTGGATGGCATTAAGAGAGTTTCGTGATGTGACAGCTGCGATACGAATACGGTAAGGTAAAGTTATGGATTGGATCCCAATTCTGGGGTTGTAATTGGTCGAATTCTTTCTATTGATAATTTGACCTACCTTTTATAATCAGTCAAATGTTCAAGGTTCTTCTTGACTCTCAATATTTGGTTGCTGTTGTTGTTTTTCTTCGATGTCACGTTCCTCGCCCCCTTTCTACCCCTCGCTTCTTCGCTTCGCTCACCCCACCTTTCGGCTGGTCCCTCAGCGCGGGGAAACAATGACATCGACATCATCGAGCTCAAGAGTATCTGATAGCTTGATAATACTCTTTAGCATGTCACAATCACAATATCAAAGCTTACTCCACCAATCAATTGTCCCAGATTAAAACATATATTATAATATATAAGCAATAACAATAAGTCCAGCACAAACCACAACATCAGGTAATCCTAGGTACTTTCAACTAAATAAACAATCCCCTCAATATGGAGCCCAAAGCCATCCTAGAGAAATACCGCCCCGACCTCACCCCCTTCGAAACCCTCTACAAAACCCTCCACCAAAACCCCGGCCTCTCCCTCCAAGAACACCTCGCCTCCACCACAGCAGCCACCCACCTCCGCACCCTCCCCTCCTTCACAATCCGCAACTCCATAGGCGGCACCGGCCTCATCGGATTCCTCACCAACGGGCCCGGACCCACGGTCCTCCTCCGCGCCGACACGGACGCTCTTCCCGTCAAAGAACTCACCGGCCTTCCCTACGCGAGCGAGAAGACTGAAGTCGATGTGGAGGATGGAGTCGAGAAGCCGGTTATGCATGCTTGTGGACATGATATGCATGTTGCGTGTATGTTGGCGGCGACGACTACGCTGAGCGAGGCGAGGGATGAGTGGAGGGGGACGTTGGTGGTTTTGTTTCAGCCGAATGAGGAGAGGGGGGCGGGGGCGAGGGCGATGGTTGAGGATGGGTTATATGATATGGAGAGGCATGGGTGTCCGGTTCCGGATGTGGTGTTGGGGCAGCATGTTATGCCTTTTGTGAGAGTTTCTTTCTTTGGTCCTGTTATTCGAGTTGTCGTCGGTTTCTTGGCTTCCAAGTTCAACTTGTTGGAGTGTTTTAGGGTATTTAGTTTACGTGTTGAGAGGGGAATTGTTCTCAAGGTTTATTGTTCGTAATCGGAGTGATATAAGTCCTTGTACTGACTATATGCTCACCATAGGCTGCCGGAGAGGTTGGGACTAGAGTTGGGAATTTTGCAAGTGCAGCAGATAGTTTTAAGGTTGAAGTATTTGGAAGGGGAGGGCATGCAAGTCAACCACGTACGCACCCTTTCTCGATTGGTCTTGTTGACCACACGAGAACTTGGATCTTACATCAGAAGAGAGTTCTTGGCTTTGGATGGTCTTGGATGAACGAGAGCTTGATATTGGAATTTGGTGTTCCGAGAGCTGACCATTGTGAAGACAGGACGATTGATCCGGTTGTGCTCGCTTCTCACATTGTGGTGAGATTGCAGACTGTCGTTTCAAGAGGTATGTTGCGAACATTGTCTTAAGTGTTGAGCCATCTGAACCATTAGATGCGGAAAATGTATTCTCTGTCCTTGCAACAGCGATCGGGGTGGCGATTCCTTCCACCACATACTTCCAAAATAGCATGCTAATATCCCCTCAGAAGTCGATCCCAGAGAAGCAGCCGTCGTAACAGTCGGCAGCATCCAAGCCGGCCAAACCGAAAATATCATCGCTTCCTCCGCCATCCTCAAACTCAACATCCGCACCACCTCACCCACCACCCGAACCCGCGTCCTCTCAGCCATCAAACGCATCGTCTCCGCCGAATGCGACGCCTCAGGAAGTCCCCAACCTCCTTCATGGCACCCCACTTCCTCATTTCCATTCACAATCAACGACGCTGAGACCACCGAAAAAGTCTCAACATCTTTCAATGACTATTTCGGCGAAAAGCACAATCCTAACTCTGGCCTTTTGGGAGGAAGCGAGGATTTTGCGATTCTGGCGACGGAGGCGCCGAATCCGAAGGCGGAGGGTGGGAGGGGTGTGCCGTATTGTTATTGGATTTTTGGAGGGGTGGACCCGGAGACTTGGAAGGAGAAGGAGAGTGAGGGGAAGCTGGATGAGATTCCTATCAATCATAGTGCGTATTTTGCGCCGGCTGTGCAGCCTACGTTGAAGACGGGAGTGGATGCACTTGTTGTTGGGGCTTTGGCGTTTTTGGGACGGCCAGGGAAGGGGTGAAGCTGGTAGATGCTTAGACCATGATACTTTAAAACATTGGCTGTGGTGTCTTGGAGATGACTTTGAAGTGACATTAGTGTTCCATTTGTCGCTCAACGCAAAAGAAACGTGTCTCATGGTTTTGATGGCGGCAGCTCTCTGGAGTGGTGTCTTAGTGGCAATACACAGTTAGTCGAGTTTTTTGACAAGAATAAACTACGAAAGTCATGCCATCTAGACTTGTTAAAGGATGGAACAACAATGCAAGACGAGAAACGATATTACAGAAAGAAAACAAATGTTTCATATCAGAAGCGTAAGCGAGACCCAGCAAGTGCAGTGGTAGCTGAATGCACACTAACATCACCGGATGTCTGGTCAGTGGTCACTGAAAGCAAGCTAGTCATAGAAACACTTTATAAACGTCCAATTCAGATTTTTAAATGGATGACTTGAATAGATAAGCCCGGTCCAGGCGAGAATGCTTTTGCTGAGCGAGGTTTCTCGCAAATGCATAATGCTAACCAAGAAAGTTTCCACCCATCCTAGTCCTCTCATGAATCACATCAACAATCCCAATCTCCAGACCTCACAATTCCCCGACACTGATTCACAATCCTCATCTAAGAGCTGCAACCGCCCAATCTCACACTCCCAGCATACATCTCATACGTATCCGCATTCTGAGCCGCCTTAGCAGCCGTCAAAGCCTTCGCAGCAGTCGGTCCATAAGCCCAATCAGTAGTACCATACAAGTGAGTCATCTCATGCAGAATCGACCCCGCGCGATCATAATCATCATTCGCACAAGTCGACGCATACTCAGGGAACCCCCAGAATCCATTATTCGGGCAAGGCACAATAGTGTTAGCGCTAGGAACGGTATACAGCAGCGCAGTTCCGTCAGTGCAGTCGCTGTAGACGTCTGTGCAGTAGATCTTGGGGGAGGTGGTCTGCACGTTGGCTACGTCATTGTAGATCACGCGGACGGCGGACTCTTGCGAGGTGGACTTGAACCAGGTGGTGAAGTAGTAGGCGCCGGTGGCGGCGGCGGTGTAGGCGGCCTTGGACATGGAGATGGCGTGGGAGACGCTGGTGGTTAGGGCGGATGTTTGGGAGGCGGAGCAAGAATTGTATGTGATTGCTCGCTTCTTGATGCGGGAGTTGCTGGTCTCCTCGGGGCTGCGCTTGGAGATGTGCTCACTAGAAGAACATGTCAGTCATGATCCGAGTTTCAGACTTAGTTGGGCTTTTGTGAAGTTGCCATTGGCGTGACAATAAGAAGTAGAGAAACTTACGCCTCAGCAATACTCTGATCTGGAGTGATGGCAACAGTGCTTGAAGCGGCACTCTCACAGAATGTGAGATCAGCAGCGGTGGTTGGAGCCACAGATCCAGTGACGTATTTGAAGCCTTGGATAGCTGTAATCTTGGCCTTGGAGATACCACCGAGTCTGTAGCTCTTGGCCACATTCACTGAAGCTGTGATGGTCTCTCCTGGTGCGATGACTTGGAACATATCCTGGGTAAGGCCGGTACGTCGGTAGTTGACAACCACACCCTCAAAAGGAAGAGCGACTCCATCTATGAACATTAGTGCTTGTCCCTAAAATGGTAACTAATGTGACATACCGGCAGTCACCAACAAATCCTTGGTAGCATGACTACTGAAGACAGTGTTTCCCTTGAACACAGTGAGTGTTTCAGCTCCTGTGTTCGTCACTGCAACCTGAGCAACATGGTGTTTAGCACCGGTAATCTCAACTGACAAAGGGCATGCAGCCATTGCAGCACCGGCCAAAGCCAGGACTGGGAGAGCGATACTTTGGACCATATTTGCGACTTCAAGGCGTGAGGAGAGTAGACCGGAGAGAAGGAGAGTGGTGAGGAGAATAATTCTTGGAACTCACCGTCTATAAGTACTTGATGACCCAGCTCCCTGTCCTACTATACACATGGCTTAGAAGCGAGCAGAGGAGGCAGGTCTCAAAATACTAGCATGCTAATCTGCATAACGGACATCGAGCTGTGAGAGGAAGGTAAGATTTACAAGCTTATTTGTTCACCCGCAAATCCATCAGAAGATCTACACCACCTGCTCTTAACAGGCAGGTCCCTAGATAGCCATCCAAGTACAAGAATCCACTCTCATCTCCTAATACTAGGAACCAAAAACTCCACCACACAAACAAGCACAAGACCGAGGCTTGTTCCTCTTGGCAAGGCGCCTTGAATCACTCTCCTGACAAATCGGAGGGTGTAAACATCGCCAAATGATCGCACCCTGAGGGCTTGTTTACCCTGCATCGCTTGGCACGGTACTTGCATGCTCAAAAGGGCAGCCCTTTATCTCCATGCTCGCGAACCGGATAAACAAAAGCGCTTCAAATCACGAACAGAGCACTCTCACTGGAGGATTTGCTTGCCGGGCAAACAGCGGGTGATGGGGTCAGGGGTTTAAGCGAGGGTTGCCAATCCGGCATAAGCTTTAGGTCTAAGCTTCATTAGGCAGGACGAAGTAGCTTTATCGCGGGGTGGAGCTTGTTTCTGGCCAAGGAAGTGCTTGAATTTGTTTGAATGGGTGGCACGGGTTATCTTCTGCTTCGGCAGAGTCGAGAGGGATAGGAAGGTAGATGTCGTGCATTCTTCGGGCTTTCGTTGGATGGAGGGGATGAGCGGGGATAAGATTGAGATACTCGGCCCCTCCCGAACCTTATCGTTTGCAAAATGCAGTGAGATTACGGTAGTACATGCCTAGCTAGGGAATTGGATAAAGAAGATATGTGAGTTCGGTGCCGAATACTCATGTTGCGGTGTCTTAAAAAGAGTTCAGATTTTGAGATTGGCCACGAGGGAGTTCGGCCTATCGCCTAACTTACCCAATTCACGAGGAGGATCAGAGGTGGCGAAACGCGTGACTGAGTTTGCATTGTCCATACAATGCTATAACCGGTTATTTGAATGTTTCTTTTGAAAATTTCGATTACATTAGGTGATTTTTACTCGGACACAGTTCGCTTAGATATCTCGTCTGTGAAACCTCTTTGAGTAAGACCAGCTTCTTCCCCCTCCAAATTAAATATTAACGACTTCGCAGATTCTGTCAGAAACCTGAAAATCCTACTTCAACAGCCAAGAACTATGAAAGTCAAAATACCAAAGAAATAACAAATGAAAACCCTATACCCAGATCCCCGCAAACTCCTAACGCAAACTTCCCCTTAAATGAGAATCGAAACCGCCAATTCCGTCGGATCGATAACATTGTATGCCACGATTTTGTCATCCAACTGCTCACTATGCTTATTGAAAAGGATTCCAAGCTCCATCAAGTCAGTATAGAACTTCGACGCAGCACTTCCAATCGCCTTCCAACCCTCACCCTCCTCACCTTTAGCTTCATCCTCCAAATCTTGAGCATAGCTCAACAGAGTCTGGTCCTCCGACACACCATAGCTGAGAAGATATGGAAGCTGAGAGCTCAGTAGCCAGACCTGCTCATCGTGTACAGGGAGCGCTGCAACGACATCTTGTTCTTTGTACGACATGAGTTCTTCGAGTGTGTTTGGCAAAGGAGTGTTCAGACAGCCGGGCTTGTTGGGCACGAAGGACATGTAGTAGCATTGCAGGTAGTTGACCGAGTTGTGCTTTGGAGCAGCGGTGTGAATGCACATGACGATTGCATTGCATAGTTCGTCGATGGTTTCGATGTCTGGGAAGGAGGTCATCTGTCCGCCTGTAGGGCTCTTCATCTCGTTGCACCAGGACTGCACAGATTTGTCGGCTGCAACTTCGTCATCTGTCTTGTAGACAGTTTCGAGAACCGAGAAAACGAATTTGTAGAGTGTCTTCCACATGGGTAACATATTGCGGGCCCAGGCGTAGTTGTGGAATATCTTCTCGTCAAGCTTGGATATTGGAAAGCCGCGGCGCTCTAGGTCAGCGGGGATGTAGTTGTCGGTCCAGTTGAAACGCTTATATGCATTCAAGAGGAACGCATATGTCTGAGCTTTGGAGAACCCATTGATTTCAGTGACTACCTTTGGGACCAGAATCGACCGTGCGGCGGCATTGAGAGAAAGAGTTTTGAGCCTGTGTTGAGTCAGTACATGCTAGAAAGTATTTCAAGGCGCGGAGAATGTGTGTGAAAAGATTGTAGACATACCAATGAGGCTCCAGAATACGGTAGACAATGTGGTCTGCAGTGAAAGATCGCTGGGCAGCAACGATTGAGGCTTCTTCCACGAAATGACAGTCATTGAGATGGACTTGGATCTCATGCTTAGTCCAGTCCGATACCTGACTACACATTTTTGCATATCTCCATGGCCAGTCCTGTTCTTCCGTCGCTTTAGAGTCCTGGGGAGTGATCCTCTTATTGAAGATGACCACCGATTTCTCCATGCTGACCTTATAATCGATGATGATCGCCAATGGATGTAGGTTGCCATCCTCACGGAGCTGGAGGAGCGTAACAGAGGCACAGCCAAATCTCTTCCCGTCATCAGATTTCAGAACTGTATCCGGTGCTGCATCGGCAGCATCTCGAAAGTAGCTGCAGTCTTGGATGAAGAATGACTCTGCTTTAGAGTACTCAAGCAGCACAGCTACATCATTTCTTCCCTGTTCCTTCGCCACGGCCTTGAACTTTCCAACCCACTCGCCAGCAAGCGTGATACTAGTGGGATTGGAACCTGTAAATGACTGCTGTGAAAACACGGCATCCGTGTACCAGTCGTCCCGATTCGCGACACTGGGCTCCGTTCCAATATTCTTCTTCGCACGAGTCAGCTGCTTCATGCGTGCCTGGATCCCTGCCATTGTTTTTCCAATTGGCTCTCCATAGAGATATGCTGCCAGCAATTTGGGTTGAAGGGCTTCTGGAAGCAATGCGACGGTGGTATCGATCAGTCGTTCAGCATTGAAGATCTGTAGAAGTCCGGTCTGTTCATCGCGGGGTATGCTTTTCAGACAAGGTGGATACGGCGGATTGGTGGTTCCTGGTTCCTGCCATGCGTACGTTCTACGGAGGGTTTCGATGGAACGCTTTCGTCTCCATTCTTTGTCTGAAGGTTCAAATTCTGCGAGATCAAAGTACGATGCGAATCTAATGATAATTATTAGATTATCCCAGCAGAATCTGAGTTTCTAGTGCTGCATACCTGGTGTCGATGTCTTGGAACAACTTGATGATATCAAGCCCTACTTTGGCTTCGATCTTCTTCGGCTCAGACAGTATGAATTCTGGAATCGTTGGTCTCGTTCGGCCTTTCAGAGGGCCCAAACTCTTGACCCATCGCAGAGACCGCTTCTGTTGTGGGACCGGAGTCGTATTGATTACGACTGGTGTCTTGATGATTTGAAATGTTGGAGCAGGCTGGGCCTTGGACTCGGTTATGGGCTTTTCGGCGACATTGGAAGAAGTCCCGAAGTTTGAGAAAATATTTCTAAACGACATTTTGCCAAAGATAGTATTCGACTGAGGTAACTCAGGAGTCGGTTCTCAATAAATGTAGTCGCGTGTCTGCTTTTGTTGATTTCTTTGGGGGTCCTCGGTTCTGTAAGTCTAAATCGCGTTGGAATGGGGCTGCCGATCCCTAGAATTGTTGATGTGTTGACTCTGTTGAGCCACATTCCATGCACAAGACATGGGAACAACAATCTCAATCACTGTTTTGAGGGCAACCTCGTAACTTTGTCAGAATTCATAGAGCATTTTAGGAAAATGCAGCCGTCAAGCCTAGTCCAACGATTGCTTCTTTTGCATAGCCTAGATCCCCTGTGCAAAAGAATTTCTTCGCCGCATCAACAATGGCTGTCCAAGAGTTCAAACGCATCGCCTAAGCGGCAGCAATTATTGTTTCCTGGAAGCAGTCTTACTCTGGAAATCTCCAGCTCTCTCAAGCCCCAAAGAAGAGTATCCAGGGAAGACGAGCGTGACATGGCTGCCTGTCGCTGAAGGCATCAAAAGTCAACAAACATGTGCCATTTGAAATTAGCGAGAAGAGGGTGTTCGAAACTCCCAAAGCACCACATTGTCTTCTAGGCTCGGCGAAAAAGAAATTATGGCCAAGCCAGCCACTTCTTGCACAACATCCCAGTAGTCACTTGGCAAATGGTCTGCCTTCCAAGTCATGAGTTGATGTGCAATGGGACACAACTGGTAAACAACAAAGTAGATCGCTGTCCAAGCCATACCGCCGAACCCAAGCTGTCAAATGTCTCGCTTAGTGGATGGTTGGCGGGGAAAACTGTTTTCCAAGAGCTTGTGGCTTTCGTGTCTGGATGAAGGAATGTTGAGTAGCCGAATTGTTGTTCTTGGGCTATGTTGACCAAGCATGGGAAAAGGGAATATGGCTTTTGTGTCTTGTTGACAGATTCTTGTCATCTCCACGCTCTCCAATATGCGTGAGCGTGAAATGTCCCCCGCTAAGCTCAAGACGCTGGAAATCTGGCTTTGGAAACCTATACATGAAATTTGCGAAGCGAGTAGAGACTTTGAATGCATCGTGCTATCCACGGAGTTCAAGAACCTCACCCAACCCAGGCCCGCAAGATGTACTGCGGCAGCCTCGAAGTCGCTTTCAACAAGCTCTCAATTTAATGTGAGCTTGCTGAGCATTGACAATGAAACAGAGCCACAATCATATCGTACCATTCGAAGGGCAATACTTCCAGGAGGACCTCCTCGCTTGTTATCCTCAAGAGATCTGACACTTTCTGGTTTATTGATCTGATCGCAAGGGATTGATGGGCAACTGTAACGATGCTGTCTAGTCTTTCACCACCGACCCTTGAAATAATTTGGGAGATGTTCGCTAAGAATTGACGGACGTAGTTGGACTCTTGATCATAATAGGGAGCCACCGTTCTCTATGTGGTCTGAATGTGGGTTTACTATTCATGGGTACGAAATGATCAGCGTTCAGCGGATGTCTAGGGACTGGAATATGACACTCTTTTGAAAGCTGCCGACGTGTCTTCCTGCCCCTTCACAATGAATCAAAGTTTAACACGGTACTTTGTTAAAATTTTAGGTGGCGAACCCGACTCTACAGGTCAGTGACTGGTACCACGTGACCATTCAACAACTTGGACAATGCACTCTTTTGGAAATAGCCGAGATTGTTTCTGCTGGCTATTCTGCTGTTGGAGATGCAGCTACAAAATCTGTGTTAATATCTACTTGCGCAATGTGGGTCACGATGCCCCTCGCTCGCCTGCGCTTGGCTCGCTACAGAGATCAGTGTTTACTCATCAGAGATGAAGGCCCAGGGATGTCTTCATCCACCCAATGGGCTTCGGACCTATTGTGTGGCATACAGGCATTGGTGGTAGACATATCTCTTATTGTTCCTTGGTACCGATTGGTGTATGGAGCCATCTCATCATACCCATCAAGGTGAGTCTTTTAGGCTGTCATGTGGTTTCTTTAGTCATTCAGCATGTCCTATATTCTTCACACCACACCTCGCCATCTCTTCCTTTTTCTTCCCCGGACATGAACGGTACTGGCTCCAATTCACAACTCCATCATCTTGTGCTTCAACAGAGATCTCTTATATTTTGAGTCCTCAGTCATTGGGCACCTATCTACCACTTCTGCGTCCGAACAGTCACGGAGTGCTTGACAATCAAATATGCTGTCTCGTTGTTCTAATATGGAGAAATCTCTGCCGTGGGTCCGATGGGATTGAGACTCAAGAGAGCAGCTATTATTGGCAGTCCACCGAGTCTCAGTCGAGGCCAAGCTTTCTGGCGCGACATGATCATATGGAAGAACAGCCCGAGCGATAAACTTCGTCACGCACCTTTTTCAGTCTCACTGCGCTTCCAGGATTTGATTTCTTCTCATTTGGTCCCGGCATTCATGGAGAGCGACGCAACCTCTTCCTACACGTAGACTTCACAGTGAAAGATGCCTTAGCAGGTACACTTGAGGCCAAGAATTCGCGTGAGTGACAGCCCTTGATAACAGTTACGATCAGCATCCGATTCGACGCTAACTTGATACAGGAGCAGATACATTGAAGTATAAATCGGTCTGAGCCATCACCGGGTGTTCATATTTGATGCCAATGGTTTCCTCAGAATCCAAAGACGGATAAATGGAACACAACCTATCAATGGTCTCCATTGAGTCAAACCGGTTGCGAAGACGTCATTCGTTTGCCAAAAAGCCTCTCCAGTGGACTGAGTTCTGAGATGACGCGATGCAACTACCGCTCCGGACTTATGTTGCCGAAAACCGACGATTTATGATGGAACTTTGTGTGCAATTTCCGGCGAAGAAAACAGTACTTTCAAGTCCAGTCAGGACATGGAAATGGACTCAGTCTACCCTGGACCCTTCTCTCAGGAACAGCTTGCAGATAAAGGCTCAAAAGGAAAAGTCGCATTTCGACCTGTCATCAATTGTCCCCGCGTCCTGATAATTACTGTACAGTTTGCACTGTGAAAGGTATTTAAATGCCGCTCTCTCTTGGGATGTGTTTTTTCCGCGAAATATCTCCGAGATTCCGAACAAACAAGGCCCCTTCTACCGAACCCCTCATCATGCGAGAGGCGACAACCAACAGTTAAGAAACAGATGCGGGGAAATCTGACGCACGCCAGCATCATTCAATTCACTCTTACTCGCTGAACTGTATTTCTAACTTTCTTAGAGGAGTTTATATATCACGGCAGTTCTGTCCTTTCATCCTTTGCTCGCTCCTTCAAATCGTTCTTCTCCCGATATTCATTCGCAATATTATCAACGAAATAAAAATACAGTTCAGAGCTTCAAAAAATTTATCAAATCCGTGAAAATGGCTCCTTCTCTACATCCTCTCATCGACAACGGCATCACGAAGGGCAAAGAAGATTTCCCCGGCGGAACCCTCCGCTGTTTATGCTCATCGAACCGCGTGGAAGTCCAGCTCACCGGCAACGTCCTCCATAACCACGCATGCGGATGTTCGCAGTGTTGGAAACCCTCTGGCGCCCTCTTCTCAATCGTATCCGTCATTCCAGTCGATAACCTGAAAGTTACCGCCAACGAGAACAAGATCGCTGTCGTCGACCCGAACGCCACTATCCTACGCCACGCCTGCAAAGATTGCGGAGTCCATATGTATGGCCGGATCGAGAAGGACCATGCTTTCAAGGGCTTGGATTTCGTCCACGTGGAGCTGAGTGACGAGAAGGGGTGGCAGGAGCCGCAGTTTGCTGGCTTTGTGTCGTCGATTATTGAGCAGGGTTTCCACCCCAAGGGGATGGATGGTGTGAGGGAGAAGCTCAAGAGCGTGGGGCTTGAAACTTATGATTGTTTGAGTCCGGCACTTATGGATGCTTTGTCGACTTTCGCGGGGCAGAAGTCAGGAGCTTTGGCCAGCAAGTTGTAACGAAGTACTTTGGGCAATGTTCCGCTCCAGATGCATTTCACAGGGCTATTAGTTTGCAGGTGGCGCAGTGTGTACAAAAAGGATTCAAAAAGAAGATGACCATATTCATACAAGTGGCAACTGAATGAACTCAAGTTACTCCTGCATTTTCCTTCTCACATAGTGTAAGAAAACAAAATCTGACCAGCGTTTAGAGATAGGCAGGAAAGTGTTATGAACATCCCACCAGCAACCTAATTAGACCTCAAGTGAATAAATAAAAGTCGCCACGAGTGCTTACTCTCGTTGATGGGCTAGATCTAACCATTGGGGGACGGCACGCATCTTGCGACTTCTCAGTAGCCTAGTGAGATACTCACTTTGAGTTTTCTTGAGATTTAAAACTACAGCAGATTGGGTACATGCGGTAAATATGTGGATGGGATCCACAAACGATATCTCTCTTCAATTACTAGTGTTCAATTATTAGTGATAGTGTGAAGTCGGACGCAAGTTTGACTTCATCAGGGCTAGAGTAATGCTGGATCTCGTCCGGGCTTATGCTATCTAATACCTATTCCGTCACTCCTATCTTCTTTCAAGTCCAACACACAATCGCCTCGAAAATCACGAACACTCAAACATGAACAGCTACTTCGGGCGGCGTCTGCACTTATCCTCGTCGAGCCCACACCCGGTCTCGACTGTCTTAGTTCGTGGACCTACAGCAAGCACCAGATTCCCTCTATTCATTCATCCCATTCCGGACTACCCAGCCGTCAATAAGCCCAGGTTACCTCACACTTCAAAACCATGGTCCCGACTACAAGTAATGACTTTACCTTCCTAATCTGTCCCCACTTCCAGAATTCTAGATCGTTACGGGTTCCGCATGGCTCTCACAGAATTTGACATCATACCATTTTGGAGCCTGCTGTTTTCTATTGCTATTGTGTCACTGTCTCGAATCCGCCTTAGTGCACGCAGAACTGTATCCACGTCACACCGCACAAGGTCATACTAGATGAGATCAGATTAGAGTCATTAGACTACGCTACAGTGATTCCACCGCATGCCGGACGATCCCCCACGGCGCCACCCGTACGCCAAACACAATAAGCTCTTAGCCGACCCTCTTGACTTCGTTTCTTTCTTCGATACGTCACCCAAGCAAGCAATCTAGATCATAATCTAGACTCTGAAATGTAGATACTAGTCTCGCACTAATCAAGTTGGTATGGAAAAGTCTACAAACTATTCAAAGACCGCAAGAGAAAGTTTCTATAACAAGGCATACATACAGAACGTCATCGCCTTTCCTTCCTTGCAATCGCATACTGGACATCTCGCGGCTGGGCTGGGAGGGTGAAGAAACTCAATGTTCTTTTGGTCTCCCTGTGATAAAAAGGATTCAGATGAAGAGCTTTCGTTCCTTGGCTTTCGGCTACTTGCTGGGAAGGTTTCATAAGTTAAGTTTTATCAAAGGAAATAATATCACTCTCCAAGGTGTTGACCAAGTCCTAATATTATATTACCCTAATAATATCAGTGACAAGGAATTTTAAACTCTTTTTTTAGTTGTACTGATACTTTTGTGTTTCCCAAAATCCCAAAAATCCCAACACCAAAAAATCGAAAAATCCAGAATTCCCAAATTCCAAATTCCCAGAATTCCACCACATCCAAAATATCCACAACTCCAGAACTCCAAAAGTCCAAAACTCCGAGTTTCTAATCCACAACCAACGCCATCCTCCTCGTGAACGCCAACTATGCGTTTGATCTCCCATCCATAGCAGTAAGTTCAACACCGTTGTTGTCTGCAGCCGCGTCCTGATCGTCAGTCGCGGTCTGCTCACTCTCGGTCGCCCTTGGCCTCGAAGCCAACTCAGCTACATCTGTCTTCGAGAACTTCCTCGCGCTGACGCCATGCTCGAACATGACATCCATGTCGCAGTAAGTTCTTCCCCTTGGCTCAGGAAGGTCGAAGTAGATCCAGATGATGCATCCTAGGGTGATGGCAGCCCAGAACAGTCCACTCTTGGCACCCCAGCCCCAACCCTTAGGCTGGGACGTCAGTTGGTAGTTGGCAAGAGTGTTGACTCCGATGCTGCAAATATTGTAGGAGATGCGGGCCAGAACAATTGTCTTGGTCTTCAGACGCAGCGAAGACATTTCGGTGACGAGGGAGAAGCAGACAGGCCCAATGGTGCAGCCGTAGACGAAGGTGAAGAGGAGATACTGGAAGGCCATTCCCCATTGGGCTGCCTTATTATCTGCCGACGCAAAAGCCGTGGCACCGATTGAGAGTAGGAGGACGAAGAGGCCCATGCAACCATAGAGATACAGGTTGCGACGTCCGCTGAGAGCCATGAACCACCAAGAGAGGATTGTGCCCAATATACCAATTGCGTACTGTATCATGGCCATATTGAAGGCCCAAACGCCATCGAGTCCACAAGCCTGGTAGACAGTGGGTGAGTATCCCTGTAAGACGGAGCCACAAAGGCACTGGACCAACCAAGCAAAGCACGTAATTCTGGTTCGACGCAAATCACCTCCCCTGAAGCAGTCCAGATATGAGGTGCCAGCCGATATATTCTTCTCTCTCTCATCCGTCTCCTCTATGAAGTCGATGACGTTGTCGACGTTGAAGTGGGCATTTCCGCGGGTGGTAAGGCGCAAGAGAGCCCTACGGGCTTCTTCCTTGCGACCCTTTCGAACGAGCCAGACGGGCGATTCTGGGGAAAACAGAATATAAAGAATGATAAGAGGTGGAAATATCCACTGAATAGCGATGGGAATCTGGTCAAGTCAGTGACTTTTCCTGCTATTGATGAATCCATAGAAGGGACGCTGATACGTACCCTGTATGCCCACTCATTGTCCATGGACAAGCAAGCACGTACAGCCACAGTAGCAAACAACTGTCCAATAACCCAACATAAATTGATGTAGGTGGTGAGGTATGGTCGAAGATTCTGAGGCATGATATCCGAAGCAAAGGACGATGGCACTACTTCGATTAGCAGGGGACGTGAGAGTTGAACTGAGATGACCGACTGCTTTGGAACATTCCCCAGGGGTGCCCACCAAGAATCTGACCAATTAAAAGTATGCTGACGTTGTTGGCGAAGAAAGGGATGAAGATAGTTGCTGATGTGAAAAGGAGAGCGGCGATCATGGGTATCTTGTACCCAAATCTGTCCGAGGCAAGCCCACTTATCACAAGACCGAGATTCTCACCAATTAGTGCACCCATGGTGAGAAGGGTTTTCCAAGATGCAGCAATCTCGTATACACCCAAACTGTTGAGAGAGCCGAACTTCTGGTTGAATTGATCTTGAGCGAAGAAGGATGGAATGAGGGCAATGGCGAAGCTCTGCATGATTACCGAAGCGCCCCAGATGGCGCAACAGATTATCGCAGGTCTGTAGACCTTCAAGGAAGTCTTGATGGACATGGTGTGTTCCTGGGCACTCGCATCCTGTGCTGCAGCGGACAGACCGGCGGCTGGCGCGCATGAAGCATCGTTCGGGGGTGAGGGTGAGGGTAAGGGTGAAGACTTGGATGCCTCACTTGGTGTGCTGGCGCCGTCACTTGCTGAATCAGTGGCGACAGCATCATTGGCTGTGGTGTTGGCAACATTGTCGTCAGCCACAACATGAGCAGTCGATGGGCCTTGTTCTTGAGACATCGTGTGTTGTCAAAAGAAAAGAATTGATATAATAAGTAGGACGGTGTAAGGACGGAAGAAAAAGGATGAGAGAAATTTCTTTGGCTCTTTGGGGGAGATTTGTGTTCTTATGCTCACATGAAGTGTGCGAAGCACTAAAGTAGTAGAAACTGAGGGTACTGGCTAAAGATCTTTACCTTCATTTTTGTTGCTCTCGTGACTGCCTCTGCGAACTAAAGTGAACCGGTCCCAGACTCTTTCTGCGGAGGATTGGGGACGATGTGCGAGTCGATGCCCCTAAGATGAGAAGTAAAATACTAGCTCATGATACATTGTGGGGACTTCCAACATACAAAATCTCCAGCTGGAGAACGTGGGAATATGGATGCGGGAAAGTCAGTCTAGAGGACTCTGGAGAAAAGGTAGAGTGATGACCTCAGCTAGTCCTAGCCAGCGCCAAACAGAAAAGGTCTGGAATCGTAGATGGCCACCAGATAATTTCCTAACGTAACGACATGACGAACTCGTTGGGATTTAGTCAGGTGATCAAAAGAGCATGTACGACATTTGCGATGCTCTACAAAGGTAGAGCTGTAGAGAAGAAAGAGGTATGCACGAGCGTAGACAAGGCGAGAAGGTACCTAGCTAATGATAGGCATGGATAGGGTAGCAGTAGGTAGTTACTGCCAATTCAAAAAGGCAACAATATAATTGACAATCGTTAAACGAAACAAAATGACCAGCATGATCAAGGCAGGTGCTATCATGAAAACCCGTGTCGCAATGAATAGCAGCCACACAAGCACAACATCCCATGTGGAAAGTGCTGCCCAGGAGTCAAAAAAAAGTATAGGACTCACCATGAGATAACGCAGAGTGCTCGGGTGCAAGTTAATCCTCGCATCGAGAAGTGATTTGTGCGAGATGTGGACAGCTGCGAGACCATGAAGTGTCACAGCCAAGCATATTTCTGATTTGCAACCCAATGCGGCACGTCTCCATCTCCATACCACATCAGACTTGCGATGCCATCCTCCTCTCTCTCAACCAGCTTATACTCCACATCAATGCCTTGCATCAAGTGGATGACAAGAGGTGACGGATCCCACAGCTTCACAGTCCCCAAGCCCCAGTACTCCGCTTCGGCCTGAGCAGCTTCGATGATGACTTTCAGTGATTCTCGGAGCTCTGTGAAGTTCTGCTGGGCTGCTCCCTCCTTTTCGAAAACCAAGCGGAGAATGTACAGTGTATTCTCCCTCCTCGCCGTCTCTTGGTTCCCATAGAATCGCCTCGTCCAAATAGCCCAAACTCGCTCATCACCCTCCCACTTTCCAACCAAGACACCTTTGAATGGACATTCCTTATCTAACACTCTTCCACACACGAAATCCTCTTTTCCATGATGCCAACGCATATGATCTTGATCCGGGACAACCATCAGGGAAGACGTTCCACTTTCCTTCAGCCTTTGGCGAGTCAACTCTTCGTCTCTCTTACACAGATCCCCCAAACCTGCATCCAAAATAACGCACTCTTTCTCAGACTTCGCTCCATCTTGCTTCTTCGCCGGAAACTCCAAATGACAGTTCTGACCCACTGGTTCCCATCCCAGCTTCGAATAGTACTCTTTCCCAATGTCCGAATACAGGACACTGCCCACACATGTCTCTCCTTCGGCAACTTGCCACGTCTTCAACACATCCCCCAACTCCTGCATCATTCTCTGCGCATACCCACGTCCCCTGTACGCCGGATCACAAAATACGCTTGCGATCCCATGTATCACAACATCCTGTACTCCATCCGTCACAGCACCCTCACGTGAAAGCAACCCCTTTTTCTTGAACGTCTCACAAGACGCTAAGATCGGCCGCTCATCAGGAGGCAGGGTTTTGTCGACAAGGATCCAAAGCGTCATGCCTCCATCGCGAGCAAGTGGCACAGTAAGCAGATGTTCCGATTCGGCTAGGAACTGAGGGAGATCCAAGGAGTCACCCCATGCAGGGTGGATAAGGGTCCAGATGTGCTGGCATTCGGCTGGCGTGGGATGGGTCAGATGCAGGTCTGGGGAAGTGGATGGAGGCAAGCTTGCCACTGGGAACTGCATGGTTGAGACAAGGCTGATGGTACTACGAGAATGAATTTTAGCCTCTCATAAGGGAGGAGGTCCGCAGTATCTCGTGATGTGTTCTTGGCTTGTAGAGGGCTTCGTGGCTGGGACTGAGACTGCCTGAATCCCACCCTCGGCCGTTTTCCATATCCGGGCATTTCAACGAAAATTCCTGCTTCCTTTCTCACATGTTCACATCAATATAGAGTTCGAATTCAAAATCATCACATCCGTCCCGTTTCTAAAGACATTGCCCAATACAGAAAAGTAACAAAGGTCAACAGTTGGTGGACGATGCTCCGGTCACGTGCACTCGCCCATCAGCAGCCAAAACCGCCAACCGAGAAATGTCGCGAGAATTCCAACGACATCACACGAAACGAAGTCTCGACCCCCTCACTCCCGCACTCCTAGTGCAGTAACTCTCGTACAAAAGCAGTCTTCTCCGCATCTCGTGCCCGTCTCCACACGCAAATAGATGCTTGGAGACACGGTCCGAGGTCCCTGTAGTGGGGTAGACAGCTGAACCCAGCATTGCCCTCGAGCCTTGGTAGGCGGAGTACTTTCCTTATCTCCTTGGACAGCTCGCCGATCACTTGGTTCGGGGAATCTTTCGTTTGAGAGAGTTCTGGATTGGAGTCAAGAAGGTATCGTGAGTTTGTCAGCTGAGTACTTTCGAGTCAGTTACCTACTAGGTAGTACTATAAGACTGCTGTGCTCCTTGGGAACAGGCTCTCCGATCCCCCCTTCTCTATTTACTTTCCCGGCCCCCATCCCTCCTTTCCTTCCACCTTCATAGAGCAATCTCGATAATATTCGTTATACCCTCGCATCTAATCGTATTTCTCTGTATCACTACTTCTTTCTTTTCCTCAAAGCCATTATTTTTGCATCCATACCCACCTTCAACCTCCAGCACACCATGACAGTCTCCGAATCAGTCTGGTGGAAAGATGGCGTCGTCTACCAAATTTACCCCGCCAGCTTCAAAGACTCCAACAATGACGGCCTGGGAGACATTCCCGGCATTGTCTCGAAAATCGACTACCTCAAAGACCTCGGCGTCGACATCGTCTGGCTCTCTCCCCACTACGATTCTCCCCAGCATGACATGGGCTACGATATTCGAGACTACGAAGCCGTATACGAACCTTACGGCACCGTCGCAGATGTCGAGGCTCTGATTGAAGCCTGCCACTCTCGCGGCATGCGACTGATCTTTGATTTGGTCATCAACCATACCTCAGACGAGCACAAATGGTTCGAGGAATCAAAGAGTTCGAAGGACAACCCAAAAAGAGATTGGTACATCTGGAGACCTGCAAAATACGCAGCAGACGGAACACGCATGCCACCGAACAACTGGCGGTCGATCTTCAGCGGAAGTGCATGGGAATGGGACGAACAAACACAAGAATATTACCTCCACCTCTTCGCCAAACAGCAGCCCGACCTCAATTGGGAGAATCCCGCCACGAGACGGGCACTTTACGATTCTGCCATGGAATTCTGGCTCAAGAAGGGCGTCGACGGCTTCCGAATCGATACTGTGAACATGTATTCGAAAGGCACTGAATATCCCGACGCACCCATAATCGACAGCGGCATCTACGAACAACCAGCCAGCAGTCTCTTCTGCAACGGCCCCCGCATGCACGAGTTCCTTCGAGAAATGAACACCACAGTCCTCTCCAGATACGACACCATGACCGTCGGCGAGCTTCCACACACCCCAGATCCAGACCACGTTCTGCGGTACATTGGCTCTGGAGACAAGCAGCTCGACATGGTCTTCCAATTCGATATCGTGAACCTAGGTGCCGGCGATACACATAAATACGAAATGGTGCCCTGGAAGCTCCCAGAACTCAAACGCATCGTTGAGAAATGGCAGACATTCATCGACAACACCGACGGCTGGACCACCGCCTTCTGCGAGAACCACGACAATGGCCGCTCCGTTTCGCGCTACACATCCGACGCCCCAGCCTGGCGTGAACGTTCCGCCAAGCTCCTCGCCATCATGATGTCCGCCATGACAGGCACACTGTTCGTGTATCAAGGCCAGGAAATAGGCATGATCAACGCGCCGAAGGATTGGCCGATTGAGGAGTATAAGGATATCGAGAGTATCAATTATTACAACTCTGTCGCTGAGCGCACTAAGGACCCCAAAACGCTCGCCCATATCATGAAATCCATACAAGTCCTTGGTCGCGACCATTCTCGCCTGCCTATGCAGTGGGATTCTTCCCCATATGCGGGCTTCACATCCCGCAAAGAAGGTGCTTGGATGCGAACACATGACGACTATCCTACTATCAACGTCGCTACCCAACAGGCTAACCCATCATCTGTCCTCAATTTCTGGAAACAGATGCTGAGAACGAGGAAAGAGTATAATGATCTCTTCATCCACGGGACATTCGAAGTCTTTGACGTCGAGAATGAACATACCTTCGTCTTTGCAAAGAAATTCAAGGGTGATACCGCGGTAGTTGTCCTTAACTTTGGGGAGGAAAAGAGAGAGTTTAAGAGGCCTGATGTTGGAGGTGGGAAGTGGGAGTTCCTTGTGGGGAATGTGGATGGGGTGGATGGGACGGTTGATAGGCTTGAGGGGTATGAGGGGAGGATCTATTTGGTTAACTGATGTGATTGATATTTTCGGACTGGATGACTTGGAAAAGTTATGGCGTATCTTGAAGGGAATTTATTGTTTGGGAAGGCGTTTGATGCGTTACAATACAGGGTGGTTTCATAGAATATCATAATCATATATAGCTATATTGATTCTCTTCTCTTCTTCAAATTTCTTTCTCTTCTTCAAATCTTGCTCCTTTTTCTTCGTCTTGTGAGACTTTGTACCTTTCCTATTTACTATTCACTACCCCCCACCACAAGTACTCTTCCACCTTTTCCCTATTCCCCCGCTTGTTCGCCTTCTAACCAAGCCAATAAATACTTCCCCTCCCCTCTTCATCCTACCTTTCCATCAATCACGCAAGAAAAGAAAATATACCAAGATATGAGATATGTGTGACGTGTCGAGGACTCGCAGGCGGCAGTACTATATCCCACCGATTCATAGCTTTATCCCCCTCCGTCGAGATGTGATTTCCATATGTCTTCGAGAGCGTTCGCTGACTTTCATGGTGATTGTGAAGGCCAATTGAGCACGGTTTTTTGGGTTTGCTGATCTTGATGATAGTGATGATAGTGATGAGCTGGTGTTGTTGCCATGTTTAAGATTTGTTGTCAAGTCTCAATTTTGTTGAAGGTTAAACACCTTGCAAACCACTATTCACTAATCGCCAAGTTGGGTAACACAGTGGACAGTGCAGGACATCTAGATCCCATTTGAACTCTCCATTGAAATATTCAGGCTTGCTATTTTTACGGTTGTGAAGGTACCGCCTCTGCTTTCTCTATGTCCATTCCGTTTCCTTCTCAGCCGCCACCCGGTCTGAAAACGATCTGTGCCACCACATCCTTTTATCCCCGGCGGTGGGGCACAACTTTTGTGGATTATCAATAGTCTCACCAACCCGTCTCACTCTTTATTCACCCTTGGTTCTCCTCCTTCTCCTGCTCACCACCGCGAAGAGTCATCCTATTCTTCTGAAGATTGACATGAGTGAGCAAAGTCAGCTATTGAAATATCGTCAGACTTGCGAAAACAAAAGGATATAAAGCCGAGTCCCCATCTCAAGAATCTCGGGACCAGCCATACAGCCATCGAACAGAAGCATCAGAATAGGAATTTTGCATCCCGATGAACTATTTGATATGGAGTGGAAAGCATGGGTCTGTTCTTTGTTCAGGTTCTAAGGCCGACGGTAGGAAACTTCACTTGAACGAACGTAGGTTGGCGGCGGACAGATGTGTTGTCACCCACCGTTTTGCTGTCATTCGTCGTCTCTGTTGTCAGGCTGGATGACTCACTTACATCCTGCATTACGGCTGTATCTACGCGAGTGGTTGAATTCGCAACCTCCCATCATCATAAAAAAAGAGAAGTATAGACAGATGAAGCGACCAAGGAGTTCCATGTTATGAAAGCTTCACAGGTTCTCTTCCATGAGCTAGCTGTCTGTTTGTTTGTAAATGTGAGAGTATGGCGAGTGTACATAAACTTGAAATGATTTATTCATATCTATTACATTATCCCGAAGCGTGATGCGTAAATAAGTAATACTGCCTCCGTTGAATTGAAAGTTAGGTGAATCTATGATTTCCCCTTGCATTTGTCAAAGGTTGAACTATGTACATGATGCGCCTCGACTGTGCCAGGGACATAGATTGAAGATGAACAGCACGATCGCTTCACCGTCTGTTGGCAAACCATGGCCAACGGCTGGGATCCCTACAAAGAATTGGTAATTCCATCACGGCATCCGCTTGCTATTCTCTGCCCAATAAAGTATCGGATAATAGATTTTATGTGTATCATTGATCAATCTAAGCCAAGACTGATATATCGATTAGCCAGGGGGCCCGAAAAAGCAATCAATACATCATCATTGCCGTCCTGGAGGCAATTGTCATCGTTCCCTGTTGTTGACACTCCCTACTGTCGATGTTCAATCGACACAGGCCGAGAGAATCTTGCGTGGATTTTCGCTGTCATCGGCTTCAGCCTTCATCTGGAGACTTTTCGTCCACATGGACCGAGAAAACTGCTTTGAAGAACATCCAATGGCTTCCGTGATGTCAAACTCATATTGGAATTGAGGCCTTACCACCTTTTGTTTCGCAGGCTATGTAAAGCGGTGCGAAGGGTTGTGTGGCGTCAAAGGCTTGAATTGCTAGCTACAGCGCTAGCACTGCCTCACTCGCACCTGCTAAGAGGCTAGAAGCGGTGCCTTTTATATCATAAGTTTCGTCAAGAAGCAAAAGCCTTGGGCTTTCCCCGATTCACATTATTTAATCCCTCAGTCTGCGCTGGAAGTATATATACAGCGATATGATTCATTCCAGTAGTCAGGCTCGCTTATTCGGTCAGTTGTTTGAAGCTTTTAAAGCTTTCTGTATAATGCCGCGTCCCATAGTATTCGCTGTCCTCCCTAGCCGCACACAGCACCGTTGAGATAGTCATATGATCTTGTTAGAGAAGCACTGCAGCAATTTCTATTCTAAATTCTACAACTCCTGTTGCGGATATGTGTTTTTCCACGGGACAAACTGGAGACGATACTGTATGCAATAGGCCTTACTCGTTCACTTAATGAACAGGGCGAACTTGGATAAATCTGGCTATGTTATTTGTCATTTTTGTTTTCGCTGTCGAGCGGTACGAACCTCTGCTTGGCAAAATTACATCTTAAATCCTTGACGGCAACCACATGTGGAAGAGCGCCGCTGTCATCAATGAAAACTTTCTGGACGATTCTCATCACAGGAGTAAAAGACCTATGCTGCTTTCTACACTGGTAATTCCTCCAATGCAAGAAAGCTTTTGAGGTTATGATCATAAAATTAACTGTGATGAATTTATGATCCACAGGATTCCGGAGCAAGCCTTTGTTCAGGGAGTTAAGAGGATAGATGTCATTGCTACTTACATCGTAGCCGCTGCACAGAGATCTAATTTTTTCCCTGAACCAGGTGCATGGATAACCTGAGCCCAGAATATATGTCACAATCGTGTTTTTTCCACGTTGAATCTTGCTCAGTGTAAAATCATAAATCTACACTTTTGACCTCCCTTCCTCTGGACCAACGTGAACCCTCACAATCAAAGTCAGTGCAACTATTTAGAAGTAGAAATGCTGAAATGCGAAATGAAGTATTATGAGTATGGTGGGAATGGAAAGCATTATGCATTTTTTTTTTAAAAATGTACTTGGTACTGGTTGAGAATAGAGTGGGCAGCTACTTTACTTGATTCTGTCTGGTGTTGTGTTTGAGTTGTAAATTCCCGCTTTGGGGAAAGCGCGATCAAAGATGATGCCGGGGCCAAAAGACTTGCCTACCAGAACCTTATACCGTGTCGCGAGACCACACGAGATGATATGAAGCTATTATGCGAAGCTCTGAGAGTTGGGTAAGGTAAGGTAGTATCTTTGGCTGCAGCAATGTCTCGTAGACGAACAAGTTTTGAGAATGAACTATTCCCGGTTTTGGCGGTACGTTTCATGGGCAATGGCAGGTACAAGCCAAAGTAGGTCTTGCCGCAAGAAGTTAAAAATACGAAACAGAGCGATGAGATAGCCGTAATAAGAGACCAGTGACTCCTGTTGTACTGTCTCGTTTGCGGCTGTTATGGACAAATCACATATCACAGAAGATAATTGGCAAGGACTCGCGATTGGGCGTGTCTTGTCATAGTGTTATGAGAGGCTATAGCGACCTTTTTATATGATTGTCTTTATCGGTACTAGAGAGAATGTTTGGGGTGTGAAGCGGTGACAGCATTCCCCTTAGCGCTGGCCAGGCAAGTCGCCGGTCCCCAAGCCAACACCACTCTCTGAACTAGTCCAGTCCAACTCCAGGCTAATGGATCGGACTTTGGATTGCCACAAAGAATTATCATAAACGCAGTTTCCTGATTCTACTTGAAAAGCTGCCGTTTCAAAAAACAACACTTCAGAACTCATCCTCACACAACACCACAGACATCATGCCTTCGAAAACAACTACCACACGCACGCAAACCTATCAAAACTCTGAGTCCTCTTGGAATGATGTTGTATCAAAGCCTAGAGACTCATGGGGTCTTCCCAGCACTACTACCAGTGCTCCAACCAAAATCGGGTCCACATCTACCACATCACAACCATCTGCACCTCCTCAGACATCATGGGATATCCAAGATCCCGAACTAGATGCGAAGTCCAGAGAATTGTTCGGCCTTGCTCCCATAGATACCATTCCCGCCAAGCATGAATCATCCTTCGATTGGTGCATGAACAAAAAGGAAAAGATCCTCGCCCTGCAATCTTCCAAGCGTTCCACCAAAATCTTCGCTCTGTAAGTCCCAGATCCACATCATCTTACCCTACGGCTGACAGTTCAATACAGTAAGTGCAATTACTGCAACCGATACTTCAAACACTGCATGTTTTCCAAGGCAGAAAGGAGAATAGACAACGACAACCAGGTAAGTCTTCTTTCCATCAGTCATATCGGGATATCTGGCTGAAATGTACGTACAGGCATGCCGCTGGTGCCAAGCCGATGGCGACGAGTATTATGATCGGAATCAGTGGGAAGTTCATCATCATATCCATTGTAACAAGCCTGGCAAGAAAGCTTGTATGGCTTGGTGTAGCCTGACTCCTCCTTCTGGTGTTCAGAATAAATACCGCTAGGTGGAGCAACCTGTGGTCGCGCAGGGAGATCAGTTATCAGATACCGGTTGTGTGGCAAGGTAGTGTTTGGGATGATGATTGACTTTGGAATACTGCACTGTAAGCTTCAATAGATGGCGTATAGGTTACACGGTTTACGTTGTCGTCGGTGATAAGACTATTCATTATCACAATCGACTATGTCCTTCCAACAACCTTCTGTGCCAAACCCTAATACTTTGAGGACCAAACATGGGTTCAATGACATATCTCCGTCGGCATTGCTTCATGCAAATATAAGGCTTCAATGTCGGGTCCCACACGGAAGGAAACTCATGGTCTACCTACAAAATTGCCTTTGGACTCCACTCTGAGTTCTTTCGCTTGCCATCCATCTCTGACAAGCGAGCTTTGGCAGCAGAAACAAAACAAACATGGGTTACATCCCATCACGTGAAACGCAGGCCTATAGAATATTACAGATAGCATTTGTGACAATCAATGGCTCGTCGGAGTCCGAGCGTAGTGTATATGACCTGGTAGCCCTTTGCTAGGGTAGAAGGGGGTGTTGTGATCAGGTTGATATCTTGCCCTGATAGCCTCGAACGTTTTCTCTTCTGTGTGTCGAGGTTCGACGCCGCGATCCTCGTCTGCACTTTGTACATACATTCGAGCCTTCCAAATCCCCAAAAGAATGAGTGTCAACGGTAATGTGACCGCCCAGTACATCCAAAAGCTGGATGAGAGCCTTGGTCCTTGGTCCGATGACGGAGAAAAGTCGAACATGGACATGCTGAACATGGACTATCACCTGTCAGCTAAGAAGCCCATTCTTCAATCTGCCATGCGGCAAAGAAGCAGCGACTTAGGTTAATACGTACTGCAATGAGCATTGCGGGCAGAAAAACAATCCCAAGAACTGCAAGGGCAGTCATGGAAGAGCTGTCCCTCTTTGCGGCTTTTGCAATCTGAAGGTTGACGCGGCTGTCTTTCTGGGCCACAATCGTGTATATCTGCCCGCTGATCAGTCCCCATCAGTGTCAAACAGTAGATAAATTTGTGTTACCACAGTTATAAGCGCTTGAGATTGTTTCTGGAGGCAGAGAACATGCTGAAGCTGAGTTTCAAGAAATGTTTCGTTGTTCTGAATATTCTCCTTCATTGCTCGCGATATGCCTCGGATCTTTGATTTCTGTTCTTCTGATAGCATGTTTTCCTCGCCACAATAAATCAGGCAACTGAGCAGAAATTTACTGAGCCCACTGGCAAACTGTAATCTGCGCTCGAGATAGACGAGGCCTGTGTATACACCGTTGCAGTGCTTCGTGGACTCGCGAAATAGGTCGTAGCCCCAGTCCCAGGCATCAGTCTTGCGAGTACCACGAGTTATCCCAAGCTGTGTTTCAAGAAGAAAAAGTGAGCTCTCCAGTTCTCGTCGGTGAGCGGTATAATGAACCATGAGCAGATCTAGCATCATTGTTGGAAGGGCTAGAGGGTGTCCCGAATGATTTTTCTTTGCCGTTAGATATTCTACGATTTCTTGGATATCAGCATCGGAGACACCTTCAAACAAACCGGAGCTATGGCTTGTGGCGCTATTCCATGAGATCGCCATGGACCAGATGGCCTTTTCGTCATATCTGGGAGAATGCGGAACCCGAATGACGAACCCAAGTCGAGACAGCGAACCGTCGGTGTTGAAAGACGAGTATTTGGCGAAATTTCCAGCGCCACCTGCTTGGGCTCGCATGAAAAGGTAGGTCTCCGGAAGATTCAGTGTTCGAGAGATCTCTGCAAAAACGTCATGCTTGAATGCCATGTACCATGGTTTGATCTCGTGGGTCATGTGGTTTCGGTGACGCGCGAGACTAGAGTGGTCAGCCTCGTCTTCGAGGAGGGGCTGCACATACAGAAGCGTAACCCTTGTCTTACTGTCAGGGCTGGTTTCGATCACATGCTGGGCGGGATTTTCTGCTCCTACTGTGCTCTGGTGTATTTTAGTCGGCTTGAAACGGCATGCTGGGAATTCAGAACTACTTGTCTGTCAAGCCAAGAGAGGAAATTGCGGGTGTCAATCTTGCTTAATTTGTATGAATACTCTACCCTGGTGTCGGGGCAAGTTTCGATCCCATAAATGTCCCAGTCGGTGTGAAACGTGTCAACGTACTTGTCCTGCTGTTCCTTCTGCCACACCGGATACACTTTTGGTTCGAGTGTTGGTCAATAAGATTCAAGGGGTGTTAAGAAGGGGGCATCTCAGTACATAGTTGTCGGGTATACATGCGAGGTTATCTGCTGAGTTGGGAGTGGGGATTAAGTCAAGGCTGGCGCTTATATCGACGCAGTGAACTGCAGCCTCGTGGCTACTGTATGGTCGCAAAACCAGCCAATCGCTTACCGCGGCAAGAAGTCCTGACTAACTGACGCATACAAGGCAGCGAGATTTGAATTGCGAGCATCTTACTCGTCGAGCCATCTAGTTTGCGCATTCAGCTCGCTTCGCCAGGTCAGAAAAACAAAAAGAAAAGAATGCATCGTAAAACGAAACCAAAAACCAGTGGACAGATAACCACGAATACTAAATGACTTTTATTAGTAATTGTAGATTGTTGATACTAGCAGGGATAAAAGGAATAAGTAAGATGATATGTTAGCCTTAAAAGTAAAAAATAGATATTTCAAAAAAAGAAAAACAAAACAAAAGACATGAAAGTATGCATGATTAGATTCCCTATCCAGTACTCTCTAATTGTTCTAAAGCCGTCTAAGTCTTCCTAATCCAGTACTCGCTACAATGCAAATCACCACTGCACCCGGCTCTTACATATACCTTACCAAACTTGCTACCCCAAATCTTTCCCTCCAAGCGAGAGGATGGAGCCTGCGCATCTTGCTGCGTGAATCTGACGGAACTGGCTGCAGCGTTTGGAAAGATGTGAATTTAGGATAAATATTTAGATACAGTCCATGTTGAAGCCTACTCTGCCTATTTCATGGGTCGATTTGATGATTCCCATACAGTTTTACTGCTGATATGCCTGATCGCTGGGGCGGTTTGTTTTGGACTCGCTTGTCAACAGTGAATTGTATCGACGGCTCAGCCTTACGATACCCTCTTAATGGCGATTCACTTCTTGATAACATGGAGGTGCAAGGGGTTCATAGACTTGAATAATCAAATCGTCTACCTGGATGGTCTCCTCGAGTCGGATTGTGTGGAGTTGAAGCATGACGATGACTGGGATTTGGCCGAGGTGGATAGAGTGAGCTGGGAAACCATTTGAACTGCTGTGAAGTTTCTGGCTTTGGATAAAGCATAGAGAGGTTAGTATATTTGGATATGATGAGCTAGGTGAGCGGATGTTTTGTTTTTGGCGAGAATCTCGCGTGCAGATGGGTTCTTGGCAGCGCTGGAATCTCGGGCAGAGTCAATGCGCATAGCGAGGAATCTGGACGGCGCGTGTAGCTATACATGGATTGGAATATGATGTGAGCAGAATCAAAATGCATAGAGTACTTGGATAACTCAATACAAAGACAATCAGCTGCACAAATGTGTTCTCACATCGGCATCTGTGAACCAGCCAATGAGAAGCACTTACGAATCACCGGCCCTTGCGGCCCGCTCAACAAGCGAGTCCCCGATGTGTCAGCGTCAACAAAAGCCAGCTGGGTCAGAAATACTTCAAGCTGAGAAGAAAGAGATTACTCAACAACCAGTATAATGATCGACAGCGTAAAAATCAATTCATGTCATGGCTCCTTACGTGAAGACCGGTAGGAATAGAAATCATATATATTCACCAGTCCCTCATCTCCACATTCAGGTATTGCTCCTCTCACTCATCATTCACACCTCACTCACAAGATTCAACTCCCATTTCCCATTTCCCCTTTTGCCTTTTCCTTTTTACATCACAGAGATGACTGACCCAACCCCCTTCACCCTAACAACAGCCCACGTCCCACCCCACTACCTCAAGCCCGCCTTCCTAACAGGCACCATCCCCTTCCGCACCCTGCAATCCGACTCCCGCGTAACCTACAAACTCTACATCCCGCCCTCACACCTCAACCCGAACCCACGGGATCCATCTAATACACAGCAGCTCCTCCCTTTACTAGTGGTAATCCACGGCACCAGTCGAAAAGCTTCAGAACTGGTGGAGAGTCTTATCCCATTCGCGGAGGAGAAGAGATGTGCTGTTTTGGCGCCGATGTTCCCCATGGGTATTGAAGGGATGGAAGATGTGGATTCGTACAAAGTTCTCAAATCGAAGAGTTTGAGATCGGATTTGGCAGTTCTAAGCATGCTTGAGTGAGACGAGACATACCTATCCCCTCCTTATCACCTTTTGGAGGAGGGGTATATTCAGGCAAGAAAGAAAAATCCCGGCTGACATGAAGTGTGGCAATAGTGAAATCTCAACCCGCTGGCCCGGAATCTCAACCGACAAGATCTTCCTCTGCGGCTACTCCGGCGGCGCACAGTTCGCCCACCGCTTCATGTATCTGTACCCAGACCGTCTCCACGCAGTCAGTATCGGCGCGCCAGGAAGTGTAACCCTCCTCAATGGAGACATGGACTGGCCGCATGGAATCAAGAACACGAGTGAGGCGTTCGGAATAGACGTCGAGCCCGCAAATATCGCAACGATTCCTGATATCCAGCTCGTCGTTGGCGAGAACGACAATACCGTGTATGGCGGGAATGCATTCTACGAGTGGGTGCAGGAGATGAAGAGGAAATTGGGAAGGCTAGAGGTGAATTGTGAACATGTGTGCGGCGAAATCGGGAAAGTGGGTATGGGTGCAGAGAGGGAGGGGAGGCTGCAGACGATCTTGAAACTTCATCGGCTATGGTTTGAGTCGGGGATCGAGGCTAGGTTGGATATCGTGCCTGGGGTGGCGCATGATTGGAGGGGTGTGCAGGGTGCTATGTTGGAGTTTTTGGGACCGTTGGTTGCGGCGAAGACGAGATGAGCGATCTAGTTAGATTTTGCGGTTGTAAAGTTTGAGTTAAACATTATGGTGTTAATTGAGACTGTGATTTCAGGGGCAATGATGTTTAGTTGAAGGACCTAATGTTTATTTCTTTAGATAATTCAATTGTCCGCAGCTGGAAGATTTTCAAAACCTCGTTTTCTAAGGAAGGCCATTTGGACGAAGAATACTTTGCGGTTTTCAGTGCTCCAGAATCAACATAGTCAAGTGACTTGTTATCAATTTGCCAAAAGAGACTGAGTGGTCCAGAAGAGCAAAGCTTCCCTCTGGGATACCAGCACCATGAACGGCTGATAACAGGGAGACTGTCATAATAATTTGCTCTTGGACTCTCGAGAGCCCGTGGTACAATCATATTAATTTTACATTCCATCAGATTCCTGTCAAGAAAGTGAAAGGATCCTGGGACAACAGATCCAACTCCCAAGGAATCTCCCAATCAAAACACACATCTGGCATACACCCATCACCCAACCCACCACCCCCCACCATATTCTCCTCCCCCTCACGCCCACCATCCTCCGTATTTCCCTCCTTCGCAATCCTGGCTTCCCTTTCCCTCTCCCTCGCCTCCCTCTCCCTCTCCGCATCCTCCCTCAACCTCGTAGCAACAACCACCAAATCACTCAACACCACACTCCCAGGCCTCCTACTCCCACTCCCATTCCCATTCCCCTCCCCCACCTCCCCAGCACCCTCAACCAACCCCCTCAAATCCACACCCTTCTTCTCCGCCTTCAAAATCATATCAATCAGCTTGACGCCCCTCCCAGCATGATCATTCTCGTCTCTCGTCCAAGAGGAGAAGATGTCGTGGATAGACCGGATATGCGGGTCTGTATCTTCGGGTTTGAGTTTCAGCGCTTGGTAATAGATGAGCCGGACTTTGAAGATGAATGCCATGGACATGACGAGGAGGAGGAAGTTGAATTTGGGGAGGTGGCGGTAGGGACTGCTTGGGGTGGCGGGGTTGTGGGCGGCGGGGGAGAGGTTTTGGAAGGTGTGGACGAGGCGGAGGGAGGTGAGGTAGATGGTGTGTATGAAGTTTCGTCGCTCGGTGGTGGTGTCTAGATCAGCGAGCGAAGCTATTAATTCTGAAGCGGCACGACTCTTTGAGTCCAGGTCAAGCTGGAGTGTGTATAGACAGATTTGCGCACCGAGGAGAAGAACTTCGCTCTTGGCATCCCAGCAGGCGTTGTGCTTCTCGCGGATGGAATCAAGATCTGAACCTAGATTAAGGGCGAAGTTCCATGCATGGCTATTGTTTTGTAGACTGCTTATAGTCGAGGTAGATTTGGAAAGAGTGCTTAGGATTTCCACTTTTGCCAAGAATCTTTGTTCGGATGGCGTGCATGGTGAGTGGAGCGTGACTGCAGTCGTGAGCAGTTCTTGCAATACTGGCACACCGATCAACCAGCCTTGGCTGAGCCTACATTTAATATTTATGAGCCACGACATCCTGGATGCAGAAGGAGGAGGGGAGTTACGAACACGCAATTGACATGAACACAGGCTAGCCAAGTCTTCTTTCTGATACGAGCATTCTTTGCTAAACATCCATGTGCGCAAGATTCATTGATCCTCAGTCTCGTAGCGGCATTGGTAGCAAACCCACAATAACTCCAACTTGGATCTTCTATCTTCCGCCAGAAATCGAATGGCCAGACACAGAACATAAGGATCGCTTGGATCGACTCGATGGTATTCATTGGTTCGAGAAGTGTCTTGGAAAGTATGTCTCGGTATCCTGTGACGAGTGAGGGGTACAAGGGGAAGAGAGATGGATGCCATCGAGAGCTGATGATTATGACGGCCCAGAACAGAACGGCTGAAGATTGGTGGAGTTGAGAGAGAGACATGTCTGTGTCTAGGATTGGGAATTGATAATAGTAGTTGATTTTGAAACTAGTTGTGTTCAATTAGACCCTCGGCTGCATGATGAAGGAGGGCTTACTGTTCGAAAAGTTCTCGGAGCTGGTCATTCTGAAGTGATACCGTCCCAAGGGACAGAGGTGATGAAGGCAAATCCCCAATGGTTGAATAACGATAAAAGTCATCTTTTGGCAGTTCGTGTACGCTCTCAATACCACTGATGCCATGATCGCTTGGAACAAGCGAAGGAGTTGCGAGATCCACTGAAATCTCCCGTTCATTCAAGGCTTTCTGAATAGCGTTCAACTGTGTCGTTACTTCAACTAATCGTCTAATCACACCCAAATTAGAAAAATTCGGCCAATCTCCAAGATAAGAAACTCACCCTCGCGTCTTGGTACGTTTGAAGTTCGGATCCGTCTTGCAATGGAGGCTCTTCTCTTGGCAGCGAGTACAAGCTGCAGGGAACGTCTCTGCGCTATCGCAGCGGTGCTAAAGATCATAAGCTGGACTGAACTACAATTGAATACAACACTTTTCCTACTTTTACTTGCCTACATGCTGTGCAGGCTCTCTGGTTTCGTTTTCTTGTAGAGGGTGTTGGCATGCTGGCCACGTGATGCGGTGAGCGCGAGCACCCTTGTCGCTTTCGACCTCCGATACCCCGTGCTGAAGAGAGATGAGGATGGCACCGGATAGTTAGACGGAGCTCCAGTATGCTCGTAAAAGTGCTTACTGGATCTGATGTTTTGGCAGGACGTTTGAGCAGGGAGTGGATTTGGAAGACGAAGGGAAGCGAAAAGCGCTTCGGTAAGCTAGAGGCGGCACGAGGCGGCACGAGGCGGCACGAGGCGGGCTGATCATTTTCATGACTAAGGTAAACAATGAGTAGTCTGCAACTCAAGTTCGAGATATCTACAGCAGCCCGCAAGGCTGCCAGCAAAACAACTACACCCTGGGACAATAATCCACATGCAGCAACAAAATACGTTCGATAATTTCTACACTCCGAAGAATAATGAGTTCTATTCCAAGTTCCACTATGTGACCCTCAAGCCAGAAGAACGCAGGATCCGCCTTCTTAGAATTCAGCCATTGAAACCTGGTGAGGACGAAGGAACTCGGATCAAATGTGAGCTCATAGATAATCAGTCGCTCGCCGCGATGCAAGGTAAATTCACAACCCTTTCATACTGCGCCGGGGATCCGAAGAAGACGGAAACAATAGTCGTCAACGGGCTAGAATTCAACGCGTTTGCCAACCTGGGCCATGCACTTCGACAAATTCGTCACTTCTGGAAAGAGAAGCATGATACTCAAGAGCTTCTGCTTTGGACAGACCAAGTTTGCATAAACCAAAGCAATTCAGATGAACGATCACACCAAGTCAATTTCATGGGGGATATCTATGGGTCGGCTATCCAAGTGCTTGTTTGTCTATCCGCTGAAGGCGACCGCAGCGGAGGCATTCGGTGGCTGCAACAATTCGCCCACGAGTTTCGGGAATACGAGCAAAACCAGCCTAATAGCGAATGCGCGAGTGATTCCGGTGAAAGCGAAGACCATGGACTGAACTTCTTTCGCGAAAATTATGACGGCGAGAGTTTTCACTGCGGCTGGGATGCCTGCGTGGCTACGATACTCAAAAGTCCATGGTGGTCGCGAGCTTGGATCCGGCAGGAGTACCTCCGTTCTTCAGATGTCTACTTTATAGCCGCAAATGAATCCGCGCACTGGGAAGGGATTACGGAAGCTGTAGAAGTCTTTTATAACGCTGCATACGGAATCGACCTGTTCTGGGATGAAGAAGATCGCCGCACTTGTCCCGGTTCATCCCAAAGGTCGCCAGACGCCTGCCAAGCTTGCCTTCATGCCATGGACTGTAGTGAGTTCCAATACGCTGGGAAGCGCGCCTCTACACTCCTTCATTTGAAAACAGAGCTGGTAACCAAAATATCCTACTCCCCAGACCTATTAGACAGACTAAAACATATGCATCTTTGCGAGTCTTCAGATCCGAGAGACCTAGTATACTCTTGCTTTGGTATTAGCAGCGAAACTTATGGTCTTTATCCTGATTACACATCAAGCGTTTCTCTTCAAGATGTGTTCATCAAAGTGGCACAGAATGCCATAACACATTGCAGAAGCCTAAACATACTTCGCCGCGCATACCTGACCAGAATGGGATCATCTCGCTCGGATCTCCCCTCATGGGTTCCAGACTGGCGTAACATCTCACGAACCCAGGAAGGCCACGGTCACGCACTGCCATCACGCTCTACAGACTTTTTCACATTTCACCCGGATAGTGGAGGTCGGCCAGACCGAATTCTCCAAGTTCGAGGAACTCAAATTGGATTTATTGGCGAGAAGGAAGATATGTGGTCTAAAGTCATATCCTGTCCTGATGGACGCGTACCACTTGTAGGCTATGCCAAACGTAACGATGAAGTCTATGTGCTCCATGGTTTGGGCAATTTGTTCCTACTTCGGCGGCAGAATGACTACTTCAGGGTAGTAGGGGAAGTACTAGGGCGGGATGGCATACTTCCGGGGGTTGATTTGTTGGTGAACGGCCTAGAAGAAATGATCGAAAGAAACGATCCGGCTGTCTTATTCATTGATATATGCTGATTGAGTAAGGGAAACCATAATTAGAAGGCTGGAGTATTTCTTCAAATCAGACGGATCGGATCACCCAAAGTATCTCTACTCCCTCACTAGTTCAATTCTGCATTTATGGAAATGGGGCCGAAACTGTAAAATTTCTCAATACCACACGACACCGGGTTCGATTTTTTACTAGTAATCTATAGCTTTGTAGGATCATCAGCACAACGGCAAGCCTTACCTACTTAGCCAACAAATACATCACGGGGTAAATCTGCAGTTGGGGTAAGGGCAGCTGAAAGTTAAAAAGAAATCTTCCAGTGTTTGTTATGAGGCCGATTTTCGAACAACAACAACCTCCTTCAAAGAGTTTAGAAAGCGAAAGCCAAAGCCGAATCGAAGCCGGCTGTATCCATTTTCCGTTGTTTGGTTTCAAAGCCGATTACTGTACTTAGCGAGTCGTAGCCAAGCGGATCAGCCAGCCATGGCGGGGCGGAGATGCCTCCTGTAGGTACGAGAAGTTGGAAGCAGCTTACATTCCTACCTTAGACGACTGACTTCCTAAGCACGACCTAAAATCGTTGAAACATCTCAAACCAAAGCACAACAAAAGATATCTCTTTCTCAATTCTCAGTCTCAATTCTCAAATTAATATTATTAATAAATTAGGTAAGGTATGTATGTAGGTACGTATCCCGTCCGTCTATCTATCCGTCCATCAAAGCTTCAAAATTCCACAGTCTTTCTGGTATCTTTTTCTATGCGATCCAATCCCAATTAAAGGTTTTCCAAATACTCCATGCCATGCTATTATGCATCATCTTCATCGAAATCAAAAAATCAAAAAAAAAAAATCCCATCAATGAATGAATCAAATCAAATCAAATCAAATCAAATCCCAAACAATGCTTTTCCTTCCCGTTTTTCCTTTCCGTTTTTCCGTCCTTTCCGTGTTCTTCCCCATCCTGTGCGTTTCATGAGAATCTCATGAATGAAGTGCTGTTCGTCGTCGTCATCGTGGTCGTCGATCTCCCGGCCATCATTCTCTCTTCCCCGCAATCAGTCCTCCATCTCCTCCCCATCTCTCAGAATCTAGTTCTTCTTCCCCCCCTGAATAGGCAACCCATAATAAGCAGTGAAAGCCGAGTTAACACTCTTATGATGATCTTTTGCCGCCTTTACAATCTTCTTTCCCAGCTTGTGGAATGCACCACCGGAGGATGAGGTAGAAGATGGGGTGGCGGAGTGTTGGCTGTCGAGGGAGTTTTTGCGGCTTGTTGCTGTGCTGTTGGGTGCGGATGATTTGTCCATGGACATCTTTTGGAAGATGGGGTCGACTTCGGGGTGGGTGAGGAAGAGGGCGGTGGAGAGGGCGGACATCTTTTTTTTTTTGGATGTGTTTTGTTTGTGTTGTGGTGGTGGATGAGTTTTGGTTTGATTTGAATGTGAAGTGTAGTGAGGTAGTGTAGATGTGTCTGTGTGATTGATTGAAATGCAGTGAAGTGGCAAGTAAATCTGTATTGCTCTGATGTCTCAATGATCTGATACTCTCAAAAAAACAAAAGTCCTCTCCAAGCGGATCCCCCTCCCTCTATATATCCATTTCCTCCCCTGACCTACTAATCCCCATAAGTTAAGTCCACACGCCCACGCCCTTTTCCAAACAGTCAGACGACTAGCCCAAACAACTCAACTCTATTCTATTTTTTTTCTCCCTGCCTTTTTCCTTTCCCTTCACTCGCTAACTTAATGCAATGTCCCTCTGACACAAAACAACATGACGAATTTTGCCTGGTATTAATTACATAACAACGCCGAAGCGAGGATGCGACCAGGCGAGATCGAACCCCGATCTGGTGGGACGTGCCCCCCCCAACGCCCTGCGCGGCACAAAGCCGAGAGACATGAACGGCAAATTGTGGATGGGATCATTGGGATGACACGGATGGGATGACATGGATCATGCGGCGTTCAGTACATCGTCCCCCTGGCTACTGCACACTTTTACAAAGCCTGCCTGATGTCGATTTACACGGCGTGAGGTTCCGTAAGCAGCCTGCGGGAGTGACTGACTGTACACTGGCTGGGCTGGTATTGTATGTTCGTCACCCGACAGCAGACAGACAGACCCTGAGTGTTGTGCATGTGTGCATGTATGTGTTTGTTCATCATAGGGCGTCCGACGTTCAGCGCCATACATACTCTCGTAAATTACATGCATAGAATTAATTAATAATAGAACATTCTCCAACCTTCGGCCCTGTAATTGGTTCTCACGCACTCCCAACAAGGCCTGTAAACCTCACCTCACCTCACCTCACCTTACTGTTACCTCCCCGAAGGAATTCGCCCATGGCGAGCGACCACAGAACAAAAATCTGACATCATCGCCATCCAGGTACGTACATAATTTACAATAAGATTTCGTATCCTGTGCCTGTGCTGAAAAAAAAAATCTCTGCTGGGGCTATGGGGTAATAGGATACTGGATTTAGAACACCAGGCCTGAAAATATCAAAATCGAGAATTTCGCAGCGGCGTGAGAAGTACAGTAGGTAGGGAGGCCGGCGGCTATTCACGCCTCGGAGTGGATTTCCCTCCCCCGGACATTAATTAAATTCCTTCCATCCCCAAATTTTCAGAAAACCCACTTACCTACCAGCCAGCCAGAGCATTGATTATTGCGCAATAATAATGGATAGGTTGGTTTGGTAAGTTACGGCGTCTACAAGTAGAAGCCCAGCCTGCCTACCCACTTACCGCACCCGGCCAAATTCCCCGGTAGGTAAACACGTGTGGACGTCCTGCTAGCCTGCATCCATTCCAAACATCTCGTGCAGCGGCCGCTTCGCTGAGTAGAGAAACTTTTCCTTCCCAGTCCCATAAATAAATAAATCCCAGTCCCTCAAAACAAGCTTTTTGAAAACCCAAACCCACCAGTTTCTTCTACGTTATGTGTCAATTTATTACCTAACAAGTCGGTCGGTCGGCACAAGAACTGAAATCTTATTCAGGTTTTTACTTACGACACTTTTGTTTGTTGGTGAAACGAGACATCGTGAGATTTTTTTTTTGTTTTGGTTAGAGGTGCATGGCAGGGTGTGGTGTTTTGGCCTGCGCTGCGGGCATGTGTGGGTGGGCGGGAAAGGATTTTTCCCCTGGGATATTGTACTGTATGGTATGCGCTAAGCGAAATCTCTGTGCAGGGTACTTGTAGATTGACAAGGACGGAGTTGGTTGGGAGGTAATGCGAAGTAGGAGTTCGCACGTGTGCTGGGAAAATATTCTTGCTGGCTGGTCGATGGTATGTCTTGGATCAAATAATTAATTACTGAAACTTGATCTGGTAACTTATTACGAAATTCTTCACCCCCTAAAGTAAAGGCAATTTCCATTCGGTCTGTTTGTCCAGTTGACTCAATCGGTAGTTTCACTATTGGTTTGGTACTGCCGGAGTTGAGTTTAGTGGTGCGGTGACCTGACCTGACCTGACCTGACCTTCGGCGTTCAACTCCGCGCTGGTCGAGAATGAAACCCCGGGGTTCACGCTGTGTCACAGCGAAACGCTAGGAATTGCGAACTCGGCCCCTAGCCAACCAGCCATGGAGTCCTTACTAAATATTTCGATGGCAATGGAATTGTTCTGAATGTTCTCGGGATTTCTATCGATTTTCATCGGCTCTTGTTGTTGATATCTGTCTGAGTAGGTAGGTAGGTAGGTAGGTAGTTTATGACTCCCCCCACCATTTTCAAGACCCGGGGTTCTGGGGGTTTTGGGGAAGAAGTTGAAGTTGCTCTCTCCACTAGGGAGCAGATGTCTGGAGTTGATTTGATCGTGTTGGAGGTGAAGGCACCTGATCAGAGTTTACAAATCATGTTATCTTGTTCGATACATATGGTTCAAGACTCAAGATTGCTACTTCGCTAAGCGAGGAGACCGCAATTGTTGGCTCTCAAAGGGGGTTTCGAGAATCTCAAACTGGACAATGAGGGCATCACCAAGGTCCAAGAACCAACCTGCAGATCTGCATGCACCAAGTGGCCTCCTCCAGTTTCGAGCAGTGTTGAAATCACTATGAGTGAATTGAGAGACGCTCTACAGTGTAGAACTCGGTAGCTGAGTGGGCGTTGCAGCAGTTGGAAAATCCCCTCCTGTTGAGCTCGTCCATGTGGGAGCATTGACATCTCGGGCGGCTGCAAAGACACTGCACTACATCGACCACTGTCCACGAGTATATACGACTTTGTAGAAGAACTCAGTCCCAGGCACTCACTTAGGCACACTACTACCACGACGAAAGAATGTCAAGGGAAAAATTTATCTGCATCCGAACCCGCCAATGCGAGGAATTTTCCCAGCGTTCTTTATCCAAACTTTATTTCAAAGCAGCCTATTCTTCCAAGTCTTGTTCGATTGTTCTTCTCCTCGTCTTCTTCTTTTTCTAACCAATACTTTGGCTTTTAATCAGATGCTGCAAATCTCGCGTGGGCTTACCCCTCGACGTGTGCTTGACCAATGTATGCAATCGTTGCGTCGTTTCTAACACATCATCCTGCGCGTTATAGTACTTGTACCCTGATTAAACCACTTCATGGGGAAAAGTTTCCAGTTATGAAGCCCTGCGCAAGCTCACTACCGGCATTTTTTGTGTCCAACACTCCAGACTTGATGAGCACTGGCACAGCTGAGATGGCTTGCGATGCCGTGTTTCCATACTCGATCAACTTAAACGATCTGTTTTTCTAAGCTGGCAAGGAATTCAAAGCCTTTGTCCGCGCAGGTTCTTCCCTTGTAGGCTATTCTCCTGACAAGTTGTTTGAATAGAGGGACTCATGGGGGCAAAATTCTTGCGGACATATAAATATTGAGGCCGCCACAGCGTGTGATATCCACAATCGATATTGTCCAGAATACTTTATACATTTCTCATTCCAGCTAATCGTATGAACAGAATTTCTCATTAAATATTTGCTACACACCCAACTTGTTATTCCAAATATCTGGCTGATGCAGCGGACTGGCAAGCACGCCCTCCGCCTGAAAAGGTGCTCCAACTTTAGGCTACCGTAGAAATAAGAAATAACTCAAGGCCAACCTCGTCCCTCACCGGCGGATAGCAAAATACTTGAAATAACGTCCATTTAGATTCTGACTTTTGTTCCGAGGACAACCACCAACCTTCCACAATCCTCCGCATTTCCACCTGAACCACAACCCACAATTCCCACACCACCACCACCACCATGCCAGATCACGACATCACCCCCGACGCCACCCTCCTCAACCAAATCTTCACCACCCACCAACCAGAAACCATCTCAATGCTTCTCCAAAACCTCGAAAAATGCATATTTAGAGCAGAATTCCCCAACAGTCTCCCAAATCATCATCATGCTGCACGTGTTGTAGTCCGACTAGAAGCCGAGAATGAGAACCTCAAAACATTCACCACCATTGCAGCTATACAACGACTCGCCGCATCCATCATTCCAGACCTCGTTCCACAAACCCTTCAAGTTGGAAAAGTGAAGAATGCGCAAGGAAGAATTTTCAACTTCTCGGTGATTGAGTTTGTAGAGGGTGAGCTGCTGGATGATGTATGGTGGCAGATGAGCGCCGAGGAGCAGAGGTGTGTTGTAATTGAGCTGGTTGAAGCACTTGAGAAGTTACACAATGCTCGGCTAAGTGACACTAAAGTCCAGGAAATCTTGGGCAAGTCCCTTCGTGAAGAAGGTGGTGAGGTGTTAAAGAGTTTCGAGCAGGCGGCAGGTATCTTCGGTGGCCCTCATACGGGATATCTGAATGGAGGACCTGCCTTGTTAGAGTCTATCATGGAAAGACGAAAGCTCAAGAACAAGCCATTCTGTACTATGGAGTCTCTTGTCGATTCACAAGCTATCAGCATTCAGTCCAATTACGAAGAGCTTGGATCGATACTTATCAACACCTCCGACATTGACAAATGGTCAGGTGACGCCGTCCTCTGCCACAACGATCTCACTCCACGCAACCTAATCTTGCAATCTCGCGCCGGTACAGATGGTGAAGTCAAGTACAAACTAGCCGGGATCATCGATTGGGAGCTCGCGGGGTTCTATCCTCCTTCCTATGAGCTCAGTCTACAAGATACATACCTGAGTGGTGCGAATCGACATATTTCCTTCTACCTACTCTTGAAAGAACAGATGAAGGATATCGTACCGCGATCTTCATCACAGGTTGTGCTTCTAGAAGCTATGGAGCTCATCTATGAGTCCCAGCAGAGGTTGTTGTTAAATGGTACTAACATCCCCGCCCACATCCGGAAGAGGTTCTTGGAGGAGTTGAGGTTGGTGAGAGATAGTGATCCTTATGTTGGGTGGGCGAGAAGACCGCGGGATGGGCCGTTTGCTGAATACTCTAGTGCTGATATTCAGAAGTTGGAGGATGACGTGGTGGAGGAGATGATTGCGAGAAGGAGGTTGAAGGGAAGCTGAAATTCAACGAGGACAGCCTTAGCTATCTTACTGGATACATCAGTAGATACTTTGGTGATTAAGCCGCACCAAATCTATCTCTCACGTCAAATGTTTATCGTGCCGGCTATCTCGCCTACCTCCTCCCTTGCCTCAGCAGTCACATACTAAGGAAGTTCGTGACACTTGAATCCCTGGTATCAGGACCCCAGAGGTGCAAAGAAGCTTGAAAACAAAAAAAAGATACGTGTATTCAAGCGGGTATCAGAACAGTACATCCATCCATCTCTCCCACCCCTCCATTCCTTCCCTCACTCAACCAACTTCATCCATCCCCCACCCCATCCCATCTCATCCATCCCACCACCTCATCTTCTCCAAACTCAAACCTCCTTAACACTCCCATGAATCGTTCTCTTCCCCTTAACCGTAACCACACTCCCCTTCTGCATCACCAAATCGCCTTTGATTTCTAGATCTCCATCAACGTGCAGGTTTCCGTTTAGTTTTAGGGTTCGGGAGATATACAGATTGCCACTATTGGAAGTCATTAGTATGTACCTTTAAAATCCGGCAATAATTTCCTCCCTGCTTTGGAGGCTGGATATCGGAACATTGCATCCGGATTCCTGGCTCCCGAATCCTTTCAAACCTCGAACAACATGAAATACAAGGAGGAATCGAACATGAAAAAAAAAGGGGCAAACTCACCAGCTCTCCACCCACCCCTCAACCCCCACACTCCCACTCGCCTCAACCTTCGTCCCCAGCCTCATCCTGACAGCGCTTCCCTTCCCATCACCCTCACCCTTCTCCTCACCACTCCAACTCCCACCTCGAATCCTCACACCCCCACTAGCTTTAATCGGCCCCAGGATCTCGACTGCACCGACGATTTCAAGCGCACCGCTGGTACTGACTTTGCCGCCTATGAAGATCCCGCGGTCGCCGCCGTTCAAAGAAATGGCGCCGCTGGCGTCGACTTTTTCAGAGACGTGGATGCTGTTTGAGAGGCTGGTGGCGGAGTTAGTGAGAGTTTTACCATCTATTAATCTTATATGCATATATCTCTTTCGTTTTGGTTTACGGGACGTTGGAATCAAACCAAGCAAAACCAAAAAAACGACAGACAAAAAAAAACATGCACAAGATAGAATGAACATAATAAGACAAGTACAACCGTAAAACCAAACAATAGGGAGGAAAAAATAAACTCACTCCACACTTCCACTAGCATCCACCTTCCCCCTCACCGTAACCCCATCCCTGAGCGTAACCTTCCCACTAGCATCCACCTTCCCCTCAACCAGCACCTCATCCTCCAACCAAACAAAACAACTCGCATCGACTTTCCCGTCCACTTTAATATGTTTCTTCAGCGTGACCGACGACGAGGATTTCACAGAGCCGGTGACGTGCAAGGGTCCCGTGAGAGATACAGAGCTGGATGCGGAGATGGAATTGCTTTGTGGGGTTGTGGGGGAGGGGGAGGGGGAGACCTCGCCGGCGTTGAAGATGGGGATAGATGCGTGGTGTTGGATTTGAGAGGCTGAGTCGGAGGGTTGGATAGGGGTGTGGGTGTGGGTGATGGTATGGGAAGCGGGAGTTAGAGTTGAGTCTGTTTCTGAGTATGGTGGAGGAGAGAGTTGACTATCTGGATTCTGGTCTGGGTGATCTGGGTATGACGAAGCGTTGGGGAGGATGGGATCTGGGAATGGATGGGTGGTTTCGACGTGTCGTGTTACGGGGTCGGGGTATTGATCTGATTCCATTTTGGAGTCTTTCGTGTCGGCTGTGATGAGAGTCATGATGGTGGGTATTTGGACTTATGCTTCTGCTGTTGGTGTTCTAAGAATCCGTTCGATTTGAATCTGGCTGATGATCCGGGACCTGATTGCGGAGTTGGTTGAGAACTTAATAAGATTTGGAATGAAAAATTATAGACATATGATTATCGATGTCCTTTCAATTGCGACTCGAAGCAGTATTTAAGCTTATCACTGCATAATGATTTTGATGTTGGTAGTGGTGTAATACGTACATCAACTCACACATCAAGCATAGCGTGATGCGCGGCAAGGCTGAACCGTCCCGCAAAGCTTACGCGCATTCAAGGCAGCAAGATTTCAGATACGAGCATCCTACTCGTCGAGCCATCCACTTCACGCATTCAGCTCCGAGCTAGGCTTGTGTGTTTGGCAGGAATGCGATGACGATGCGAGCCAATTATCAGTATTCACGCATACATGGACCAGTGAAGATGGGGATGAGGATGCAGGGTAGGAGATGGAGATGGGGGTGACAGGCGAAGCTTACCCCGCTGTTCACGTGACTCGTTTATTTGTTTTGTTTTGGCTTAACACTGCCGACCCTCGCTTCGTAGACATAGACGAGGTGAGAGACGAGATATATAATTGCGCACATTCTGACCAAGTAATCACACGTCTTATACAGCATACATAACCCACCTACGAAGTATAAGTAGCCTGTACATATACATATACCTACTCACTCTTTACATGATTACTCCATCTCTATATAAGCTTGCAAGTATGCCGGCGCCCCTTCTAGATCTCAAATTGCCGTAACAAATGATTATTCTATACCACAATCGAAAAGACTCAAAGTTAAAATTCAGAAGATAGAAATTTGATTATTTGCTTCAACTAGCTACCTAGGTATATCTAAAACTGGCATCTGGCATCAGGTATCTGGTACCCGCGGACACGATTCAACACGACTCGGGCAAAACACTCCCTCGACTGCGGGAACAGAACCACTACCACATTACAAGCCACGCAGACCAGTTAATATCATGCCAGAACACCACCCCAGCCCCCTAAGAGAGGCTCGATTGCATCCATGTATATAAGCAGAGGTATTCCCAAACGCTAACCCAACGCCCGCCTGAATTCAAATCGGAATATCAAATATGTGCGTTCTCTTGTATCGTAAAAACTAAGAAAAAGTAGCATGAGAAGAATGTAGGCAATTCTCCATGCAGAACAAGCAATGCAGGTCATACAGAACAGCGTTCAAGAGCCGCGGAACAAGAACTGCATATCTTCAGGCGTCAAACTCTCCATAGCCTTCTTATCAGAATTGATAGTAGAGTTGATCATGTTAGCCTTCTTCTCTTGGAGGAGGACCATACGAGACTCGACGGAATCCTCGATGCAGAGACGGGTGATCTGACATGGGCGGCCTTGACCGATACGATGGCAGCGATCGGCGCTCTGCCACTCTGCAGCTGGGTTCCACCAGGGGTCGACGATGAAGACCTTGGAGGCTTCGGTAAGATTGAGGGCAACACCGCCAGCCTTGAGGGAGACGAGGAAGCATTCAACCTTGACATCGGTCTTGAAGTGGTTGATGGAAGCCTGGCGCTGGGCGGGGGTCATTGAACCATCAAGCATTACTGTTGTGATACCGGCACGACGAAGACGCCATTCAACCAACTGGAGCATGGTGGTGAATTGAGAAAAGATAATACTCTTGTGAGACATATTCTTGGATCTCAACTCGTGCAAGTCGTGAACCAGAGTCTCGATCTTAGAGCTTGAAGTCCAGTTCTCCATCTTGATGCGGTTGATGATGGAAGACTTCTTAACTTGGGTATCGTCCTGCTCGATATCGGGCTGTTCAAGGTCGATTGCGAGAGCAATGTGGCATTGAGGGCAGTCAGGGGTGTCTATCATCGAGTCAGTAATGAGAAGAACAGAATGGAAGAAAAAACATACCAGAAGAAGCCATGTAGCTCTTAGCACACGCACGACAGAAGTCATGCTTGCATGTAGATCTGATAGCCTCCTCTGCCGTCTCGTCACAGATGCAGCAAACGATGATATTCTGACCACCATCACCATGCTTCTTAAGGATCAGATCAGGGTGATCGGCAACTTGTCGCATTTGCATGATCAATCCGAAAACATTCGCATAGTTGTTGAGCAAGACACCCTGGGCAACATAGGTCTCGAACTTGCGAGTTCCGCTGTTCATGATACTGCTCGCGAAGTCGTTCTCTTCCTCACCAAAGAATTGGCGGTCAACATAGATCTCCTTAGCAGGAAGCTCCATGGCGGAAGAGTGATCTTTCTTGACACGACGAAGCATGAACCGGCCGGTGAGAATGCCGAGCTTACGGAAGGCCTCCTTACCCGGACCTGCATTGCCAAATGTTTGAATAGGGTTGAGGAGCTCCTGATTGAATACAGAAAGATGGCCCATGCTGTGGTGGCCGCAGCTAGTACATTTGTTGTGTTCATCCATGTCCCAGTTCATGACTGAACATGGGCATTGTCTGCAGAAATAACATGCGAATGGACGAATGTCGAGGAAACGGACCAGAGAGAAGAATTCACCAATGCGGTTTTGCAATGGGGTTCCAGACAAGCACCACTTGTGATTAGCCTTGAGAGCAAAGCAAGCCTTCGCAGATCCAGTGGTTCGCGTCTACACACTGTCAGTATAATCCATGTGCTTGGGTATGGGAAAAAAAACCTTGATGCTGTGAGCTTCGTCAAGGATGACACGATGAAAGTGGATCATGTGCATCAAACTCTTCTCCTTAATTAATTGACCCTTGCGCTTGAACCCCTTCTCCTGCTTTCTATACATAGCTTCGAGAGTATTGTAAGACATGAGAATAACGTCATACTTCATCAACTTATCGTAGGTCATGGTCTTGACGAGAGAATTGGTACCATGCCAGATGAAGGTCTTCAGAGTCCCGTCGGTGTAGTCCTTGATCTCCTGTTGCCACTGCATAATAGCTACAGGGGGAATCAAGACAAGTGAAGGTGACTTGGCTGGCCAATCTGACATAACGAGCGAGACAGCTTGAATAGTCTTACCCATTCCCATCTCATCTCCCAAGAGACCGCCGGCCCATTCGGTCTTCTCCATCGCCTTCATCCAAGCTACTCCTTGCAATTGGAAGGGCTTGAGTTCACGGGTAATGTTCTTTGGTTGTTCCATGGTGACATCTCCAATCTTAGGAAGCTTCTCAAGATCCTGCCACATAGTGAGCAAGTCTGGGTGATGATGCTCAAGCTTGGCTCTGGCCTTTCTCTCTTTGGGCGTTGAACCAATTCCCGCAGCCTCTAGTTCACGGACGCGAGCAGCGATACTAATGCGCATGCCACGATCATTACCAGTACCAGTACCAGAGTCGGAAGCGGAGTCAGCATCGACCTCATCTGAGTCAAGACCGATGCCATCAAAGTCAGTGAACTCACTCTCAATGTTCTCGAGATCCGAAAGTGCAGAACTAGGAGTCGAAGCCTTGGTTCCGCTACCCTTCTGTGTTGAAGGACTGGCGGCAGCCCTGGAGTTCGAAGCCGGAAGTGAGCGCCGTCCACGGCCCTTGGGTGGTGCTGAAGGTGTCTTTGGGGCGCGCTTGGCGGCAGACTTAGAAGCACTAGCACGCGAAGCAGACTTGTACTTGGACCGAGAGATTGGAATATCAGAGTCTTCAGAATCATCGATCTCCATGAAATCCTCCGATTCCTCCGAGTCGTCGATTGTGACAGCCCCCTTGAAGGACTTGGAGCTCGAAAACGTAACGATATTCTTGCCCTTGGCACCAAGTACGATCTTAGGACGCTTAGCCTGGCGAGAAGATGAGATGTCGAAATCATCATCCTCTTCATCGTCCTCCTCGTCATCCTCCTCATCTTCAAAGTCGGACGCAGAGTCAGCCTTTGGAAGAATCTTGCGGACTTTGCGTGAAGCACGGCGGGAAACAATCTCATCATCGTCCTCGTCTTCATGCATAGCCATCGAAACAGCAGCAGCATCTTCTTGTGCTTGAAGAGCGCGAGCCAATTGAGCATCAGGGCTATCATCTTCATCGGCATCCTCCTCATCATACGAATCAGCCACTCTCTTGCGCTTGTTGTTTGTAGTATTCATAGAGAACTGGCTGTTTCGAAGAGCAGCAGCTCGAGCAACAGCGTTGACAGCTGGAGTAGAAGCCTCGCCTGTCATAGTTGCTGGACGACGACCTCGCTTGTTTGTAGAAGCCTTCTCGAGAGCAGGAGTAGGGGCCGCGCTGGTAGCAGGTGTAGAGTATCCACTTCCTTCGTGAGACTCGACAGAGGTTGAGATAGACGACAAGGAGTCTCTACCCATGACATCCTTTTTATCCTTCTTGGACCCCGCGAAGTATCGACTAACGGCGTGAAGGGGTGGGAAGTCAGAAGCAGAATCATCTTCTTCCTCCTCATCGTCGTCATTGAATGTGGTGGAGTTGACTTTGGTATTGATTGGGAGGGTTTTGGCAGATTCGAAACGTGCGGAACGTCTAGTGGCTGCCCCCAGATTGTTAGCACCAGCTTCGAAAGTGGAGTCTTAGCGAGAAATTCGAGGAGTAACAAGGCAGGAAGCGCAGGAAACACAGCAGAGAGGGGTAAGTATGCTATATTATGCTAGAACTTACAGGAACCTCTCGAAGTTGCGGGAGTGACAGCAGGACTGGCAGCAGACAAGCTGTCCACCTTACGAGGTCTGCCTCTCTTGGGAGGCATCTCGACTCAGCAACTCGAGTTGGACAAGCTGCAGATGGCAAAGCGTGTCTAGGACAACGGTAGAACCAGGTACAATGCCTTCATGCGATGTAGCCGAAAGCAAACAAGATCAATTGTTGCTTCCACAGCTGGAAGACGTGAAGGTGGGTCGCAGAGCGGGTGCATGCACTGATTGCAAGGATCGCAGTCCCTTATCAAGGAATCCGCAATTGAGAGGAATGCAATACGAGTTATAGATCGTGGTATGAAAGAGGAGAAGAATTACAACATCGTAGGGTGCAGATATACCTCGAGAGACGATGAAGGTGGTGTTGTCGTTGATGGGAAGAAGAGAAGGGGACGGAGATTCACAACTCAAGAGGAGGGAGAGAAAGGTGAGGCAGCAACGCCGCCACTGTGGAAAATCCCATTAACGCGTTCGCGTGAGCACGTGAATCTCAAGATGGTGATTGGTGAGGAATCGCACCCGAGTGGATCTGCAGAGCGCTATCTCTTATCGATTGGCCCCTGGTCCTCAGCGCGGATGAACGTGTCGCCGCAGCCCATTCCTTTCCCCTGAATCTCTTAGGAAAAAGGAAAATGATCATCAAAACGTGAAGAGTTTCATTAGACGCGACGAATTGTGGCGAAAAGGAAGAAGTCCTTCTTGGTACAGCACAATTTTGTCATTACTCCATTTCTTTTAAAAGCCCCTAATTTTGAAGTATTGAGGATGAAGCAGCAGGGTTAAGCCCAGATCCAGAATAGAAGTCCTTTCCAGCCCTTTCTGGGCATCTCCTGTCTCTGCTCTGTTACATGGTGCACTTTTGTCTATGAAAGTTCAATTGACTGAGCTAACAATTCCTTTGTATCGTAACAATTCTTCCTGTATTTCCAAGAAAGTATTTATTGGATTGGTTCCACTAATATCAGGAGCCATCGGGGACAAGGACCTGTGGAGTCCCACATATCATCCGGTCAATACTCACCTCCTTTGGCAACAAACCACTTCATGTCCGCATCTCCAGAGAGAAAGAAGATGTACCCACTCATTGCTTCCCACTTATGTTGCTGCTTCACAATTATAGCATCTGCCCCTGAAGCACGAATGCGTGATGAGTGTTTATTGCCGCTTGTCCGGTAAGTAGGTCAGCGAGCATAGAACCGACTGCTCTCCTCCTCGGGGTTCTCTTCAAACTATTCCTCTCCAGAAAGGAATAAAGGGAAACTATTTCCACCATCCTGCCAATACCCTGGAGGAGATACCTGATAAAGCTCCGTCCACGGGATTGATTGGCATCTCGTCAGCATCTCCTGCTTCACGAATTCTCTGCACACCATTCTCAATTAGCTTGTATTTCACAGGGTAAATCCGAAGGCAATAGATGAAAGAATAGTTTGATCATTCCTCTCTCCTTCCTCCTCTTCATCTTCTTCCACCCTATTAAGTCACTCAATGAAAATGGACCATGGCGAGACCCGTGCAAGATGCACGAGAACAAACCACACCTGTACGTCGGAGATACGTACTTCCTGCACCACAACACCACGTCTTCACACCAACCAATAACCGCTCACCCTACGTATTCGTACCAGCGCACCAACACAATAATCCCCACGATTCCCAAGCAGGTACCGCACCTTAAGCACAAGCACAAGCAGGTCCAACAACGCACTACTAAGTTACTTGCAGTCCTGCACAAGGCAGTGCGCCACCTTCCCCTTTCGCCTCAAGCGAGCCAATCATTTTCCTCGCAGCGTATACGTATCTTCGCCCTCAATCAATCCTTAGTAATAACCAAACAGACTACAAACACACTACCTTGTTGTCCAACCTCGCTAGAATTAACTCCGCGATGCATATTGGGGATTTGGCTGAAAAATACTGGTTCTTTTTCAGGCTTCTTCGCTTCGGGAGCGGGCTTTCGGCCTGTGGGGTTGAGGACCGAGCTGCGAGCGAGCTAGCTTGGCAGGCGGCCAGGGTCGAGACAACTAAGCGATGTGTTTACCAAGCTGCTGAGCTAATGTGTGAAGATGCGTTAGACGATATGCTATCATGTCATTCATGAATGGGGTACATGGACTTTTAGGCAGAAGTGATATTGGGTTGGGAGAGCGAATATATATAAAGCTGGACAAGGACCTCCTCAATTGCTTTCTGAACATTCATCTCCAGCAATTCGATTGCCCCTCGTCCATCAATCAAACAATCATCTTCAGCTTCTGCAGAACTACTCCAAACACAAAATACAGACAAAATCAACATTATACAAATACCCCAAGTCCAAGACAACCGCTCCTCCATCAGAATGTCCTCACCAAAGAAAATCATCGCCATCATCGGCGCAACAGGAGGTCAAGGCGGTTCCGTCGCCAACACCCTCCTCTCCGACCCCAAAATGACATCCGAATGGTCAATCCGCGGCATCACCCGCGATGCATCAAAGGAATCCTCCAAGAAACTCGCCAGTCGAGGCGTTGAAGTCGTCACTGTAAGTCCAGTCCCTGCACCTCTCTTTTCGCTTTCCTGTCCCTTCCATACAAAACCCTACTACATCACCTCAAACATACAGCAATAATGGACAGTAATATAAACTGACAATGTCAACTCAACTCCATAGGCCGATCTCAACTCCAAAGAAAGCCTCCTCGCAGCATTCAAAGACGCCTACGCCGTTTTCGCCGTAACAAACTACTGGGAAACACTCGATCACAACCTCGAGATCCAGCAAGGGAAGAACCTCGCCGACGCCGCGCTTGAATCCGGCGTCCAGCACTACATCTGGAGTTCTCTCTTAAACGTCAACGAACGTACGTCTCTCCTCTTCTCTCCTGCCCTCTCCCCTTCCCAGCTCATACCTACAACTCCAACTCCCTCTCACCTATACACCCACGCACATGCAAATCAAACCAACCCAGAATCTCGCTAACCATCCTCTTTCCACCCCTTCAGTAACACACGGCAAACTCCCCCACGTCCACCACTTCGACTCCAAAGCCCACATCGAATCCTACATCCGCACCACCCCCCTCCCAACCACCTTCCTCCTCCCCGGCTTCTACATGTCCAACCTCCCCGGGCAATCCCTCCGCCCCTCACCCTACCCCCCCAACCCCTACACCCTCAGCATGCCCGTCCCCTCATCCACCCCCGTCCCTCTCCTCGCACCCCTCTCCGACACCGGGAAATTCCTCAAAGGGATTCTCCTCAACCGGTTCACCACGCTCGGGAAGCGCGTCCTAGCAGCTACGAAATACTATACTTTTGATGAGCTGCTGGAAGGGTTTAAGAATGTGTTTCCCGAGGCGGGAAAGGATGCGGGTTATTATGAGGTGGATAGGGAGACGTATTTGGGGTGGATGAAGGGCGCGGGACTGCCGGATTTTGCGGGAGTGGAGTTGTGGGAGAATATGAGGTTGCTGGCTGAAGGGGGGTATTATGGTGGGGAGGGGTTGGAGTGGAGTCTTTCGGTGAGTTGTGTTGATTTTGATTCTTATTTTGATTCTGATGCAAAATTTGGAGGAGAGCATGGATTGTGCTGACTGTTTCCAAAATTAGCTTGTTGATGAGCCCTTGACGACATGGGAAGAATATATCAAGAGTTCTGAGGCATTTAAAGACTTGAAGTAATCCCCAAACGAGATGGGAAGAGTTGTAAATACCTCAGAATCCCTCAAATATCTTAAATAACAGCTTCCTTCCTAAAATTCCTCAGCTCAACTCTGTCAAAATCTCCATCTCCTCCGTTCCTCTGATCGTGGTCCAAGCTTATACAAGATACCTATCTCCCATATCCCCCCAAACTGCCATTCACCCACTCTTGTAGGGTGTATTTTTGAAGCGAGGTACTGAAAGTTTTAAAATCTTCTCTGCTGTACATACGGTATCTTTAATCCTTATAAAAAAGTGTGTTCTAAACAGCACTTTAAGGGATGAACCCAACCCCGTCTTTCCCCTTCCAAAAGTTCCTCCCTTCCCCCCTTCCTCACAACATCACCTTTCCTTCCCTCGTCCTCTCTCTTCCTCCACAAAACAACAGGCACACCCTCAAGTCTCACTTTTCTCCAACAAATCAGTCAACCACAGAAATACACACTAGAAGTTTTCTTTCGTTTCCTTGGGCCTTTTCTTAACTCTCCTTTCCCCTCCCCTCAGCCCCTACATACTAGATCAATCTCCACATCCCCAGCAGCTCTTCAGTGCGTTTATGCTATCCTGTACTGTACTATGCTGTACCCCAGCGCGAAAATGCAAGGCAAGGCAAGGCAAGGCAAGAAAGATATTCTTGTAAAGAAAAAAAAACAAAGTGAACTAGTATGAGAAGTAGAAGTAAAAGTAAAAGTAAAAGCATAATTAAATATAAAAGTAAGAAGTAAGAAGTAAGAAGTAGTGGAGATATAGAGAGTATAGTCGAGATAAGATAAAATAAGATGAATCGAATCGAACCCGCTGATCCTATTGAGCGAGACGGACTTCAAGCGAATAAAAATATATATGTATATCTAAACAGAAGAGGGCAAAAGAAAAAAAAAAAACAGAGTATTAACCCTATTAAACAAGAAGAGAGAGAGAAAGAGAGAGAGAGAGAGAGAGAGAGAGAGAGAGAGAGAGAGAGAGAGAAAGCAAGTCTTTCTAGCACGCTAAAACATAAATCGGTATTTCGCTTCAGCATACCCCCAGGAAAGGCGATGAATTGTATAGTACGGCAGATCTAGATGTGGAGTGTTCATTAGTGGGAGGGGGAGCTAGGGAAATAAGCATAAATAGTTTTAGTGTAACTCTGAATCTTTAGTGTGTTTTTATTTTTCACCTAGATAGGAAGAATCAAGAAAGACGACAGGGAGTGAGGAATGGGGTGTAACTGGGATATTATGTTATGTTAGTATCATAACTGACAACGCTAAGAACACAACACTTAAAGGAAAGGAGAGGAATGGAGAGGAAGCCGAGCCAAGCAACAGTTCTCGAAACATTGCTCTGTGATTTCTTGATTCGTCAAGGTGTATTTCATTGTATTGCCTACATGGTAAGACAAACCAGGTTGATTACCCACCGCACCTGCACCTGCACCACACCAAACCAGTCGGTCTACTCCGCCACAAGCAAGTAAACACAGCAACCAGCAACCAGCTGGACACATGGCCATCACACAACCGCAACCCGACCCCAGCCCAGCCAGCAGCTCAACAACCAAAACTACCATCAAATCCCCTCCCCTTCCCCCCTAGGCCTAGGATTCTCCCTAATCTCCCTAACCGCCTGCCTGACCGCAGCATTCTTCTCAAAACTCAAATGCACCAAATCCACCACCTCATCGACCGTAAAATAAAGACTCAAATCACTCTCAAACCAAAGGAACCTAACATCCTTCAGATTACTCTGCAGCACCTCACTCAGGAACTTCATCTTCATCCACTTATCCGCAAACTGCCAAGTCAGCGGGATAGCTTCCGTACCATTAGTAGTGCTGGGTTTATTGCTGCTAGGATGGGCTTGTTTGGGGATGAATAAGTCGTCGAGGGATTCGACGCGGGAGATTATGGTTGCGGTGCGTTCTGCTTCATCGACGCCGATGTCTGACAGGTCGAAGACGTCGGTGATGAGTTTGGAGGCGACGGCGTTGACGAGAGAGCCGATTGCGGATGCCCAGGCTGAGTACGAGAGGATCTTCTCCCAGAGTGCTGCTTGAGTGCGGATGTGCTTGATGACGATTTTGATGGCCTCTTCGAGTGAATCGTTCATCTGGTCATCTTGTTGGAAGAAGTTTTGGACACCTGTTGGGATTAGTTTTGTTACTTGAGGAGGGTAAGAGACACGTACCGCCAAGTAAATCATTGATGATGGTGCGCTGGGCGTTCAGTTCATTTGTGTATGCTCGTTTACCGAAGCTCACCAGGACTTTTGTCTCGGGCTCCAGCTTCACGAGATTGTATGCTCTTGGTGGAATATCTTCACGACTTTTCCATTCAGTGAGGAATTGCTGAAATCGTTCTGATAACCACATGGCATCATTGTAGAGATACATGTTCCCACCTGGTTCGAGAGAGTAGTAGTAGGGGGAGATCGCTCGATACATTGCTAGAATCAAAGTTGGAAGTCCAAATAAGCTAGGGGCAGCTGGTGTAACTGGTATGTGCTCATTTCTACATGGATTAGTACATGAGTAGAGCACAATAGGATAGATGCAACTTACTCTGGCTGCAATAAATGTGCCCCATCAGCGTATACTTGTTGAACAGTGTTATACACTGCTCGTGGCAAGGATGAAGTCCAGTATTTCTCTGAAAGGGTCATTTCGCGAGTCGATGGCGTTACGTGGTCGATAGGTTTCTCTGTGCTGACTGGAACTGGTGGTGATTCAGCTGCAACATCGGCATCGTTTGCATCATCGTCATCGCCCCAGCCCCAAGCATCTGCGGCATCATCAATCTGATCTGCATCTGTTGATGGAGTTGGGTTTGGACTGAAGACCTGTTTTGAATTAGACATTATGATTCCACTTAGGCGTGCTCATTTCAAGTCGACGAAAAGAGTACAGACAAAACTCCATCACGCGAAAACATACCTCAGTTGCACGACGCTCTTCATCCAAAGATCCCCGGTTTCTTGTTTCACCATTGGACTCATCTTTGGAGCTGGTATCGGGAGTGGGCTCTCCATCATCACTCCAAGCATCATCCCAATCATGTGTTGTCTGTAACTACATTAGCATTGACGTGGAACTATGCATAAATCGAGACAAGCGAGTTGAAGGAAATGAGCGGTTTGCTGTGACTTACAGTTGTGCCCGTAGCAGCAATATGGTTACCTTCATCCCTATCAACCATCCGAGTCTCGATTCTTTCGGCAATCTGAGGACTTCCAATCCCTACGCTATGTTAATCGAGTACAGGAATGAGGCGGATAGAATTACCCAGTGACAGCTGGTTACGAGTCCAGTCAAGAGTAGTCTCCCTCCTCTTTCCAAGCCAAATTTTTGGCGCATTTGATACCCAATCGTAGAAAGAATCAGCACCAGGCCACTTCAAGGCGTCAAGCTTCGCAGCAAGGTCAGCCACTAGGGCTAAAGCCTTCTGGTAGTCAACCATATCATTTAGTGAAGCAGGTACAGCTGTATCTAGCCAGACCTCCAGAATTCGAGTTGAGAGTACAGGCATCATCTTGTTGGCGAGCGGCTGAATAATCTCGGCAGGAATATTCTCGATGAGAAAATGTATAACTTTTTCAAGGTCAAGGAAGAGGGATTTTATCGTGCGATCCGCGTGGTCTTTACCCAGGAACAAAGAATTCTAAAGGGGTCAGCTGGCTGTTAACAAGGCTTGATGGTGATTTTCACCTCTTTGACTTGGATAGTGGGAATGGTTCCAGCTTGGAGATTGGTACGAGGCTTCAAGATCACCTCATCAAGATCTTCCCACAATTTCTTTGCGGCATCATCGAGCTCCTTGTATGCTTTCAGTCCAATGACCGCCTGACTTATGTCCGTCGTATCCCCTGGATTCATTAGTCAGATCAAGAAACGAAGCTTAAATTCATACCTTGGATTTCCCGATTTATCGTGATTTTAGCTTGTTCCCGGTCGATACTGATGAGAGTCTCCCAAACAGTTGAGAATTGCTCGCGTATGTGGACCCTTAGCTCAAAACACCTTGAATCTAGTAATCGCATCACTCGTGTAGTCTTCTCCAGCGGAATTTCTCCCAGACTCTTCCATGCGGCTACAACAGTCAGTCTATGCCCCTCCTACATCAAGCCTGAACCAACCCACCTTCGAGCATGTGAAGACCATCGATGATCTTTCTTTCACTTGCATATTCCTCTGCCTTATTCAAATTCTCATTGACACCTTGTAGAGACCGTAGCACCGTAAGTAGTTGGTTGTTGAAAGACACCTCCTTTGTGAGGAAATCTGCGTATGTCTCCTTCTCCTCTAATTCCTCTTTCCTCTCATCGTCGGCCTCTGCTTGTCGCACAATGCTGCTGGACAGTTGGCGAGCTCGTTGAATATCGTCTTGTATGGATTTCGCATGTTTGATCCAGAGGTCGACATCAGGAGCTGTCTCTCGACTTATTGCGCGGACCTCGTCCTGGTAGCTGATCAGCTTTGACAATGGTAGAAGCGGAGGCCATTTAACGTACCTCCAACTCAGCTTTGGCATTTTGTAAAACTACCAAAGCTGCAGATACCATAGGAGAGTCGACATAAGCGGCGGAAACTGCTTCCTCCTCTGGGAATGCGCCATTTGTAGAGAAATCTACCAGTACTTGCCCCAGATCCGCTTGAGTTGTTGAGGACATGCTGGCCAAATGGACTTGGAGAATAGGAGAGAAGCTTGAAAGCTTGCTGTATTGTGTCAGGAGAAATACGATATCATGTTATGTGACCACAGTCTCTAGGAAAGCTGGATTGCGAAGCTGTGAGAAGTATAGCAGCGAGCTGTCTATTTACTTTGGTAGCTCAAGATTTTGGACCAACCTTGTGTCCGAAGCCCATGACGCGGGTCGCGCCTGGGGCAGCTTGAACAGCAGCGGAGCGGAGCGGAGCGGAGTGGAGCGGAAGCACGATCTTGCCTCCGCCGTGGCCAAGACGCGGCTGCCCCCAATGACCGCATCCGGAAAACTCACCAATCACATCCTTCGCCCGCCACTTCCAGGGATCCACAGCTCTTTCACACAAGCTGACGGGAATGGAAGGGCCGTGCAACACAACACAGAACACCTGGAAGGCTGACCTGACTTGACATCACGTTGTCTCGTCCTTGATCTTCTCTTCCTCTCGCCATCTTCATCCTTCTTCTGCTTCACAAAATATTCTCTCATACAGCCTCATTTTTTGAAAGCCCTTGGTGCGAAGAAACACACACTCATCTGCACAATTCTCAGCCTGTCATATCGACTTTTCTCACAGCCGAGCTGACAATATCAGCCAACCTGTGTGGTCGCCTTGCATTCAAGCGCAACGCAAGGCTGCAGGCTGCAGGGCATCTAAAGCAACGCAAAGACCGGTATGTTACCCAGACCCACAGCGATATTTATACTTCTATTCGTCTTTTCCTTCTTCTCTCTTCCATCATGTGCAACACCTCCATACCCCTCCCGCTTTGATAATATTGGGGCGAGAATGGTGGGGTCGTGGTATCCATACACATCAGCTGGGCGACTGGCTATCATTAGTGTGGTAGTACCATTTGTTGCTTTTGTATCATACTATTCCAAGGAACCAGACTGGTATGCCAACACATTCATACATCATTCTTGTCCCTTACCTACCTACCTAGGTACGCCTGGCTTGGCTGTTTGGAGTACAGTCACGTGGCTGGTTGCCTCCTTCACCCTCTTGTTTGTGAAAGAAACAACACCATGTCTCCGGGCGTGTGTACACATAGTGCAACACAATCATGGCTCTAAGTGATGCAGAATTATTCACAGCCGGGCACACGTACTTTTCTTTTGTCCATTGCCCAGCTGCCCGGCTTGGGTCGTCTGGTATTTATATTTATAACTCCTCGCTTCTCTTGAAACTGCTCTTTCTCATTCTTCAGAAATAGCAACACGCTTCTTCTTTGAACGCACACTCATACAACTACTAACGGCTGATAGGAGTTCCGTCTTACAATTCAGCAAGAATTTCAATCACACTCTACCCTTCCAATCCTTCATCATGCCGAGCCAAATCAAGAAACCTCGCTTCCGCACTATTCAACAGTTCAACACAGACTATGCACCTGTCTCCATCTCGCAATATGTATCAGAGCAAACCGGAATGCACGTTGTGGTCTGCAACCAACAAGGTCCGAAAGTTCGTGGCTACTTCACTCTAGCTACCGAGATCTTCGATGACTCTGGATCACCTCACACTCTGGAACATCTGGTTTTCATGGGATCCAAGAGCTACCAATACAAAGGTCTTCTCGACAAACTTGCTTCCAGAGCCTACTCCAACACCAATGCATGGACTGCCACTGACCACACTGCTTACACCTTGGACACTGCAGGATGGGAAGGCTTTGCCCAAATCTTACCAGTCTATCTCGAGCACGTGATCCTACCAACACTCACTGATGAGGGATGTTACACCGAGGTTTGGCACATTGATGGCGAAGGAAATGATGCCGGAGTTGTGTACTCTGAGATGCAAGGTACTCAGAACAACGGACCAGAGATCATTGATATCAAGGCGAGAAGATTACTCTACCCAGAGAATGTTGGCTTCAGATATGAGACTGGTGGGTTGATGGAGAATCTTAGGGTCCTAACACCTGAACGTATTCGTGATTTCCACAAGGAGATGTATCAACCAAAGAACTTGTGTTTGGTTCTTGTAGGTGAGGTTGACAAGGATCATCTTCTGCAGATTCTCGACGAGTTTGAGGAGGGTATTGTTGAGTTCATCCCTCCGGTTTCAGCTCCTTTCAAGCGGTAAGCAACCATCACCCTTTTGTAGTGGGAACTCTGCTGACATTAGCCAGTCCATGGATAGAATCTGCACAACCGCCTGCTATCGCCAAAACACTCGTCGAGACTGTCGAGTTCCCTGAAGAGGATGAGTCAACAGGCGAGATCTCAATTGGCATGTTTGGCCCCAACTGCAATGACGCCGTTCTCATCGCAGCTCTCAATGTTCTCCTCACTTATCTTGCTGGATCTTCGGTCTCGATCTTAGAGAATATCATGGTTGAGAAGGAAGAGCTTGCAAGTAGCATTGGCTGCTACTGGGATGCTAGACCAAATACCGTCATCTGGCTGCAACCAAGCGGTGTACTGACAGAGAAGCTTGAATTCGTTGAGAAGAGAGTCTTCGAACTCCTCAAAGAAGTTGCAGCAAAGCCTCTTGATATGGACTACATGTTGGACTGCGTCAAGCGTGAGCGTAGACAGGTAAAGTTCCAAGCCGAGAGCTCAGCCAGCTTCTATGCCTCCGGTGTCATCAATGACTTCCTATTCGGCAAGAGAGATGGTTCCACTCTCAAGGATTTCGGCACTGTGTCCGAATACGATACTCTTGAAAAGTGGACCGATGGACAATGGCGAGATTTCCTGAAGAAATGGATCTCGGATGCCCCTCACATCTCGATTCTTGGCAAGCCCTCAAAGGCCATGGCCGACAGAATCAAGAGCAACGAGGAAGCAAGAATCGCAAAGAGAAAAGAGGAGCTCGGTCCAGATGGACTCAAAGCTCTTGCAGAGAAACTGAAGCTTGCCATTGAAAAGAACGATGTCGAAATTCCCGCATCTGTTCTTCAGAAATGGCCAGTTCCAGGTGTCGACTCGATCCACTTCATCGAGTCAACAAGCGCTAGATCAGGACTTGCAAAGAAGTTGGGTGCGCCTGATAACAAAGCTCAAAAGGTCATCGATGAAGCAAAGTCCGATCTTCCTCTATTTATCCAATTCGAACATGTTCCCACAAACTTCGTCCACTTGACACTCCTGCTGGGCACATCCCAAGTTGCAACCGAACATCGACCCCTCCTCCCACTTTTCATGGACAACTTCTTCAACACTCCAATCATGCAAGATGGAAAGCGCGTAGAGTTTGAAGAAGTCGTCACAAAACTCGAGCAAGACACAGTCAGTTACTCCATGGGCGGAGCAGGTCGAATCAACGACGCCGAGGGACTAGTAATTCAATTCCAGATCGAGCCAGAGAAGTACGAAACAGCCATCAAATGGATCCGCACCATGATGTTCGACAGCATCTTCGACCCCGTCCGCCTCAAAGCCGGCATGGCCAAAATCCTCGCCGACATCCCCGAAGCCAAACGCAACGGAAACAACATGCTCTACGCCGTCGACTCCATGATCCACCTCGACAAAGACTCCAGCGTCAAGTCCCGCGGCACCCTCGTCAAAGCCACCTACATGAAGCGCCTCAAGAAACTCCTCGCCAAAGACCCCTCCACCGTCCTCTCCTGGCTGGAAACCCTCCGCTCCTCCCTCTTCACATTCCCCAACATGCGCGCCCTCGTAATCGCCGACGTCACCAAACTCCCCAACCCCGTCTCCGCCTGGTCCACCCTAATCTCCACCCTCGACACCACACAGCCCCTCCTACCCTTTGTCAAACTCTCCCAACGCCTCAGCCCTGACGGGCAGAACCCAGGAAAGTACGGCGCAGTCATAGTCCCCATGGCCACCATCGACTCCTCCTTCTGCATCTCCACCGCCACGGGCCCCACCGACCCCGAAGACCCCATCCTCCCCGCCCTCATGGTCGCCATCTCCTTCCTCGAAGCAGTCGAAGGCCCCCTCTGGACAGCCATCCGCGGCAAGGGCCTCGCATACGGAGCCTGGTTCAAGCGCGACCCAGACGGGGGATTCATCCAGTTCTCTGTATACCGCTCACCAGACGCGTACCGTGCCTTCGTAGCTGGAAAAGCAATCCTCGAATCGTATATCGATGGAACGGCGAAGTTCGAACAAGCTGCTTTAGAGGGAGCAATCAGTGGTATTGTTATGAATCTCGCGGATGAGCAGACTACTATGGCTGCTGCGGGGCAGTTCCATTTCGTGAATAGTGTGATTAGGGGGTTGGAGGAGGGGTATGATGCGAAGATCTTGAAGTCAGTGAGGAATATTACGGTGGAGGAGATTCGGGCTGTTATGAAAGATGTGTTGTTGCCGGCTTTTACGCCGGGGAAGGCGAATGTGGCGGTTACTTGTGCGCCGATTATGGAGGAGGTTTGTTTCCTTCTTTCTATTCATTCCCGACCCTATTCTCTTTTCGTTCCCCTCCCCCTCCCCTCCCCCCTTTTCCTCCTCCCCTCCCTCTCCCCTCTCCTCTCCCTCACCCCTCTTATCTATCTCTATCTCTATCTCTATCTCTCCTCTCCCTTTCCCCTCTCCTCTCCCCACTCCCCCACTTTCCACACTCCCCAACTAACAACCGAAAACAGGGCATAGTCAAAGGCTTCACCACCTCGGGCTTCAAAACACAAGTCCAACCCCTCTCCAGCTTCCAAGAGAGCTACGGTCTTGAAGCAGATGAGGATGAAGGGCAGAATGATGAGGATGAGGAGGATGATGATGAGGAGGATGGAGATGATGAGGATGGAGATAGAGATGATGAGGGGGAGGGAGAGGTGTAGTGTAGATGATCAGGGGGTTTTTAGAGTGATTTGACGGGAAGTCGTAGAAACTGGTTAGAATGTATGGTTGATGGGTGGTAGGTAGCGAATACATAGTTTAGACTTCCCTTCCTTCCTTCCCCCCTTCCTGCCTCTTTCCTTTCTCCCCTCTCAAATCTCATATCCCATATCCCATATCCCATACCTCATCTCAGCGACCATCAACATCCGACATCAGCCCTACAAACACCTTCAACCTCCAACGTCCAACCTTCCTCCCCTTCTGAATTTTTTTCCAAGGCGAATTGCCGTAATGCACACTCTCACTCACTCACTCACTCATTAAAACGCCAACTCACTCATTAAAACGTCAACACACTCACAGCCCAACCTTCGAATTGTATATAATATTCAATATTCGATATGCAATGTCTAGTGTTCAATGAATGCATACTTGTATTTACGTATGTGTTACTAATCTGGATTTTGGAACTTGGTGGAATGGTGGTTGAAAGTTCTTTCACGTTCAGAAAGAGCAGAGTGAGTAGGTAGGTGAGTGAGTGAATTGATGAATTTACCGATTTATCAACGACAGGGGAATGGAATTGGAGGGTGGGTGGGTCACTGAGTAAGTCAGTGATACATAGGTAGGTAGGCAAGTCTTATATAAACCCTCCTCCTTCCCCATCCACATGCCCAAGTTCGGAGTTCTGGAGTCAACCGTCAACGTCTGATCAAGAACCTGTGGAATGGCAATGTATGTATGTAACGGCCATGTGAAACAATTGACTTTAGTCTAGTTTGAGTGGAGAAATTTTTCTGTTAAGATCTCATTCATCCTTATATTCTATTCAAATTTGGTGGTTTACTGTACTTTCTGCGTAGTGAACAGGCTCAGAGAGAGATATGCAAGTTGGCAATAGCTGTAATCATTTTTCTTTCTTTTGTCTGTTGTCAGGAGCTAGATCGCTGTCAGTTACATTTCCTACCCAAAGTTTGGGCTTTACCTTCTCACCTCACGCCTCACAAGGAAGTTTAGGAAGAAATTCTGTCTTACAAGTAAACCACTCTAATACTTTTCTTCAAAAGCACGACAGTATCTTTCAAACTTCTCTACTACGACAGCCAGAATCTCAAGATCCCTCGTTTATAGTCTTCCCGAACTCTTCGGTCTTGATGAAGAAAAAAGGGTCCGTTCGGCGTAAGAATTTATAGTGACAGAGCTTGCAGGTTGAAGCAAAGCTAGGCAAGAAACGGAATATCTCAACGTTTTCGTGGCTATATTGAATCGAGAACTCCATCCCAGCTCCTGGATTGGAGACCATTGCTCAACCAAGTGAATTTTGATTACGAACAAGCTCAAGAACATCAATCAATCACTCAGGCGTCAAGTAGAGATCTCTCTCCAAAGAAGGTATAAAGACCAACCTTGGAAGCGATCCAGCAACGCCCGCGTCTTTCGTGAGCTATTCAATCATATGTTCATGGTCGCTACGTCATTCGTCTCTCTCGATGATCTGTAGTCGTGACTTCGCGCGCTATACGTTCTTTCGCGCTACAGATATGAAGATTTGGTACTCTGCTTCATGTTAAGAGAGCATGAAGAGCGGCAGGGCTTGCGTTCTGCAGAAGCTCGGATGGTACTGCCGTCATGTCGAAATATGCTGTCAACTTTTCAACCTCTCTAATTCTCTTTGCAGGCAGTCACGTTATGTTTCGCTTGAAACATTTCAACGCCTAGTCACCCTTCCAACAACTATTATGTTTGTCTTAAAACTCATCTCAGCGAGGATCTCTACTCAAATTCAAACTAGCCTACTAGATCTCTGCCCCAATTCCATTTTCTGTGATCCCGAGGGTGTTTGAATCAATGACTACTTCTCTCACAATCAGAAAGCTACTTTATATATGCAAAACTTTCCCATCCTCACCCGAGTCACCCCTCTCCCGCGAAATCAACCACAACGCTGACACTTGTGAATCTCTCCCTTTCCACGCCAGAAATGAATCCTCATCCGCCTCATTCCAAGAGAATATCCAAGCAGCTTGCGAATAGATGCTATAAATAAGAGGGAGATCCCGACGAGCTGAAGGAGGTAACGGATAGTTCAATTTGAGTCGTGGAAGAAACGGAGTAGGCCAAGGCGGAGCTGGTTTACGTTTGAGTACGTTATATCCTTGTTGGCCGGTGCTGCTTAACTTCAGTTGAATGACCGAAAAGAGCTTCGTTGGGTGCAGCAGAAGAGATGAGGTGAAGTGGTACTTCAGGTGCTGCAAAGCTATACTGTACTGCCAAATGCAACTTTTCTGTCGATCCTATGTTCTTTTTTTGCAAGCCCAGAACTGGTAAGCAGTAAGGTCATACAGTGCAATAGCAGCTCATCTTAGCATTCAACAAGCCTTACAGTTAACCTGCGAGCAAGGACATGTGAGATTTTCAAGCCAGACAAAAAAGTTGTGGCAGCACACGTACATTACCAAGCAAAAGGTAGCAGGTGACGAGTTGACTCGCTACCATACAAAGGCGTCGGCATATTTTTTTGAATCACAAATTAATGAGTGCAGTGCAATGATAACAGAATGATTTAACAGACATCATAAAGTTACTGCCGGATGGCAAAACAACAGATCTTATTGGGTGTTATGGCAATACAGGAATTGATAGCCACGAGGTTATTGGGGGTGCACATGACGGTATTTTGGTAGTTGGTACAACGATTAAATGATTTAGAAGTTACCCTCTCCTACCAGTGTGCTATGACCCTTCAAACTCTTCTTTGCACCTCACCTCCCGACCAGATGCTCGCAACTGATATACTTCGTGTTGTCAAAATAATTCTGGCAGTCCCTTCTCCCCATGCTTGGAAACCGCATTTTCAAGCATAACCTGGCTAGATCTCATCCATTCCAATATGACCTCTGGATCTCGACAAGTATGCTAATGAAACCATGTTAATAAACATCCATGTGACAGCAAAGATCGAGAGTTGGATTGACATTTGACCAAGAACGTACCATGGTGCTGAAGTCTGGAATTGGATCTGAGTAGCCATCGACCCAATGGTATATGATCAAAGACGTATCACCATGGCACATGATGGATTGACGTAACATATCAACACAGTGATCTAGCGCTGGTTAGCACCCATGCCAATCTCGAACATTGAAATCTACTGTCTTACCCGCATGAGCGCGCAGTAAAGGTTGGTTGAACCAGCGTGGTTCAGATTCTTGATAATAATCGAGGTAGATGAACTTGCGAAGCATATTCTACTTGTCGAAATGATTAGTGTCTATCCTCCAAGCTCACGAAACTCAAAATATTCAATCTTACCAGGCAATGGGTTTGGTGAAACATTGCCACACTAGCCATGTATCCCATGTTTTGCGTCTCGTTGAGATGGACTACTGTCTCCAGGGGCCAGCCAGTGGATCTAAGGGCATCCTCCGTCGAAACATTTAGCAATGGCTGGTAACCTGGCATCGAAACTACCCCAGATACAAGTCAGTAACAATGCTCGAAAATAAAGAAGCAGACCTCGAATTCTCTTTGAACAACATACCGCTCCCTATTTCGGTGTAACGATCCCAGGACTGGTCCATTGCGGGCGAGGGTGGTCCGCTGAATGCACTGCGTTTGAACAGCGATCCATTAAATCGTTGTGAGATTGGGGGAAAGGCCACTTCGTCGTCTGGGTAATGTTAGTCTGGGTAACAAGCTCGAGGTAGTGGTTTCTTACATATTTCAAGTCGTGAAATGTCTGCAAAGGCAAGTCCGCTTCCGGACGAAACAAACTGTAGGTTGTATCCAATGACGCCTCCTACAAGAAGTGCGGTGATTGTGATAAGACCTTGCATGATGTACGAGGTTCTGAAGCTTGTCACCGATCGTGATCTTGCACCTTCGCCCTCAGAACCATTGTCGTCGAGGAAGGAACTCCCCTCTTCAGAGTCTTTAGAAAGTCTATCATAGTCCTTGTATGTTGGCATTTTGAATATTAATGAGCGATTCGAGATTGAAGAGCGGAGAAAATTGAAGGGACGATGAAGAATGCGAAATGTGTGCTAGGTGAGAAATTGAGCATTCGAATGCAAGAAGACTCGAAAGAGACCCTTGAGATTGATATGGCACAATGGAGTCCAGGTAACCTTTTGAGGGCCCCTTGTACTTGACTTCCAACTTCAAGAGTCCACCGAGGTACCCTAAAAACTTTCAAAACGCTGTGGACCTATAGTTCTTGAATGTGGAGCCCGGAGTCAGACGACAATCTCAACTCCGGCTGACAATCTCACATATGCAACGTGCCGCACTCATATAGTACTTCTCTCTACCATCTATCATGAACACAAGATCAATTTTCAGCTTAATTCTTGGCACACAGATAAGTATTCATTCATGGGGGGGTGAGGAAGGTTGATTCCTGTTTGTGAGTATCTATGGGTGGACTTTGGACATCAGTCTAGCGGCTTCTAAAGTTGACGGAACTCTGTAAGCGGTTATCAGTACCGTAAGCACGTATAAACATCACCCCGACTTCGAGCGACATGACTTCGAGGCTGGCTATTGAACTGACAAGACTGTATAGGCATTGAGGCACAAGTAAGCACTTGAGCAAGCCTCGAGCACGTAGAACATGGGATCATAGATACGAGCGAAATGGTAGTGATTTTTGATCCCGAGCCGGTGGTTGTCATTGGTGTTCTTTATGGTCATAATGCCGCGTTATATACTAAGTGGTCTAATCCCGAGCCGATGGCTCTCATTGGCATTTTAAATGGTCGGGTTGCCGCGCTATGTTCGAAGCTATGTAATCCCGAGCTATTCACCTTGATAGAATGATATTGAAAGAAACCTTGTAAACGCGATTTAATGTGTTCTAGATTCAGGTTCGGAACGGATTGGGTAATTGATTGTTGGCGTGAAGGAAACTCCAAACCTTCCAACTACTGCCCCCGCAAAGGAAAACCTCTAGAGGTAAATGTCTGGTCCCGAGCTTGTTCTCTTGATTGGAAGACACTTGAAGTACCTTGTAAACAGGACCTGATGATTTCAGGCAACAGCTCTGGAGGCGCGGGAGATTGATCATTGGTGTACAGCACAATGCGAACCATCAACAACCCTTCTGCAAAGCTATACTGCTAGAGGGAGCTGTCTTCGTGGAGTAAGAGTCCAATGCAGATTTCAACATATATAAAGACCAACAGTTCCCATGCTAGAGCAGTCACTTGTATTCCTCAGACTCGAATCATTCCAACTTCACTCTTACCCTACCACACACACTTTATCTCAATCAACTCTCGACCTATCGTCATCAGCAAACATGCTATTCACCAACACCATTGCCGTTGCTATTCTAGCTGCCAGCAGCCTTGCAATTCCTCTCAACACAATTGTATGTACAGGAAATTCGACTAGAGATTGGATAGACAAACTAATCAGCCTAAGGTTGCGAAAACGGTTCAGATGTTACCCCGTGCAGAGTACTGGGCTATGGCTCGCAAGGTGCGCGATAGCAGCTTCAAGAAGCGTGCAGAGTACTGGGCCATGGCCCCCAAGTTGCGCGATAGCAGCTTCAAGAAGCGTGCTGAACTCGATTCACAATGCGAGCAAGCCCCGGAGGGCATTTACTGTACCTATACTGCCGCTGATATTGAAGCTTTTGGGACTGGCTTCAAGTTGGATATTGGATGTGTCACTGATGGTACCGAAATCTCCTGCTTCTATCCTGGCGCCACTTTTGCCGAGGAGGTATGTTGAGTGAAATGACTTATTTTTATCCCTAGCTGACAATGTTTAGTAAGTGGATGACAGAGATGTACTAATGCCAGTACACGGTATGGCTTCAAAATACATCATCAGACCACGTCCCAACTCTGTTGAGGGAGCTGTGCATTCTGGCATTGTTCTGTACTCTCCAGACATTCATTCGCTTTTTTAACAGCTATTTACTCAAATGCCATAGTTTTTCCTTATTTTTACTGAGATACCATACTTTTGACTCCACTTCTTACTCAGACACCATAAATTTTGCCTGTGCAGTTCGCTTTAGAACCTCGGTATTTTATAAGGGTCTCGCTCTAAAACCTTAATAGTCTGTACAGGAATCATCACTTTCTTTTTATCCTACTTGAATTGTGTCGCACCCAATAAAGGAGGTAGTAGGCAGTAGGTAAGGGGGAGAGGGGAGATTGGGACGAGGGGGTGGTGTCGGCGTTTGTAGTAGGGATATCGACGACATGTAGACAGTCCAATTAAATGATATGGGTATTTTGCCATTAAAACTTCTGTCAGATTATTTCAAACTCTTTGAGTCCGAATTGGTCATCTGAAGACAATGCTCCTCCAACAAGCCCAGATACAATACAAGTGCTGATAAACACATATACACCATCTACCTGTCGCAATATAACGGACGTATTGAAGCCTGATATCAGAGCGATCTTGTCACCGTGTTGGATGCCGTCTCTCCGAGACACACCAAATTACCCTTCTGAATTCATAAACAGCACCGTACCGTTCAACTTGGTGAGAAATGGAGTCTCTTCTCCGATCGCTGAATGAGTAGCGTGTGCGTCATCTTGACAGATACCGGTGATAATGTAATCGGTGGCCATATTGTACTTATTATCTGGATCAAGGAACTTTACTACTGCCTGGAAATAGTTCCTGAACTCTGGATAAATCGAGAAAGTGGTTTTCCTGTAGAGCCTGTAGATATTTCTCATGCATAACCAGTTGCGAGACTGTAAGTCAATTGGAGAATCTTGAAAACAAACTTCATCGCTGTTGGCTTGAAATAGTCACTGATATCTCTGGAGATCTCTCCGACAATTCTGCCGACTAAGTGTAGCTTTTTACCATCAACAGAAAATCGAAAGACGCCATGGGATCTTGGTGAAGACTCCTGATGTGCCAAAGCGTATGAATGCTTGAAGTTCCAGTCCACCGCCCAAGAAGGGAAACGCACTTCGCCTTCTGAATGTGCCACGAATTGTAAAATTGCGAGAGACTTCTCATTGATAATAGTGATCCTTGTAGCTTCGGCATAGATATCACAGGTGGGTTTGTTGTAGTCAATTACAAGATCCTTCAATGCATTTCGGAAAAGGCCTTTCAAAGCAAAAACCTTATCTCGTTCATCCGAGGAGGACATGCGCGACAAGTGGACATACTGACTTGACAAAAGAGGTATGCCATCTATTTCTTCGTTGAATCCGACGTATCTTCTATGAAGTCGTCCTTTGAACTGGGGCCAAGAATCTTCCCATGGCTGAGCTCTAGAAATCTCGTCAATAGCTTCAAGAGTAGCCACGCCAGACGTCGGCTTCGCAGAACCGCAAAAAATAATAGGAGCTGACGCCGTAAATTGCTGGATCGTCCACAGTCTGGACCAATAAGACCGACTAGCAAGAGAGGAAAGTGCTTCCGGGGTACAGCCTTGCTCTACATTAGACCACGTGTTGGTTGTGAAGAGGATATAGAGCACTTACCGGTGCCTAACATGTTCCACGACAAGATACCATTTTTGGGCAAGAACTTCTGCAATCGTCTGTGGCGACGGATGAAAGCGACTCTCCTCGAAAACTGGAGTGCAACGTCGCTCTCTGCGTCTCCCTCACCCAACCAGACAAATGTCTGTGCAGAAGACTTGTATATGTCGATCATTATGGAGACCTGGGAGTTACGTTCCTGAAGGTCTGCCTGATTTATGCAAATTGCATCAACCCATAGTATCTGAAAAAATTTCTTAGGCCGTAGCCTTACTAGACTTGCGTAGCAGTTCGGTGTAATAAGTATTGTTGATCCATCATTGCAAGCCATCGGTTCTTGCGGCTCCTCGCCTTTCCATTCATAGGATAGTGAGGCGTAGGGAGGCGGATTGTCCAAGGAAGCATGAAAGATGATGCATTCGAGAGGCTGATCTGTGGTTTTTGCTGGAGAGAGAACAATCAAACGAATGGTTCTTGCATTCTCTAGCGGGAGATATTGATAAGGATAGATGTCCATCATCGCAATCGAATCCCAAGGGTTTGAATGACTGTTAAGCTTGCAGTGGAAAAATACAAGATCGTGGTCGTTGTATCCAAAACCAGAACGTTCCAAGACGAATATTCGGCAGCCTTGCACAAGGTAAGTAGAAGCACGATTAGATCACGTGACACAGCTGAATCACTTCCGTCTGCTGCATGACCGAATTCTCAGCGGCGATCTCTTGTTTTGTGAAATTGTTCTATCCATTATCAAATGTTGTACCCTTTGCACAATCCCAATTCTTGTGCTCTCAAATATAATCTACTTTACATTTAAAACGACTGGAGCAACAATTGATTCCCAGTCTTAGCGAGACTAGCTCTCGAAGGCAATTTTAGCCATACTAGTGTTTGTTTGTTCCTCTGGTGGGGATAACAGGACCAATCATTCTACGATTTGCCACCATCTACCAATTTGGGCAGATTGAGCACGACTTTTCATGCTTCAGAATCCATAGTGATTGCAGATCGTCGAGACACAGCTGGGCGGCGGAGAGCCCAAACGAATGATACCTAGGGAACCACGGTGTCTTGGTACGGCCAAAGTCTCTCAACGTTTAACCTTTCCTCATCGTCTTCCGCGGCTTCCAAGCAGAAATCCTTTAATCGCTTCAGCTCAGCCTGCATCTCACCATATCTCCCAGTTTTAACTGTCCCTTCAGAATTTAACCCATAATTCTTCTGAAAGAGGTCAAGTGTACCAGAGACAAATTCCCTCTTTTCTACCTCTTCGTTGTAAAGAGTAGACTCTTCGTCACTAAAAATTACTGGGCATGGGCCAGTGCCCGGTGCAAGCTCCTCCCAATTAGCAGCAATCCGCATGAGCGCTCGTCGTAAGAAAAAGACGTTATTGGTTTCCCACACCTGTTGCACAATCTTCGCGGGTTGGACTCGTATCTCGTCATATAACTGTAGAGCAGTCCAGTGCCTTGGATTGTTCTCCCTCGTTATCCTAAGGTAGTACTGATGTAGGTGCTCACTTTTATGCATTTTTGCAGCATACTCCTTTCCGTCCTGATCTAAATCCTCGAAATCATCGCACAGCTTGGGAAAATTGGAAAGATCCAGTGAGACTGGTTCTCGGTGTCGCACCATTTTCGGCACACCACACTGGTGGAACAAGGGAGCTGCTGTGGTTGATTGCCAGTCGATTATACTAGTGACCTGGAGGGTGTTGGGATCAATAAATATATTATCAAGATGGAGGTCGGGATGCCACAGAGTGGAGGCATTAATATCTGGAAAAGACGGTGGAACCATAGCCGGAGTGAGCTTGAGATACTTGTCCAGGAGCTCCAGCATCTCTTCAGGGTGTTCAGGCTCCACATGCGAGCGAGCATAATTCAGTCGGGGATTGCCGTGCTGCTTAAGAACATGCATCTCGCTCAACCCCTTGTTTCTAATCAACTCGAGGGCTCCGAGAACTGTGAGCATTAGTATGGTAGTATGTATAATGGGTAAGTTACTTACAAGGTCCCCTATTCAATTCAATTGTAGCCTTTTCTTTCTCCCAGAAATCCGCAGCTACCAACGGGCCCATGCGGAATTGTTGCAGAGTCGAGGGTGATTTCATCCCTGTTACTTGCAAGGGCTCGCCATAAGGAACATCTGCTTTGAAGTAGATGCAACCGCAATCCTTGAAAGGTATGTCTGTAAGCCTACGTTCGATCTCAACAATTTGCCTTATAATCCCAAAACGAGCTATTATTGGTAGTCTATCCCAATCTTGCCAAAGTGACCATAAAGGTTCCCCTTGGGCTCTCTGCTCTAGTATATACTCTGCCCCGACCGGATTGTCCTTTACAGCCGACCAGGTAATTATACGAGGATTTGGGATATCTAGGACATCACGCAACTGTAAGAATGTTAGCAATAAGAGACCAATATTTGACACGAAAACGCTTACGAAAGTACGGGTGGCAACTTCTGAGGCTGTGGTGTAAAAGGCAGGTCCTGCACATAAATGCGGTAGCTTTGCAAATACCACGGAGCCATTGTCCATTGTCAGTAGGAACGCCTTGTTATTCATGCCTTCCTTGCATTTAAGTACTTCTATACCTACAAATACTCAGTTGGTATTTTATCACGTGATTGAATAGTCGCAATAGGATAGGTAGGTAAGGTACCTACAGTGATGGGCACCATGTTCAGACATGGCAGTGACTGCAACGCGAACAAGCTCCTGTAGGTCGAACTTGAGATATCGCTGCGAAAGATTATATGCTTCGTTGTATCTGGCCAGTCAGCACACATGGCCCGGGAACCTGATCATCACACACGTACACCCAGCGATGTCTAGTATATCTGTAAAGATCCGCCTCTGGAATGTCCTCCACTGTGGAAATCAGCAAATACGTGACAGTCAATCTAGCAGGTACATACCGGACCCATCTTCTCTCGTAGCACGAATCGCAAACGACGTATTGTGCCGAAAGAGCTGTAAATTCAAAGAAGTCCGGGGTCCCACAATGGGGAAATGCGTTTCATAGCTGTGAGTGAGCGATTGGCGGAAGATGTGCTTGCATGACAGCAATTTGAACATTGCCGGAGAAACCTTTCGCACGTATGGCTTATTATATGTCTTCGTGAAGTTAATGTTGATGTTGCGGTTCACGCTGAGAGCCACATCTCACCGCCTTGGGCAGAACACTGAATGTTCCTTGAACATGAATACCTTCAGTATAGAATTGCGTTGGCTACTTGGAGGTGCTGTCTTTATTCGTCGGTAGCATAGAAGCTCCAACGCAAATGGAAACTGGTGTTGGTGATCTTCATAATGTTTCGGAAGACATGTTCGCTCCTTGGCTTTCTACGAAAATTCCTGGTTACACTCGAATAGCATGTTCATTTAGTGTGTAAGCTTTCCAGAAGTTGAATGTTTGTATAATCCCAAAACCAATTGGATTACTCTGGCTTGGTTAAACTTAGTTATGGCTGCTTAAATTGATCAGACATAATAGTCGGTTCCCCTTTCAACCTTCGGGGACTTGTAAGCGAGTGCCCGCAGCTTCACAGAGGGGAACCGACTATTAAGTATAGATTGGAAATTACAAATATCTTTATATCTATCTGATCATAGCCCTAAAGCGTGCAGTTTACGACAAAAACTGAATTCCGACAGAAACTTGGCCCGATTTACTCATTCGAGGCATCCTCAAGACCCAGTACCTCAGTCAGACGAAGAAAGACACAATCTACTATTTCAGCTCATGCACAGTTGGCTTCATTTCGGTGGCTTTGACATCATCGTCCTGATCTTCATTCATAACCTTCTTGGAAGCCCTCTCGCCGTCGAACACTAAGTTGGGAGATTAGCAAGGTTCACAAGGTCTAGGAGAAGAGAGATTTGAGCAGCGTACCCATAGCAACTTCTTCAAGAGAGGGACCCTTGGTCTCGGGATAAAGAACATAGACGATGCCAGTCTCACAAACCAACCATACCTAGGTATCGATGTGAGCGATTTGACTTATTGAGTATAGATACAAGATGGAGAGTGAAACATACAGCGTAGAACAAGTAATACTTCCACTTGAGGCTGTCGAGCCCGATAGGGTTCACGAATGTGTTGAAGGCAGTACTGCCCCTGTTGAAAAACTGCAGAATAGCAAGACCCTTGGCACGGTAGATGAAGGGGAAGATCTCAGTGGCGTAAATGTACATTAGAGGCTGCATGATGTTAAAGAAGGCGTTGAAGATGAAGATGAAGGCAATCACGCCTGTGGCGACGGCGTTCCCTCCGGTCTTGGCGAACGTAGCGCTGAGAGCTGTGATGATACTAAAGATGACAGTAATGCTGACAAAGGACGTGAGATACTGGACACGACGGCGAAGGATCTTTGTTGCAAATGCGGCGCAGGTGGCAGTGATCAAATTCCAGCACTACAATAAAAGATTAGCCTGTTTAACACTTGGCCTTATATTAGCCAAAAACTTACCGAGAGAGACAAGTTGATGATGTTTTGAGTTCTTTTATCCTTGATACCGACTGTCTGTAAGACTTTGGCTAGGTAATAACTGTGGTAGTGAGGGTCAGACTGAATGGTAATACTTGGTGTCGTGCAAGGAATCGCGGACTCACGAAATCAAGCCATTTCCAGACCACTGTGCGAAGATACCAAGACACATCACAATCAGGACTCGTTTTCGATTACCGGGCGTCTGGAGTAACTCGATCCACTTTCTCTGAGAGCTCAACTTTTCTAGCCGCAACTGGGTTTGTATCTCAACAAACTCAGCCTGGACAAATGCGTTATTTCGGTCACCCTCCCCATGATACTTGACCAAGATCTCAAAAGCTTCGGCATCTCTATCCTTGGAAATGAGCCAACGAGGTGACTCTGGCACCCAATAGATAAAAACAAGTTGTAGCATGGAAGGAGCAGCCTGCAGGATGGAAGGGATGCGCCAGGACCAGTCGTTGGGGATCGAGTATGTTCCAAGAGTAACACCTGCAGCGAGAATAGCGCCGACGAACCAGGATACATTAAACAAGCCCGTGACGACAGCCCGCTCTTTCGGATATGTCAACTCGGCGAGAAGTTGCGCTGCACCCGAGACAGCGAACGGTATACCTGTACCCAAGAGGAAACGCGCAGCCAAGAACATGTTGTCTACGAAAACCCAGTTGTGAGCTGGTGGTAACTAGTAAAGGGAGTTAAATTGCAGACTTACAGTTCTGAGCCGCAGATTGCACAACGACTCCGCACATCAGTATGATGGATCCTAGAGCGATACTATTCCGTCTTCCGAATCTATCATTAACCCAAGGCACAAGAGGTAGACTGATCAAGCCACCCAGATTGTATGATGCATTCAAGACGCCCAGACGTGTACCAGTAGGATGTCCGAAAACTGCCCCAATTTGTGAGCCCAGTCTCACCATCATTACAACGGATTCCACTTACAATCTTGCCAGTGAGACACGGCCTGCAGACCATTTAAGACTGAGCCATCGTATCCGGTAGTCATTTCAACACCTAGAGCGGCAGGAATGAGACAGAAATACAAGGCTCGCAGATTTGGCTTCTGATACCATGGCGAGGTATCAAGCTCAAGCAGGCGAATGACTTCGGACTGGTCCTTGATGGTCGCAGCGTCTATCCCCTTGGCCTCCATATTTGATACCGATACTGTGGGGATAAGATTTGTTGGATGTAATTTTAAGATATGAAAACAAGAAAACAAGAAGACGCCAATCCATTGGGCTTGCTTATGTTTATATAAAGATACTTAGTTCCCGCGAAGTGGTCTCGCTTATTGCTCGCTCTATATACCCCAATACTGAGCTACCCCGCGTGCCAAGATTCATCCCACCTCTGTCCAAGAACCTCCAGGCAATGTATGTAGGGATAGGAAGAGGGAAAAAACCGTCCTACCAATCAGTCGGTCTACCAATCTAAGTGTGGGGTGTTTACCGTTCTTTCGGGTGTGGCGTGCCCCCATGGGAAAACTGTTGTTCAAACATGGTTGGGTCGCTATTTATCCGCGGCATAGCTCCCTGGTTGTTTATCGTTTTTCCGCGGATCTCCTGTGAGATCCCTTACATTGATATCCCCACAAATTGTTCAGCCCGCATATCGTATTCAGCTTAGCGAGTACGGTTTCTGGGAATCTAGAATCTGATAATCCCTCACACGGCTCCAGCTCTCTACTTTCATGATCACCCATGGCTCGCTCGCGGATGACGAGCCTGTTCGAAATAAGCCCCACCCTTCGTTGACCTGTCAGCTTGTGGATGAAGAGAAGTGGAGAGAACAAACCGATTTCCGATCAGAGTTTACGACTAAACAGTACATGCCAACCCGCTGAGTTTCTATATGCCATCAACACGCTAATGGTCATGAGAGATGATATTGAATAGTAAGAGTTTCATCTCTTTGCCAGAAATCTAGTGTCTGCATTTCAGAATCCATCGCGAAGCCAGTAAAAGCGACTCGTCTACTACCAGAAAGTCTCTCATTACTCACTACCAGCACTTACCACAGAGCTCGTAGTAGACTCCTCCGGCAATGCAACTTCAGACTCTCCAAGCCTCTTCTTCCTCGCCGCCGGCTTCCCCTGCTCAGTCCACCTCTCCCTCAAATACCTCCCCGCAGCCTTCGGTTTCCTCTCCCTCGTAAACACCCCTTTCTTATTCCCATCCACCCTCCACGCCGTCGACACTGTCTGAAAGTCCGCAAAGCTCCACACATGCTCCCCAACCACTCTCTCCACCCTATCAAAAACACCATGATACATCTCCAGATACCGCACCTGGTCCTCCTCGCTCCACGCCGTATCACAGACACTATGGAGCCCAGACAGCGTATCAACCCCGTACTCGCTCATAATTATCGGCTTGCCAAAACGATCCTGCCACGCCCGTAGCTCATCTTCCAGCTTGTCCTTGGCAGAAACCAAATCCCCTGTAAACGTATACCACCCATAATACCTATTCAGACACAGCACATCGAAAAGATCCGCAAGCCTGTCCTTATCAGGCGGCGCACGCACTTCATTCGTGAAGCACACCGGCCGCGTCCGATCCAGTTCCCGAGTCAACCTCACAAGCGGCTGAAAATACTCTCTCGCGCCATCCTCCCCCGCCGCAGGCTCATTAGCCACCACCCACATAACGACGCTTGGATGATTTTTATCCCTGGCAATCAGCTCTCTAATAGCGTCCGCATGGGCCGAAACTAGGTCTTTCAGGCCAGCCGTGCTTGCCAGCATTGACGGCGAGGTTGAGTCCGACTGCTGGAGTCTCGTCCAACACGACGATGTCGTGACGATCGGCGTACTCGAGGACTTCTTCTGCGTACGGGTAGTGCGATGTTCGGAACGAGTTGGCGCCTATCCAGCTCATTAGGTGGAAGTCGTGGACCATGTAGACGGCGTCGTGGCTACGGCCGCGGATTGGTGAGTCCTCATGTTTACCGAAGCCTTTGAAGTAGAAGGGTTTGTTGTTGATGAGGAATTGGTTGCCGAGGACTTGGACAGAGCGTATGCCAACGGGAAGCTCGTATGTATCTAGAATGGGGGTTTCAGCTCTCTTTTCTGATGTAATTCGTACTAGGAGCGTGTATAAGTATGCTGCACCGGGCTGCCATGGAATAACCGAGTCAACAGTGAGCCTCCCTTCCTGGCTTCGTGCATGGGCGACGTCTTCGCCCTCCTCATCCACCAGGGACACACTAAACCGGTGTCCTTCTCCAATTGGCTGATTTGTCTGGATCTTGAAGTCAACGGTTCCTTTGCTGCCGCCGTTCGTAAGGTCTGTAGTCAGAGTGATATCGCTGATGAAGGTGGTGGGCACAGTAAACAGCCACACCGACCGCGCTAATCCCGCATAGTTAAAGAAATCGTGCTGATAGATCTGTTTCCGTCAGCTATCCTTCAACACTTCAATGTGCCCTGGCGGGATAGTGTCCCAGTGAAGCTCATTGCAAACCGCAACAGTCAAGCGGAAGCGACTACCTGGTTTTACCAGCGACGTGAGCTCGGCCTCGAATGGGGTGTATCCCCCAATGTGCTCGACCACGAAGTCATCGTTGACATAGACACGGCCTCTATGGGTAGCAGCATCGAGGTGCAGAAAGAGACGCTCCTGCGACCAGGACTTGGGGATCGTCACGAGCTTCTGATAGTAGACCCATCCGACATGGTCTCGGATGGCCTGATCAGCGAAGATGTCGTTGTAGCTGGCAGGCACTGGCGCCTGTAAGTGGTGTGGGATTGTCTTCTTCCATGCTTGTTCTGTATCGATATCTGGTGATGAGGCAACGGCGAAGTTCCAGAGTCCGTCCAAGGAAACGAGTTCCCTGATGGAGTTCGCCTGGGGCTTGAGCATAATGAAGGATGCAAGGTGGGATGAGAGGGAATGATAAGAGAATGGAAAAGTGAGCAATATTCCAGTCGCAAAATCTTCCACATACCTCAGACATATCGGGACTCGAGGCAATAAATATGACCTTCATCACGGGCGGTGATTGGGACACTATCTGCTTTGGTTTTGTCCTTCCTGGGTCGGAGAATTGATCCTAAGACAAGAAGCGAGCATTTCTCGCTTGTCTACACCACTGATACTGTACAGTATGGGGCATTACGGGGAGCACGCCTTACCTACCTATTGGATATTTCCCTATTCTATTCTCCGAGCCCGCGGACAATTTTATATAAACCACTTCGCATCCCATCCCACCTCTCCCTATCTCAAAAGTGCGAGTGCCGCGGACATATATTTCAGGACCAATGCAACGCAATAAAACCCCAAAACTGCTTCGGATATCGATGCACCGAATGATTCAAGCCTCACACGATAACAAGTCCGCATAATTGGAGGTTGGGGTGGTCTGTTGCAATATTCTCGGGCAATTGTCAATATTGATTGCATCACAACATGACCCCCGTCGGCGCCGCCTGTGATGCATGTAAACGACGCAAGGTCAAATGCGACCGATCCGATTCCTGTGCCAATTGCCGCCTCTCTGGACTCCACTGCCAACGTTTGATTCCACCACAGAAGAGGGGCCGTCGAAGGATCAAGCCCATACCTACAGAACGGAATTCGCTGGCGACTAGTACAGATGGCAGTCCCAACAACAACAACAGCAGCAGCAAAGATCAACATGATCATGGCCACGCCAATGGGGAACATCATCAGTCCACAGCGTTTGTTGGAAGTAGCAAAGTCCCCAACTCAAGCCTCGCTCCAGCTCCTGTATCAGTTCCCTTTTCTGCTCCGACGGAGCTTCTCTACCATGTGTCACCCTATTCCAATTCCAATTCTCCGCAAGCTGTAGTACTTGTATCCTTTGCTTCGCCAGGCTCAGGCTCTTTTGCTCCTCCATCACCAATTGGACATAGCCGAGAGGATGCTGAACAGATCCATCGTCGCCTGATGGCGACAATTAGTCCTGTGATTCTCCCCGAAGAGATATTGGTCTGCATTCACCGCTACATCGATCTGTTCATGCAGTATCATTTCCCCAATTTCCCCGTCATCTTTGAGTCAACCTTGCGAGCTCATGCTCGTTGCTCGGGCTGCCGCCCCTGGACCACGACCTAGCGCCACCGAACCCCCTGTATAGCCCAAATCCGAGCATTCAGCTCGAGTCTATGAAAGGGTTTGCCCTTATTACAGCTATGTGTGCATCTATCATATCTGTGGTGCCCTCGTCTTTAATCCCCGAGAAGCATCTCCTCTCAATGCCCTTCCTCCACGCCTCAAGGGACATGCTTCGGGTCTATGAAGACTACGATCTGGAATTTCCCGAATCATCCTCTTTGATTATTCGTCAATGGCACTCGGTTGCGCTCCAGAATATAACTGGCAAGACTGGATCAGCATGGCATCGTCACGGCGAAGCCACCCTTCTGGCACGGAGGCTCCATCTTTACGACGAAGTGGCGTTGAGTGCTATTCGTAGTCCCAGAAAGTCACAAATGCTCCGCGCTAGCTTTTGGCAGTTATATCTCACAGACGTTGCAGCTGTGGTTACCGGCACCCGGACACCCTTATTGAGCGAGTCTCTGTTTGATGGCGATGGTTTGTCGCTGCTTGAGCGTGGGGAATATGAAAATCCCCTGCTTGACCTCACTAAGAGCTGCAACCAAGGGTCATTGGAAGACCGGATCATTGTCGGCAACCATTTCAAAATTCGTCTATGGGTTTCGTCCGCTCGCATAATCCAAGACATCAAAACATGTGGCAAGCTTCAGCAGGATGGTTCCGTCGACCCAAGCAGCACTCCACAAGAAAGTACCGCGCCAAGTCATTTAGTTGAGGCCCATCTGGCATTCATAGGATCCTTAGACAACCTTCCGCCATGGCTGCAGCATCCCGACAATTGCCCTGACTCAGAAGATGAGGCAATATGCGCTTATCAAAGAACCTGTTTTTGGGCGCAGAGATGTAGCATAATATCAGCATTCCACTGCCTGAAACTCATCATACTACAATCTTGCGTGGAATTTAATATGCCCTCTATCATGGGCTTCAGCGACCATGCGATATCTTTAGCGATGAAGAAGATAGAAATTGCCCACGACTTCCTGCGGGATCTGCAGGTAGTTCCTTTTCTTTGCTTGAAAGTCCAGGGTGAGCCTGCGGTCAGTCGAAAAAACGCCGTCCTACGTCCTAAGGTTTAAGAACTGACACAACATCATTTAGGTCCAAAGAATCAGGCGCGTTGGCACTCTTGTGCTGCAAGTTGGACAGACAGTTGACCATGAGACCATTAAGTCACGTTCGAAAGCTTTCCTGACTCGGCTTTTGGACCTACTGGCCAAGCTAGATTCCAAGGCGTCGGATAGTATTAGTTCTCAACTCGTGTAGTGGGCGTCTGCGTATCACAGAGACACCGGAGATCTTGATATTAACTATTCCACATTTGAGAAACGTAACCCTAAGTGGTATAGTCCAATTTACGGAGAGGTTAAGTATCAGAGAGTGGCAAGTCTTTCCAGTGCTTTGGTACAGGTGGATCATTCTGGGGCCGTCCGGGGGAAACCTGTTGAAAGGCACCTTTTCTCCACCAAGTCCTAGACAACATGGACGTTCTAGCTAGTTCACCATAACCCACGACTCTTATATGCTCGAATACTATCAGGAGTGCCAAGACGACTTGTCGATGAGGAAGTGTCTGTGAACAGAAAATTCTCCGGCCAAAGTTGTTACTACGGGGATAATTCGACCGATGGTCTGCACAAGAACACCACTATTGTGCTATTGGCTTTACCCCGCGTTTACCAGCAATCAAAGCCAAGACAAGGTCTATAAGATGAGAAGTCACCTCACGTCAACCTTCTCTCCACAGTCCAACAGGAGTGGAGGGTCATCCACTACCAGTATTTTATCATCCTTCATTAACTATCGTCTTGTACCATCCTTGCCTCCATCATGCAGCAGAGCAAATCCTCTGCCGAGAAGATAGTTGTGGAGAAAGCTGGCAATGAGATTACTCACACGGGAACCCTGGGCGTCGACGATGTATACTTCAACCCAAAGATGTCCTTCAAGATGCCGCAGCTAGAGGTCAAGCCTTGACCGGATATGAGGCATTGACCCAGTGGCAGACGGCCAAGAAGTTCAAGTGGTGCACCTTTTATGTCGTTATTGCTGCAATCGCTGCTGGTACAGACGGATACCAAATAGGGTGTGTCTCCTCGCTTCTCTGTATCCAAAACTATTCAGGATCATTCCATCCACTGATCATATACCGTGAATAGACTCAATGCCGGTATTCTCGCCAACACGGGCTTCGTCCAGCAATTTGGCACCGCCAACAATGCCAAAGGCAAGAAAGTCCTCGCATCCAACGTGATAGCCGCCTGGGGGAGCATCCTACTCGTCGGTCAAGTCGTCGCCAACGTCGCGGTTCCTTTCCTATCAGCTCAGTTCGGCCGCAAGGCAGCAATGTTCACATGCTGGCTCATTCTAACAGCCAGTGTTATCTGTGAAAGCTTCTCTCAAGCATGGCCCCACTGGCTCGCTGGCATGGGCCTGGGCTGCATACAAGTCACCCTCCCCGCATACATCACCGAAACCGCCCCCACCGGCGTCCGTGGCATGGTATTGATGACTTATAACCTCTGGTGGACTGTAGGCACATTCTTCGCGTATGTAGCTATGGAGTCGCTCGGTACTCAAGACCGTCATGACTGGTTGACCCCGGTGTATTCGCAATTCGCCCATATCGGCCTCATGGCCGTTATCTTTGCCATCCTACCCGAATCGCCTGCCTAGGCCGTAGCACAAGGACATCATGCTCGAGCAAAGAAGGCACTTAGTCGACTGTACAGAGGCGTCGACGACTTCAACCTTGACCAACAAGTACAAGTCCTGGTGCTCCTAGCCGAGCACGAAGCCAAAGTCGCCGCACTACAGAAACACGAAAAGTGGTATGCAATTTTCCGCGGCACCGATGGCTTCCGTACTCTCCTCGCTCTTTGGAAACTCCTCTCGCAACAGTTTACCGGTCTTGTTCTCTTCTCGACCTTCGGAGCGTACTTCTTTCAACAAGCTGGCGTTGGAGACCCTTTCCAGATCAAATACATCACCCTATCCGTGAAGATAGTGGCAGCCGTCGTTGTTGTTTTCCTTGCTGATATCCTGGGGAACAGAATGATCAGTTGCTCTGGCACAACTACCATGTGGGCAACCAGTCTGATCGTTGGAATCCTCGGCCTCGTACCGAGAGTTCCGGCTGTGAATTACATCTTTGTTCTGGTGGCCGTCATATGGAGTAAGTAGCCATCCTCTCCTATCTTCCCTCCAGACCCCGCCACCCTGTTATTCCTCTCGACCAAAACAAACCTAAGAAGCCTTTTCCTACTCCACTAACAAGCTAACCTCCCTTTCTCACACCACAGACATTGGCCTCACCATGAATGGCGCCACAGGCTGGGGTTTCATCGGCGAGATCTCCTCTCAACGCCTCCGACACTACACGTCGGGTGCAGCCGCCACCGCCATCTCAATCACCAACATCGGAATGAACCAGCTAGTGCCTCACATGGTCAATGCGAGCGATTGGAACTGGGGCCTCAAATCGGGCTTCTTCTATGCTGGTGTGGGATTGCCGTTTATTGTGGGAATGTGGTTGCTAATTCCGGAGACTTCTGGGCAAGATACTTCGCTTAAGTCAATTTCTTTCTTAGCTTCAACTCCATCTCCGATCTGTCATACACTGCCCTCGCATCTCTTTCACTCAATCACCTACTATCATTGCCCAAGCTCGGCTAATCAATCCTTCTTCCCCCAACCAGGCGTTCCGCAGCTGAACTCGACGAGCTTTTCGAGCGTAAAATTCGGCCGTGGCGATTCAAGAAGACCGAGACTGCTACGTAGCGAGTTGTTGCTCTTGGTTTTGCCAGTGAGATGTAGGCAGTTTTGCACTTTGTGATGGTGGAGAGATGAGTAGGGGAGTGGATGATTGGCTTTGATGTGATCGTGGCAGGGTTCTTAGAAAGAGAAATTTTTCCATATCTTTCTTGTTATTTACTCCTCTTCGAGCAACATAAAAGAGACAAAAGATAAGTCACGTATCACATCCATAAGTTACAGTCCACAATCAGAATATATCTTTATCTCATGCGGTAAACCGCACTCCATACGTTCCAGAACATCTCATAATCATCAGATCTCTCTAATTTTCAATAATGAAGTCAGCACAGAGATGATTGTATGCTTCAATGACCGGTTGAATGTCTAAAAAGGAATGCAGCGATTCCATACAATTTCCTGCCGTGGAATCCTTCACCATGTTGCTCTAGCCAGGTACACATTCAAACATCGATCATGAGAACTCAATTTGATGTCAAATCACTCATGCTTTCTCACCCCGAAAGTCCACAAGAATCTTGGCCGCATGAATGTGTTGGCGGGAGGTTCTGTTCTCCACTTTATCACGCGAGACATTGTTTACTAGTTTACCTTCCTGAGGCCACAAGTATCAAACCTTAAAAGAAACGAACAGAGGAGGCTTTTAATCGTCAAAATAATTCTCAAAGGTGGAATGCACACCGGTCGTTGTAGCTGATGCTGGGTGACTTCGATCTAAGACTTCTTTGATCTAAGATTCCTCTAATGGTTAAATCGTCGTTTATTTGCCAATTTATGGGTCATCTGACTTAGTAGACAAATGAATTTATGTGCTCTGGAAAGGGCAATACCGCCAGAAGACCAAAGATCTTTCTGCCAAACCCTCTTGCTTGCGAATCCTTCCCAGAGGATATTTGTCAAGGATAGGTCCGTCATGATAAGGTCTGCTGTACGTATTCAGGAGGAGGTGTCATGTGAAGAGTCAGCTTGATATACCAAAAAAGCTTACTCACATATTAATCTATCTCGGTAGACACATCAAGCAATACCTAGCCTCACCCACGATGAAGGAATACGCTAGGGGCTCCAAATAGAAGTTTTGTTTGATACTTGCGACTGCAGTAACCCCCGAACTCCTTTGGTTCAATGAATGCAATTGAGATTGACAACTGGACGGTCTTGAGTGGGGATAGTCCAGGATCGATCCACAATCTTGAGAACGGCTGTTTCACAGATCTCCAAGCTTGAGAGCCAATAGCTCACTGAAGGCCATAAGTGTTGGCTGAAGTGGGGATGATAATCTAACCGAGCGTAATAAAGTCATTAATCACCAAGTGAAAGCTGAGATTGCAATAGCAGGTCATAATTATCTTCTCTGGTAACCTCCATAAAATATCTATCAAGCTAGATCGCAGGGTTTGCAATGAGAGTCTTGTCAGGGGATGCACATGACGTTCCCACAAGCTAGTATCTCTGACAACATATCCAAACACATAAGTTGTCCTTACAAAAGCATGACAGCAACCACATTCACAACGACGAAGACAACTCCACTCGCACTACCAAGATCACCAGCACCTGCAGTACTCAGACTCGTACTGACTCCAGCCGCACTGCCAGAACCACTCCCACTCCCACTTGGAGCCGGCGTTGTCCCTGCACCACTCGCCACCAACCCCGTCGCCGACGAACTCCTCACACTTCCTGACGGCGTATAATACTCCCACGGCGCCGTCCTCTCACTCGCTCTCCCCGTCGCAACCCCAGTAACAACTCCAATCGTAGGCGTGACATGAAGATCCGTAGTCCAATAATTGCTCGCAGCCGTCTGGTTCGGGAATTTATCCTCTCCAAGCGTGATTCTGGGAAGAGTTGTCGTGATGGTTGTGATGTTCATGAAGTTGGCGAAGGGGACGGTGGGATACGGCGATGCGGTACACTCGGCGGTGAAGATGGAGGAGATGAAGGATGCGTCCTCGATTAAGACGCTTGAGTTGTAGCCTGGCCATCCGTGGGCGTTGTAGCATGCTGAGCAGCCTTTCCAGGCATCGATTATGTTGCTACCACACTTTGGATTGTCAGCATAGGAAGAAAAACTTTTAAAAGAAGTGTGAAGCTAGAATATTTGTTTGTCACTATGCTCTGGACTGGGCTGTCACTTACAAGACACTGCTGCTCCGCATCAAAGTCAACAGCCGGATCCGTTGCATTTGTCAAGCAAGACCCAAGGATATAATCCGCCTGGTCACAGGGAAAAGGTGACAAAGCCAAATATGGGAAAAGCTGGCCCTTATAGGTACTGTTCATGATCGTGTTGTAGAAGTCGGGTCTGCACATTTGAAGAAGGTATAACCCCGCGGGATCAGGCTCGGAGTCGTCGACCTGACGGCCCTGAAGTTGGTGTCTATACATAGCTGATGCTAGTACGGAGTGCGCCGCAATGGTAGTGTACAGAATAGTGGACCTCATGATAGGCTTGGGAGGTTGGATGCTAACTTGGAGAAATAAGGATTGAAGATGGATCTTACAATTTGTGGATTTTGACTTTTGACAAGTGCCAGCTGCTTTAGTTATATATATTTCCTAACTCGGTGCCTTATCCAGAAGCGCTCACGGTGGTAGGCGCAGCTGGAAAAACATACCATCTCATCAACAGCTTCCTTGGCCTAAAAGCTTGGATGCCAACTAAACCTACTCTCCAGATCCCTGCCATGTTGGTACTTCTACAACATCTACCGAATGTAGCTAATTACGACAAAATAGACGACCAGAAGGACGAGCAATCACCACAGGTAAATTTGCTGGCATGCTTTTGCTGGAAGTATTGTGCCAATAATTGCGCAGTACCTAAGCGAGGACGCTTCGCCCTGTCCAAGCCGGTTGAACAACCGAATCTCCGTGGTAAACAATTCTCCGTTTGGACGGAAGGACAAAAGATTTGTGGGGAAGCTGGATCTAATCTCGTCAGGCTGGAATGGGAGATATACGGTCGTAAATGCTTGTGAGTGGGGACAGCAGATCGTGGCTGATTCCTTGCCCGTGACTTTCAATCACTGTCTTGCATTGCAGCCCCATGAAGTTGAGGCAAAAGATAATTGTGTCTACACAGCATTGAGGTAGCCAGTGGTAGATACTATCTAATTTTTAAAAGAGTGTGTTCGTTGTTGCCAGCCCTGATCCAAACCACAGTACTTTTGTCCGTCGTTTTTGTCATTCCTCAACCCCCACGCCCCCCAACCTCTGCCATGACGGGTCGATAACTTCAATGCCAGACCCTCCTACATCAGAGTTTTGAAGCTTCAGTGATCAGTCTTCTTACTGAGAAGACCATTATCTCCTCCATCCCCACCACCGGACCCGCCATCCCCATCCCCGCCTTTCACCTCTGTACTGATTCCCGGTTTCTGCGCAAACTGAAGCGCATTTTGTTTTGTCACGGTCTCGAAAGCTGTGTTCAGCGTAGTCTGATTGTTCACGACCTGATCATAATTGATGTCAGCTTGATAGACCGTGTACTCCATGTCGTAGTGAAAGGTCTCCGTTTCGGAATGCCCCAGGCAGCTGGAAGTAGCTTCGAAGTAGGCCTGAGTATCGATGTGCATGTAGATGAGCTTGGTACAAGGCTGCCACACCCAGATTGGATTCTTGTCATCTCCAGAGACGTTGCGCTTGGTGATCATTGTGCTGCGAACGAAGTGCGTGATTTCCTTGTTGGTGCTGGTGGAATCCAGCTTGATGCTGGCGATCGAGGATATGTACTGAGCGAGAACGCCCGAGATCTCCGTTAAAGCTTCTGCGGTGAGATCGAACGGCTTGAATAGATCACTTGTGAACTCAAGCTGGAAGTTGGCGCTGCTGACATCCTTCGAGTAGCTGTTCGAAGTCTGCGATGTGGTGATGTAGTATCCGGACAGTCCTCCAATGGCAACTTGATAAGCGAGATCGGCATTCTCCTTGATGGCCAAGCAAGCTTGTGCCGGATCGCTGATGTCGTACGGCGTGGTTCGACCCTGCTTTGCCATGAGCTGTATTCGGAGAATATTCTCGCACAGAACAGAAACTCCTTGCAACAGCGTTGACATTGTGTACTTCTGCGCAATGTCATCCGAGGAGCCATCGGCAGGCTTCACAAGGATGGCTGGCGCCACGGGCATAGTGCCGGCTTTTACCTGGTCCGTTGGTGAAGCCTCACCACCCATCAACAGCTTCGTTAGCTGGTCAAACTTGTCTGGCTTATCTTTGCTGGAGTCCCCGAGCTTGTTGCCGGGCCCGTTGAGTAAGGCTTTGAATGCAGCGGTAGGGAATGCGTTGCCCTTTGGGTCGTTGATGACCTTGAAAAACTTATCAAGGATGGCATTAGACTCCTTTTGAGTTTGAGCAAGACTCGTATCGATCTTGGTGGAAGGCACGCCGATTGGCGTGAGCGGGATTGTCTTTGGAGGTGTATCAGGTGGCGCATCTGGGTGAGAGACGTAGATGTCCAGAACGATATTCTGCTCTTCGCCGACGCGTAGCACAATCACACTGCCATTGGGAAGCTCCAGATACGAGTCATTGGTTTTCCCGAAGAAGGTGTCTGGAGTGGCTCCTCCATCGTTGAACTCAATCAAGAACTTAGTGATGCTAGCAGTGTGGCTAAGGAGTTCTTCACCAGGGAGAATAGTGACGAAATGAACATCCGAAAGGAAAGCCGAGAGAACAGCTGTTTCCCCAAGCCGGTTAAGGACGGTGGTTGAATTCAGAATCACCGTCGGGTTTTTGGATTCCGACATGTTGTCAAGTAGGTGAGGGAATATGAAAATTGTAAAATGTAGCCCAAGTTGAATGTGGGAAGTCTGAAAACTTGATATTTGGTGGACAGTCTGGAAACTAGATCTTATATAAACCCATAAGTTAAGGCTAGATGAGCTGCGATTGCAATAATTGACGTGCCTCACAGCTTCATCATTACACAGGTCCCTCCGCAACGAGAATGGCCTCTTCTTCAAATCGCCGATGGTCGTCGCTCAAATAGAAACATGACTCTCACCAATATGCTGAGGCACCGCGATTTCTGCACAAAGAAAGGGACAGAAGTAGCCATCAAGGACTTTGTTTTGAGTCGTGTCGAGAAACGTTTGGTGCGGCGTGCAAAATATAGAACCACTTTGAAGGCACGACATGTTTCCCCGCCCTCTTTGCAGACGTCGTCGGCACAGAGTGTCACTATCACCACTTTGTCCTTCCAATCCCACGAAAAACAATCGGGAAAGAACTGCAACCCCCACGAAGAAGTCATTGGAAATGACTAACGAGGTAAGGTATTGAGCAGCAATATTTGGGTACAGCAGTGGGTATTCTGATAAGCCAATGCAGTGAGATCTGGAAGGCAATGTTCAACGAACGCATGTGGTTCAAGAATGTGTCAAAGCTGCATTGTGTGCCATATTATCGTGCGTGCCTGCATATGCTGTGCTTCAGGGCGAGGGACACTGCCTTGCCAACGGATAAGATGCCCAAAGTGACATGCACACCTCAAATACAGATCGCAAATCAATACATCGCAACACGACGAATAAAAATGAAAGAACGAAGGACAGTCGCTAGGAGCTTTCCCGCGTGATACCCCGCTGCGACCTCACTTGAGAAACGAACTCGAGAAAGAAATCACACAGACTCCATTAGAAATGGGAAGTGTTACATGAACGAGGGGTTGTGTCCCACCGTTAGAGAGTGAGGGGAACTGCAAGCAGATTGACAGAGGAGGATGATATGTAATAACATGGCTTGGCATAACGTCCAATTCCTCTCTGAATATTCAAGAGCAAGGTATTTTTTATGCAAACCCGTGAAGCGGAAACCAAATATATCAAGCCTAAGAACACCAAGTATTTTAACCATCAGTAGAGAGGAATGTTCAGAGCGAGCCCACCTTTTAGCTCGAGAGCAGTGCAAAGAAGAGGAGAAACAACTACTTCAGCAGGTGGATTGAACAACGTTTGTGCTTTCACTTCCAGAAGGACGAAGCCTCTGGCTGGGTATCAAATGTAATTAAATTATCCTTCAACGCTCTATGAAGCTGCTTTTGTGACACCTCTCCCTCTGTTGATCTGCAGCATCTTATCCTCGCCTCCACTGACAATCCCAACATTCTCATCCCATGCCACACCAAAGACCTTGATACCATCTCCACCAACCGGCCTCTTGCCATCTTTGTGGCTTTCTCGCTCCACGACATACACAGCTTCACCCACTTGACCACCACCTTCATCCTTAGTTCCCTGTCTTGAACTTCGCAGATCCCATACTCGGCAGGTCCCGTCGTGACTTCCACTGACAAGTCCAAATCTGCTTTCTGGATCCTGGGCGAGAGAGACAATCTTGTTGGTGTGACCGCGAAGAGTCATGACCTGTGTAGATTGAGAAGATATTCTAGGATCGAGGAGTGTGATATGGCGTGCACTAGTTCCTGCTGCTAATAACTGGTGGCTGATACCTGGCAGGGCAGTCAAGGAAAGTAACGGATGTGATGTTGTTCTTGTGTCGACCAAACTGAACGTAGTCAAGTCAAAGGTTCGGATTGTGTGATCTTGGGATGCGGAGTATGCAACAGTGTGGTCGAGTGGGTTGAAAATGACTGCATTTACGGGTCCAGTGTGAGAGCCTATGAGGGAGAGAGGACCACGCTGTGCTGTAGACGTCGAGGTGGTAAGCTTTCGGCGCTTTGCAGTTGGTCCAGACGATATGAGGGAGGGGTTCGCCTCTGGTGCCGAGTTCTTCAAAGTTGTCCAAAGTCCAATAGTTCCATCTGTCGATCCGGAAAGCACTTGATTCGAAGGCCCCCACACGTCGATCGATTCGATCCCGCCGCTGTGGCCGTACAGCTCTAATGTAGGCTTCACAGTCGCGGAGAAGTGATCTTCCGCTTCCGCATATTTCCATATTCTGATTGTGCGATCCAGACCAGCAGAGGCAATTTGTGTAGGCGAAATGAACTTCGCAGACTTGATGCTCGATGAATGACCTCCGGCGCTGGACGAAGCTGATGTCGCAATTGTTTGTCCAGACTTATTCCACACTCTCAGCAATCCATCGTATGATCCGGAGAGTATGCGCTCCTGCCCCAGAACTACATCATGTCCATCCCAAGACCCCGCTCTTGACGTCGCAGACAGAATATCCACGCAGCTGACCCAGTCATCATGTTCAAAGCTTGCTTCATACAACGGCGGAATCAAACTCCGGACATACTGCAAATCGACAGTCGTTTCTGAGGAGAGGCCATTCGCCGTGAGGTATTCTTCGAGGGTTGTGCGGAGGAAGGTTCCATTGATGAGGAAATCGAAAGGAATTGGTGCATCGGTGTTGAGCATAGACTCGGAATTCAGAATCTGGGAGAGACCATATCTGCGCACGTCTTCATGAACTTATTAGCAAGAGGACATATTTAAGCATCGGAATTCTGCTTACTGGTGGGCACAAGAAGCTGTCTTTTCCCCTCCTCCAGCTCGATTGTTGGGTCCTCAGAACTCGTAATAAAATGGACCTGGACCTGGCCATGTCTAGTAGAGTCTGCGACTGTGTCTTCCATAATTGTATCCATTGCAGGTTTGTAGCTTCGTTCGAATGGGGAGGAATAACTACTATGGAAGCTCAAGCTGGAAGAAGAAAAAAGTTTACGGATGGCGTCGCGACCAATCTGCGCAGAAAAGTCTTGAAAGCCATGTCACGTGGTTGTGGAGCAAAACGACGTCCCTGGTTACTATTTCTCGGTTTCTCGTCCAGACAGCAACTCAATCATAGATAGAGACCACTTCATGACCACTTCATTCTAATTTGGTCTCCAGAAAATTTCTATTGCGATAACTGTAAAACTTATGTACGAGAAGAATACTCGAGCCATGGTTCTATGTACGGCTTTCGGTCAGGAGCACTAATCCATCAGCCTGGTCGGTCCTGGGGCGGCTGTTGCGATCCTCGGCTTCTTCTCAGATTCTCTAAACTCGAGATTGAGATTTTCGTAAAGTATACCCGAGTGAACAGAGTTTGCTTCTGAATATTGGAATCCATTGTCCCTGTTGGGCCGGTTGATGTTATGGCCAAACCGGGTATTTTGGGTCTGTCCGCGAGCTTCCCACTTGTATTTGTACCTTCTGTATTAAGCGAGGTTTCATGCGGGGTCAGCTGCCTGATCGAAAGAGATATGGATATATCTGAAGAATCTACTCGTGCAAAGTCAGTATATTTCGGAAGCGAGTGAGCAAAGCGTGTGTGCCGGTAGAGCGAATGATGCGATACTCGTCCAAGGCCGCATCCACTGGTGCGGCCCATCAAATGCAATTCACTGTCTTCCCAGATATGAAGACATGAACAGCCAAACCGGGCGTTTGCTTATGACGGGTAATAAGCGAGATCGCGTCCGCAGTCAAAACAACAACAACAACAACAACAAGAAAGAATCCCAAAGAGAATGACAGATCAGCTCACTATCACTGTATAAATAGCTGTTTCAACTAAAGTCAACCAATGCACTCGCTGATCACAGCTTCATTTGGGGCAACAAAGACCCGGGCGCAAAAGAAAAACTGCAAGACAAAAACGTCAGGCCCCCAGAAAAACACCAAAAAAAGATAACTCATCTCGTCCCCGCACTCTACCTTGAATGAGACTCGCTGGGTGAGAAGTGCATTTTTTGCTAGATTATCCTTCCCAAACCTCACCGCATAAAAGCGATCTAGGCGGCACGAGTCACTGGAGCTGATGGTTCTTACTATCACACTTTATGCACGCATATTGTATGATGATTTCAGGGTTCTATGTACTCTAAGAACAGAGCTTGGTTATCTGGAAAGGCCCGGCGTCACGGGCTTGGACTCTGTCATCACTAGGCATTGACACATGGGGGACTCGGAAACCCAAGGTATTTCCAGTTCCAGTCTTTCTAAATGGAGCAATGCAATGAATTTTGAGTCTGCACACTCTTGATTCAAACTATTCTCATCTACACGTCGCCCTTCATCCCACTCTTACCTTTCAACCAGTCCAAGCCGGTGGTCCAGGAGGGGTATATGACGTCGGCTAAGTTACAATGTCAGTCTCGTCTACTTTGTCAATATCGTGCAGCAAGGGAGCTTACCACTGGATAGTAAATATTGATCATGATTCCCGGATCCGTCGCCTTATAAGCACCTGGGAACGCAACCAAAGGTCCTGGTGTTCCCGACCCGCCACCAGTAACATTTATCTGCGCACACGAGATATAGAATTGAGCACCTCCAGCACTCGAAGCGGAGTGCAAAGCAATGTGTTCCGCTCGAACCAGATATTCGCCATTCGGTAGAGATCTCGGGAGAGTGAATGACGCGGACGTTTTGCCTGTTACCTCATATCAGCCTGTGTACCTCGCTTCGATGTTGATATCTCCAAAGAAATCCACTTACCTTGAGTAGGCCAAGTCATACTCGCGCCAAGACCTGGCATATCATTGAACACCTTGAACCAAACACTGCCACTTCCGTCCCAGGTATCCGCCGTTTTTCCAGCCGGTACCTTCGCCATGTAGAACTGCATCAATCCGGGATGCGAGATGCTTGCTTTGGCTGTGAAGCCGAGCGTCGAACCAGCAGCAACGGTCAAAGTCTTCGCCGATTTCGTTGATGCATCAACATTGCAGCGGATGCTTAGGGAGTTCACATCCGTGACCGGTCCATTCGAGTAATACCCTGTCCACTGACGCACATTCGTCCACTCTCCTGTTGTTGCACCGTTGGCGATCAGTGAGGGAAAGACATAATGGGCATTAGCCACTGAAACTATGGCGGGGATAATCGTGAAGAATTTCATCTTGACTTTCAGTTCCACGAAAAGAAATAGAAATTATTTCTTGCTAATTTCAAGCGAAGGAAAGTTCACTACGAAAATAAAAGACGGGACTCAATGGCATCTTATAACTTCCCACCCCCATATGATATCTCTCCCACGCCACCATCTACCCATTGAACACATCCATCCTCTTTAGGCACATATGCACTTGTTTCCAGATTAATTCATCTTGGACAGTCCAACATTTCCTTGCATCCTCCTCCGCATTCTCAAACGTACCCCGCAAATTCAGAGTACCGAACTCGCTAAACTGCCGCGTGGTTGTTTAGTGGCTGCATATTTATTAAATGCAATTTATGTCGTGGACAGATGATCTCAAATGAAACGTTTTATGGAGACGGAATCTAAGACTTGGCGTGGAGAGGACTTGGCTCGCTTGCATTGTATGTCATGTGTTCATGTACATGGAAACCTGGGTAAATAGGGATGAAACGGATGGATGTAAGTCAAGTAACATCATGGAAGCCATGCTAAGAGTTCTGAACCTCTTGAATGGGTTAAGGGAAGAAGATACTTACTGTATGCTGTGAATCAAAACATGAAATTAAGCCCGGGTAAATGCTACGCATTTCGCCCCGAACCTTATGTGGCCCTTAATTCATGAAAGATCTCTAACCTTCGTGCCGTCTTTCAAGATTGACATTGGAATGAAGAGGCAATGTGAAAGTCCAAAAGAATCTCTATATCCACCTCTTCAATATGTGATGTGAGTAGTAATCCTGAGTTTGGCGAACCTTGCAAGTCTCAGCTACCCATAACCTTCTTTGTAACAGCAGACCATGGCCTCAGGAACGAATCTCATTTACTCTCTCCAGATATTTAATCTCTGGTATATATACGCAGAGTCAGAGAGAACTTTCTCCATATCTTCTGACACCTCTATCTATATATATATATCCTTTCATGAGATAGCTTCTGTCATACAATGGCGCAAACCGGACCCTGTTTCACATTCGCATAACTCTATTTTCCAGAGCTCTTATAGACTTTCCCAGCTCACTAAAGTAGCTCACAAGTTGATCCATCTTGCCATCCAAGTCCTTGTCACTTCCTTGGCCTCATCTACCAGCCCAAGGTCAAGCAACATCTGTACCGACCCTCGTACCGAACTCTCCAACGCACTGAATATCCACGAATGAGTATATGCTGTATGTTCACCAATGAAAACGGTATTGAATTCCGTCTGCCAGTAAGCCGGAAGGTACAGCTGTTGCTGGGGGACAATTGGTACTGCCCAAGATCCGGCGTGGTGTTCATCGTTATCCCAACAGTGACGATCATAGTTTCCAGTCCACATCTCATCTGCAATGGGGCCGTGTAGTTTAACCATCGCCCTCTGGATGTATGCGATGTGCTCCTCTTCTGGCATGGCGCAAGCGACTCGCGCATCGGAGGACGAGATATAAGCTGCAAGCATGACACCAGCTACAAATCTCTTGTCAGCCTCAACCCAATCTTGACGATTTTTCTGATTCGCTTTATCTTTGAAGTCGGTAGTACTTACGACCAGTGCTGTTGATCTCGTAGGATGGGTAACATATTTGTCCAATTCCAGGAATGTTGATTCTTCCACAACCTCCAATGATGGGATGTTCGAGATGCTCCCAAAATCTTTCCTTGTACTGGATGGCGACCTTCACTACTCCATCAAAGACAAGTCTATCAATAGCTCGACGCATCAACGACGAATGAGGTGGAAGCTCCCAAAATCTCAAGAGATTGAATGGAACGCTGTTGAAAATGTACTCAAACTCTTCCGACGTTGAAGCCTCGCTTGGGTCACCTCCAGTTGGACGATGAGTCACTGTCAGAGTGTTCGTCTCCTTGTTATACTTTACGCCATTGACTTTGGTATTGAACGATATACGGTCTTTAACAAGCGACCGGAATGCTTCTGGTAGACGGCTCATTCCTTTGTCGATGGTTGCCCACTCATTGGCCATAAAGTATACTGTCTCAAACTCCCACATCGGCCATGAAACAGCTGTTGTGGTAACTTCGTCGGTGGTATTCAAATCAGTACCAATGACATCTAGGCAGAGAGAAAGTCAGTCTCTGAATAATACATGGCCTCTGTCCAACCTGCAAGACTTACGGCGTAGGTACTCGACCTCAGAAAAATCGAACAAGCCTTTTTCCACAGCTTGTTTATGGGCGCGGAAAACGTTCCCTGCATAAAATTTGACTCTTTCCTTGTCAAGAGCCTTCACAGTATCCAGAGCATCGATTGCTTCCTCAGCGGCAGTTGCATTGGACCACGTGACAATATCTGCCAGTGATGAGTTCGCAGCCACTTCCTTCTTTCCTGGAATGGTACCATCAGGTCGTCTCTTGGATGTTGCAACAGGCGTGTTGTCACTCGCTTGGATCCATGGAATGAACTTCACAGCCAGAGAAGAGTCATTTCCATTGAGGTCATTGAGAACATTGGCGAGCTGCAGTACCAGTTGTTGGTCTTGGATTGGAAAAGTCTCATTCGTGTCAGAGTCTCTGATGGTCATTGGTAATCTCATGGGACCCAGCTCGTGATACTGGTACTCATCGGGCGTAGTGTTGTTGAGGTAGGTTGTGTAGATACGTCCGCCAAGTCTGCTGTCGGACTCCAAGATCTTCCAGTTGTGAATACCAACAGAGTCCAGAATCAACTATTTACCAGAGCATTAGTGATGTTTATCAATAATCTGGATTCGACGGACGAACTTACAGATGTATGTAGTCCTGAAATTCCAGCACCCAGGATTCCGAACCTCTTTGACTTGACGGACGACACGAAAACAGCGTCCGGTTCTTTCTGCTTCAAGTACTCAACTCCATCAAATCAAGGGCCCATCGGGTCAGCGACATCAGCAAAAGTTGCTCCGCGTTTCACCACACGTTTTTTGACTGTAAATCTTGGCGAAGTGCCAATCAGTTGGTCCTCCAGGTACGCATGAAGACATCCTTCGTCAATACTCGTTGGAACAATCCACACGAATTTCGTAGGTCGCTGATCGTCCCAGTCGATGTGTCGCGCTGCAAGGTGGTGATCACCAATGTGAGTTTTGCCTACGCGGTGATGGACTTCCTCAGATGTCTGTACTTCGCATGGTCCGTATGCTACGGTCAGCTCACCATGCACGGCATGCTCATAGATGACATTAATGTTCTGGATGCCACCTTCTTCAACTGAGAATGGACCTTTAAAAGTGACAGGAAACTGAGGGAGTGGCTCGCTTGCTACCTGCTGGAAAGCAGCCGAGGCCAAAACAAACAAAGTATTGAGTTGAGACAGATACATGATTGAATTGAAATTGAGTTCTCCGAGGACAATGTAATGGATATGAACTGCTTTTTTTTCAAAAACTAGAACTGCGTCTCTTTTATAGAATATTCATTCTGTAAAAGTGACCGTGGTGATTCGGACCAAACCCACATTGCCAAGCTATCATAGGAAAACAATAGCTGCTATATGACGTTATCCAGGCCGTCCCAAGAAATCCGGACATTAGTTCACGATTTTATTGTGGTCTTGACCGCCAAAAAGTACCTTCTTGATAGCTGTGAACCATTGCGATACCCTGTAGAGTTGACTTTTTAGTACTTGGCAAGTCGTCTTGGCGAGATACCAGATCCCACTCTTCAGATAAATGGCTTTTCCAAGCATTACAGTGGAGCTTAAACTCCGATACCTTGATGTCTATCCCCCACTCTGTGCCACATAGCAATTGTCTTTTTTGGCTGCATTATGTATAGGCTACTTGGCTTCGTGCACTTTGAAACTTTGATAGGAATTCTTGATTAGCCATCGGCAGGACCACCCCCAGACACTCGATAGCTCTTCCCATACCCCGGAGCTGAAATCGGCTTATCAATTACCCTATTATAGTCTTTTCAAGCCGGTCTTTGTGTATAGGATAATTTCAAACTTCCTTTGCCAGGATTTTATCACGACGTGCGATTTGCTTCCCAAGTTGTGATAGGAACGGACTTCATGGTATAGATACCTCGGATTTATATCTACATTATGGAGGTTGGGTTAAATATCTTCCTGGACAATACGTGTCTCACTAGTCTTTTTCTTTCCGAATTTTTTAGTCAGAGCTTCGGACTTGTCAGAATGGAGAGAGCAATTGCGTATGACAGTCTCTCAGATTGAAAAGTAGAGTTCTCGTTTTCAACATTAGACTGAGGCAATTGTCAAAAATACTTTTCCATACGCGTGACGGCCCAAACATGGGTTCAAGACGGGTCCAGGATATATTCCAAAGTTTAGCTATGAATCAGAGGCCATCTCCTAGGCATGGAACATGGGAACCACGTATTTGGTCACAGAAAGAGGCAAAATGGGTCCAAAGTTTTGGTGTTCTAAAGGGTAAGGACATTACAAAGAGAAAGAGTGTGACCTAAACATGAGAACATCTCAGAACAATTTTGCTCTCATCAGCAGATTTTTGATACCCTACATAATTTGAAACAGGCTTATGGATAAGCTTTTATAAATAAGGCAAATTATCATCAACGACTGGGGCGAATCTGATGATCTGAATATTGACTATCATAGCAGCACGACTACTCCACAAACGGCTCAAGCGCACCGGGAAAAAATTGCCACACGAAGGATGACCCACTTCTACACAGGGCAGAAAAGGAGCCATATATCCTCATTCCATGTCAGTCAATCTGCGGCTGACGACACCAGAAAGTTTGTTTACATGTCCGGCCCGGAACCGAGCGAAAGCAGGGAAAAACCTATGGGCATGATCACATGACGTCAATCTAATCTAATCTAATCGTCCCCGCGATTTCACGACCCTCCAAAAAAAAAGTTAACCGCAACTTCACGACATAACAACCCCTCCATCACGAACTTCCGCTCGCAATTTGGCACTCACACAGCAACCAGCCTCAAAGTCCGACCTCATCACAAGTACCCTCCAGCCAAAGCCCACCAAAATGAAAGTCCTAACCCTCAACTTCCTCACCTGCGCCGTAAAGGCCTGCAAATCCACATCCGCCTCCTTCCCCCTCCACCCCAAGGACTGCGAACTAGTATCCGACACCATCGCACCGAACCCACAGCTTCTGACAAATGTTCTGCCTCGAGTAGATTGGAATGCGCTGGTCATTACTGCTGCTGAGGTTTGTTTCCCTCCTCCTTCTCCCAACCCATATCCCCCTTCCCTCCCAAGATCCCAACACTTCCCCGAAAAGCAAAAACACTGACCTGCCCGCTCCCCCCCTAGCTCGGCTTCCCCACTCTCCCACCCAACCCCCCAACACCCGAACAGCTCGAGACCGACGAAAAGCTCTTCTCGGAACTACACACTCTACTCCTCGAGACGCAGATAAGTGAGGGTGGACTGGTGTGTGCGAATTGTGGGCATGAGTATAAGATCAAGGAGGGGATTGCGAATTTTCTGTTGCCGAATCATTTGGTTTGAGGAGTCTTTTTTCGAAAGGAGATTGGGAAATGAGGTTGGGCATTGATGGGAGTTTGCAAGGCATGGAATGGAATCTGGAGTGGAAGGGGTAGATGTGGGGTGACAAGACAGATTTGAGGAGCTTTTAGAGGTCGGACTAGGCTTGATGGGAGAGGGAGGAGAAGTTCAAGGGTTTGGATCACCCGAAGGATAATTTTGTCTAGCCTGGATCTCCCGATTAGAGGGCAGGGCAAAGGGAGGAAGGGGGTACAGGAGATGAAAATTATGTAGCGGTTGTTATGATACCCATTTTGGCATTGCATCAAATTGCAACCTCCCGCAGGTAGGCTAGCCTGAGAAAAATACTACGTTTTGCCATGACATCTAAGGGAGGTAGCTTATTCTGACATTTAGCAATCCATTTCCCTCCACTTATAGGACCGCGGCAGGCATGGTAGGCATAGTACAGCTTGGAGACGGTCAGTCACAGCCAAAGATACCGCCCAACGCGCATGTATAGAGACAGAGGCATTCCAATAGCCTGCCCAAATGTATTTCTTCCATACATCCTCGGCATGTAATGACAAACCGGAAACCTTCAAAATCCCCTGTTCCCAACCCATCTGTCACTAGCCATGATAACAAAGCAGTAGCAGGAATGAACAGATTTACATTACTTGCTTCTGCTGGCTGTCAATCATATGAGATGCCCAGCATTCTCGAATTCAACAAAAGTAGGGAGTCCTTCGGTATCATTCCCTAGCCTAGCATGGCGTCCATATTCCATCATTAGGAGCAACTCACATCCTCAAAGGTTCACATATTCTGAGTTAGTATCAGACACTCAATTCTCAATTCTTCTAATGCACAATCGCAAGCACAATTAATTTTGCTTTTATACTCATTCGCTGTTCGCACGTCTGTCTGCCGGTGGCCATCCGCCTCACAGACAGCTGAGGTGCCACAGAACTGCAAATCCACAAATCATCTCATCTCATCTCATCTCGTCTGATCCCATCTCCCTCACTCACTCTGAGGCGCCCCTACTCCGCCCTCCAAAAAAAAAAGATTACTATCCCTAAGGTACACAGGCGTCAAGCCGTTCATTTCTCCACTCCGCTGCTCTTCTTCTCTGCTTCCGGGCCGTTTTCTCTTCCTCTCGCTGCGTCTCTCCTATCATACAAGGCGTGATCGATACCAACACCACACCACGCACTAAAATAAAGAGCCGCTAATAAAGAGTCGCTGGTGAAGCGACCGATCGTTTCAAATCGAATATGTACCCCAAGTCATCGACTATCATCTTAGCTCATCACATCTCTTCAACTCATTCCAATCCCGCCCACCAAAAAGTAAGAAAAAGATCGCTCCAAAGCAAACGCCTCGCCACGTCTCGCCAGAAAAACAACGGACCCGGTTGAAAGAGTACATTTTTGTAATTCGATCCCGCCAACCCATGGTCAATCCAGACCAACCCAATCCGCCAGCCTGTATGCATGTATGCAGAAAAGACAAAACAACTCGGGAAATACAGGCGAAATAGTTGGCATGCATGGCGGCAAAAAGCATCAACTCCTTGCTGAAAAATGAGGACTGCTCTTGCGGAAGAGGGTGAGTCCTGGGTGAGAATGCAAATGTATGACGACAGGGACAAATGAGAATGAATCACGGATATTAGTTGAGAAATCCTTTACACGCTGCTGTACCGCAAAGGCAGGGAATACGATCCGTACTTCCGATCTCACGTTCAAATTTGTAATCGTATGTGAGCTCCTCATCTGCGACATGTTAGTAACAGTCGAAAGAATTCATGAAGGACAAACTTACTCTCGGCAATGTCTCGCAGCGCGTATATGACAATTCTCTTGCTCTTATCCACCGTGATGATCTTGGCAGTGCAGTTGGGCATACAGCTGTGATTGATGAAACGGGCGATACCACCCTTCTTGGTTGCATCAACAACCGTATTCTCATCGATTCTGAAAAGGTAACTGCTTCCAATTCCACTCTTGAGATAACGATGTTCGCGAAGATCGGCGACTTGCTGTCTGACTTTCTCACCGACGTATTCGATGATCATATCATTCATGGCAATATCTTCCATAGCGTACAGTCCCCAGTTATGAATTGCCGACCGTTCGAACTTGACAAGCTTCTTTCTCTTCTTAAGTTGATTGAAGCTGAGAACGTTATCGACATCCGTTCCTAGAGACTTCTTCTGACGATCGAGGTCGGCCGCAAACGCACGTTGACTGAGTCGATTGGCTCGAGAATTTCCTTTGGTTGCTGTTTTTTCAGAAGCGATTTTGGCAGCCTGTGCTACATCAGCAGCAGAGTCGCGGCCAGTTCGAGAGGCAAGAGCTTCTCGTTCCTGACGTTTCTTCAAGATCTGAATATGATGAGGTAGATATTTAGATTTTTCGGCATTGAGAATCTTCTTTGTTGGCTCGGTACGAGCGCAGCCAGATGCGTTGGGAACATAATAGCCTAAAATGGTGGTATCGGTTGTCGCCAAGCCTCTATACCCGCCGCGATTAAGTGCCTTGATGTCTTTCTGTCTCCAAGCCCATGGTTTTGCCCACCCCTGCTTATGAGTACTGCTAGACTTGAGAAGGGAAGTAGCCGCTGGAATATCTTCGTCATCCTTGATGAGATTTTGAAGGCCGTCGAGGTCGAGAACGGTGTTGAAATCGTCATCAACAGTGGGTCGAGGAATCTCAGCAGACATGCCCCATTCGACCGTGGTCTCGACCGGAGCTGTTTCAGTAACATACTCCTCATCATCATCTGGACTTTCGCTCTGCTGGCGGTCGAACGTATCCAAATAGACGCCTTCTTGTTCTCGTTTGAGTGCTTCGCGCTCCTCGAAGATTTGTCGCTTAGACTTCTTCTTTTTCTTGGCAGCCAGCTTTCTCCTACCTTCGGCAAGAGCAGCTTGGGCATCGAGCTCATTACCAAGAACAGAATCAACATCTGGCATTTCCTCATCAACAGTGCTGGCCGACAGAGGGAACTCTTCGCTGATCTTTTCTTTAGCAACTCCGAACAGCTCCTCATCACTCTTTTTCTGACGCTTCAGGGCAGCCTCCACTTGCAGGTCGAGTTTTCGCTTCTTTGATGGGGCATGATCTGAAACAACGAAGCTGGCCTCACTCATAGAGTCATCATCAACAGCTCTAGCTTCCCGAGACCTCTGGAAAACATCAAAGGAATCATCATCTTCTGATGTCATCCTGCTTCTCGGTCGAGAGTCAGGCTCCTCAGTTCCCTGGGCACGGAGTCGGCCGTCATCCTCGGATTCTGGACTACTCTCAAGATAAAATGCTGATAGTGGTCGATACTGCGCCTTCTCCTTACGCTTTGGCCGTGCTCTATCGAGGTAAGGATCTTGAAATCCAACAGAAGATTTCGTCCCGCTCTTAGCTTTTCGAATGCGTGGCATAGACGCAACATTCATGCGGCCAGGTCCCATAACACGGCGATCAGAGCTTTCATTCCGGGAATTCGGCGTTCCAACAGGACTTTCGTCTCTTTCATCGTCCTCATAGATGAGTTGCATCTTCATATCCTTAGGATCATCAATGCCGTATTTTCTGCGCTTAGCCGTATGGTTGGCTGGATCCAGGTAGGTGTGTATGGCTGGAGCAGCAGTCTTCTCCCGAATGTTCTTCAATAGCTGCGCTTTGAGTTGTTTCCGAATGACCTCTATAGCCTCTCTGGAGGGGTCGAAGTTCATCGCGCGTTCCTTTCTCTCTAGCTCCACGTCGGCTGCCTCCTCTTTAGCACGAGCAAGCTCAGCTTGCTTCTCCCATTCATCATTGTCCTTCAAAGTTGGACTTCTGCTGCGCTTGCGACTCATCTGTGAAGCACGATAAGCCTCAGACCGCGATCGAGAACTTCCGTATAAAAATGGCTGCATGATCATGGTATAATTGAACATAAGAGTACGATCGAGTGTTCTGCAACACCGCTCACAGTCGTGTCGACCATAGTCACTATTAGGGAAGACGATATAGTATCCGAGAGCGTCCATCTTGACATCTTCTGGATTGAAGTGCCTCATGCGCTTCAACATATGGGGTGGCGTCGTGTTCATACATGGCACAGACTCGCCAGATACGAAGATATATGGCTGATGCTTCAGTTGCTCCGCCACTGGTTCGGCACTAGGCATAACTCGGATTGGCTTTGGCTTCGTAGGTGGGAGTAGTACTGCTGGGGTGATTGATTGAATCGGAGGACGAAAGATTGGTCTTGAGGATGCGGGGCCCTTAGGCGCAGTCGGGGGAGGGCCAGAGAACTTCGCAGCATCTGCTAGCTTCGTTGCTGCTGTAGGAACAGATTTAACAGTCTGCGACGCGGGCTCAGGCTTCGGGGCCATCAGCAAGGTCTCCATCATTCGCCTACTCTTGTTGCCCTCGGGATCAAAGTCAACCTTGACGTTGCTTGATCCAATCCGCATACTCGATCCTTTGCGCACAGCAAGCTTCGCAGCCTCGATGGCAGAAACAAATCGCCCACCCTTGACAATTCTCGAGTCGCGATAACGGAATGTTGCGAATCCCAAGCAGCTTCCGGTTTCTGGGTGAAGCTTGTTGCTGCTCTCTGCGATCTCGCCAAAGCTTGAGAATATGGCCGAGACGCTGGCAAAGTTGTGTAGAGGGTCAAACCCAGTTACGACAACCTGGGTTGGTGGACCTGGCCCAAGAGATGTCTTAGGATCGTACGCATACGGTCTGAGCAGATATGGCGCATGTCGCAGACGAGATAGCGGATTGTGGAAATCAACATTGATGTAATCCAGCTTTCCACCTCTTTTCGCTAATCTTGGATCCGCTGGGGGAGCGTCATCTTCTTCCTGCAAAGCCTTTCATTAGCCAAACATTCACACAAAGTAAGATGACGCTCCCCGCAGCAGATTATGTTATACGTACCAAGCCAATATCCTTATATGTGGGTTTCGCCTTCTTCATGTCTTTCGCATTTAGTTTCTTGTCGAGCAGAGGGTCGTAGACTATGACACAGCCTTTCACACTTCTGTTCGGGTCTCGAGCATAGACACGCGGGTCTGCGGGAGGAGTATCTGCCTTGGCAGTATTCTGTGGTGGCAGGACATCATTCTGGGGAAGGTATCTCTCGCTGGGGAAACCAGTTGTATTCGAGCCTGCAGTGGCAGACTTGCTTTGGTATGGACTCGCGACGTGACTTGGAGAAGAATCGACGTTCGTCATTGGTGTTGTGTTGATATAATGATTATTGGATGCGGACAAGTTGTTCTGCTGAGCAGCGGAGCTGAAGACAGATGACACTGTGCTTGAGTGTGAACTGGCAGACCCAACACCATTGAGCAGGTCGCCTTCATCAAGGAGGGGAGCTGCAATATCTGCGGTAGGAACACCTCCTTCACCAAATCGAGAAGGAGCAGTATCGTTGATGCGGACATTTGGAAAGGCCGCAGCCTTCCCATCAGCAACGGGACGAGTCAAAAGCGAATCATGACTGAATATCTTGACTTTCTCTCTCTCCTTGGCCTTGTCTTTGGCTGCCCGCGGAGCAGTAGGGAAGAACTGAGCGAAGCTCGCACCCGGAGCACGAGACATCGTGACTGAATAGTCGATCTACCTCTTCCACCTGCGGCCAACCAACATCTCCCGTATAAGTATCAGCGAGCGACTGCATGCATGTGTGTAGCGGCGTTGATGATGAGGTACGCGCAGAGGCGCAAAGGGGTTACACGCGACCTCCTCGAGGGATAGATCTGGATTCTTGCGCTTGGGGGATTGGGGAAAAGCAAGGGATGCGCAGTGATTGGAGCGGCTATGTGTAAAATTATGATGATGTTGCTTTATCGAGGGTTTCGTAAGGACAAAGGGGAGTTGATGTCGTCGTCGCTGAAGGGGGTGGTGGTCGTGGAATGGGATGGGAAATGGAGATGAAGTCGGAGCGTGAAGTGAAGTTCGCACGCCAGCCGAAAGTGTGCTAGCGCGCTACGATCTTGGCGGCCTGGCTGGTGCTGTGAATGCCCTCCAAAGCCTCCAAGGATCAAGATGACTGAGCCGTAACAGTCCTGGAGCACAATACGAACCTGTCAATATTTCTTAACTTGATTGTTCTCTCACTTTCGTCTCCTCGCATTTACCTCAAAGGACACAGATTCCTGTTGCTGGCTGCGATCAAGATCGCTTATGTAGGGAAATATCTGGTCTGGAACGCGGAAGTATCACGAAAAGTCTCGTCTCTAAAGGTTCTTTGTACGCGACTCGCGATTTGCCACGCTGACAATCAGAACACTCGAGGTCTTCTAGACGTTATTTTGGTGTTTTGTATTGTGTCCACTCTTATATTTGCTTGGTTCTCAGGCAGGCTGGGCCATGGCCTCGACTAAACGTCATGCAGCCATTTGACCCCTGAGTGGCTTCTTTGATATCACGTGGTGCCTGGCTTTCTTTGCTTCAGCTATGTCTATTTCTGTAACTGCTCGAGTATGTCTATTTTTGAATTCCACAAATTAATTCTCAGTTCGCTTTCAGCGTAAGCACTATTCCAATCTGCTTGGACATGGACTCTTTGTTGCTCACTCACGTGACTGTACCACGTCAAGTCATGGCAGCTTGCAACTTGCGCGCATCTTTCCCATTCTTCTTCGGCCTCTCAGGCGTGGAACTGAATCCCTGCACTCTTTGCATAGTTGACCTCTGCATCAACCAAAACCTTTACACTTAAAGAAAGGCGCACACCAAGTGCGGCACATGGGCGAGGAGGGGTATTGCCTAGGCAAGCCAAGTCAAGTATGGGTCGGCAAAAACCAGCACACTCAGTGGGAGAAGATCGATTCGCTTAGAAGAAGCTGCCTTGTTGATGTGCCGAGGAGAGCATAACGGTGATGGAGTCATGCAACCTGAACTTGTTCGAGTGCGGGCCGCGGTTGATGTACTTTACCATTGGCAGTTCCGAGCTCTGTCATCTCCGAATACTGCTTGAACGGCATGGAATAAGAATACGTGCCCACAAAGTACACTGGCGCCTGGCTTTCCATGCAAGATAGTCGCAATAGGAAATTTTCACAAGATTTCGGTATGATTGGGAGGCATCAATGGCGTTTGAATGGGCGGCGCAACACCGCCCAGATGAGCTGAGGTCTTGCCTTGTATGGCATTACCATTACCACCTATCCATCCAACTCCACAAGACTCATCTATTTCCCACTCTGGGCCTATTTCGCAATAACAGCCTCAACCTGTTCCAGCGTAATACCAGTATACACATAATAATCCACAGTCTTCCGCCTAATCACAGTCTCATCCGAATCAGCAGACAAACGCTGCTCACACAGGACTTCTACAATCCGCTTCTCCAAATCAATGTCAAAATTAGTAGTCCGTATCCTAGCCCACCAGGGTATCCTGCCACCATCAATATACTCTTCCTCAAACTCCCTCACGCATTCAATGACTAGTCCTGCGAACACACTATCCCAGACTCCTTCTCTTCTGGGGAACGTCAACAGCAGGGCGATTGCTCGTCGGCGGAGGACTGGGTCACGACATTTATGGCCTGTAAACCACAGCGGGATGATCACCCCCGAATCGAAACTGAATTTCGGGACTTTGGAAGCGGGAGAACAGTTCAAAAGACTCTCGGAAAGGTCCACAATGTCTTTGTAGATATCGTAATAGGCATCATAGACCATCTCGTCCTGCGCCAGAGATTTGATTGTACCCATGTAGGTGGCCTTCATCTGCAATTCCAATGTAATGCAAGCCTTCCTCTGGTCAAGCTGCTTGAACTCAGCACCATACTTCAGAGGAGCAAACGCTGCCATCCATTGGTGAAGACTCTCAGTAAGTGCCAATTGAGCCTGGGTGATCTCCGGTGGAATCGCTTCACTCGCCGATCCAGGCGTGTATGAACCCGTAAGACTCCCGGATCTCGCGATCCGGGGCAAGCATTGTGAGACGAAGGTAACCGCGAATCTTACAATCAACCCATAATAGACTCCAGCTTCTGCAATTGAACCAAAAGAAAGTGGTAACCTCTTGAGACTTGGTGGTAGGTCGACTTTGAGTGGCGGAAGCGACGTTGGTGGAGATGTTTGAGGGGGCTTTTCCTTGGGAGGGGGTCTGAGTTGGATGGAAAGTCGAGTGAAGACATGAGCCAACAGATTCTCATCCTCAGTTGGCGCCGTCGATGGATTTTCCATCTGACGCTGCTTCCATTCCATCAATAACCCCGTCCCAATTCTGATCTGCTGCACAGCAACCTCATGACTCCCAATCCATCCTTCGAATGCAAGAATCATCAACGAAGTCATCAAAGCTGTCCGCAAGTCCTGTCCCCCCTCCGTCTGTGCATACTTGATTGCTTTGGCATACTCTTGGATCGCATATTTATAATGATGGCTTGCAGTGCCTCCAAAGTCACGACGCGCTGCATCGCGAACATATGCCTGCGATCTCACTCGAGAAGTCATGTCCAATGCTCCCAGTGCAATAATGGCATGCCGAATCGCATCTCTTGCCTCGCACGCTTGCAGGAACATAACACGCAACTTTCCCATTTCAACATTTGGGAATATCTCGTATGCAGTATTCCGGCTGAATATATCGAAGCACCTGGATTCCTCCTCAGTCTGAAACTTTGTCACGGATGGCGCCGCATAAGGGGTTGGATGGCTTCGAATATTATGTGATTTCGGAAGTAGAATTTGTTTTGGACGCTCTGTCAGGTCCTTTTGGCGTTTTGGGGGCGGATATCCTCCGCACTGAATCCCAAATCTGATACATCGCTTGCAAAATGGTCGCTGTTCGTCACATTTGACTCTGCGAACTCTACCAAAGTCAGGGGTTAGTTTACGTATGTTTCTGTCTGGAGCGCTCGCAACTTACTTGCAGGTCACACAACCGCTCCTCACCTTCGCATGCGAACGCCTGCTGCCGGTGGGTCTCTTCTCCAGTGGCTCGGTGCGGTGCATACTGATGTTGACAATAGCCCACAGCTCATATCTCCCTTTTCCAGAGACATATCCATAATGTAGACAGACTCAGAGGAAGCCTTGCGAGGCTCTGGATTGGCATGGGATTTCTGAAGTGGATGTCAGCTTAGGCAGAACTACGGCACGGCAAGGCTAACTGTTTAAGGTTAAATGGACCGTTACGAAGGTACTACTTAGTCAGCACGGGCCCTCGCTTGTTGCTCAGTCCATCTTCATGACTTAGGACATTCTATTTCCAATGCACTCAGTTTTGATCCCTTATGCATGGACTTAGTAAGCAGATCCCCGATTTACAATACACTGAGACGGGCCTTGTCGAGCATTCACCAACAAATTTACCCATGGATCCAGACGTTGACCTTCAAGCCTTGCGTTGAATTCGAGGCTGTAATTTCTCAGCCAGTGAAAGCTTCCTCCCCATCCTCTATCATGGCCGCGAACATGTCCTCGAGTCCATCACCCGCAAACACTTTAAACCAAAAATAATATAACGCGTCTAATCCGACCTTCAACCTGGCATTCCCATTCTCGTCCAAGCCGTGTTGAATTTGGGGATTTGGAACGTGGGATAACCAGAAGCGAAGACATGATGAGGCGTGAGGTGAGGGTAGATAAAGCGGTAATGCCCCTACGAAAGCACACTCTTCGGCTTCCTCTAGTAAATATAGGTTATAACACGCTGAATGAGGTCAGCTCACACGCTGAAAATAAGCTGACTCGAGGTGTGTGTAGAGACGATTTTAAGGGTCGTAGGACGAGTTCAAAGGACCCTTAAGCTCGAAGCCTAGCGAAGCCTCGCTTAGCTTAATTCTTTAAGTTATATTACAATGCCAAGGGTCACCGTAGAAAAATACGATATAGTGGAGTACTTTTACTAAGGCGCTCTTCTGAATGCCACGGTAAATCGCTCTGACTCCACAGTAGTGAAAAAGTGTGCCGTCTAAACGACACAATAATTCGATAAGGTAGATCCTAAACCCAGGCTCAAACAGGTGTAGCTGAATCTACTCTTGAGTGCTCGAGTGTGTTTGAGTAGGTAGTCACATATATCCTTGCATCGAACTCTCCTGCAGGAGGTCTCCAACTCTACATGTAAAGTGAAGGATATACCCCTACAAATTGACGCTAAAAGAGATCACTAGGTGCAGCATATTTCAACCCAGTTTTTGTTTTTTGGAGGAGGTCTCTTTTCTGGCAGGACCACTTCATTTTCATGATAAGTGCAATGGATTGCGGTCACGTCACTTGATGCAGCTGGGAGGTGGGACAGAGATTTAAATCCGGCACTCCAAACACAAACTGTCAACAACAACACTTGGAACAACCACAGCAACTACGCTTATCAAAGAGATTCAATCTTATCCATTCTATTCTCCGCCCCTTATCCAACAAATCGAACGCCTCAGATATGAAATAATTTGAGATTTGCTTAACTCGCTTCTTACTATTGAAGTACTTCTTGTGACTTGCCAAGTAATTGTCTGCTTAAAGTCACATAGCTATCAGCTTCCAGCAAAGTCGCCCTTGCAAAGCTCAGATGCCTAATTCGCGAGTTACTTTCTATGATAATGCTCTCTTAGAGTGATTAGGTCACATTTACCATGCTATTTCAAGGTTCAAGAATAAAAGGCGGCTTGCATAAAGGCATTCTGCAGGTTGGCTTGGCATGGACGCCTGATCCAACATTTTTGAAGCCTGATTTGTATCTGCGGCCTTCCAGCCTCTTCACTACTCGGAAGTTCACCTCGCTACTAACGTCCTTGAGATATAAGCGTTAATGACTCAATCGCTTCCTTCAATAGTCCACTCCCGGAATGGCATCTATCTGCCCCTCTCTGATCCGAATGAGATTCGCTTGTTGTTCCTCCAGCCTCGGACCAGTGGTGAGGCTGTGACATGCAAGATCAAACATGTAAACCGGTCTCGCAAACCTCATTATGAGGCTCTATCCTATATGTGGGGATCTGACGATATCATGAATATAGTGATCAATGGCCGAGATGCTGCAGTGCGGCAAAACCTATGGCAAGCATTATACCATCTTCGGTACGACAATGCACCTAGAATACTGTGGGTTGATGCTATATCTATCAACCAGCAAGACGTGCAGGAGAGGAATCATTAAGTAATGATGATGGGGGAAATTTACGCTGGAGCTTCACGGGTAGTAGTCTGGTTAGAAGAATCAAGCCCACCAATGGTACGGACGATGGAGTTTCTGGCTCAAATCTGCCCAGGAGACCGAATCACACGGTATCAAGCTGATTTCCACCTTGGCCGTCTTCAGCATGTGTCAAAAGAAGGAACGGTATCGACTGTGGACACTGCCGAAATAAGCTACCCCTTTCTTCATGAGTACTGGAATCGCTTATGGATCATTCAAGAAGTTCTTTTAGGTTCTGAGGTTTTGGTATGCTCCGGTAAACAGTCAGTTCCAATAGGCGCTCTGCAGGAATTCTTTCAGATTACTATGAAGATACCAGAACGATTCTTGAAAGGTTTCGACCCTACAAGGAATTTGTTACTATCCGAGATCGCGAAATCGTCCCTGGCTCTACTGTTGTCTCGACGAAACGATTCAATCAACTCACCAAGCGATATTGCAGAGCTTCCGCTCCTCTATCTAGTTTCAGATCATGCTGATGCTAAATGCCTGGACAAGCGAGATCGAATTTTCGGGTTGTCTTCTCTGGCAATTTCTTGCTGTGTCGAAGCAGTTCCTGTTGACTACTCTCGGTCATATTCCGAAATCTGCGACATGGTTCTTGCCCACCATTGCACTTCCCACATCAACGAGAGTGATGGAGCGATCCGGGACTTCAGGCACTTCCACCATGCTTTACGAATCAATTCAGAGAAATATGAAAAGCTGCAGGAACCCAAAAGTAGACTCTACGACGCCAAGACATGGACGAAAGATCTGGTCGAGGATTGCTCGTTGGAAATCCGAGCTAATATCCAAAGCCGAATAATTTGGTTGAGTCCCATACTCACAGACCCAATTCCAATAGAGAATTTCATTTTCCCCCAAGTTCCAGAATTCAATCAAATGGTCGTCAAATCGTTACACCAGACCATCTACTCAAATCTTGATGGTAAAGTGCCAATTGCCACGCAGTTTGATCTAGTCCGGCCTCTGCATACTCATGATTACTACCAGATCATATCACGCGGACACATCCTGACATCGCTTTCGAGCGTCACTAGTATGACCTGGGGAGCTATTATGGATCATGCCAATACATACTCAGATTCAACAGACGCGCTTCATTACAAGGATCGACTCGTAGCAGCACTTGCTGTATACGGAGTCGAGCTCTCTACCACAAGATGGAGCACAGTATTTACATCAAGAGGTGTGAAAAAGCCTCGCAGGGAGCGCAACAGCCGGTCTGGGTCAAGTCTCAAGTCAACAGTGGTGCCAATAGGATCAGATGAACTCACGGATATAGCTTTTCAAGTCTTGAGTGCTATAAGAGAAGCGATTCCTATTAGTCGAAGACCACTGCTCAGGTAATTCATATCACCACTATCTAACTCTGATCATCTAACTGACGCCTGAAACAGAATAGCCATTGACGAGATGGGAGCCATGTATTTGATGCCTTGCCACGCGGAGTTACAAGACCTGATCTGCCAGTTCCCCCACGCAGACATTACTCTACTAGCCCGACAAAGCTCCGCCCTAGAGCTATGCTCCATTGAAGGCCAAGGACAAGAGCTTCTTTTGACTCATGATAAAAACTTCGTCAAGTCAACCGACTCCTCTTTCCTCCAACCCAAGATCGGTTTGTTTTACAGCCATCGGCGCATCACACATGAAGTCAAGATTCGGCTTCCATTATGGCTTCTGAAAACCATCAGCGTGGAATCTGCCACCACAGATGTGCCAGAGTGGTGCCCCAGTCGTTCCATACAACTTTATCAGATTTCGGCTGTATGGGGAATTCATCTCTGTGATTATCTACCTGGGAACTGTTCCTGCATGACCATCACTCGAATCGTGTCTGGAGCGGATCCTATAACGCAAGTACAAAGGCCGCTCAATAGTCATAAGAAGGCTTTTTGCAATAAGTGAGCATCGTGACAGTCTCATCTGAGCACTTTCGGTCTATTTCTACCGCTGATATCGATTGAAGGCGGAACACTCTATTGACTTCTTCTTTGCCCTCGCTTATGCTAGCTAAATCCGGTATCTCTAACAACCATGTTTTGACCTTTTCTGCAAATTATCTAACAAACACTGAGTACTGTGTGAGCTTGGCACCTTAAAATCGAGGAAACTTGGAATTCCTCTCTATTTTAACACATTCTTGTCTCTTCAGCCTTACTAAATCACAGCCAGGGGCGTTACCAAGATCCTCCAGCCAGCACTAAACCATCTCTGGTTAGCTCCCGTCATCTCCATCTGACATACTCGAAGCTCTTGGAAGCTTAACATAATTTGAGTCTATTTCATCGAACGAGCATAAACGCATTGAGCCTATCCAGTACTTATCCATACTAGTGGGAACGACTCTCCACTTATCAGATATCAAGGCTCTGGTCCTAACCACATGCTTGGAGTTGAACTGTCAACATCACCATGCCTCGTCATCGTCTCCGTCGGCTGGATTACATCCAAGGCATCGGTGTTGACAAAATGGGCGACCTCGCCAATACCGCATCCGGACAAGAATACCTTCGCCTCGAAAATCTCGACGTCAACATCCCACCCGACCCCGAGGCTATAGCCCATTCCAAGCTAGCGGTTACTCACGATAAAAACAACAGCTATCTACCATTTACAGGTCAGACTCACCTCCGGGATGTAGCAGCTGAACATGTATCCCGGCTCTCGGGCGTACATTATGACGGCCAAAGGAACTGCACTATTTCTGCTGGAGGGTTGTCGGGTATCCTTAATGTGCTCTTGGCAACTATTGAGGAAGGCGATGAAGTGATTATGACGGATCCGACGTATCGTGGACTGATCAATCGCGTCCTTCTAGCTGGTGGAATACCCAAGTACGTTCCGTTTATTTTCGAGCCAGGCGGACTCTGGAAACTAGACCACCAGGCGCTCAAGTCTGCAGTTACGAGCACGACCACTGCAATGCTACTCATGTCACCATCAATGCCAAGTGGTGGGTATTTGGATGAGCAGGATTGGAAGCTCGTATCCGAATTGTGCGTTGACAATGATCTGCTCCTCGTCAACGACACGGCCATGGAGAGGCTCGACTTCGATAATCGTCCGGTAATCAATCCTGCAGGTTTTCCTGGTATGGCAGAGCGTACCATCACTGTAGGAACATCCGCCAAAGAGCTGAGAATGATTGGATGGAGAGTTGGTTGGATTGTTGGACCCGAGAATATCATGAAGGATGTTGCAGCCGTCTCGATGGCAAATGTGATTGTTCCAGTTGGGATTGCTCAGGAAGCTGTGTCGATCGCTTTAGAGCGGTCATGGAGTTCGAAAACGGATTCTGCAACTGATTCCAGCTCAGAGATGTCAACAGATATGGTTGATTATGTGGCCGAACTCCAAGCTCGACGCGACATCGTCTTATCTAAGCTGGAGGGATTGCCAGTAGGAGTCCCGGCGGGTGGATGGAGTCTTCTTTTACGGGCGACGGACTTTGGAATTGATGGCAACGAAGCCTCAAGACGGCTATTAGATCAAGGTGTCTGTGCCACGTCAATGGAGAATTGGGGAGGGTCTGATGCGGGAAAGTATATTCGATTTGTATTCTCATATGAGACTCAAGCTCGCCTAGAGGGTTTAGGTGCTAGAGTCCGTAAAGCTTTGGAAATCTCATGAAGGTTACATTTTGACACATGCGTGCTTATTTACGCTTTTATGAATATTTGCCCTCATTAAAAGTGAGTTGCCTCATGTTCAAGCTTGCCAAAGTAAGCTCGCTCTCCGCTTAATCAAGATCACCCTCGTATTCGGCCTCCAACTGTTAAAGCAACTTTCGAGATCTGAGCCCTGATCAACTGAACATCGCAATTAAAGCAACAAGGAATGCAGCTTGGTGCAGGTAAAAAGCCATAGTCCTGTAAGTGGACTTAATTAGCAGGGGATAAAAGAATTCACAGTAGCCTTTGCTTGGACGCGAAAACGGATCAGCTGAGTGACAGATGGTCAACCTGGTACTTGTATTCATCCTCGTTTGGATATTGCATCGGGAATAATCCAAAAACAGAATGAAATGCGTCCCAAAATTGAAGTCCGATTTGATCCAAGAATGTTACCCCGCATTGCAGATCTTAGTCGGCTTCTTCTGTAAAAGCTCAATTTTTGCCAGCTTCAATGATATGGCAAAAGAGTTTTTGCTCAATATTCTTATGAATACGGTAGCAATTAAATGTGTGGAGAATGTAAGTGGGACTTCAAAGAAGTGTATTGATCACTCTCAAAACAACATTTTACCCCCACGCAAAGACAACAAACTACAGGTCCTGTTCAATACAACATCTACCCCGCATATCACATGCCGGCCTTCCCGCTCCTAATAATACAACTACCGGCCTTGATTTTGAGCGGTAAGTCGTACATACAAGTCTCTTGGTGCTACACACAACTCGCAAAACACCTTCCTAATGCAGGTCCTCCCGCCGAACCATTCGGTACACAAGACACTACCCGTGTGCATGCCAGACCTACCATTGGCTATAAAGCACCGAGTATAAATTCACCGAACAAGCAAGAACAAAATGTTGCATTTCTGACTTAGGATGTAAGGGGAAGTTACTGATGCATATCAAGAATGAGTGCTTGTAACCGAGACCATGATTGGTGAATGTGAGCCGGTTACACAGATGTATACTTCAAGTATGTATTTTTATTGGAGCATTAACTTCAGCGAGCCGCGAAGTGAGAATGTGACATGCGATATTGTTGTACAGCTTCAAAATTCGGACTTGTTAACTAAATTGGTAAGGCCAACATCACACTTCATTCTACTTGCTGTACCTAATAGGGTACCTACTTAGCTGCTCGGTTAAACGGGCTTGTCAACATCCCGCAAGACCCTCAAAGAGATATAAAGTCGAGTGTAGGGTCCATCTTATTCGAACATCTCATCTTCAACTCTCGCACTTTTTCTCTCCTCTTTCCTCTCTCATCCATCTTCCCTTCCAATCATTTCATCTTCCAGCTGTTCACCCACCCCCAACCACAACCGGCACCATGAAGCTCACTCACATTCTCCCCCTCCTCTCTCTGGCCACGGCAATCCCACTCCTTGACACGCGCGACCCAGAACCATCCTCCTCCTCTGAAATCAACAACACCACCCTAGCCATGTCCCCCTCCATCTCCCTCTCCCAAGCCGCAGCTATGGGCTCAATTCACACCCTCAACACTCTCTCCACAACCAAAGCCGCAGCCGCAGCCGCCGCCGGTCCCATCAACGAGTATGGTCTTGACGGGCCTTGCAAGGCCGTGACTGTGCTATTTGCCAAGGGAACAGGCGAGAATGGAAATATGGGAGATGGGAGCTCGCCGGGTCCAGCGTGGGCTGCTGCTATTCGGGCGAGTTTGGGGACGGATAGGGTGGCGGTGCAGGGCATTGCGTATGATGCTAGTGTTTTAGGGTGAGTTTGTCTCTCTCTCTCCCCTTCTGTTTCCCGATTCATGTTTCCCGATTCATGATCCCCCGATTATTCCTCCACTCCCGGAAATATGATAAAGCCAGCAAGAAGGGGACGAAAGAAGGAAATTGAACACCCATGCGGTGGAGAAGCAGAATACTTAAGATTGTCACTTTCTTAAGCAACTCATAAGAATTGGAGAGACTCAAAACTAACACCCCTTCCTCTCCTCCAGCTATCTCCTAGGCGGCTCCCCATCAGGAAGCACCACCTACCTCAACACAATCAACCAAGCCAGTACCAAATGCCCCAGCACCAAAATCGTAATCGGAGGCTACTCCCAAGGCGCACAGATCCTGCATAACGCAGCTGAGAAATTGACTGCTGCTGTTACGGCGAAGATTGCTGCTGGTGAGTTTTCTTCTCCCCCTTCTTCTCACTCTATCTCCCTTCCCATTCCCATTTCCCATTTCCCACCAGTTTCCCTCCCCCTCCCTCTCCTCACCCCTCTCCTCACCCTCCCCCAACCCCCAACACAAAAAATCCAGTTTCCATAAGCTAACGCACACGCACCCAGCCGTCCTCTTCGGCGACCCAGACTACCCCGACACACCAGGCTCCATCCCCGCATCCAAGACCCTGCAAATCTGTCACCAGGGCGATATCATTTGTCGTGGCATAGGTGGCGCTGATGCGCATCTGACGTATCCGAGTGATGCGCCGCAGGCGGCGGCGTTTGTTGCTGCTAGGGTTTAGGAAGGTGTGATAGTGGGAGGTGGGGAGGATGGGATTGGGAAGGGGGAAAGAATGAGAGGGAGAGGGAGAGAGGTGAAGGGTGAAGGGGAAAGGGAGAGAGGTGAGGGAGGAAGGGAAAAGTGGATTTCATTGCGGTTGTTTATTTACATGCTAAGCGAATCCTCGACTCGCATCAGATTTGAACGAATGGAATAGCGGCACAGCACTTTCATGGAAATGATATCTCAAAAGCATGACATAACAAAATAAAAGATTGAGGGAATTCTCTATTCAATGCTCTCCATTTTCCCCGCTGCGAGGAGGTAATTTTGTGTTTTGTGTCCGGTATGGAAATATACATACAAGAATCCTCGCATTCCTATCCTCCCAATTACTAGAGTAATACCATGTGTGCCTCGATGGTTCCTCCCTCCTAGCCAATGTGGTCTTGAGGCCGACTTCAGTAAAACCTGCTCATTTATGCAGAAAACAAGAAAAGGTGTGGTTGTGGGTAAGTTAGTAACCAGCGTTCGCTCCAGAACTCCATCCAACGTGCCCTAACCCAGACCCAGAATCAATAGCATACCATACAAAAGAAACACAGCAATAGTATCTCCGTATCCCCGATCCCACAATCCATACCCATTTCAAGCACTCACTCCCATCTCCCATCTCCCAACCTTTCCAAGCCCCCATCAAACATCCAAATCACAAATCTAAGCACCCCCACCAAGAACCATAACAAACTCCCCATCCTCCTCCTCCTCCCTCCTCAAACACTCCTGCAAGCCCCTAACATCCAACCCGCCCGATCCCAAGCCAGCATCACACTCATCCTCATTGCCCCCCTCAACCTCAAACGCCTTCATAAACGCAGGATTTCTCCACTCAGCAGCTTGTGCTTCACTCTCTTTTGCCCAGCGCGCAGGCGTGATGGTTATTTCCGAGCTGGTCGACATGTTGCTCGTGCTGCGCTGGAGGACGCGTTGGGTGCGTTCGGGTTTGGGGAGGGCAGCGCCGGCGGTGGTTGTGTCGTTGTTGGATGAGGTGGAGGTGATATTCGAGGTAGGAGGAGCGGCGAAAGTCTGCATATTGAGAATTCCACTCGCGGATCGTCCCTTGGTATATCCAATCGTAGAGCGGGAAGCAGCATTTGCGGCAGCAGCGCGCATAGTGGATGCATTATTTGGTACGACAGGAGCAGGACTTGGTTTAGAGCGGGAGAGGAATGATGGTTTTGGTGCGGGCTTGGAGATCTTTGGTTGAAGAGGGGCGGACTTCAAAGGTGCGGAGGAGAGGACAGAAGCGGCTTTTCGTGCGTTTATGGTTCCAGGACCTTTATTCTGGAGAACTGGTTTCTTGACGTCTGTCAGGGGTTTGCGGGAGGCGGGCTTAGCGTCTTGTGGGATGGAGAGTGGTGTTTTCTTGTTGCGGAGATGGCGGAATGTCTCTGGTACGTCGCCCACTGTCCAATCTTCCTCCATCATCTTCATCATACGCTCGTCCGTCGCTTTGGCTGATCGCTGGTATGCCTCCTCGGCCTCTCGTTCGATTCTCGACATGCCGTTCTCGTCGACTTGTTGACGATATGTCTTGTTGATTCCACGCATCAGGTTTCCGGGCTTCAGAGCTGTGTAGTCAAGACAGTTGTCTGGGAAGTCGGTCGATTCGTAAGGAAGGTCTTTGGTTCTTGGCGGGCAGTACTCAACGTCTCGGTCTGCCAGAGGGCTCTCGTCCCCGTGTACCTCAAGCTTGACAGAGTCGGCGTGAATGAGTTTCTTGGGTCTGCGGGCGCTGGTTTGTTGTTTCGGTTGCGTCTTTTCGAGTTCTTTCTCAGGGGCGGGTCCAGATGGTGTTTGGAATGCCTTTGCTTTGGCGTTTGTAGTCTTCATACCAAGGGGAGCTCGAGTTCGAGGGCCTGATTATGTTAGTATTCATCTACTGCTTAAAGAGTGCAATCCCATACCCATTGGAGTGACAAAGGCATTCTTATCGAATGTAGCACCCTTCTTTCCAGTCATCAATGCCTCCAATCCCTTTCCCTTCACTGACTTCCCGCCAAACCCTGCGGGCGCATTCTCATCGTTCAATGGGATCTTCAATGGCGTCTTTGGGTATTTAGCTCCTGGAGTCTTGGGCTGCAGACCGCGGGTGCTCTGATTGAGTGGCTTCACAGCTGCTGCTTGCTGATGGCCGTGGACCAGATTCTCCTGATCGCGTACCGCGAACATCGTGTCGGGGTTTGTGTTTCTCTGCTTGAATATTCTCGTTTCTACTGTTGAAGCTCGGTTTTATTCGCACTCGTGGGTATTCGATGGTATCCTGTTCTAGTGGTATTACATTGACGTCGCGTTGATGATCTAGTCTGGTGTCGTTGGAACAGGAGGTCTCGTGTTTTCATCGAACAGGGGTGAGCTTTCAATCGGTAAATGCTTTGTTTACTAACAATCTCCCCGGCAACAGCCTCCAAGCTGCCCCACCTCCCACACCCCCTGTCCGCCCTTCCCAATCTGGCAGCGCTGCCTTGTGTCTTTGAACTTCAACCAGCTCCTGTGTCTGATCTCGTCTCGTCTCGCGATTCTTCCAGAATTTCCCCAACCAACAAAACACATATCTCCTCGACTCTCACCGCATCCAAGGTCAACAACATCTGCCACCACTCTTCGCATCTCAGTCCTTTCCACCAAAAACCCAGGATCTACCCTTCACCGCCGCCATCATGGATCGCATCAAGGAGGTAAGTCCTCCCATCTCTGCCTGTGCACAACAACCCCGCCATCCCGCTCAGCTTCTGCCTTGCTCTACCCAGCTCAACACACCACGCCGCAATGCATCCTCGTGTTGTGGCCACTACTATATCTCCTTTTTCCTCTCTAGAACATCAAAATCCATCACCATGAAGAACATGCAGAGAACACGGGTAGTAACAAGCGGCAGAAAATGAACTCCCTCCGCATCGAGGCCGACGAATCCGCCGCCCAAGTCGAGGAGCTCAAGGCCAAGATCAAGGTCCTCGAGCAGGAGAATCTCACCAAGGACCACGAAATCACTTCCCTCACGCACAAGAATACCCAGTTGGAGAACGAGGTGGAGAAGTTGGAGACGTCTGTTAAGGAGCACAAGGGCGAGAAAGATGAGGGTTCTGCGGCTTTGACACAGAATGAGACTCTGCAACGTAGACTGCAGCTTCTGGAGGAGGAAGCTGAGGAAGCCGATAAGAATTTGCGGGAGACAAATGATAAGTGAGTGCCATAATCCACCGTCCAGGACATTGCTAGCTGCCACATCTGCCAGCTCTTTTGTCCTGCTGCTTGTTCCTAGCTATTTAGAGCTACATAAACTGACCATCACCTCAACAGGCTCCGACAAACCGACGTCAAGGCCGGCCACTTCGAACGCAAAGTCCAAGCTCTCGAAGCAGACCGCGATCAATGGGAGGCCAAGTACGAGGAGATGTCCAAGAAGTACGCAGCTGTCCAAAAGGAGCTGGAGGATTTCCAAACCGAGATCGGCAACATCTAGATATCTGGATAATGTCTCCTGTTTCTGGTCGTGTGTTCCGTCGCCTACACTACATCACACCGCGCTGCACCTTTGGAGGTTGTTTTGATGGACATGGTATGAATGAGGGCTCGTTGCTTTTCTAGAGGATGTTCTTCTATCTTTTGTGCATGGAGGGAGGGAGTGAGGATATCATGTGTGATGGGCTGGGTTGATAGTGAAGGGTAGGAAGGAAGTATAATTGCAGTTAGGCTCCGTATGCGTTGGCGGTGGTACGCTGTTGTTTTTCTGTGCGTCCGTTTCTACAGATCAGATCATTGGCTTTTGCTTGATAGTTGATATCAACGGATTTCATATATGCATGGTTTACATCTTTTTTTTTGGTCTTCATGATGTTCATCTGTTGGTGATATCGAGGCATTCATTAATGCACTCATGCAATTCTTTCATTTTCATTCTGCTCTTGATCAGAAGCAGCTCATTGATTCTACCAACGAAACGCAAACTCCTCATAGCTTGCAATACCCACCATAGTATTGTCGCATTGCACATTCCCTATTCCCTCTCAACCCCTCAACGCCTCAACCTTGCACTCACCCATAAACCCCATCAACCACCCCCCTTCCTCGCATCCGCACTCGCCTTATTCTTACTCTTCTGCTTCATCCTCGTCGCCTTCCTCTCAACCTTACTCTCATACCTAAACTTCTGCTTCCGCGGCTTCTTCGGCCACTTCTTCTTCCCTCCATCCCCATCCTTCCCCTCCCATTTCCCCTTCCCTTTCTTTCCTCCTTCTTCTCCTTCCTCATCCTCACTCCCATCCTCACCATCAACTCTCGTCTTCAACAACCCCTCTTTCGTCACATCCACAGCTTCAATCGTAACAGTCGTGTATTTATCTTCGTCTTCAGAGAGGTATTCTTCTTCGTGGTCTACTACCGCTCCAGGAACAGGGGGAGGGTTGGTGGTGGGTTTGTCTTCCGAGTCTGAGAACCCGCCCCAGGCTTCGGGGGAGTCTGAATCGTCGTCGTCGGAGGAGGAGTCTAGGACGTCGGGGTCGCCGGCTGCGCGGAGGGCGGCGTTGATGGCGGAGACGTGGGAGGTGAGTTCTTGTTTGCGTTCTTCGCGGAGCTGTGGGGTGGGAGAAGTTAGCTGAGTTCTGCTATGGTATTGTGTTTGTGTGTGTGTGCTGCTGTGAGGACTTTGTTCCCCAGTTCCTGATCTCCAATCTAAAGTCCAAAGTCCAAGACAGAATTCCCAATCTCATTCCCAAATCTCCCAAAATCCCAAAATCTCCTCCTCCCTCTCCCAATCCCAATCCCAATCCCAAAAACCTCCAAAAATCAAAATTCCAAAAAACCAGAAACTAACCTGCTTCCTCATCTCCACTCTCTCCTCCCTCTCCTTCTTCGCCGCCTCCTCCTGCGCCCTCTTCGCGCGCTGCACCTTCCTCTTATGGAACCCCGTCAGGTAATCCGCGCGCGCATCATTATCAAACGAAATCTCTTCTATCTTGTGTTCTGTTTTCCGCCGCTTGTTGGGTTGGCTGCTCAGGACGTTCTTTTTGGGCCGTGGGTGGAGGAATATGCCTGGTTCGAGGAGCGCGGGATTCATGATTGGTTATTCTCTATCTTTTCTTGAGAAGAAGTTGAGAAAAAGAGTTGTATGGAGAAGTTCCAGGACGAGAGGGGTTATTGGCGTGCAAAGGGTTGGTGGTGTTGAGAATATGGTGTATGGTTTTGGGTTGTGTACTTCCCAGCAAATAAATGTTCGTGAAGCTTTCAAGCTCGAATCTTTTTTCGCGGGGGTGCAGGGTGCAGTGGATATCAGTTCTATTCCAGCGCGATAAGTTCCCGCCGCGGAGTGGAATTCCGCCCTAGCCAAGTCCCCCCAAACTCAAGGCTGCGGTGCATTGTGATCCAGCCATCAAAGCTCCCGCGAGCTCGACATCATCAACCTCACTCATATCGTCCACCAAAACACGACGATACGCACGATAACAACGATGCGTCTCTCTATTGCTGCGCTGGCAGCTACAGTATCATGCGCTGCGGCATTCAAGGATACGAGTCCGTTTGTGATGTTCTCTGATTCTGAGTATGTTTGATTGCCTTTCCTCTGTATCTCTCCCCTCTTGCTGCTGCTAGGACAAGATCCCAATTCGTAATCGAAGGAGAATGCTGTTCAATTCAAGGATCATTAGAGGTGAAGACAGCAAGCTAATGATAGCCCAGATTACCCCAAAACCTCAACACCCTCCAACTCCAAACCTCATCCTCCATCCTCGCCTCCGCGAAATCACATCTCTCCACCTGCCCCTCGCAAATCTACTACATCCTCACACAGCCCTCACTCCTCGCTTCCGAGCTCAAAACACAGGCACCACATCTCAAGAATGCGGTCGGACATGAATCTGTGAAGGGAAGGCTGGCGGTTAATGAGGTAGTCGGGTTGAAGGCTGGGGATGCAGAGGAGTTGATTAGCGTATTGGAGAAGAAGTGTGGTGCTGTTGTGGGAAGTGAAGCGCGAGAGGGGAAGAGTGTGGTTGTTAGGAGGGAGTGGAAGGGTATTGAGGGGGAGAAGGAGGAGAGGAGGAGGATGGTGGAGGATTTTGGTGAGTTGATTCCTTGCTCTACTCTTCTATTGGGTGCATTTGATCTCTGGATTGGTGCTATCATCAAACTCCTCATTACCAACCTAAACATTGAGCGAACAATATACTAACATCCCCGACAGATTCAACGCTCTACCCCCTCTTTCAAAGCCTCTCCACCGGCCCAAAATACACAGTCATCCTCCTCACAACACCAGCGACCAACATCTCCCCATCTCAACCCAAATCCAACGAGCTCGAAAACGATATCGTTTATGAGCCTAAGTTCATGGAGCCGCTGCATATGGATCTCAAGAGGGATATCTATGCTCGCGAGAGGAACGAGTCGGGTATTGTGGATCGGAGGCCGTTGTTTGAGAAGTATAACTTTTTGTCGCCTGGTATGTTATTTTTCCTTCCTACTCTTGTCTCCCAATCATTGTAACACGGAACCCGTATCATAAGATTTCCAATTTGTCGCGAGGGAATACTTTCCACTTTGCTCAGTAACTTTTCGTCTCAACCCGGGGCATCATATTGCTTATTGGTGAGAATCAAACTGACATCCCACCAGGTCTCTTCATGGGTCTCCTAGTATCCCTCCTCCTCCTCGCCATCCTAAGCGTAGGAATTGGTGCTATCTCCAGCTTAGAAGTCTCGTACGGTGCATTTGACAAGGAGATGGGTCCTGCGGCTCAACTGAAGAATAAGCAATAGACTGTATGTTTTGCTTTGTTTCTGTGTTTTTTTGTTGGGACCACCGATGGGGCTTGGTTCTGGAAATGCTTCGATGACGTGAGAGCATCGAGAGGATGAGGGGTGCATGAAGAAGAGAATGATTGACATGGTGGACGGAGGAAGAAGACTGTCTTGATAGTATGTATAGAGTATGCATGGATGCAATGAATGCTTTGTTTTTCGTTATGCCACTTGATCTTTTGAATCCGCATGCCTGGTATTTCCTTGGAGTGACCGGGCTGCCAAATGACATCGATTCCAGTTGTTACTGTCTGTGTCTTGTAATCTTACTTCTGTCCCACTTTCCAATTCCCATGAGGAGGATACTCACGCAATTGCTCCTCTTCAACTCCTTTATCGAAGCGTAAGATTGTGAAGTATGCCCCAATCGATATTCAGCTTCTTTCAAACTCAAACCTGAAAGCTTTCGTATCTATGAGATCTGACGTTGAGGCAGCGGGATGGTGCTTCATCATGCAAGGTCAGACATTTATACCGTATATCCCTCCTGCCCTGCTTATCAGTGTTGAAAAGATTGGCCACATACCTGCCTTTTGTCATCACCAAAGCTTCAAGCTGATGCTACAAGTATTTTATAAAGCAAATAATCCTCCAGCTACAGGCGATCTCAAAATTACAGCGCCAAAATACTCTGTGTCTGATTCTCATTCTCATTCTCGTTCTTTATCTCACCCTTCTCATCTTCACTCAAAATTACTCACCCACGCAACAATATACAGCAGTTCCGTCATCCTCGAATATCCATCCCTCCGTCCTCACCACTCCTCTGCAAAAGCACCATCACTCACCATCCTCCATCCTCTTCTTGCTCCAAAACGCAAAGCCATATTTTGGCCACGGTTCAAAGTCGTATGCTGGAGAAGTGACATGCGTAACTCTTGTTCGAGACGCACAGATAAGGTACAGTCAGTATCAAGACGTTTCCTGATTTATTGAGAGATTTTTAAAGATGTTTGTGTTTAGAGCTACTAGAGCAGGCGTTGGTAATGGGGATGTTGAAGAACTGGTTGCTGGGGGTTAAGGGGAAGGCGGAGCAGGTGCGGTAGATGATGGGAAGGTACTTTGGAGACATGTAAGTTTGTTCATGTCTCCATGAGATCAATAGAGTTGGATTCGTGAAAAAAAGGCGTGGGAATATCTCAAGACGTGAGCGGACACTGGGACTGCTCGGTGCTTGGTGAACGCGGCAGGTGTTGCGGACTAACGAGGAAAATTCAAGTCTTGCTTGGTAGTGAGCAGTGAAAAATAGATCAAATCCATGCTTGCATGATTGTTTTCCTTTTGTTCGATGACAATAAACACTTTGCTGCTATCTCTATTTACATAGTCGGGAGCGGGCGAATGGTGAGGTTTGATGGCATTCATTGCCTTTGGTTTTGCGCTTGAGGTTAGCAAGACTTACGCGAACTCAAAACAACTTGATGTCTAGATCACATTTCTGAAGTTCTCCTGTCATTCATCCTTCCAAGCATATTCATCCAAGTCCTGTGACTAAGCCTCTGCAAGCCTTTATATCCATCTGGGAATTCCACTAGTCCCAAGCAAAAAATAAAACAAATTTGGGAAGGTGAACATTGGTTTGATTCTGCTGTTAAAATCTTTCCACACTCATCTCTGTACAGTTTGTCTAATTTATGGATTGGAAGTGATGCAGTGAGTAGTTAAATCAGAGCTTCAAATTTCTCGACATGATGAATGTAATGTCAACACCCAAGATTCATCCATCGTTGGGTCTGAAATTCCCTAACCCCCACTTGACTGCTCATCTTGTTTCTCTCTACTATGTGGCATCTCCATCTATTGAACTTTTCATCCCATACCCGCCACTGAATTTCCGATGAGCTCTATTGCAATCCCCTCATGCACGCCCTTTTGCACTGCTAACTTGGGTTTATTTATCTTAGGGGTCTTGATGTCTGCTTAGTTCCTGTTCTAGGTCGAGGCCGGTGCGAGAGCTTCCTTGGAGTTGAATGAGTATGCTGAAAAGTCGAGATTTGCAGTTGCTATGTTGAGATATGAAGAGAATATGAGGGATAGAGGCAGAACAGCACTGGTATAGAAGCGCACTCGGCTCCTAGTAATCGACAACCTGTATTATGATTCCTAAGATAGTCTATCTCGGCTAGACGACTGCATAAATACTTATCTATGTCCGGCGACATCTTCGATTTGATGACGAGATTCATTCATTAAGATATGTTGGTAAAAAATATGGATTTGCAATTAGAGAATAAAGCTCTAGCTTGCATAAAAGACACTCTGAAAGTGATAGATAAGTCCAACAAGTGTGAACGATAATGCTCTCAGAAATTGAGAAGTGGACTAGTGGCTTGGCAAATACTAGCGCGGTGGTACCAGTACCTCCCTCTTCCTCTTTAGGAATACTCCAAGCATATCACAACAGCATGATTCTACGGAAAAGCTTCATGCGACTTTCGCATCCATTTTGCTCGCCTGCTAGACAAATTACATCAAGGAGAACAGCTAGCTCCTCAGCGTCGGCGACGAGCTTTCCCACCCCTCGAATCCTACCCAGCAATGTCTTGGTTGAGGAGGAAAAGGTTCCAGGATATCAACCCGATTTTTATTACCCAGCAATTCCCGGGCAAGTCTTGAAGAGTCGATATAAAATCCTGTCGAAGTTGGGTTGGGGCACGGGCTCTACTGTCTGGCTTGCTGAAGACCCCCAGAGGTAGAATACCTTACCTGCCTCATCAGTTTGAGTTGATTTGAATCCAGCTAATTTGATTACATATGAAGCATGCCTTCTCAGTACGTGGCACTCAAGATCAACACCTCAAATCCAGAGTACAAGGATGCGATCTTGCATGAACTTGAGATAAATCAACGCCTGATCAAAGCATCGTCTCATCCTGGCTTTGCGTTCGTCAGGGCTGCAATTGATTATTTCATGACTACTGGTCCCTCCGGAAAGGACCACTTATGTCTCGTTTTCGAGCCTCTCAGAGAACCCTTGAATCAATTCCAGCACCGTCTAGCAGGAGACAGAATTCCTCCTCAACTACTCAAAGTATACGTCGATTTCTTATTACAAGGCTTAGACTGTCTTCATTCCGATTTCAAACTCATCCATACAGGTCTGTGAAGCTCCAGAAATAGTTGGATGAAGAGATATTGACCCAAAGTATAGACCTTAAAGCAACCAACATACTACTGTCTTTCGAGGATCTCAGCGTGATCGAAGAATACGCAGCGGCTCAAGCTGACCATCCAATGCCGCGGAAAAAGGTTGGCGACCGTAGTATATTCCTATCACACAATGACTTTGGCACTCTGAAGTCGTATTGGATGATACCGAAAATTGTGGATTTCGGCCTCGCTCACAAAGGTGATGGAAAAGAACCTCTCCGCCACCCCATTCAGCCAGCCCTCTACCATGCCCCAGAGGTGCTACTTGGAGCTCCATGGTCTTATAGCGCCGATATCTGGAATCTCGGTGTCTTAGTAAGTCCCATACTCCCCGACTGGTCGCAGAGGTCATAAATAATAAACAACTAAGCTGAAACATATAGCTTTTTGAGCTACTAGAAGACAAAGAACTTTTCACCAACCTCAAATCTCAAAACAATACGTACACGGCTCGAGCACACCTCGCAGAAATGATTGCACTCTTTGGACCACCACCCCAGAAGATGATTGATCTTGAGAGCGTCTGGACGGATGTCTCTTGGGAACGATCGTTCCCAAATGCCGACGGTAAATGGTGCGATAAGGCTTCCGCTTACTACGGAGGGCCATTTTTCGACTTGCATGGTATGTTCAGCTGCAATCTCAAGAAGCAAGTCTGTGTTGAGCATATTGGTCTAATATCTGAACCAGGTTCCTTTACCCACCCGGATCTGGTCCAACTTTCCGTTAAGCTCGAAGACTGTGTGACGTGTATGGAAGGAGAGGAGAAGGCTTTGTTCATCTCCTTTGTCAGGAGAATGCTGAAATGGTTGCCTGAGGAGAGGGCCACTGCAAAGGAACTCCAAGATGACCCTTGGTTACAATCGGGACTTTGATAGAGACAGGGTAGAATTCGATAGGATTAAGAGCAAGAGATCTTGCTGATAGGTCACGGACAGCTTGACGGCTCACAAGCAGCTATGACACCAAGACATGTGAAGGCAGGAGAGTTTTACACTCTCGTCCATCAAGATTTGAATCGACTCAATCGCGGCTGACAATCCTTCACCCACCAAATCATCTTACCGATATCGAAAATGACACTCTTGAACTGCAGAACACGGAAACACCGCTGTGCTGGGTGGGAAAAGGCGGCTCGTCAATCAAATGCAAGAGAACTTCGAGTCCTTACCCCATCGGAGTGCTTAAATCACCTCTTGAATGGTCTTACTTGCTTATGGCCGAACCTGTCTGGTAGTCAGAATACACATCAAACTTGGCTGCAATTTCTTACTTCGCAGTCGCTAGTCCTCGATATTGTCGAACAGAAGGATGGACAGCTCGTCAGGTTTTGAAATTCAGAATTCAAACACGGACCCAATTTAGATTGAAGATGGTGTAAGGACATCCCCTTGGCAAATAAAATGAAAGAATTAATCAACTATCGTTACTCATCTCGTCTGAGCAATATTCACTCATGTCTTGCATAAACCCCCCGTCGTAATGGTATTTTGCTAGTTAAAGATGCAATACACTCTCGGTAAGGCTCTCAGGAAGGAAGTCAAACACTTGAAGTGGTCTGAACTCTACAAGATTCGTGCAAGGAGTTCGGGTGCGAGACATTCGATGTGGGGAAGTCCTTTTTGACATAGTGTGTCTTGGCATATCGTGTTGATCAGATATTGAATAGATTGTTCGACTAAAATAACATATAAATCATTGATGCGAGGCTTACTTGAATCGGAGTCCCCGTTTGAGGTCGTTACTTCGGGAGTGATTCAGCCGTGACTTTTGTTTACTAGCTGCCTTTTTAGGCGAGCCTTGAGTTCCTATCCCGTCCCATCTTCCCCGGGGCCATATCGGCTAGGCTATGCGCCCAGAGTATGCCCTATTTCAGATTCCAACTAAGTGTCATGTGGGTGCACTTTGGACTGAGGAAATCGAAGGCTTAACGTCCACTTCTGTTCGATGATGGAAGATGAGGTAGAGTCATGTTTGCAGAGGCTGATCGATATTGGGGTTCTTGAGTTGAGCGCGAGGAAATCATCACTACGGCTATTCAGGTACCACCACTGGACGGCCAGAAAGAGGACAACGATTTCTAGAGGCGCCTTGAGATGTTGAAAGAGAATTCGATAGAAGATTCCCGTGTTCTGCCTAGAAGTCCGTTGAAATGGACCCATCAAGTTTCGCGGATTGGAAGTAACATCATAGCCCTTGAGCCTTTTATGTTCTGATCTTTGTGAACCCTTCTATGAAAGGCTCATCTCAGCCAAAGTTCCAGTCCTCAAAGCTGCCTTACAATTTCTATGAGCAAAGAGCAGACTTTTCACGCCCCCTTAGCCCGTGCAGCCAGAACGCCCAAAGTAACCTCCCACCCCAAAACGCCATGCAATGCCTTCTCGATTTTTCCATAGAAACCCCACAATCTACTTCTCAGGCGCATCCGGTAACCTCTCAACCACATACTTCCCCCTCGCCACACTAATAATCGGCACACCCGGCACCTTCCTCACCCTCCTCTTCAACTCCCTATCATTCGTCGCCACAATATAAATCTTACTCTTCATCACCCGATCCACAATACAATCATCAGCATACACCCCCTTATGATCACACTGCATCCTCGTCCACCTCTCATCCCTCGCAATCCTCAACGCAATCCTATACTTCGGCCCCAGCTTCTCCAACTCCGCCATAACACACGACGTGATCACGGGGATACAGTTCGCATACAGTGTATCCATCAGAGTTTCTAGAAGAGGCAGTTTGCGCTGGACGGTGTGCGACAGGAAATTGGTGTCGAGGAGGATGGAGTAGGGTGGTACGAGGGCGGTGTTGTATTGGAAGAAGAGCGCGGAGGAGACCTGGGGGACTTCGCGGACGATTTGCGACTCGGCGGATTTCTTCTTGGACTCGTCTTCGGCTTTGGTTTGGTTTTTCTTCAAGCGGGCATCGTTTTGGCCGATGAGGCGTTTGACCTGGTGGGGGTTAGCTGTGCTGCTGGGGAGTCGATTGAATGGGGATCTTACGGCGCCAAACTTGCGGACTTTCTTCGCGGTACCCATGATGAAGATTTTGATTATTCAATTCCAGGTGCGGTCTTGTCCTGGTGTTGTGGTTGGGAGAGGTGCAAATCGAGTATCTTGACAGGCTTCAGACCTGATGTGAAGCTTCGAAATAAAATCATTTGAAGCCAAGCCCTTTTCTGCCGTTTCCGCCTTCCGCCCTTTCACCGCCTCAGTTGCCCCCAACGACTAAATATAGCAGGCGGTCTTAAGATCTAAACTCAATTCGGTCCAAGCGTGAAGAATGCAGGAACTGGGCGATCGACCAACACGAGATGTGGAGGGAAGAAGCGACGACTCCCATCCCTTACGAAGAGAGACATCAAGACCAAGACACCACAGCAGGGCAGCACAACAGGAAATACGAAGTCTGTCGCCTCACGTCGCACCACGCTCGTTATACAACATCGCAGTATTTTCACGCATCGCAGTATCGTATCGCATAACATCACTCTGCATCACTTTGTATACACGATACGCCGCATTCATTGTATTCTTTACGCCGGATAATTGAAGGTTGGAAGGGATATCAAGGACCAGGACAAAAGACCGGATCCCTTGATACGACGGCAGCACCGATTTTGTACCACGGTTCGTACGGCAGACCCTACTTGAGGCACGACATACGACGGGAGTTGGGAGGATACAAGGGTATTGTTTGCTTGGGTTGACTTGGAACTGGGTCAACAAACCGGATTCTCACGACTTGCGACTTTATACATCCTGAAACCTTTGCAGAGAGTTGCGCCGACGACAGAAATTTGGAATAGATACGAGATTGGATTCCATTTGGACACTATCGAGGAAACCCTTTGATATTGGTCAACAAATCGAAGGATCAACTTACCTCGCCTCCTGCGCCTTCACTCCTTCGCAGATATCAATCTGCCCACGAATTTCTCTTTTCACAACAATCACATACCTCAACCATGAGTTCTCTTCCAGACTTGGCTACGGCCACACGAACTACTCCTTCATCTGCAAGTCCTAGCACATCTGCATCTTCTGCCAGAGCAACCGGCTCAAACTCAGCCTCAACAACAGGCCAAACAAAGTCGCTCTCTCAAGCAGCCACCATCACCGGATCAGGGACAACAGGTCAAGCATCAGGAGCTGCAAGCATCACAGGCTCTGCTGTTACGACTGGCGGAGCTCTCACCGGTCTGCCCAAACTTTCAGGTGCAATCCAACCTGTTACTGCTTCAGTCCCTCCAACAGCAAACGCACCCTTCATGAAACAAAGCGCCCTACCAGATGGAACCGTCTTCATCGTCGTAGGAGCCATCCTCGGCTTCATGGCCATCAGCGTCCTCCTCTGGCGCGGTCTCGTCGCCTGGTCCCTCCACCGCTCCGTCAAACGCGCCGCCCAACACCAAAACATGGCCGACACCAAAGCCCTCTTCCGCACGCCCGCCCCTCCAGCCCCCTTCTACAAATACTCCGACCGCGACTCCACCATCTCCCTCTCCGGCCTCGGCCACAACAAAGGCGGTAAGAAAGGCGCCCGCCCAACCACCGCCACAGGCGGCGCCAGCACAAGCAGTCTCTTCTTCTCCCCCACCGCTGGAGCCGCTGGCGCTGGGCTCGCCAACCCCGGAAACCGAGGGAGCAACTACCTCCCAGCAGGCTACTACGCCTCCGGCGCCGCATCCGCTGCAAACGGCCAGTCGCAAGTCAATCTCGGTCACCAGCCTGCCATATCCCTCTCCAATCTCGGCCCGCAGTCTCAGGGCTACAGCCGCGCGAGGAGTATGGGTCCTTCGCCTCCGGATAGCCCGTTCATTGCGGGCCAGCAGAGCAGTAACCATATGGCTAGTTCGAGCACGCTGAATCTTAATCAGGGGTATGGTGGGAATGAGAGGGCGCCGAGTGCGTATTTGGAGGATTTGTTTGATGGGGAGAATGCGCCGCCTGTTCCTGGGCAGGGTCAAGGGCATGGACATGGGCATGGGAGGGGGAATGAGGCGAGTCCGGGGAGGTATTAACTTAGAGTAGATTGTGGAGAACGTTTGGTTTGAAATGGGTTTGAAATGGAACTAAGCTTGGATCTGTGAGGGGTCAGGGAATCGAGGTGCATTATGAGGACTTTTGGCTTTGGCTTTGGAGTGGGAAAGGGAAGGGAAGTGGTGGGAAAAATTATTTTTGTAATTGTGCTTGAGTTCGCTTGAGTTGACTTGGCTTGGCTTGGCTTGAATTGTATACAGCTTCTTCTTCTTCTCTATTCTCGTGTGCGATTTTCGGTTCTCTTTTTCCCCCTTCTGGCGATGAGGCGTTCTTTTGATTTGTGCTTGGCTTGGCTTGGGTGGATGGGGGGTTTTCGAGCGGTGGTAGATTCGAGGCGTGCATAGTGTGCTGTTGTGAGAGAGAGAGGAGGATGAGAGAGGGAGAGAGGAGAATGAGAGAGGGGATGGGTAAGGGAAGGAGAGAGGGGAATGAAAGAGACAGGGGAATGAAAGAGACAGGGGAATAACAGAGGGAAATGAAAGGGAAGGAGAGAGGGAAAGAGAAAGGAAAGGTAAAAGAAAACAGGCCTATCTGTATACAGTAGAGTAGAGTGAAGTAGAGTAAGTTAATGAACGCATTTGGAAATACTGAACATAATACCATCCTTTTTCCCTCTTCAACCCTACCTTACCTTACCTTGCCTTACCTTATCTTGCCTGCCTGCCCGCTTACCTTCCCTTACCTGCCTGCTTGAGTGCTTGCCTGCCTGCCTGCCTGCCTGCCTGCTTACTAGCTTTCCATCCACTTATATCCCTTTGAAAGACAATTTAGATTTAGATTGAGTGATGTAAGATTAGATACGGAAAACGAGCTAGCCTCTACGTAGGCACTTTCTTTTCTCAACTCAAAATAATTGCCGCAGAAGATAGAGTACGTAAATTTTCCTTTTTTTTTTCCTTCTTTTTTTTTTCTTCCTTCTTTTTTATTTCTTCCCCTCATTTCTCTCTTCCTACTTCATTTCTCTATTCTTCGTTACTGAACTTTGACTCCGAAAGGGATCTGGATCTGCATCTACATCTGGACCTAGATTCGGATGAATGTAATAGAGCCTAGAGGAGCAAGTCAAGAGAGACCAGCTTGCTTGCTTGATATGATATGTAGTGAACATGAACATGAACATGAACATGAACAGCAAGTATGAACCCTCTGTCCGAGCACCTGTATATGTTTATGTTTATTAAATTATATTTCCTACTTACTTACATATCTACCTACCTACCTAACTTCAGCTCAGTTGGAAGGTTGGAAAGTTGGAAAGTTGATTGAGAGGTTTGGTATTAAAACGCCTTGGGATTTGTAGAGTTTTTATTTTTGTTTTTGTTTGTGTTTTTTGTTTTTGTTTTGTTTTTGATTTTAGTTTTTTTCGCTTAGAATCTCAAATCAAATGAAATGAGGTGAAATGAACTGGGGGTTGGGGAAAACTCCTACAGTCACGAATGGGGCATTGTTTGGATTTTGTTTGTTTTGGATTTAAATTTGATACATGTGAGGCATTATTGAGTCTCCGGATGACTTGTGGTGTAGTCTAGTAGTTCCCTTTTCTTCTAGTGCGATTTCGCTGTACTAGATGTTTACGTAACCAGTTGATGGCACGTCCTCACCACTCTCCTCTGATGGGGGAATTCTATGGATTTATAAGTCGAGTGGAGAGATTCATGCGGACATCGAGATTTAGTTATTAGATGATGCTGAATCCTCTGTGGGAGGGACTCAAGCGGGGTTTATAGACTTCAGCCACGCCTCGAAAATCAAGGCTCAGCCAATTATTCAAGTCTGGATAGGAATACTTCTTGAGCGAGCTGTGCTGTTACCTCTCGACTTTAGACTACGCATCGTACCAACTTGATGATCAATGAGTTGTACATGTATAGGTCTAGCGTTGTTCGTACTCTTTTGTGGAATATCTACTTCATCCTCATCTAACAGTCTAGCTATCTTCCCCCGGAAACTTCCTCGTCCGTGAGGTATCGCTTGCGTTACCTTTCGGACGTATCCTTTAGGATATCGATATTCAAACCCTTTTGGGATGCTATAAGAAGTATAAGATCGCTACTTGAAATAAAAGTCAAAACCACGTGACTTCACAACAGTATCCATTCTACACTCAAGTCCACTGGATTTCAACCTTCTGGATCCTAGTCGACTAGGACTGAAATGCAATACTTGACTAGGTATTAAAGATCCGCTCTTTGTTCTCTAGTAGAATAAAGTAGGTACTCGAACTAGGCATAAAAGTAAACTTGCCTCCATGGCCAGCCACATTTTGATTGCATGTTGCGGTGCTCCACTCCTGCGTGCAGAGTTCGGTTTGAAGGTGGAAGGTAAGGGATAGTCTAAATGTAGGAGAAAGGCTGAGGAGTTGAGATATGAAAGACTGGCATGGGATTTTAAGAGGTAAGGGGTGGGGGATTGGTGGGATGTATATATACTTAGAGTTTCTTTGAGGTAATTGCGGCTTTTTTGCTTTCTATAAATAATTCAAGCGTAATCTTTTTAATAGTATGGCATTCAATCACTCTTTACAGTCTCCTCTCGTACCCAGCTTTTCGTATTTGTCTAGCCTTGCAGTTTCCTTTTGTAGTCTATTTTTATAGTCTCTTGATATAGTTTCCTTGGGGGAATTGCTTTGTAGTTATTCTCATTTTTCAGATCCCAATTTTTTGTTATTCCGGAAGGTCTTTATGCATCCTATCTTAGTACACACTACTCGACGATTTAAATGTATTCTAAACATGTACCGCCTTATAATAACAGCCCATCAATTTCAACGATGCATATTTCAACCCCTCGTCCAAAACAGCCATGAGCTTAGTTTGGGCTTCATGATCGTTCAAGACGGATCTCTCTAGGCTTGCGCAAGCATGAATTCACTCTGTCATTCATCTTAACCACGACGGTGATACTCTGATACAGAACAGGCTGTCGCTTAGTCATAAGTCTAATTCTGGCCAGCTTTCAAAGAACAATGGCTCGAATGGCAACAACACCCCTGTCAAATTAAGCGAGCTTCGGCTGCCTCCCCTCCCATCAGCATATATAAACACCTCTTCCCGCTGTCAACAAATACAACAACAAATAGCACGACAAATTACACACATCTCACAAATCACAACCCACAACGCGAACAAAACCCAACCCACACCCAATCCCCCAGCACTCAAGCCATAGCACATCAGCCACGTCCGTCCCAATCCAAATCCAATCCCCGACATGTCCTACCGCAAACCAAAATCCATATCCGAGACAGCCAATCGCAGCATCAATCCAGCTGGCATTGCCTTGTATCGAGGTATGTATAAAGCTAAAGAACTTTCTCCGATAAACCCGTCTCACACATGCATTGAGTCTAAGGTACCAGCCCCAGCGGATTCTTTCATCGGCTCAGGCCTCATTCGCCCACCATTAACTCCTTGGAGACCAACTCCTCTGCTGGATACTCTCCCATCCGCTGAAACTTGGTGTGATCTTGAGTCTCCTTCCTGCCCGCCTTCGCACAAAGCTAGGTTGATAAGACGAAGGACTGCACGAGCTATGAGTGGTAGGCCGTCTACGATTTTCAAGACTACCGTGCCTGCTAAGAAGATTTCCGCATGTGCTGAGGTCTCGAAAGCTTTAGAGAGTTATACTGAGTTGTAAATATAGTCTGCTTTTGTTTAGGGATTATACTAAAAGTGTTCCAGAATGAAAAGACACTCCGCTCTAGCAGTACCGAGTTCCGCTCAAGACACTCGCAGCAGGTAAGTACATCCTTGTCTGACGCCCGACGAAATTGGCGCTGACGGTCACAGTCCCCCTGATCTTCCGCCAAGCTCCCATAACAGCGGCATCCCAACACCACCCATGCCAATCAATGAGGCCACTCCATCGCTATCTCCGGTCAAGCTGTCTTTCACTGAGCGAGTCTCCATTGCAAATGAAATCTGGATTTGTGTCGCTACTGACATACTGAAGTCTTACAATACGTGCGAAGGTAGAAGCGACCAACACGATTAATGTGAACGATAAGAGGCAAAGCTCAACTGAGTGAAAGGAAGAATGCGGGTACAGAAAACGTGCTGCACCTTCAAGGCAACGAATTTCAAGGCAAGGAGGAATGGCATAGTGTTCATATTGCTTTTAGAGAGGAGGGAGTTCTCAGGAGTTAGACTTTGACGATAGAGTTGAATGTCTCCAATCAATTAATGATAATGAAATGAAACAGATTACAATCCACTTGAAAGTGCTTCAGGAAGATATAGTAATATCCTGCATATTTCATAAATCTCGTGGTGGGATACAACGAGCGGCCAACACATAGCATGCGATGGAAGTGACGAGATGCAATTCCCAGGTCTTTGTAAGATAAATGATGTTGAGACAACTCAATTCTTTCTTCGAGGTATAAACCGTGAGTCAGGTTTAGATGGTATGTAGGTTTTAAAAGCTGGGAAACAGGAAAATCTTCTCGGGAATTTTTAGAGGACATAGTACACAGAGATGCGAACATGATATTATTGGGCATACCGGTTTCATGTGAGTGGGGTGCAAAAAGGGCTCTTCATATTGCTAAAGATTTATCATAAAGTTGAACTAATATAACTAATCTGCCCATATGCATAAACGGAGAACTCTCAAAGGAATCTAAATCCTGTCAAGCAAAAATATCTCCTATAACCCCATAACGCTAAATAAAGACTGGAAAAATTGTACAGTTGCTGTGAGCATTGATTGTGTAGATACCAGGTCTGGGGTACTGACTTCCCACCTGTTCAATCCTTCTTCTCCATTGACTCCATTCCTCCCTCTGGTATATTCTCCTTCTCCTTAACCCGAAGTGACAAATTACTACCACTATTATCAGTATATACAAGACCTCTCAAGCTATTCCAACATACCTAAACAGTCCCAAAGCCTCAGCCTCATCCCTCGTCAACCTCGGCGCCCTAGCTCTCCTCCTTCCCTCTCTCCTCCCTACAACAGCACGTCCAGAAGCCACCCCACCATTCGCACCACCCACAACCATCTTGCCTTCCTTGTCGCGTAATTTCTTCTCCCATTCATGCCTCTTCTCCCGAGAGGTTTGCCTAGTCTTCATCACCTTATTGCTCGAGCGCACCGAAGAAGGGGTAAATGACTTGGATACAGCGGACGGCTGGGAAGGACGGTCACTCGAGATCTTGGCCATTAAGATAGCGAGCTCGATGCTGATTAATCTGAGGTTACTGTCTGTGCAGTTGGGGGTCTTGATGAATGTTTTAAGACCGGTGAGTTGGATGTCGATGAGGGCTTTGCGTTCGTCGCGTGGCATGGCGGGGGTCGGGTCGAGGTCGATTGTAGACATGATTCTAAGTCCTGGTCGACTCAGTGGTGCTTCGTTGAACTTCTCCAGGGTTTTGGTGGATGTGCTGGTCGAAGTCGTGTGGATTGTGTCGAGCTTTATTTATTGTTGTTGAGATGTGACCAACCAGCCTGGTCTCGCTTACTGTAGCGAGCTGAAGCTAGTACAGACGGCCGCAACTGGAACCGGTTCTTGATGGTAGGTACCTATGCGTCATCTCCTTTCGGTAAGGCCTTCACTTTTAAGTGAATAGAATATTCATGTCCAAATAGTGTAGTTTGGTGCAATAGCAAATGAAATTTATTTGTTTAAATTACCAGAACGAGTCCCTTGCACTAGTCATTCCTGCTCAGAAGACCATTACCTTTGTGAGCATAGCAGATCCATCGTCATTCTCTAGTGTCTATCTTCCATCGCTACACTCAGTTCACTACAGAAAAATTGTCACAATCAGAGGCAGTCATTCAAAGTCATCAGACTTCAAACCTTCCACTAGGCGACATGGACAACAAGTATGTGCGGCGGCGGATCTAACTGCTCTTGGTTCGAAGAGCTAGTTCACCGGTACGCTGTCTCTTATTCGGACCCATTGACACATCCTCTGGTTCCTTCCGCTTGATTATCCCAGTCTTGGTCCGGATAGCTAAATTGTGGGCATTAATCATCGGACTCTCAATCTCACCACTGGCAGTGTCGATTTGGCGTCTTGCCACACCGATTCGTGCATTTGCGCTCGCAATCATGTGTCTGCATTCATGTTCCATACGATCCAGAGCTTGAAGACGTTTGAGAATCATGCCATCCTCATAAGTAGTCTGACATTGCGATGAGCTTACTGTAGGGGGAAAAGGCGTTGAGATCACTAAATTGCGTTTAGGGGCGATTGGCATTACAGCAACCTTGGGAATTGCCGGAGGAAAAGGCAGTTCAATGTCATTTGATACCCCAGAATTCTGGGGGCTTTGTGAAAAGGTCTGCAAATACAGTTTTGCCTTCTTGTTGTACGAAAGAGTCATCCCAACATAACGTTCTGCTTGGTTGGTATACCTAATACAGGCTTCCCAGTGCCGACTTATGGCTTGTTCATAGGCTGCAAGAGATCTCTGATACTTTCGGCAAACATCTACTTTTGAGATATCATGCTCATCAAGCGTATATTGTTCCCGTGGCTTTTCCATGGGGAGAGAATGGGAACACTGAGACGTGACTGGCAATTATTATCAGGGAATGTCCAGGATCGCGGCGCGATGGAATTATAACAAGAATGTGCGCGTCACTGATTGAATTTATCTCTGAGAACAAAGGCCTTCTGCATTTCGTGAGTACAGAACAGCCATTGTACCCTATTTAGCGGAAACAGTTGTCGCTTAGCAAAACAGCGATTGACTTGTTCAGTGAAGGTATCATGTGATCTCCAAGTAAATGGCTCAACAATCACGACTAGGCATCGAAGCCTTCATTCCACGGGTAGCATACAGTTCCATGACAACATGAGGGATGAAGAAAATTGTAAAGCTTTGATGATGTTTAAGTTGCAATGCTTTTCTCCTTTCAAATTACGACGATAAACCCATAATCGTCGGATATAATACCTCATCCCAGATTCGGTATCCTTCTTCGTTAAGGTGTACATGATCTACTAGGTGCCCCTTCACTCCTCCCGGTGCGTCGACCCAAAACACTTTTTCTCCACCAAGCTGCTTGTTTATCTCTCCCACTACCTCTTTCAACGTTAGATTCGCCCGCTCCATATTCCCATCATCTACATCTCTCCTTTGAAAGAGCCCACACGCAAGGATCCGACTCTGAGGTGCAATTCGTAACAATGCCTGGACCAACACTTTATATGCGTCTAGCTCCTTCTTCTTCAGCCCCTTCTTTTGCGCGATATGGTTCGTCCCTATCATCAAGACCCATAGTTTGATTCCACGGTTTTTGAGGGATGTAAATAAACCAAGGTCAAGTCTATAGAGGACGTTCTCGATTCGATCACCGCCAACACCTGCATTGAAGGAGGAGGGAAGTTGAGCGATGCGAGTACTCGAGCCAGTAGTCTGTAGGCGTTCGATCATGGAGTCGCCGATCAAGACAGTGGTGAAAGAGAGAGCAGGCGTTTGGTTGAGAACAGGGAGATGGATTTCGTTGTGAGCGTCATGTGAACGGTAGGTGGGTTTCATAGAATCGTGGACGAGCTGTCTGAAGTCCGACTCGGAAAATGTTTGTTGTATGAGCACATCGTCTGATATTTCTGCGTTGGTTTCCATACTGGCAAATGTGGCCTGGAACTCAGTGGTTGTTGACAGGTCACAAATATTGTGGCCGGGCCACCTGATTTATGTTGTTTGCTGGAGTAGAGAGTGATCACGTGACATGATACAGCTTGGCGGTGGGACTTCGGAGTATTGAAACTAACATCAACAACAACACTTGAGACAATAACAACAACTGCGCTCTTTAAAGATATTCTATTTAATCTTATCTCTTCTCTACCTCCTATGTGACAAGCACCACGCCTCAGAAATGTCATATCTTGGGATTTGCACAGTCCGCTTTTCTGTACCAAAGTACTCCTTGTAGCTTGAGTGCTACCTCTCTTTTTGTGTGGGTGTTCATGGTTTGGCCCGCTACAAGGTTTGCTCATCAATTCAGCTCAGGCTGCGTCAGGAACGGAAACTGACGTTTTTTTCTTTAGGACACTCGGGCCAGGGGCGGTTATTCTAACCGCTCGACCAATTTCGAGGCCCTGGCAGTCGCCCTTGGCAAAAGGTTGTCACAATGCGGCCAATTATTGCCGAACAACCTTGCCTGGCGGCTCTGAAGTTGTGATCGGAAGACATCAGCCAATCTTTTTGGCTGTGCCACAGGACAATGCCAGCAAGCTGTAGTTAGACGCTGAACTGGCGACAGACAAGACACAGCTGACACGCACAGCTTCAGAACCAAGATCGCCTGTGAATGTCTCTCAGATAATGGGAGCCGATTAGTCTTTCCTATTGGTACCCCTGTGTGAACATGGAAGCGCTCTTATCCTTGGTAAACCTATTGAATATGGACATTATCTGCTAAACATGCTACATCGTACCACAAGCGAGAAGTTTCGGAGTGATGCTATTCTGGCAGGTCTCCTCGGGGGCCCATATGTCTTTGTCAGTCTGAAGGGATTTTACTTTAAAAGAAAGGCATCTCCCATCAGTCAGTCAGCTGTCAGTCAGTCATACATCCAGTCAACGAAACATATGTACATTTCCCAACGTTTTATTGCCTTGTACACCACTGTCCGGTGGTAATTGAACACTTGTTTCACCGATACATTATCTATCACTTTCATCTTACCGATATCTTTGCAAGCAAGCACCAGTCATATCCAGGGCTTCAAGTGAGAGTCTTCCTTCCTAGCTTCAATTTCTTCAAGGATCCAGAAACTGACCAGCAAATCAGTCATGTCTTCCCAGGTACTCGAGCTTTATGTAGCATATGGCCAACGTCGAGGGAATGATGTACTTCACTGGATCATCTTGGCTGTCCCGGAGAATAGCGACCGTTGCACCTACTATCACGTCACCGGCGGGCCAACGCAAGGAACCGATTATGTCTTGCAGATCGAAGCAAATAAGAGGGTCAATAGTAACGGCATTGCATCCACTGAGCATATCGGAACCATTAAAAAGAGCGATGTCAATAAGTTGAAAGCTTCTGCACAGAAGATCGCGCCTCAGTTCTGCCAGTCTTGGGCTGTTGAGGTTCTTGGCGACCTCGAGCGGAAGGGCTTGGTTGCCAATGGTACAAAGGAGACTTTGCAAGCAAAGATGGAACGTGATCCCCATGCTCAGGGTGCAGCGACTGCGGCAGGGGGAAGTGACACGAATGTATGGGATGAAGATCAGCAGAGATGGCGCCGCTGGGATGGTGTTCAATGGGTGTGGCTATAGTGTTCGGTCTTATGATGGCACGTTACATATAGAGGCTATTGATAGAGAGGAGGGAATGGTTGCCTACAAGATGATAGAAGACTATTCGCACTTCTTGGTAGATACTGCTGGACCGTATCTATTTTTTTGTGATGGCAAGAGGAACCTCGTTAGAGACTAGTTTATCGCTTATGTATTTAGTCTAACAGCTTAGTTGTAGCTGGGTGGTGAGGCGTTTGAAGCTCAAGGAAAGGGGGTACAGGGGATGCTTTTTGCAATGTTATTTGTCTCTTGCAGAGTGACAGCTGCCGCCTTCCCGGCCTCTGCCACTTTTTTCATAATTGCGCCTGTGACTCGATTTATCAGCGTTGCCTGTTTTGATGCTCTTGGCTGTTGATTTCAATTCATTCTGAATCGTTGTGAGGGCGTCCTTACCGTGCTCAAGCTTGGGCCATTTTGATCTTGCTGAGCATAAAACCCATGGCCGCAATCATGGTCATCACCAGCGGGGTTGGAATAGGCAACTTCTTTGCGGATTCGATACACGGGAGCCAATCCCAGAGGTATTTGCTAAAGTACGTAACATGGTTGCCGAGGTCGCTGGGCGATGGATTTGCCATGATGCTCGTGTCACACTGGGCGGTGCGCACAGGATCAGACTTTCTAATTGACCAATGTTAGAGCTGCTAGAGTAGTTGGTGATGCACAATTCCAGGACTCTCCTTTATTTCATCAGACGTTGAAGGGCAAAGCAGCGCTGAGGTGCCTTAGGCCACAAGGCCAAAAGAAAACAATTTTAGTACAGTTGGTAACGTAAGCATCAGCACAACGTCGAAAATGACGCTCTGCTCATGGTTGGATGGACGACTGAAATACACCATTTAGCTTAGACTGAGCTACAGGGTTTTTTGACATCCATGAAGCAGGAAAGTTATCCTGGAATACTCACTTCGTCCTCTGAGATCTAATTTTACTGTCTACTGTTGTGTATCTTCGCCGTGGCAAGTTCTTTGATATTCCCTGATTAGTCCTTTGCTAATAAAAGTAGTGCTGAACATTATGCAGAGAAGAATAATCTCTGAGGACGAACTAGCGAATGCGGAGCGCTTTGGCAAGTTCTGTCCTGTTTTCAAAGTTGATGCAAGCACCATTGTCAAGACGGGTGACTGCGTTCGCCTGACCGAAGCTGCGACGATGAGATTGGTGCGGGGAAACACTTCTATCCCAGTGCCTAAAGTCTACAACGCATATAAAGATGAAACGACGGGTCATGTTAGGATTGTCATGGAGTTCATTGAGGGTGACTGTCTCGAGCATGTTTGGGACAAATTAAACCCGTCTCAGAAGAGCTTAATCATTGGACAGCTCCGAGATATATTCTCCGAACTCCGGAAACTCAAGGGCACTTTTATTGGCGGTATTGACGGTACAGCTTGCGAAGACCAGCTCTTTACTGACAATCTGGGTGGTTACGGGCCATACGACAACGAAAAACAGTTTAACGAGGGCATTGTTACAGCTCTCAGGAAGTCAAAGCAAGGTCCCTGGGTCGATGTGGTATGCGAAATGATACTTAACTCAATGCGAAACCACGAGGTTGTTTTGACACATGGCGACTTTGCTCCAAGGAACATTATTGTGCAAGGAACAAAGGTTGTTGCGGTTTTAGATTGGGAACTGTCTGGCTATTACCCCGAGTATTGGGAATATGTTAAGGCTCTTTGGCGGCCTGCATGGGAAAGCGCCTGGAGTAAAGATCGTGCTGTAGATCGGGTTTTGCAAAGCTATTTGTCTGAACTGGCGGTTGTCTGGCATACAAGAGATATCATCTGGTGAAGGAGGCACATAGTGATATTTCGACTTGCTAGAGAAAGGAAAAGAGAAGAAAAAAGCTCGTCAAAAGCGAGGCCGGAAGTCTGATAGGATAGCCAGGGTGGTGTGAATCCTGATGGAGACACTCCTGGCGGTGGCGGATGCATAACACGGGGAATTCATGAACTAATGCTGCTTGAGTCTGTTTTGCCAGAGTCAAATTAGGATCGAAATTGATGCCTACTCTGTTAGGACTTCGGCCTTGATGAGAAAACTTCAGTCAACTCTGACCTTTCATTTCATCTCTATCTTCTCTTGGAGTGCTCCCAATTGATGCAATTTTTTATCGGTTAAAATTCGAAGCAGGATAAGATTGGCCTTTGAGGTACCAGCTGGAAGACGGTAGAGACCGAGGACTTGGGTGAAAAGTGCATTGTCTATATAGGAAACAATTGGGTATTTTGTACAATCAAGTCGTGCGTTCATTGAAATCCTGGTATCCTTGTAGTATCCTCAAGACTCTTGCGACAAATATTTCAAAAACGACAGTATTAAATGCCGTGCAATACTGAAGGTTGGTCCTCGTCTCACCCATGCATATGCACACAACTCCTGTTCGAAATGGCTGACCACACCGTTAAATACATTGATCATCCCATCGTACATGACACTGCGATCCTTGTATGTCCCTGTAAAAGCTGCCAGATCTAAGCTATTCAAAAGGGTGTAAACATCTTGGCCAGATCCTTCAGCCCGGCAAAATTCTGATACGAGTTCTGCAGTCACATCTTCGACCAGAAATTATAGCCACGCATGATATTGGCAATTTCCGCATAGGTAGATCCCTGTATATCAACCGTATGCTGGTCATCGATTATCGCACTGGATAGATTGCAGGTGATGTGCCCCAGCTGCTTCGCACCTGTCGATCGCCGACCTCTTCATGACAATGCCGAATACACATCTATACGAAAGCTTGCAAGATTGACTTAAGTTCATGCCGATAAGTGTGGCCTTTTGCCTTGGACTACCTCAGTATTGAGCTCTGGGCCCTTCGTAGGTATTCTCACGTTGTTTGACTATATTTCCTCCAAGTATTGTTCATAGTTTACTCCAACATGTCGTGAACGCTTGCTGTGAGTTCTTCGACAACTCTTTAGTTAACCTCATCGTGTGTTTGTTCAACCTGCCTCTGAGAACTCCGGCTAGATGGTAGTGGCACATCAAAGAAGGCTTTCCCAAAGACAGTCGTAGGTGTGAAAGAAGCTTTTCGCACGACTAACTTAAACACAGGAAGCCGAATATCCGTATCTTTCCACGTTGGAGCGTCAAGTTTCATTCAAGAATATGCTCGACTATAGGATTGTTAGCACGATATCAGTCTAATTGGTCCAAATACACCCATTACAAAGCCGCAGCTTGGGTATTGTTACGGGGCGAAGAATGTGGTTTACTAGTTGATTTTGCAAAGCTAGGATAAGGTCGATCATAAGATCTGGACAACTGCGTGATTAAACCTTGGTCGTCTTAGAATAGCTGCTTTTAAGCATAGTATAGGGATTCTTATGCAGCTTAATAAGATTCAGGAAGTATCCAGGTGGGCGTTTATCCTTCGGTTTCGTTGACGACGCTTGACACAGTGATAAAGGTATTATACAGGGCCTTGAATGTGTACCTTCTTGGAACCATGAGGGAAGTATGACGGGGTGCAAACGGGTATGAGGAGACTCATGTGTGTGGTGACAGGCGAGGGTTGCGAGAGTCCGGAGAAGGATGAGATTAACTAAGTGAAAAGCGGAGGACTCGGAGGTCAGGAGGATGACCGGCCACCATGGTTGAGAAGCCTCAGTTGCTGAGGGTGGAAGAATGCTAAAAGAGGCACCTTCAGGACAGAGGTTGAAGAAGTTGACGTCCTAGTTCCTACGATCTGCCAACCGGTGATCAAGGGATGGGGTTCGACCCTCGACAAGATAGCTACCAAATCTTTGTAAACAGCAGCGTCTGACATCACAATTCTGTCTTATATTATAATTATTTACAGATTTCAGAACGTTTAGGTAGGAATTAGTATGATTGACCTCTTTTGATCTATTACCTGTCAATGTAGTTCTTTTTCTGTTTATCAACAGGTCAATACGATGAGGCTTGCCTATTCCAAGGAAAGTAATAATCTAAGACTCATTCAGAAAATCAAGTGGAAGGCTCCCCATCCACCGCGGTAGCCATGTGCCAACTTTGAATGTTCAAAATCTGTCTCCCTTGGCACCGAACATGGATGGATGTTTCTGGAATCACGGAACTTATAAATTTGGCTTTGTGACGTCTCATGCAAATGCTTATCAGAATAAGGCAAACCGTGTCTCGGAGGCAAGAACGCATTGCCGCCGAGACGGCGGAACAAGTGCCAGACGAAGCTTGTGCATTATAAGCTTCGGGTCAGCCGCCTAGGCAAGCTTGATGTGGCTGCATTTTGGCGGTTTTAGTATGAAGGCTGTTGATACGGCACTTAGGTCCGCTTTCGGCTCGGTGGTGACTTTTCTTGTTTACATCACGAATCAGTTCATCCCAAAGACAAACTAGAAAGCTTAGGAGCATCACCGCTTCCCCAGCTCATGTGTTTCTCTGTTTTTTACTAATTATTTTGAGTTGAATATTTAATACAGGAAGAACGGGAGTAGGTATAGGCATTTAAGTATGTCTCTGTTCCCAAGGTTGGCAGTCCAGTACCCCGCTTACTGTGCGGTCACGCAATACGTACTTTCAATTGCCCATCTCAAATCGCCCAAATGAGTGTGTGCTGCATTTCATCCTCATACGCCACGCTCAACTGTCTTATCCGTCGACCTTATCTTCATCATTTGACCACGAGCTGATTTCTCATTTGTTGGAAGGGCAAGAAAGACAATGTGGATCTAGCGCCATAGCAGCCTTCTCTTGCGAATTTTCGATCAAGTGGATAAAAAGCTGATCACGAACACAAGGTGTGCTCTTGAGGCTTGGGCCTGGATAAGGTTGAGATACTCTGCTTGTAGTGGGGATTTTGTACATATGGGCTGTGATCTCTGCTGAATGATGAGCCAACGACTATAGAACTCCCCATCGTTCCCATCCAATCTTGCCCTTCTCCATCAGTCGCATCTAAACAAAGTCAGAAAGACCACCCTCCGTGACTTCGGTATCCAAAGATCGAACTTGGGGAGGATGGCTTTGGGACTCGGCTGATGTGTCAAAAGAGGAGAGAAGTTTTCTTCTCAAGGTCTGTTTGCAACATCGTAGCCATGTGATTTTCGCCAATTAATAATGTTCAGTTGGACTCTACCCTGCTCACTTTCGGGACCTTGGGAATGTTGATCAAATGGGTAGATTTGCAATCACTATAATCAATCATTCTGCTCTGACGGATGAGTAGATTAATACATCCAACATCACAAATGCTTTTGTCTCGGGAATGAAGGAGGATCTCAGTCTCTACCAGAACCAATACAACTATGCAGTGCTGTCCTGGATCATTGGGTATATCATTGGTCAATGGGTGAGCTTAAGAATTCTGAGTAAGAATGCTGCTGATCGTCATAGCCGTCCAACTTTATCTTGACCCGGGTTCCTGCTCACAGTGAGGCTTGCAATCCTCGGCCTACACCTTAGTCACCGTAACTAATCATGATAGTCAGGGTTCCCTTTCTCGAACTCGGATGGACAATATTTATCTTCAGTCTTGCTGGAGCCAAGTCATACACACACTTACTGGCTCTTCGGTTTGTTGTTGGCCTCTTCGAAGCTGGGTACTGGCCAGCGCTCTATTATATCCTCGGCAGTTGGTACAATAAAAGTAAGCATCTTTTAAATCCATTAACATTGTGCTGTTTACTCACATTGATACAGGAGAACTTGGCAAGCGCAACGGCATTCTCCAATCAGCCGTCTCCATCGCACCCATCTTCAGCGGCTTCCTTCAAGCTAGAATTTACAACTCGCTGAATGGGCATTTTGGTCTGGCTGGTTAGCGATGGCTATTCAGTAAGCTCTTCCGCCATCGCTATGATACTGGCTAACATATTGCAGTCATCAATGGAGTCATCTCTTTGCCCGTTGCTGTGCTCGCATTCTTCTTTCTTCCAGATACTCCTGGAACCGCAAGACCCAATTGGGTGTTCACCGCACGAGTAGGAAGACAATATTTCCTCCTGAAAACTGAGGCTGGGGAAAATAACGCTGACAATGTGCTTTCTCAGGAAATTGAAATTGCCAAGGAGAGAATGGCAAGAGCTGGTCGTACTCCTGAAGGAAAGCCGTATACTGTCCGCACAATCCTCGGATACTTGACGAGTTGGAAGACACTTCTCTTTACTCTCATATTCAGTAAGTGTTTCATCTTAGTCGAATTCCAGTCAATACTAATCCCTTAAAAGCGATGCAGCCGTTTGGAAGCCAACCGGCGACATCTTTCGTGTTCTGGCTCATGGCACACAACAAAAAGGGCAAGACACCTGTCTACAGCATTGCGCAGATTGTGAGTTGGCTTCAACTCAAGTTATTGCAATGTACTAATCAGAATCAAAAGAATGAATATCCGACCATTGGAAATGCCTTCGTTGTTGTATACTCGCTCCTCACAGTCTGGATCTCCGACGGACCACTGAAAGGCCGTCGGTGGCCAACTGTCATATTTGGAAACCTGGTGGCAATCGTCATTTTCACTTTATTGGTCGTCACTCCTGTGTTCGGACCGTTCTCTCATCGTGCACCGCTGTACATTATGTCTAATATTGCTGGAACCTCGGTTCCATTGGTTATCGCGTAAGAAATATTCCGAATTCTCCTTTATTTATCTTCAGCGGGCACTGAAGCTGAGATTGTTGATGACGGAGTTGATCTCTGACAATGCTGAGCAAAGAGCCTTCACTGCTGCTGCGATGAACACACTTCAATGTATGTTTAGATGATCTACAGCGCCCATATTGCCGACCTAATAAATGCCCACAGACTCTTTCTCCGCTTGGATTCCTCTTGTATGGTTCCAACAGATCCATCAACCAAACGGTAACTCTCATCCCATCCTTATACTCACCTGTGGAAAATTCTTCTCACTAATTATCTGCCACTAGTGACTCGCGAAAACAGAGCAGCAGCAGTCTTAGCTGGCCTAAATATCATAGTCTACACCATCATCGCCGTCCTCGCCCACAGAGAGAAGTTGCAGAAGAAGAGGAACGGTGAACTACAAAGTGCTTCTCAGAACAGCGATCCGGAATCATCTAGCGTAGGTGAGATATCCGAGAAGAGAGGACCTCTGGTAGACTCGCAGGATGTTACACCGGTTATCAAGAGCTAATTTGAGATAAAATTGCGGTTCCATGTTGACAAAAATTTGCGGATTTCGAAACATGGTAGTGGTTTATGGGACTGAAGGCTTCAAGTGATAGATTGAATTCCGATAGGGACAGGAACGTAACGAAACCATTTGACAAAACGAGGACATTCTATGTGAACATACGTGCTTCGACTATAGAAGATGGAAAAAGAAACAACTAGCAGCAGAAGATCATGGAATTAGGATAACCTCTACGTTCACTTTATGGTAAAAGTTTCCGTGCTGTAACACCCAAAGTCCTTTCTCCACTCGTCATGGATAGTAGATTAGACCCCTGGAGTTCTTGAATATAGCGCCGCCTCTTGAGATGTCTTCCCAAAGACACAACGAGTTTCTCATGTGTACACGATCCCGTATGTATTGTGTAATGTGTCCTTTCCTACTAATGCCTATACTTTACGAGCCTTAGGACGCCAATGCCAAGGCTCACATAGATATGTAGAGCTTGTTTACTCAGTGCGAGGGGCACTGAGCATCCAAATCTTATCCCTCCTGGTCTCTTCCATCCTCCATACTCCTTCTCAATTGAGCAACTTCCGGCGATATCCCAATTACGTGCTTCCATGTTTCCGACTCATTCTTCTCTTGTACACTGTTCTTCATCGTCCCCTTAAGACAGCCCAGCCAAGACCTTGCATCAACTCCATGACGAAAGTAGACGGGGCTCCATTGTAATATCGGACGATTCCCTTTTTCAGTGAAGAGATAGATCTCAGCTGCGTATCAATCTGCGACAGAGCCTCTTGGATGACTTGCGAGTTCTTGTCCTCGGCGTTCATCAAGCACGCGGAGTTTTGGCCGTAAAGGAGAATTTCCAGAGTGACCAGATTCGTACAATTTTCTTGCAGAAGCTTCAAACTGTGCAGGTCATCTTCCCCGAGCACATCCGTACCGGATTGGTCTTTCGAATTCTCAACGACCGGGAAGTTGATACAGAGGTGAGACAGTCGACCTGTGTTCAAAGCCCCGATGGAATTAAAGAAAGATTGCAGGATGCCACCTTGTCGGTCCGCTGTATCCATGAGAGAAAATCGATTCGAACCGTATAAGACTATGCTAGCCTCGTCATGGACCTGTCTGTTGGTATACAGCAATGCGAGCCATTCAGATGGTTTCTCTGGCGCAAAACTCTCCACTGCCTGAGAACATTTGTCTTGGAAGAGATAAAGCGGATGAGCTACAACAAGCACTTGTTCGTAGATATTGAGTCGGATCTTATACGGCAAGGTGAGGAAGCTGGTCTTGACTGAGGTTGCTCGCTACATCGTCTTTTGTTTAGAATCCATGTTCTAGAATATTCTGGGAGATCAGAGAAGCCCGAGGTTCTGATATTATGTTTCGGTCGGTATCGAGGGGGGCGAAGTCGAGGCTGGCGAAGCAAGGGATGAAGTGGTGACCCTGGCCAGTTGCCCCGCGTGCAGCAGACTGATCGAGTTTTCCTCTGCGCACGACACAGGTTAGAATCTCCAAGGGTATAATACATCCATCTCTAGCATCACATACCTGTCTGATGAATCAACAGTGTACAACATTCATGTCATCCGAAATCTCCTGTTTTTTCCAAGCCGAAACCAGCACTCGAGCTGTAGACGTATCAAGTGTGAGATACTATCTTTCCTGCGTTCAATCCTTGCTTGCCCTGTCAACTTGGATGCTACCAAAGACGAAGGCAGCCATGATGAGAAGTCTTTGTGCGGGGTACCAGATCCAACAGCGGCTAGTTATCCCAATCATGGCTATGAACAAAGCGCGTGTTGGTTTTGTTGTTGTCCGCTGCCAAGGGGTGAGCTCCAAGTTCCAGACCCCAAACTCCGTACTCCAAAATCAAGCTCCTATCTCCGAGCCACAAGTTCTGAACTTCGAATTAAGCTTCGATCTTCAAAGCTTAATATTAGTGTTAGACCTTAAGTTTTAAATGTTTAAGCTTAAGTTCTTTAGTTTTCCCGGCTGCAACAATGTTCGGTGGAGAACGTGGGGCTATCCGAATTATGGGAGCACGTGGGACCCAATCAGGTCTCAAAACTCAGTTTTGATATACTATTGTCATTGGATGAGAACAGTAAATAACGATTATTGAACAAACAATCATTAACCTCCCACCGCTTCCATGCTTCGGAGCTGCTCAAGCCTAGCCTTTCATGTGCTAATAAAAAACAGATCAATCCAACTCTGCCAGTTGACTGCTCCTTTTGTTCCCAGAAACAGATTTCGGGACGTTGCAATGACGGCCACTCGAACGCAGCCTGCCACAAGTTACCCACGACCAACCCACTTGTTGATGGAAGGGAGAGAAGGGAGCACAGCTAGCACGGCATTAAGAGTGCTTCCTCCAGTCGAACTACTCTTCACCACCGTCAACGGCCTATCCTCCCTCTTCACTCTATCATACCTCACAAAATCTAGCTGAAGCCTCGGCATGGACCAGCCTGTGGGATATTTCTCTCTCTCTACCTCCAACCTCCTCATCACATCCTTAAGCCTCGCATTCGCATCCTCTCCATCCAAACTCAGCACATCAATCCCCGCCCTCGTCATCTGACTATTCTCCCCCCAGTCCGCCCAAATACAAGTATACCCCCCAGCAGGCCTCTTCTTCACCTCCTCCATATCAACCCAGAAGAATTCAGCCCGCAAATTCCCAGGCACAAGTCCAATTTCTTTCCACATGGTCCAGGGTTGCATACTCCAGTAGGAGTTCAAACTCACTACATGAACGACTTGCACGTTGCCGAGACGTCGAACAAGCTCGCCGAGTTGCAGGACGGGCCCTGTGACAGGAGGGAAGGGCTCTAGCCATGTGCGATCAATTGCAATGCTTTCCACAATACTGAAATCAGTGTCGTTCAGACCATTGAGCCATGGTTGTAGCCATGGGGAGAAACGCATCGATGGATGAGCTGGCGAGGTGAGGAAGAGTGTGTCGAGTCTGGGGTTGAAGTAACATCGAGATATGCAGCCTTCAGGTGTGCTTTTCGTACCGGAGCTGAAGATTGATGGTAGAGATAGTTTTTTGAGATGGTGTAGGGATTCTCTCCGAGATTCTTGGCACACGAACATGACTGTTGGGCTGATGCATGAGGATCGTGAGGATTTGTTTGGGTCTGTCCAGCAGATGCGGTGAATCCGTGGGCCCGGGAGACAATGATACCAGATGCTTTGTCTGATTTCGATTGGCAAATTGTTCAAGCAGTGAAATTCTGTCAGGGGAGCAGGCTCATATGGCAAGACTAGGGTTGATTCCGCCATCCTGCTTGTGGTTTGGATGAGGGGATATATAAACTGGAAACCAATTGAGAACAACTGTCCCTTTCAGAAGTCATAAATCTCTGAAGTTGGTAGCCTGGCATTGTATGGGCTGCTCTCCAGCTCCAAAACGTTGCCGCCTAGCAGCTTGTCACCACACTTCATCAACATTGACGGCACGTGACATTCGACAATTGTAGATGGTGCCAAACCCATGAGGAGTTGATACCAGGGAGAAGACTGAAATGAACGCAAGTAACTGCAATTTTCTAGATTGGCTGGACAGCTTGCAAGCACTTGGTGACTAGGTAGGTGCTAACACCACACCCACTCAACTTCTCTCGCTGCTCTCCAGCTGGATATGCTGAAGCGTCTCCAGAGGAAACTAAACCAGCATTTACTTTCAAGGGACTCGTTGCAATGTCAACTATTCCCTCGGATATCAAGGACAACAAGTATGAGATTGTGAAAATGCTAGGGAGACGATATGTAACTGTTTCGCATGTGAAAGTAAACAGTCCTTCGGTACTCGGCAGTACTTCGTGCGAGCAAGTTCTTGGCAGGTAAGTCTGCACATCGCATCTGACTGGTGGAAAAATCATTCCACTTCCTGCAATAAACCGCCACATACAGCTCCTGGTGCAACCAAATTCTTGGTATAATCCGCCAATTTCTGGCATGCAAACGCGGTATCGGCGCAGAATCTAAAGAACTTGCCACAAGAAGTGCGAAGGTCTTTTTCTTCGAGGCTGTCGGACCCCAACGGGAGTCTATTGACTTCACATCCATAGCACGAATTAAAGGCTCGCTTGGAGTCATGTATCTATCCAGGCCCCCAAATATTGACTCTTGTAAGATCTCCAAGCCTCTGCCCTGCCTCCTCCTGCAAACTTTATTTCAACCCTAGAGCATGTCAACTTTGTCAAGTACTCGTGGCAGATACGACCCATACTGTAATGAGTTCTGGTTGGCGTGCTCGTAGAGACAAGATACCCACTCATCCACGTTGCGATCCTACTCTACGAACCGCCGGACTCCACTCTCTTTATTCAGTGGTCCGAAAGTGGGTTTATCCACTATCAGAGGAATGGGAATAGTTGGTTCGTGAGACCTCCAGGCCGTGGAGAAGGCCTGCAAGCCACCGAAAGGAAGAAAGAACTGTGGTCTATTTTCATGCGGAACGATCTCTTGGTACAGGGTTTTACAGCCTTAGCGAGTGTTGGCGGAGTCCGGGACTGGACTGAGCTTAACTCGATTAAGGATTTGAACGGTCCAATCAGACATCGACTTACCCCTGCATCCCGCCACTTCAGCCTCTCGACCCCAAAGCATCCTTGGGCACGAACCCTGAATACAAGAAATTTATAAATTGAGAGTGCGGAATTAACGATGTCGACATGATTCTGACATTAGTCAGTGGGATGCGTGGAAGCGAATTGCTGTCAAAACTCTTAGTTGCGGCCAAGCGTCACATCTTTCCGGGCTCGTGGGATGCTAAATATGTTGCTTGGGTCTTTGTCCACAGATTCTCAAGACCCAGAAGCTTATCGCGGGTATATCAGTAGTCTCCGCATTTTAATGGGCATTTGGATTCGGAGAGGAGCTCTGTGGATAGAAGTTGGAGTAACTCGTGTTACCTCGTGACAGACCCCAAGTAAATACGCCGGAAATAGGACCGTTCGTCTTTTTGACTGTGGCTTGGAGCTTCTCGAACACGAATCAGACGCAGGAAATGGCATGTTCTTCCCGAAAAGTCATGAATCAAGGTCAAAGAAATGATAAGATCTACATGCAGGCCTGCTTGAATGTCTGCATGTAGTGATACGAACTCCCTCGCTTAGCCATGCCGACACGTGACTACCCCTAAATTCTCCAAAATGCAGAATCTCATTACAGTCGTGGAGATAATGATCTAACATGTAGGATGAAGTGACATCATTGAATCAATTAAACAATGTCCATAATATTGAAGGAAATGCTTGATCTTTACAGGATAAATCACTTACCAAGTATGTACATCTCAGTGACAAATCCTGACATTGCTCGCTTACTTAAGTGCTTAAGTGGATGTTCCAGAAGCCCCTGGTCGAAGCCTGCAGGCCAAGGACGACCAGGGAAGCATACATGCGATTACTCATAACTACCCCTCCCCTTTCTTTTTCGACGGTTCTCCCGACGTTGTGCCCAATCTCGCTAACTATCCTACTTCTCCCAGACATTGTCCAATCATATCCTCCATCTTCAACCCACGTCACTAGTGACCTTGAATATCGTTGTTCAGCATTTGATCACCCTTACATGAGTTTGACCTTCTTCTGTGTACTTGGTACTTGATATACAAGAGGAATTTCTCGAGACTTGATAAGTTGCAAAGTGTCGAATTTGTCGTTGGGAAAGATATATCAACAGCAAGTCTGCATTTATACCCACTGCTCCTCATGGCGAACGTCGAGTCTTCCAGGTCTAGAAAGTCGAGTCCTTCGAATCGAAGGACAAACAAGATCAATGATCAACAGGTACGAATCCTACGTCCTGGATGAACAAATCATTGAGATATTGTTGTTGCATAGCAATGAATTACTAACGTGAAACTCCAAAGCAGACTCCTATAACCAGCAAACCCAACCCCTCAAAAGCTAAAAAGCCAAAAGCAGAGCCACCATGCACAGAGTTTCGTTTCGTCAACCAGCTTGGAACGAGGGATCAGGATGAAGAGGCCAAAAGCGAAGTCAAATCACATGTGATGCGCCGAGTCTGGAAGAAACACAAGGACTCACAAGCAAAATGGATCAAACGCCTCCCACCACTACGATCAAAAGAACCAGCAACGCCAAATAGCGACATAGGATCAGAAACATCGTCTTTTGGATCTCCGGAGCCGCAATCCCGAAACAGTGTTTTCTCAAGCCACCATCTCACGCCACGGAGCTCCGTCACGCCCTCTCCTTCGGCAGACGGTACCGAGCCGTTACTCAGCACCCAGACAGGAGACTCGGTTGACCACTCGATCATTCCGATTCCGTCGGGCTACGCCCATGTCTCGCCTCGGCTGGCTGCATATGTCTTCGGAAGCGACTCCGATCCGTTCGGCACTTTTCCCATTCCCGTGATGCCAAGGGTACATGAAATTATTCATCAGGGTAAGTCGACCCAAATCAAGAACAACATCATATTTTATCTTTTAGTTTATCGAGGATACCATACTGATGAGTTCACAATGTAGTTCCTCAAGCTAAAGTGCGCACTTCTTCGTATGAGGACGACCTAAATACCTTCTCGTCGTGTGTTGGGACCAATGCAGCTCTACTTTACATCACCCTGTCATGGCTCGCAGCCCGAAGGGGAGGCTCGTCCTCTCCTGAAAATTTTGAAAGCTCTTTTTACTTGCAGAGCTCAGTGTCTGCAGTAAATCAGGAGTTGGAAAATGCTGACGAGTATGGGATATCGGAGGGCACAATCGCTGCAGTTGCTTGCATGACTAACATGGAAGTGAGTACTACCCTAAGTTCTTGGAATTTGAACGTGAGCTAACCAAAGACAGAACTTGAATGGAGAAAGATGCAAAGCAGTGATACATATGAACGGACTGGAGCAGATGGTCAACCTCAAAGGAGGACTTTACAACCTGAGCGCTGCACTTCGTCGGCTTATCCTATGGTATGTTCTCCTCTTGTACCAGCTGATGAAGCCATGCTAACAAGTCCAGGACCGATCTCCTATACGCCACAAGCTGGCAATCCACCCCACGATTCCCTTACATCGACTTCTCCCACCTCCCACCACTGTCCACATTCCTCCCTTCATCCATCTCAAGCCCAATCTTAACCTTCAACAACTGCCTCATCCATAACCTCATCCAAACCGGCAACGGAACTCTCCTCCCCATCCTCCAAGACGCCCACGAACTCACCCACTTCCTCGACATCATCCCCCCAAAAGACATCACCTACCTCAATGAAGCATCCTACCCAGACAGAGTCTACAGCATCGAGCACCACATCCTCGAACTCCTCGCCCAAAACGACATCGTAATGGACGACTCGCCAGCACGTATCGTCACACCCCTCTTACACAGTCTCCTCCTCTACACCTACACCAATCTGCGACTCACTCCCACTGGCGGTCAGATCCGACGGACGCTCGTAGGGCGTCTCCGCGCGAGTCTCGAGGCGACGGAACTCACGATTCTGAATTGCTCGTTTGCGGCTGAGTTGATGTGGATGTTGGGTCTTGGAGGGACGGCTGCTGTCCTAGGGAGCGAGGATAGGAAGTGGTTTAAGGAGCAGTTGTGGTGGGTGTTGAATCGGAATTCGGCGCTGGAGTGGAGTTGGGAGCAGATGGGTGGGGTGTGGAGGGGGGTGCTTTGGGTGGAGAGGGGGTTTTTGGAGGGGTGTAGGGAGTTTTGGGTGGAGGCTTTGGAGTTGGAGTGGGTTGCTGATTTATAGGAGCTGTGATGCGGGATGGGAGTTGGGAGTTTGGGGGATAGTGAATCGAGTGTTGTAGATATCCTTTGAGTTTAAGTTGGTAGGATGACGTACATAGAGATGATATCTAGACAAGAGAACAGACCAAAGTAGAACCAGGAATCCTGATTAAGACAGAGAAAGGACCTTTCAGGCGAGATATACTGCAGTTGGTGCTCATTTATCCAATGATCATTCGTCCGAGTCCTTGGTCGAAGCTGGTGAGGTCAAGATGTCGCTTACGTAAGCATATTGTCTTGACCTTCCAATACTGACTTTGATCATTTTCATTCTTCTTCTTTTATATCTACAATGTTTACCTCCTTTCCACAAGTCTACTTTCGTAAACTTCACGAAAACATGACCCTTCAGGTTATCCGACCTATTTTTGTGTTTCCCGAATGGCGTGCTCGACAAGTCAGCCACTGATAATAATTAACGTTTAATTACCCCTCACGTTCGTTTTGTTCGTTTCACAACTTTTTCTCCCTCACAACAGAACAAGTGTCAACCATTCCTCTTTTACAAACCCACCTTGAGCTTCAAAACAAGAGAAGAATAGCAAGTATCATCTTCTTCAGTATTTTGTCGTCAGCCTCCACACTTTCTCGGTTGCTCGTGCCCCGGAAAAATGACCAAACAGCCCTCAAACCCCAGCTTTCCACCACCACAAGACGACGTAATCACAGTCGTTAACTCCCGAACCCGCGAATGGCATTTCCATATTTATTTTCTGATTCAATCACCTGTTGAGACGGCTGCTGCACTTGCGCTTCGTGATGCGGTATTGAGGCTGCGTCGAGATGGTAAGCTTGAAACATTCTTGAAACGAGCCTGGTGGGATAACGAGATAATGATATGAAAATAAAATGGCTGATGAAATCTTGTGGGCAAAATCTAGGTGCGTTCGTCGCAGTGCCGTTGTTGAGGGTTAATAAATATCCTATTGGACCGCATCCGGCAGGGTCTTATGAGAGTAAGTGATTTGCCTTTAGAGGGTTGAGTAGCGGATTTATGGTTGTGAGATATATATGCAGGGAGAGTCGAGAGAAGAGATGTAACTGACTTGGTTTATTTGTGCTAGTCTGGGTCCCAGACACTTCATTCTCAGATGTCTACTTCTATTTGGCATCCAATCGAGGGAATCTCAGGTACGTCCCTTTCCCCTACGTTCCTCACGAAAATTCCCTCAAAATGTCACATATATCACACAACGGGTGTCCAAACTAATACACCAAAAGCATCCTCATCCATCCCTTGACATCCGACCAACGCCGCGACCACGATAGCCGCGCAGGCTGGCTAGGGAAACCATGGCCTATCTATCTCGATGTCCTTCCACGTGATGGCCCTGTCCCATTACAGTACCCTGAGCTTGGTTTAGGCTTCAGCACATCACCAAAAGAGGAGATTTCATTTGAGGAGAGGAGACAGCGGGGAAGCGAGGTTGAGAAAATTCTTGAAGGGGACGAGGAGGCCGCGCCGGCTCCGAAGGATTGAGCTGTGGTACTGAGAAAGCTATGAGTCGGAACTTTTGAAGATTGCTAAAAGTTGGGAATCATGAAACTGAAGAAGAAAATCTGACTTGATTGAGGTCTTACAGCCTTTTTGCGCAGTCTGGTAGGTAAAACCATCCATTCGACAGTGCTCAGCCTTGACTAGGAATTATCTTCCGCCCTGTACATGACTTAGTCCTTGTCATCGAAATCCTCCGAGACCACCTTCAGCTTCTATCTCACGTCACCTTGTCCTTAGCCCTGGTTCCGTTACCCATCTCTCCCTCTTCACCTTGTAGGCCTGCTTATTCTCAGCTGGAGACTCCGTCATTGCATTTACCCTTCAATCCTCGTCTCTGTACTCCTATCGTGCTCATCCGCCAGCTTATGTACCGCTTCCATCGCTTTCCTCTTGTCCTTCCGCGTGCCCTTCTCAGCAATGACATGGTATTGCATCTCGCCGGAACGTGTCTTCTTGGCCTTGGGCTTGCTTTTGGTGTAGGTGAAGAAGACTGAAGCCTTGGTTGGGGGCTTGATGGACCGAGAGCGGGCTTGAATGGGAGTTAACAGAGAGTCCAAATGTACTCGTAGTTAGGTTTGTTGTGCTAACGGGAGGCAACGAAGATGTGAGAGAGGTGAGAGAGAAAAGGTATACTTCTTCTATTTTTCGATGGTTCGGGTTCAATGAAGTCATATACATTGAAAGTGTTGATTTCTTTGGTTTCTTGAGCTGCTGCTTCGTCGACGATATTCTGCAGGCGCGCAGGGCTCATCTTGTATTGAGCGTCGTCGTTGTTTGGCGCCATCGTGATTCTTTTGGGGGTGCAATGATTAGAAATCAAATTTGATCGAAGTCGATATCGGGTTATCGCTGTGGTTTCTCTCACAGATTAAAAGGTGTCTATGGAACCGAAAGGAAGTTCAACGAGGTTCAACGAGGCTGAAGAAGACTGGCAATACTGCAAGCCAAGTCAGTTGGAATTTGACCACTTGACTCCAGCTCTGAGAACCTGGGACCCGAAGCTCTGTCACGCTACCTATTTGAATGTCCCGAATCATCGTAAAAAAGACATTTATATTGATAAGTCAAGAAATACCACCCTCAAAAACCTCCTGTTGTCCCGGTCATGACAAGTTGTCCTTCAGCGGCATCAAGCGTGCCACTGTCAACAGAGTCTTCCTTTGGTGCATTCGCCTATCGATTTTGCTGAAGAGGATACCTCGATGATGCATGGAACTAATCATCGCATCAGTCATATACTCTCGGCCTCCCGAAATTTCCGAATTCATGTTCTCCCGTAAGAGATCAGTCGACAGTAGTCTGCCCACCAAAATTAAGCGAGTAAACAAGAGAAGTACTGCTACAAGTGCGCTACGAGTGCGCGGAACAAACATGACTTGGCAGGCACATGAATGTCTTGTGGTTGCCGTACGCAGCTAGACGTCGGCTTTCTGAGAGTAAAAAGTCAAACGCCTGATTTCACCTCCTGCTCTCAAGTACATTTGCCACCCGGCACTCTCTCAAAGTCTCGTGATTGTCCCTACTATCATATCAAATGATGCGACTGACGGCTGACTAGCTGTTCGATCAGCCACTTGGCTGTATCTTTTTGATAGGGGGAGGTATAATATGTTAAAGGCGAAGGAGAGGTTGTAGATGGAGCTGTATATGTGGTTGTACAAGTATCTTTTGTGGGTTTGTTTTGGGTATTCTGGGAAACGGGAGCACCAAAGTCCGAAAAGAAGTGATAGTACTTCGTAAAGCGCCCAGGAGTGCCGTTTCTCGATGTACCGTCGTAGTAGAGTCGTGTTTATCGACCATAAGTGTGCACATTATCTCTCTGCTCCTCTCGCCTTGGCCTTCTTGGTCGCATCCTACATCAGTGAAACAGGAATATAAAAGACAACAATCGTGCTAAATAACAAATACCTTACAATTACTCTGCTGGGCTAGGTATAATAATCAGTCCATCTTCCTAATCTTTCGTCTTCGTCCACCTTCCGCTGCGAGAACAAAACAACTTTTGTTGTCATGTGGCTGTGCCAGTTCCTGTGGCTTCTCGCTACCCCTTTTCCACCAACCTTACCAGACCCCTCGCCGCTCTTACCTCACCCCCCGCCGCTTTACCATCACACCGCTCTTCCCTCCATAAACCTCCCTTTTCCTCCCACCCCTAACATCACCATCTAACCAATCACCAAACAAATCGCGATCAACAGAGAATAAAATTATCAGAGTTGATCACCTCGATCGGGCTATAAAACATTCTTCATCCCCCACTCCCAAGTGCAGCCAGGTAAACATCCCTTCGCTTCAAGCGAGCCGGTCAAAATCCGCCGTACGGCCACCTTTTCGCCGCCCATGCCTACCAAGTACCAAAAATGCAGCACAACAAAACACCAAAGCTCTCCACACCAGGGGTTCCGAGAAATGGGGCCAGACGGACTAAATGTACCGTACGACGTACGGGTGAGCCGCATTGTCGGAGAGGGTGGAGAGGGATTGTGATATAAGAATGGTTCGGACGCTCGACTACATAGATGATAACAATTTCTCGTTGTATCGAATTCTTCTCTTCGCTTTCACTCGTACTACATACAATCCTCGCTCTGTATTTTTGATTTCATACAGAGAAAAAACTTTTCTTACAGTTTTTTCTTTCTGATATTCCGATTTTCTATTTCTCTTGAATTGGACCAGACCAGACCAGGAATTTCGTGAAAGGGACTGGCCATTATGGCTCAACACCCCAACGAGACCAAGGATCAAAATCAACCCTTGGACCAAGAACCAACAACCTCCTCAACCATGGCCGAGAAGTCCCCTTCACGCACACCAACACCAACGCCACCACTCTCCCCCTCACCAAGAGACACCTCCTCCTCGCCAAAAGACCCTTCCACCCCCACCCCCACCACCAAATACCCCACCGGCCTCCCCCTAACACTAATCTTCCTCTCCCTCTGCACAACGACCTTCCTCGTCGCCCTCGACGCAACCATAATCGCCACCGCAATCCCAACCATCACCAACGAATTCAACAGCCTCTCCGACGTGTCGTGGTACAACTCCGCTTTCCTATTGACGACCTGTGCGTTCCAGTTGCCGTTTGGGAGGGCATATACGCTGTTTAATACTAAGTTTGTGTTTTTGGTCGCGATTGTGGTGTTTGAGGTGGGGAGCGCGGTGTGTGGTGCGACGGGGAATTCGTTGGGGTTGATTGTGGGGAGGGCGGTTGCTGGTGAGTTTTGGGTGATTTTCTTTGGGTTTGGTATTCTTTTGGTGGTGGTGCTTGGTGATGGTTGTATGGTGGTGAGATTGATTGGTGGGCTGACGACTGTCATTTTAGGTATTGGTGGTGGTGGGATTTTCAGCGGATGTTTTATCATCATTGCTGAGAGTACGCCGTTGAGAAAGAGGGCACTGTTTACTGGATTTATTGGAGGAACATTCGGTATTGCTTCTGTAGTTGGGCCGCTGATTGGTATGTTTCCCTTGCGTATGAGGATCTTGATATTATGCTGATGCTGTTCTAGGCGGTGCATTTACCACTCGAGTGACCTGGAGGTGGTGTTTCTACAGTGAGTAGTCTCTGACGTCCTTGTTGACTGCACTTTTCCTCTCGATTAAGACGTGCAATATCTCGTCAAGGGAAAACAGCCAGCTAACTCACACCAGTCAACCTCCCAATCGGCGCCATCGCCCTCACAATCGTCACATTCTTCCTCCCCCGCTCCCTCGGCCGCTCATCCCAAGACCTCAAATCCATGAGCTACTGGCAAATCTTCAAGAAATTCGACCCCATCGGCACAGCGATCTTCATCCCATCCATCATCTGTCTCCTCTTGGCACTACAATGGGGAGGGGGCCAATACCCATGGAGCAGTCCCCGAGTCATCGTGACATTCGTCGTGTTTGGAGTGTCGATTATAGCTTGGGTTGTGATACAAACGCGACTTGGAGAAGATGCTACGGTCCCGGTGAGCATTTTGAAGCAGAGGAGTGTGATTGGTGCTTGTTGGTTCACGTTTTTCGGGTCGGCGTCGTTTTCAGCTGTTGTTTACTATTTGCCAATTTGGTTCGTCTTCCCTTCTTCCTATCCTTGTCCACCTTCCTTTCCCCTCTGTTCAAAATCCAAGCTGACCATAAACCTCAATCAAGGCTCCAAGCCATCCGCCAAGACAACGCCGAAGAATCCGGAATCCACACCCTCCCCCTCATCCTCAGCCTCATCATCTTCTCCATCGCCTCCGGCGGCGCAGTCGTAGCCCTCGGCTACTACACGCCCTTCCTCATCATCGGCTCCATCATCCTCTCCGTCGGCGCAGGCATGCTCTACACACTCAAACCCAACTCCAGCACCGGAGCCTGGATCGGCTATCAGATCATCATGGGCGCTGGCGTAGGCATGACCCTCGAACAATGCAACATCGCTATTCAGACCGTCCTCCCAGAAAAACAAGTCCCTGCTGGAACCAGCCTTAGCGTTCTTCTCCGCTCGCTAGGTGGCTCGATTGCTATTGCGATTTGCCAGAATGTGTTTGAGCGGAAGCTGAGAAGTAATTTGGAAGATGTCCTGCCTGGTGTGGATCTGTCGTTTATCAGTGGTAGTGGTGCGACGACATTGGTGCAGAATGCAAATCAGGCGCTTGGAGGCGATGCCGGGGCGGTGGGGAAGGTGCTGGCATTGTATAATAATGCGCTGGTGCAGACTTTCTTGGTGGCGTTGGTTTTGGCGGCTTTGACGTTCCCGGCTGGATTGGTGGTTGAGTGGAAGAGTGTGAAGAAGGAGAAGAAAGAGAAGAAGATTGGGGATAGTGAGGCGGACCCGGCTGGTCCTGAGGAAGAGGATGCCAAGACTGAGAAGATTTGAGTGGATGAGAAGGGGATCGTGTTCTTGTTTTCTCGCAAGGAATAGACCTAGAATGTACTATTAGTGTGAGTTATTTCAAGTGCGATGGTTTGAGTATAACATTTTGATCTTGGAGACTGCGCCTCAGCAGGATAAATGGGACCTTGAAACCTAGACTTGGCGTGTCTGATGGAAAGAATATTTACGTAAATATGAGTTCTTGAAGCAGCTTTGAACTGACGACTTCCATCGAAAAAGCAAGCGAATTCAAAGAATCTTCCTCCTCCATCTGATCACAGGGAGACTTCCAAGAAGTATATTTCAAACCAGAACAATTTTGGCTTCATTGACGTCACCACTCAGTCACGTGTCGGGACATCAACCTCAACCTCCCACGTCCCTTTCACCATCCCAGTCAGCCACAATAACCTAAACAGCACTTTCCAGCACAAACGAAAGGCGCCTTTGAATTTACTCTCATATAAACATGGCAACTCAGCGAAGAGGCCGCGCTTGCGATGCCTGCCATATCATCAAAATCAAATGTGAGCTCGGCGCCTCCTCAGCCAGCTCACCACCCTGCGAGCGGTGTCTCCGCCTGGGCAAATCATGTTTTGTCTCTGCGCCTGTACGAAAGAAAGACAGGATAGCGGAGCTGGAATCTCAACTGGAGGAGATGACCAGGTTGCTGAGATTGCAGGAGATGGGGGATGATGGTGTGGGGGTTGGTGGAATTGTGAATGGAGGAAAGCAATCACCGATGCCTAGGACGCCTGTGAGTTTGAATACGGGGACGAGGACGCCGGAGTTGGGAGTCGTCGCGGGAAGAGGGGGGAGAAACAGAGGAAACAAGAAGAGGAGGTTGTCGGGTGATAATGATGAAGGACGAGATGTGTTGATTGAGAGCAATGAACGTGCTGGGGATGGCGTGTTGGAGGTCGATCACGTGGTGTCGAGGGAGATGCAAAGGTCATTGTTGGACAAGTACCAGAACGAGATAGAGCCTGTGTTTCCTTTTGCAGTACGGCATGGATATGATACTCTGCGGGAACGACATCCGTTGTTGTTGCAGGCTGTTATTTTTGCTGCTTGTCCTGGCGTGTTACAGGGAGAGGTGCAAGAGGAAGTTACCGCGATTGTTGTAAAGCTTGTTTCTCCGGACGAGGTTGAGAAAATGGAGAAGTATGCCCTCTGATATCCATGAACAAACTGGAGACTGATATGTTGTAGGACACTCGAAATACTTCAAGCCATTCTCATGATCTCATTTTGGTATCGACCACCAAAGAACCAAGTCCATGTTGCCATTGACAGGAATCTCAACTTAGCCCTTGACGTCGCCCAAGAACTCGGAATTTCAAACACTGAATGTGCACTTGGTATCGCATCGTTAGAACCCAACGACAAGATCAACTCCTCTGAAGCTTGGCGGACATGGAATCTCTGCTACCTGCTTGCCTCAAGTCTAGGTGGCTGCATGAGGTTTCCCCCAAAAGTATCATGGAGCGTCGATATGGAGATGAAGCTCTCCTCCTTAGAATACGGCCGAGATGCCGTACACACCGACACACTACTCTGCCAATTCGTCCGCGCAGAAAGACTCTGCGAACAGATCGCCGTCGAAGCCGGCTACAGCACCTCAGACCCAACCCTCGAAGTCACAGACCACATCAAAATCCGCCACATCCAAAACCTCATCATCGACCGCAAAGCCCAACTCTTCTCCTCCAACAGCACACCCGCGCTACGACTCTACGAAAACATCGCCACCCTCTACCTCTACGAATGCATCCTCCACACCCCCACCAACAAACGCTCCTTCGCCGCCCCCTACGTCGCCGAGCGCCTCTCCCTCACCGACTTCCCCGCCCCAATCGTAACACCAGACCACATCCCCTTCCTCTACGGCCTCCGCGACGCCTGCCACACCGCCCTCAACGCCGTCCTCGCCCTGGATTACAGAGACATAGCGTTCGCTCCCTTGGTCACATTCGCCGCCAAAGCCTTCTACGCGCAGTGGCTACTCATCAAACTCTACGTCGCAGTCACAGCATTGGGCAACACCTACGGGGCATTCATCGATGCGCAGAGTCTACAGATAGAGCACTATCTCTGCCGGATTGGAGAGGTGGGCGATAGGATCTGTGCGATGGATCCGGATCATATGGGTGGGAAGGGGTTGCAGTTGAGCTCGAAGAAGATTAGGGAGTGGGTGGTAAATTGTGATGCGTTGAGGGCGGAGGAGGAATTGAAGAGTTTCCCGCCGGCGCCGGCGCCGGTGATGGAGATGCAGATGCCGATAGGTGGTGTGCAGATTGGGGGTGCGATGCAGTTTGGGATGCAGGGTGAGCTGGATTGGAGTGTGGTTGATTATGGGATGCCGCAGTTTGAGTATGGGCTGGAGGATTTGTTTGGTGTGCCGATTGTCTGAGAGGAGGGGTGTGAAAACTGTTCCTCCACTCTTTGCCTTTCCATGTCGAACAAATACAAGTCATCTACCGCATTGACATCTTACCAGCAGCAGCAAATAGAACATTGAACCTGTTCAAGGAACGCAGTCATGCACGCCTTATTGTTTTCATGGTCGCACGCCACTTGCTTAGCGAGGCCTCCCCACTCAGGTCTCTTGCCTTGCAATCTGCAGTGGACTTCGATGATTAAGGAGCCTAAGCGAGAGAGCAAATAACCACTCCCGTTTTCCCCCACCAATTCTACCTAAGGTGATGTAATGTACAGGCAAGGCAGCTTCGAAAATTAGATAGACAAATGCCCATGATTGCCCGTACTGTATCTGTTTATGAAAGTTCTAGTGAGCAATGTGACTCTCTTGACAAAAAGCTTCGCATGGGCGAGCCTGGGGAGGGAGTGCTACATGGCGTTATTTGGCTACTGTAAGCGCGGCCAGGAGTTTGCGGGCAGCACAGCGCAGAAGGTAGATAGAGCTCTGTTGTGTAATATCGATACTAAACTATAGTCTCAGAGATCAATTTACTTCATTTCATTAATTTTTCAAATCTCATTCCATTCCAATTTTCAATATATTTCCTCTCATCCCTATCTGCTTAGTTCCAATCATTACGACATGAGTTGTTTTGGGGATGTTTGATTTGAATTAGATGGTGCTGTCTTCTCTTCTTTATTTTCATTTGTTAGCTTGTGATACTGTGCGATGCCCTACCTCAGCCAGCACTCTCACTACTTCCATCACACTAAGAAATGGACAACACACTATGCCAGAAATGTATTTCTATCTAGCTTGATATGCTTAGCTGGTGGCTATCAAAATGAATGGTCAAATAATGAGTTGTTTAGAAGTGAAGTTTTTAACCACGTCCCATCTCCCTCAACCCCCTCTTCCACCCACTTCTCCTACCCTCCACCTTCATCGGTCTACACAGGAACGTCATACCCAAGCCGTGTTTCCATCTTTCCTTGTCAGGGAAGCTATGAGCATCAACGACCAAGACGCCTCACAGACACAGACCCAAAAGTCCATCTAAGAGCAAACAGTCACACTCGGCACATTCGTGCATTTCTTGTACAACTTGCCACCAGTAACAGTGACGTTAGTCCAAGTCCACGCGGTACAAGAGGTCTCCGAGCCGCAGGTTATGACGACGTTGTTGCCGGAGGATTTAACTGCGTCGGTGCCGGCGATGTTGCTGATGGTAAGATTGGTGATGGGGACGTCGGATGTGGCGGTGCCCTTTGGGAAGGTTAGCCAGAGGTTTTTTGAAGGAGGGGATAGAGTTGGATGGGGGAGGAGTGAGACGGAGAGAAAGGGGAAAGGGGAAGGTACCTTCAAATCCCCACCGTTGTAGTTCTGCTCAATCAAGATGCCGTATTTGGAAATAGAAGACATGGTGATGTCGTTATAAGTAACGGCATTGATGGTTCCAGTTGTGTTGGTCTTGCCCTTGACACGGATAGCTATTTATTAAACGCAACATTAGCCTACTTCATCATTCCAAGAACAAGACTTGAAAATTGGGAACAGGATGAAAGTGGAAGCAAGCATACCCTGAACGGACTTGGTGACAGTCGAATGAAGGAACTGTACGCCATCAACGACATTATTATCCCGTCCACCAACAGATCCGATCGAGAGTCCATGACCACCGGAGCAGAGCCCGCCGGTAAAAGTGATGTTTGTGCCGGAGTTGATGGCTACGCAGTCGTCTTGGTTATAGACTGTTGCGTTGGCTGTTTTGCTGTTAGCTTTACTGTGTTTCAAGAATAGTCAAGACGACTAAACTGGGAGAAATATGAGCAATGAGGGGAACGCACTGATCGTAATCCCATCCGAATCACCAATATCAAACCCATCAGTATTCTTAGCATTAGCATCACCAGCCTTGGAATCAATGGTGATGTTTGTGAACGTGGTGTTGGTGACTTTGTTGATACTGAAGACCTGAACGGGCGGGTTGACGATATTCAGGTTTTCTATAGCACCATTGGTGATTTTGTGGGCTGAGAAGAACTTGGGCTTGCTGGAGGAGACATATTCGTCAGTATGAGCTGTTTGAGACGTGAGATATTACTGGGTATCTTACGTCTTTCCAGAGTCACCACCGCCACCATCCCAGTAGGAAGCTCCATTTCCATCCAGAGCCGAGCCATCAAGACCAGTGACCTTGATACCTGTACCGCTAACGGAAAACAGCGGACCCTCCCACTCCTTCTACAAAATCCCAAAACAGTCAGTCTTCACACCTCAGAACATACATGCGAATCCATCCCATATGCAGCAAGCAAGCGAAGCTGGAAAGCAAAGACAGGCAATGACAAACTCACATAACCGAAAGTCGTGTTCCCGGAGAAAACAATCACAGTATTATCCTTCAACCCAGTCATATCAAGCGTCTCACCCGCCGGGATAGCAAGGTCCGCAAGCACGATCCAATCGCAAGAAGTCTTGGACTTGATAGCAGTCGAATACTCGCTTCCGCTGTACGTGCAAGATGCGATACGCTTTTCGAGTGCAACTTCGACTTCTCGCGGGCGGGGAGCAGCTGTTGGTGCCGGCATGGCATTGGCGGCGGGAGTAGCTAGGACAGCAACTGGCGCTGCAGCTAGGAGCGCTGCGGCTGCCACGCAGAAGGTCTGCATAGTTGCGGTGGTGTGAGGGATGCGGGATGGAAGTGCTTGTTTGAATTGATGCAGAAGTAAAGAGCTAGATGAGAGAGTGATGGTCCAGATTTTGTCTGTTGAGCAAGAGAAGACAGTTCGAGTGGCAGTTCCTGGTCTTTATATCTTACTACATCCCACACGGCAGTTAATATCGCATTCCTCGGAAGACATGTCATTCAATATTCTTGAACCCAGTTAACCCTTTGTGTCTGCTTGCGTGATGGCATTGGTGGATATTAACAACCACGAATATCGGACTGGTAAACAAAAAGTACCAGAGTATCCATACTGTGGATCCTGCGTTCCGCACCCGGACTTGATTGTGTGATTTGTAGTCATATTTGTTGTCAATTATCTTCTTGCAATAGCCTCATCCCACTCCTACGGCAGTTATTCCGCAGCTGCCGGGACAAACAGATTTCATGAGGATTACAAAATCATGAGTCAGGAAAGATTAAGCATTCATGACAGCTCTTACGTGCAGGAGAATATCTCCTCGTCCCGCTGAGACACTGCCTAAGCTAGCAGGGAATAAGGAGTAGGGGTTTCAATTGGTCACATCACTGAATGATAGTTGAGCCTCATCTTCCGGCGAATAAGAAGGCCTTGTTCAGCCTCCCCTGCGGGCAATGTCTCAGCGGACGAAGGAATAAGATTTGCTGTGTTTCTCCCCCGGCCCCATCTTCCGCACGGGAGGCTGAGACTTGGAGTAGACTTGTTCGAGGCCGCCGATGTCCGACTACACATGTGGATCGATTGGAATCCTAAGCAACTCGTCCGCATTCGGACGCTGTCGTCGTTGACATTCTCCGTTTCTGTAGACTTAAAAGTATGAACCAAACGATTTCGCATACACAAAAAACGACCTACGATCTTGTATGGCTGCAGTAGCTTTTCGTCAGTAATTCAGTACCGAGATTTCTCGAAATCCTGAACTTGTGTTTGATTTACGATCTCTAATATTATTCTGCTGTAACTTGCCGTCAGGGACAAACGGAGGTCCCTCCGGAATCAAAACCCGGCAATCGCGTATGCTCCGAGCGTCTTCCCCGGCCTCGTCAGACCCTTGAAAGTGGCCTCGACTCAACGGCGACTCCATCCTTCGTTGAAGATGTCTTGGAAACGCCGTTTTTGTAAGTTTTGTGGGGTTTGGTCAGAATTAGATACAGAAACAGAAATATCGGACCATTTATACTTTCACTTGACTCAATAGATAGCAGAATAGACATCCAAGGACGCAACGGGGAGACGCGTACAAAGGTGATCAATCGATATTCTCATTGGGCGGATACTCCCTTTATTCTTGGGTCTGACAATGGAATCTCCAAGACAGATCTTCGCCGGGGGGCTCTGACCAGTAGAATAGATAGGATTTCCTGCTCGGCATCTCTAAATCTGAAGTCCGAATCTGCGGTATTTAGAATCGTACCCTTTTTAGTGCTTTAAAAGTGCTTGGTAAGCCTTATAAGATATATTTCACCTGGATATTCAGGCTTTAAGGCTCTTGTAACGTCCGTGAACTCTTAAATTATAGATATAAATCAAGCATAGCAATGCCTTAGATTAAAATAGGATTATAAAATTATCACTCCTGAGCATAAAATTATCACTCCTGAGCCTGTTTGCCCTGTTTGTACGCTTTTAATTGTGATCTCGAGGGCCGCACAGAGCTTTTACCCTGTTACTTAGCCGACCCATTGTCAGACCCAAGAATAAAGGGAGTAGGTTCCTAATCCGCTCATTGCTTCATTGTATTGCTGTTTCCACATATTTCATTCAGATATGTGTCTAAATGTTTGTTGTAAGTAAAAACCGCGACAACGACTATGCCTCGCTTCTAGTGGCGGGAAGTAATTCCTCTTAATGAGATGGACTGCTTCAGGGCATTCTCCTGTGATTTTGAAATATAATAATGAAGAAGGACGACGTGAGATAAGAACTCACACCGGAGAATTAGTAATTACAGAGCAAGTTAAGCGATTAATCATAAAGTATGACACCCTGGCTAGCCTCATGCAGGAACAGGAGAACATGAAAATGACCTGTCAATGTAATACTCGCATATAATCTGACATAATTCAAAGCCTCAAAACGCTGCATGGCTGCTTTGGTTTCTAACTGGAGGCCTGACTGGTCAACTAACTTAGTCTGCTGATTTTCTTCAACTGACGAACCCTTGGAGAAAGCAGGAGAAACATTGGAAAGTCAATGGCGAAGCGAACGCGATATGCGAGCATGGTGGTTATGAATTATTAAATCCCTGGAGACCCAAAATCTGGCATAGAAAAAATAAATCACAGTGCTGAGAACTTGGCCAAGGCTCGTGCGGAGTAGGAACAAATCATATGGTTTTTGAAGGCACTTGCCGTTACGATCTGGCATCTAGAAGCTGGAGGAAGAGCCGTAATAAGCGTGAATAGATCTATGTTGCATTTGAAACACTGTGAAAGTCTAAATCATGCCATGCTTTTTTCAGGATACCGCTTTGTCCTTTTATTGTTTCCGACCTTCATCCAAATCGCAATACATCCCAAGATGACCATAAGGAACAAACCCTTCTGCAACACGCTCCACTCAGCAGACTCGGTCTCTGAATCGGTATCGGGAACAGGAACAACAGGAACGACACCGGTCTTAGCTGGGGCAGCTGCTGATGTGGATGATGTGGAAACGAGAGGCGTGTCGTCGACCTCCTCCTGCCCTGCAACAAACTCCGCGTGTCCGTATTCAACATCTGTGCGTCGGACAGCCACCAATCAGCATGTCCACCCGAAGCAAAGCGCGCGCTGCGTTGAAGGAAAGGTACTTTATAGTTCCACGTGGATACCTTCTTCTGGTACGGGGAGCTCGCCGCTCTTGGCAATCTTGACGGCTGACTTGGGCTTGTCTCCTGGGCCCTTGGGGACGTTCTCGATCGCCTGGACGATCTCGTAGCCCTCGAGGACTTCGCCGAAAACAACGTGCTTGCCGTTGAGGTGGCTGGACAGGTCAGCATACGCCAATGTACGAGTAGAATAAGGAGTATCAGCTTACCCTGGGGTGGAGGTGGTGATGAAGAATTGGGAACCGTTGGTGTCCTGTCCGGCGTTGGCCATGGACAAAAGACCAACCTTGGAGTGCTTCAACTTGAAGTTCTCATCAGGGAATCTCTCGCCGTAGACTGCGGTACATCAGCATTTTCTTCCCTCTCATTTCCTCGCAGATACATATACATACTGGACTTTCCGCCAGTTCCGTCGCCCTTTGTGAAGTCACCTCCCTGGATCATGAATCCCTTGATAACACGGTGGAAGGTCGAGTCCTGGTATCCGTAGCCCTTCTCTCCAGTAGCCAAAGCGCGGAAGTTCTCAACAGTCTTGGGGACGGTCTTGCCGTACAATCCAATGACAATTCTGCCCATAGACTCGTCGCCATGAGTGACGTCGAAGTAGACCTTGTGTGTGATCTTGGGGCCCTTGACAGCTTCAGCAGTCTGGGTGAAGAAGGCGAAGGTGATGGCGATGATCAACAACACCGACACGACGAAACGCTGCATGGTGAACATCTTTGCTGTTCAATTGATGGTATTGAGGTTGTGTATTGTGGTACAGAAGGGAATTCGTGGGACCTTCGAGGGGAAGAAGGGGAGAAGAGAGGGAGGGACGTCGAGGGAGCTCGGATATCCAGCTAGAGTTTCGCATAGGTGTCGATTAGCAATTGGGCCATATAAATCACGTGTGGCCCCAACAAAGGCGGTCAGACCCGGCAATTGGAGATTCTACATCAAGCAACACCAAAAGCTAAACACCACGATATCCATCCTTCACTGCGCCAATTCAAGCTCTCGCAGCTCGAACATTCACAATGGTATGCTGGATATCCATAATATAGACTTGGCCAACCTACTAATGCCCCCAGGTCTTCTTATTAGGGATCAACTTCCCCGAAACTAGACTCCTGAAGGTATACCAGCTCCCTCCCCCATTCCCATCCCAAGCAACAGCTCTAATATCCCCCAGAAATCCCTCGAAACATTCTATGGCATCGGCGTCCAACACTCCTCCCGCATCCTAGCCAGACACTCCATCTTCCCCGGGGCACGTATCGGCGACCTTCCCACCAAAACAATGCTTGCCATCGACGCCGAGCTGTCAAACATGAAGATCGAGAACGATCTGCGGAAAGAAATGCGGTCGAATATTATGCGGCTGAGAGATATGGGTAGTTATAGAGGAAGGAGACATGCGATGGGATACCCGGTCAGAGGACAGAGGACTAGGAGTCAGATCTTGACGGCAAGGAAATTGAATAGGACGGATCGGGTGGGTTGATGGGGCATGGTGATGCGATGGGCTGGATGGAAGGGATAGATGTGTATATCGGTGCATTGCTGGCGTAGAGGGTGCTTTGGGATGTAGGATTATTGTAGGAATGATGATACTCTTCTGATGCCAAGGGCTGGATGTATGGGCTGGGTGGGAGACTTGATAGGTGATAAAACTGATCGCTGCCAATCACCAGGTCTTGTGAGCAGGCTTTCTTTCGTCTTGTTGTGAACCTATGGTATGTTTGTTATTGGATTACCTTTCTCCTCCCGAAAGTGTTCGGAGTGCTATGCTTGCTCAGGTGTTGACAATGTGGCCCAGTTGCTGAACCCGGCATCAGTCTCTCAAGCCAGCTTCCAGGCAATTCTGATGCTATGCATTCCCTTGCCCTCCAAAACTTCAAGTCGAGGCTGTGAAGAGAAGATCGATCATCATCCCTTCATCCACGCGTCCTCAACATGAAGCATCATACCTTCAAGCACCACGCCTCAATGCCCACCTCCAAAGCGCCTAGCCTTCAACCATCCCACGCCAACACCAGAAAACCTCATCTTCTTTGTCCACCTTTCCTCCCCATCCCCAACTTCCCACTCAACCCCTTCCCTTTCCCTCCCTTCTTGTTTCTCCCCCTCCCGCCAACCTCATCTTCATCTTCATCTTCATCTTCATCAATAGAAACCTGCACCCCATTAATCCTCTCCCCAACCTTTTTGTCATTAATCCACGTAATCTGATGACTCTGCATTGCTTTCGGCGCATGTGGTGGGTTCCAGGTTCTGCGCTTTTTGTCTTCGTCCTCATCCCGCCGACCATCCTCCTGCTCATCCTCTTCATCGCCTTTCCTGCCAATCTTCTCTAGAACTGGTTGCTTCTTGCCGCCATCTTTGTCTTTGGCACTTTGCGACGGACGAGATTGACGTGTTGGATTCTTGGCTTCAGTTGGGGCTGGAGGCGGCACTCGAGTAGGTGCTGGAACGAGGTATGTATTCGTGACCGTCACAGTATTAGTAACCGAACTCCTACTCTGGCAGTAGATGTCTTTGAATCTGGGATCGTTCTCAGGATCATATCCACCTGCATCTCCAGCTCTGAGTTCGTATTCATCTCCATCACTGTTTCTGCTCTCCTTATCACTGTCACTTTCTTCCTCCTCATCATCCTCACTGTCGTCAAAACTCGAAATTCCTTCAAGAAGCCCGCGATGAGATGAACAGCTAAACGCAGCAGTGCGAGTTATATTCGGGGCTGATGCAGATGCCTTCTTCTCCGCACTGGTGGGTGTATTTGTAGGCGGTATAGCACCAGCAGGAGGCGTATAGGACATCGAAAGCGATCGATCTGGAGATGGAGCTGAAGAGCGGAAGGTTCGCGGTGCTGGGACTCTGGTCCGATGAGTTCTACTTCTGAACTCATTTTTATGCACGGGCTTATGCTCAGCTGTGTGTTTGAGTATGGGTTCAAGTTTTGCAGGATCCATGGTGGGCGATGGCGATGGTGCGTTTGATCGCTCTCGTGCTGGTCGATGTCGATGTTGTGAGCTTTGTACCAGATCGGTGCTGGTTGTTCGATTGAAGTCAGACTGATGACCAGAAGTAGGCGTACGAAAGATGTTCTCTGATTTGATACCGAGGTTCATGCTAATGGACGGAGAAGGTGATGGCGCACTGGAGCGGGCTCGCTGACGGAATGGATAGACGTTTGAGGGGACAACCATTGAGCCGAAAGAAGGTGTGTGGTCACGGCTCTCGGTTGGGCTATGAGTAGATGGCGATGGTGCTGCAGAGCGTGCTCTTTGATGGACGTGCGATGAGCTCATTCCTGTAATGCTTGGAGAAGATCGCTCTACAGCTTCTGGTGATGCTCGAACTGAAGGCGATGGAGCTGCAGAACGGACGAAGCCTGGATTGTGTACTTGGATGTTGTTAGCAGGAATGACTTGGGAGATGGAGAAAGGTAAGGAAGGCAAGAGATACAATTGTTCTTCCTGGAAGATATGATTGCCACATTCGTGTTTGGGTCGTGGGCTCTCATATTGGCAGTAGTATGTCTCACGAGGATGTCGGTAAAGCCGAAGATCTTGGGGTGAGCTTAAGTCAATTGTAGTTATGTCGCGCGTGGAGATGCCTTCTGAAGACGTTGCATGGTATCTAGCAAAATAGGCTCGACTGGACTAGCGCGTTTGTGGGAGAAGACAGTCTGGGTCTTGCAACTTGACACAAAAGGCACAATTAAATTCTAAACCTACTACTAAAAGGTAAAGCTTCAAGTTCGATTCTCTTTCGTGCTCAACGTACTCTTCAAAACCCTTTGCTTTGTTGTTTTGCCTGTTCTTGTCGTTGGCATCAGATTGTGTTTTCTTCGCTTAAAACAACCTCTTCTGCCAAGACAAAAAGTGCTGTCCACCATTTCACAAGAACTGCTATACTCACGTTGTGAACACAGACCAAAATAAAGTTTACGCGCGCTCACACTCATGAAAGCTACTACACCGAAACTACTAGGTCATGTTCCATACCTCGAGGCACAGACACACTTGGCAGTTACCGCTGGTTCTGGCTCGTGTCATTTTCCATAAACCGACACAATATTCCCATGGAGTAGCCAGCATGGAGACCATAGAGCCTCAACATCTTTTGTCCGCCACGATCAAGTATTAATACACTGTTTCCATCTGCAGCTGTCCCTGTCAGCCAAATTTTCCGAGCCCCAAGCCACCCAGTCCAAAACTAGTCCTCATCCGAGTTCCAGTGAATGATACCAACAATATCCGACATCCAGCCACTGCCCAAGTGGTGAAAGTCAGCTGCATAAGCCCAACATAGCATTCCAGCATCCTTCTTGTCATTGTAATCTATCTCCTGTTATCCCATCTCGAAATCCACAGCCCCGCTCTCCTTCTCCTTTCCCCGTCCAACAAGAATCATCCTGGCTGTCTTGATTCCCCTCCCACTTCCTTGGATCCATCTCTTCCATTCCTCTACCTCTCAACGAGATCCTGCCCATCATCTTCGTCAATTCCATCTCCAGCTTTTCTTGAATACCTTTTGATGTTTCTGCTTCCTTACTCTTCTTGGATATGACCGGTCTCGTATTCTTCGTGGCATGGTGACGGTATATAAGGTGCGAGCGCTGATTGCTACTCTTATTGATGTTGTCGTGTGTGGGGCTTCATGTAGAGGTGGAGCATGTCGAGCAGGTTGTGAAGAGCGTGCCTGGTAGGTGTTTACATGTGTGCAGGGCTGGGACAGTTTGGAGGCAGATGGTACCATCCTGTGGTAGAAAGTGGAAATGAAGCTACTTACGCTGGTAGATTGTCTGTAGTCCGCAGTCGTGGAGTTGTCTCCGTGATCCAGTCACTGGAACGGAGGAAGCGCGCTTTCTTTCTAGCGGCGACTCGAGGAAGCGGGTGCAAGTCGTCTTGATGTGGCGGTCGTCTGTTTGGAGCATCAGAACATTTCTTGTAGGTATGATAGGGGAGAGCATTCTCAACCTTTAGAGTAACGTCGTGGAGCCATAGTGAGATATGTTATGTTGAAGATGGACTGGGGGCTCATGGGATGTCGAGCTTGGAGTCTAGATCGAAGGAAGGCACGATGATTGGTCTGGCAACGAGATCAAATGGCTTTACTTGCACTTGGCATGGAGTAGAAGAATATATGCTGTGAATCTACTAAATGATGCAGCGGATTTCTGTATATTATATTGCAAGGCAAAGGAGCTGGTCATCATTCTTATCACACGCCGATAAAGCTCTCGTCATGCATCCGTTGGCTCTCGACCTTTCCGGTGTCTACCAGGTGGAATCTTGGGGCATGGGTAGCAGAACATAGATATTGGCTGTGCTAATGTTTCTGTGCCATAGAATGGAATTCTTTTCACATTGCTGGACCTTGGTTTCGGACGAGCGGTCAGAAAGAGTCAAAACCATAAGTGCAGCTTAAGGTAAAAGATTCTATTCATTTTATGGCACAGAGTACCCAGAAGAACAGAATCATGGCAATATAGCCTTTCCACATGTTCGACGACCAAGCAAGACTTTTGCACGCATCACAAATTTCCTTCAAACTCTACACTAGCTCCCAAATGATGTAACATCACGTACAGTCTCGTATCTTATGATCAGCGTCAGAAGGTTCAAAGACCCTTCTTCTCATAGTACTCATGAATATGGCCTCCAAGGGGGGACCAATACTCCTTCAACTCCTTATCCTTTTTGTCAGCAATCTGCTCCGGATGCAGGCCCTTGTCCCACATCTCACACTCCTGCTGAGTAGGGAATCTCTTCTCATCAACCTCATGCGCGTTCACAATCTTGAAGAATTTAAGTGACATCTCCAGAACTCTGATGAACTTCTTCAAGAGCTCTCGTGGTAATGGGCATCGACCAAGCTTGACCTCACCAGTCTCAGCCCAGCCTTTCCAAATTAAGACCAGCTCCCAGATCTTGTCGGATGGTGTCTTGAGCAGCTGTCGGAGGCGGATCCTATTCTCCTCGTCAAATTTTCCCAACTCGGGGTGATTGACATTGAAAAAGTCATCGAGCTCTTCGAGCATAGCCATCAGGAGTGGGATGATGAAAATAGCGCGAGAGTTGGAGCATGGGAGGGTGAAGGCGCGTCCGCGGGTGATGGAGGTGCGACCATTCTTAGTTCTGGCAGGATCGTAGCAGAGCTCATCATCGGAGTCGTCGTGACCGTCTTCGGGGTGGACTTTGCTGTGGAGGATGTACTTGAAGATGTTACAATTGGCATTGACAAGGTCTTCACTGAGGACGCAATGAGTAGAGGTATCGGAAGCTCCAGTGAGATAGATAACGACAGTGTAGTCAATAGTTTTCCCGTTCTTGGCAAACCACCAACCGACGCGCGTGCGTTGAAGCTAGCCTAAAACGGACGCTAGTCCGTTTTAACAGCTTAAAACGGCCGTCCGTTTTAAAGGTTATTAAAAACGAGGTAGTTGCTAAGAACGGGCTAATAAACTAAGTATAATCTTACTTTATTTTTTAACTACTGAAAATATAACACTTACCTTATAAAAGGCTAATATTATATTATAATAATAGTCCTATATACCTTTAAGTTATTAATAATATTAAGTAAAAGTAATTGAGATTCTCTTAAAATTTATAACTAAAGTAAAAAGAAAGTAAAGGAGATAAAAGAGTATGAATATATCAGAGGTTAAAGGAGGTAATCTCGCTTAACTCAGGTAATACTTTTCTAATTAAGACTAGTAAATTAAGCTATCCGAACTATAGAAACGTCTTTAAATTACTAGTGTTATATATATATATATATATGTAAGCTAAAGCTAAGTAAGATTACCTCTTTTAACCTTTTTAATATCTATTACTTTTATTTTTCTTTTATCCTTTTTTAGTATTTTTTACCTTAATTATTACTTAAAATTCTAAGGTAATTATATTACTTTTACTTAGTATATTATATATATATATAACTTAAGACTATTATTATACTATAATATTAGATTTTTTTAGAGTAAGTATTATATATCAGTAAAAAGATCTGGCTCCAGGCAGCCGCCGGCTAGCCGCCGTAGGCGCTATTTTCGCGATTTTTAGCCTAAGTTACATATCGATTAATTTGATAGCTAGCGACCCCTAAAGCGATATATACTAATTTAAATTGACGACGTAGGCGCCTAAGGCGACTAAGGCGCTATAGGTGCTTATAAGCCTAATTAGGACTAGCGTATAAAATAAAAGTGAGTCCGATTTTTATTTATTATATAAGATATATTAGTAAGCTTAAAAAGCTTAATAATACTAAGAATCCTAAGGATATTAAAGGTACTTATAAAGGTATACCTTATAAGGGGGTATTATTAGGCTTATATCGCCCGATTAGGCAAGGCGGCGACTCACCCCTGTATAGAATTTACCCGAATCGAATTATAAGCACGCTAGCGATTTTTTACATAGATATTCATAGCGTTAGAGGCTTAGCGAGACTAGTTTTAAGGACGTGCGTAGAAAGTGCAGGTCTTTTTAAATTCTCGGTTAAAATTCACGCTAGTCTAACTGTTTTTAGTTAGTTTAAAATCTAAAAATAAACTTAACTTTTAATTTTTAATTCTAATTAAAAATATTATATCTTTCCTAATTTAGTCTAGCTTATATATAAAAGTGAGTCTTATAAAAGGCGCCTAAGGCGTATAAGGCGGCCTTTTATTATTTAAGGCCGACGTACGACGGCCTCTTATATCTTAAGGCGCCTTAAGCGTAAATAGCAACTATTCGGCGAAAACAGCGAAAATAGCGGGTGGCACGTGCACCCGGCGCCAGAATTTTTTGCTGATATAATAATAATTATTAAACAATAAAGTAAGATTATACTTAGTTTATTAGTCCGTTCTTGGCAACTACCTCGTTCCGTGCGTTTATAGCCTTATAAAACGCACTACAGTGCGTTTTATAAGGCTAAAACGCTAGTCGGTTAGAGAGCCTCAAAACGACGTCGTTCAACGGCCGTTCCACTATTGACTACACTGGATAACGACGCGCTTGATTCTGTTCAATGTTACTTCAGTACACTGAAATCATCGGTAGCAAACTGACTGTGGCTCGCTCAGGGAGGACGACATCTTGCGCTTCTTGACAAGGGGCTTGGAAGCTTTAGTACCAGTGGGAGCTACTTTGTTCTTAACAGAGCGGCGCTTTGGCTCAGTGGCGATGTTCGTCTTGAAAACACTATTATGGTGAGGTAGTGTGGTTCTAGGTCGGAAGATAGTTAGCTTATTCTGTAAAGTTATATAGATAGGCGCGATAGCGTGTATTAAATATATTATCTTCTCTCTCCTACTCTTACTACCTGTTTAGTTAGTAGTCCTCTATATCCCTACTTACTATGCACTTTTAACGGCACTACCCCACTCCTTTATACTATCTGCGGATGAGGACAACTTGCTGACAGCACCGAGAGTAACGGCGTCGCGTGGATTAGTATGTTTGACCGAGTGCTCTTCTACTTCTCCCTTCTGCTTGACTACCAACTTGATTTGCTGGTGGAAGGGATTGTAGCTGACCTTCTTCCGCAAAATCGGAGGTGCTAGAGAGACTGGAAGAAGTGGCTTCGCCGAGTTGTGGTTGAGACCAGTGGGTGGCGGAAAGGCTAGTGTGTTTTTTGATGAAACTGGTGTTGTCACCTCAGAGGTGAGTCCGTCAAGAGTAGATGCGGAAGATGAAACGGAAACGAAAACTGCTGTGCCCTGCTTTCTGGTCTCTACAAATTTCGAAACAGTTGTGAAGGATGACAAAGGGAGGCTAGCGTATTTGCCTAACTTATCATTTAATTTCGAAGGAGGGCGGGTTGAAGAAGCTTCAACCTTCTCAAATTTTGAAGAACTGATCTTGTCTTCACCGTTCTCGCCCTTGTTAAACTTTCGAGGAGTATGGATTGCGGTGCCAGCAAGTTCCTTCACGTTGTAAGTAGTAACACCTCTGCGTGTGCGACTACTATGGCGATTCTTGTCGAGGGCTGTGAGTGCTTCGACTGCTTGACTCAGCGTGCAAACACGATTTCACAAAGGAGGCATGTTAAACAGACCTAGCTTAGACGCGCCGACAATGCGAGCATTCTCCTCAGCAGTCTCCGCATTCTTATCTTTGATGCCGGCATTCCCCTCGAGTTCAGATCGTTCTCGGTCTCCAGTCTTTATATCAACCTTCCTCTCCACATCTGTTTCAGTCGGATCACCCGGATTGTCCTTGACTACCGCCCTTGAGGGCGACATGACGGATTGAGCAACAGCAATTTTGTGCAAAATGTTGTGGTATAGTTCGAGAAGAAACAGAGAATTTAATGGGGCTCTCTGCGGCTGCAGATAGAGTTGACGCAGGATGAGGACGGTGATAGGCAATTTCGAATCGTGTGGGCAAGTCTGTAAAGTGCGCTAGTGAGCTAAGCGAGGAGTAAACACGCCAGGCTCTGCGTGAAGCCTTGTCATTTGGTCACTCCCAGCTGTCCTGAGATCATCAAAGAACAATTTTGTGACAGATAGGACGAGACTTGTTATGAAAGAGTTTGTAGACAACGAAAGTAGTGGTACAAAAAAAGCTATCCGCAAGTGCTGCAATTCCTAGAAACAGCAGGCCACAGACGAGTCCACCTTTGCAGAACAGAGCTCAAAAGTATATCGTGAATATCTAAAACTGTGATCACTATGGTGGGTATTTATTCTCCCAACCAATTTGCCAAAGTAAAGGCCGGTCTCTGTAGTCTGCGAAAGTTCCACGCTCTTCTGATCGCACATTAAGTAAGTAGACAGCTTACAGAATCGGCAATGACTCACGAGTGGTATCTGATAGGCTATAGTTTTCTGTTGCAGGGGTAAAATGCGCCAATTTTCTGGGACGTAGTCAAGTTGAAAATGAATGAGGAGCGTTAGCGCACATTAAAGGAGTTGGCTGACCCGGCAAAAGTTCTGGGCGAAGCACGTCTGGAGAGGTGACAAAACTATCCAACGTGATCTCGACTATTTGCAAGCTGCTTCCCCAACATCAAAAATTCACTTTGCTCTCCGATTCCGAGATTTTATCTGCCTCGCTGGCCCGCCTCCTTGTCCTTGGTAACTCTTGACCCTTCTCGATGGAGGACAATCTACACTTGCGCATCGTCAGCGTTGGCGTCGAAGCTTCTTATTGCTAGGCTTTTCAAAGTGTAATTGGGCTTCTTCTTTGATCCTTATAGGTAAGCAACACGGAATATCCTTTCCCATCTTCGTTCTTTCGCGCCGACTACATATCATCCAGCTCGTGCATACCTATTGCTAACAGCTGATGGGGCAGGATCGTAGAACTTCCAGACCTAATGAAGTATCCGAACAGATTCTAACCGCAGGAAATTTAAAGCCTTACCACAGCTGAACCTCGTGGACCTATAACCAGCTGCCCACAATGGGGAGCTAAGCTATGCGGAGTGAAGATGAGGCCCTGCGCCCAGCTAAGGAGAATCTTAGCATACTGCGACTCTAATTACCGACAAGGACCTAAACTTCAACATCGATGCCTTCCCACTCCTCCGTGACTACACGTTATCTCTCCTGACCAAAATCCAAGAGGACATGAACTTTAGCGTGGATACTCGACCTTTTCTTACTTGCCAATTAGACACCACTGAAGGCTTTCTGCACCTAATTGAAGAGGACATCAACCTCATCCGTATGCTTGCATCATCAGACCCTGAAGGGTTTCATGAAGGGAATACCGCGCAGCACTTAGAAATTCGGACCGCTCAGATAACTCAATGGATGGAAAGCCAAATAGCTGCTGGTGGTGGCCAATCTCTTGGCCACTTTAGTGGCTCGTGACAACTCTTCACAATAGGGTATCAAAGTGCATTGCGAGGAGCCGTAGACGCATGAATTTTAAAGAAAACAGGAGAGAGAGAGCAACAATAAGAAACATGCCAATAAGTTCAACAAAAATCGATATGATTAGGCAGGTTTCTATATTGAGTTGACAAAAAAAGTCCTCAATGCTTTCCAACACAGAAATCAGACACCAATACCATGTATACATCACTACAGAATAGAAAGCTCCTCCAGCTAGCAGCAGCATGGTCATGACTGTAAGCTCAAGTGAAATAATCTGGCCGGTGAGCACTGTATACTTGCGACATGGGAACAATCCCAAATGGGAGCAAGGACAAGATTTCAAGTCTCTCATATTTAAAATTCCTAATGTTCTGTGTGCGGCTTTTTTACCAAGACAGTCCCTCCGGTAACGCGGGACAGTTCAACCCATTGTTTACTTTCCGCGATCCGCTATTTCATCAGCGCCGCGCATCGGTTGTCGACTGTACTCATGAAGAATAATCCAGATATCACTACTCCCAATAGTGATTTTGACGATTCATTGATTCCGATAAAGGTCACGGCGAGTCACCTGAAGATTGCCTTGGAAGATTTTCCCGAGGCTGATAATCCAGCTCGCTTAATTTGGCACCAAGCTTCCACTCAACAATCTTGTCAACGTCGGAGCCTCCGATCTACCTTTGCAGTCGCACAAATCTCGACTGGCGAAGAAGTGGAGAAAATTTGACACGGTATTTATTATCGCACGCCATTCGAGCCAGCAATTCTGAATACGTCAGGTATGTAATCTAGATTTCTCGTTTTGTTTACAACCTTGGAGTCGCGGTGAGGAAGAATCTGGAAATCTCGGTAGAGCATTGGATTAATCTGTTCTCAAAAACTCAGCGTCTCGAGATTCAAGTCTTCACATACTCATATCGTCAGTCGGTGTGTGGTCTCACTGATTGAATCGTGGAAGAGCATGTTCCCGTACGGAGCGGTCGTTTGTGCAACAACCATGTCGAACCCAATACCATACTCGCATGAGCTCACAGAGAGCCAATCGTCCAAGGCTGTCATTGAGACCATGCAACAAGAGCTGGAGATAATGTACCGTATTGTAGAGGCGAACGAGCCTGATCACTTCTTCCGAGAAGTCCTCGACATGAAGCAAAACAACGATTTCATGCTACACTACATGCAGACGGGAGAGCCATTGTGGCCATTACCGGAATGCAACGCCCCTGCAGTCGACCAACGATCCCCAATCATCAGCCGTGAACAAGACTCTGTTGACAATCCAGATAGTAGAACGCGTGTAGCAACCCCTGACGCTGCTAATCATTCAGATGTTGGAAGAGCGACTTCAGTGGCCCGTTCACCGTCTGTAACCAGCCTTCGGCCCTCGACACCACAGCCTACGTGAACTGAGGATAATTTTGACGATCTCTACGACGCAACTCCTCCCCCAAAGAAGACGACTGCTGCAAGAAATCCAAGTCAGTCCACGTCAACAGCAGATCAATTGAGGCAGAAGGAACTGGAGAAGAATGGAAAGAAGAAAGAGCAGCAGCAGGAAGAGATTGTTCTCGAGACAGTCGCCCAGTCAGTTGAGGCAGGAGAAACGAATGCTGGTACACGTGCCTTCACCCCCGATGCCGAAAGAGCCGAGAACGCAACCGAGCCATCTCCGAAAAATGCAAAGGAGCCACCGTCTGTTTCTAGCCATGCCGAGAAGAGAACTTCCTACGTTTTCGCTGCAAAGAAGAAGAAGAATCGTGTCTCCACCAATGGAAACAGCTCAGCCCAGAAGGTCATCAAGCGCGAGGCGGGAAGTAAGACTGGCTCGGTCAACAAAGCAAACGGCGTACAGAACAAGGCTGGATACTGTATAAAAAAAAAGAACTGTTTTGGCAACGGCCGCTCTCAGCAAGGACTCACTGCAGATGATGCTATCATTATTTCCAGCGACATGTGTGGCGATCGACAAGTGGGAGGAGCAGCAGAAGATGAGCTGACTCATACGCAAGATAACCAAGGAGAAGTGAGACAAGCGTTCCGGCGGATGATACCACATCTAACGCTACCGCAACGAAGTTCAGCGCATCATCTGCTGTTGACAGCTCTCAGCATGAAAAGCGCACATATGACGGGCCTATTCCTGACCCTTCCCAAAAGTCTCTCTATGCTCAGCATCAAGCAGTTGAATATGCGAAGGAATTCATTGAAGAGGTGAAGCATTCTCCCGTTCTTTCAGTAAGACGAAGTGTGTCGACCTCCAAGCCCGGAATGACGAACCAGCCTGAGAAACCAGGATGGGCCGAAAGTGTTGATGACGCCATACCCACCAATGAATTGATGCCAGATTCTTTGCAATTCAAAGGTAGCCATAGATCATGAGAATTTAGTGCTGGAAAGCGTCCTGCCTCGCCCACTCCCTTTGAGCCAGAGAGAGCCGTCAAGAAACACACTGTTAATGCTAGGAAAGCGTTAATCTCTCCACATATCCTCACTGTATATGAAACGCAGGATGTCACTGACGTTGTCTTCAAGGATACGAAATTCATCAACGTGGTTACGACTTTGAAAAGCCTGAGCGACGAGAGGACGATAGACGCCAATATGACTATGTTGACATTGAGGAGTCTCATCTTCGGAAGTACTCAACGCTCCTCAACCAACTTCTCATGGACGAAGTATCAGGGAAAGACACTTTCCATACAGAAGATTTGATCTGTTTTGACCCCCAGATCTCAAAATCGACGAGATTGTGGAACCAGACCACTCTCTATATCCAGAATTCTTCAAATATCGTGCAAAAAGTGGCGATATTAGTTCCAAGTACTTTGTAACGCTGTCGCCTTACATAGAATGCCGTGCATTCTTGGTATGGGTCGCGTGGATACAAGATCGTGGGATCCAGGGTATTGACGGTGAGATCTTGACAAGGGCGTCTGCCATCATTTGGCGGCGCTTGAAAAGGACCAAAGGCAAAGTGCTCTTCCAGCAGGTCATCACAAAATAATCATGATTTCAGCACTTAAATTTTGACACCTTTTATCCTTGGTTCCCAGCTGACTTCATCCTGAACGAAGGCAGTCTGAGGAATAGGGCGACGGAATGGAAGGAAGCCACCAACATAAATCTAACAGGGTTACAGGACCTCACGAATTCTTTGGTTTCCATGTTCCAAGACACATACATGTCATCTTGTGACCTTTTTTCTGGATTGCAGCGAACCATCCCGACGCAAATTCGAGTGTTAGTGGGGGTAGGAGGGGCTGATACTACCATGCCGCATGCGCATCCACTCACTCTATCTTTAGAACCCACAAATCGAAGACAACATCCGTGCCAATTCCCAGGTGTAGTTCAAACAAGCGACTGCCCATCAAGTGAGAAAAGCTTGTCGGATATCTAGTGGATCGTATCGTTTCTACCGAGGGAAAACATCGTCGGTGCCTATCCAAGTGGATATGGACCCCCTGAAAATATTCGAATGTTGCCTGTGCAGGTTGCATCGTGAGTGGCTGTGTCATCAACCAACCAACCAACATCGCTGTGCCGCCTATATCCAACGACTCGTATCATTTCAGTCACTACTTAAAGGTATCCTACCCGAAATCAAAATTCTCAAAAATTTCTTTCAACAACTGGAATTGCCTCGTGAATTCTCAGCTGGTGCTCCTCCTCACCTTTCAGCATCCACATCACATTCCTCAGACACCCCACCAAGATATCACCATGGTGAAGCGTGCCACAGAAGAAGAGAGCAGAGCATGGGCTGCCCTCCCCTCAAGCACCGAAATGGCCATCCGCCACATGTCCTCCGTCTTCCTCATGGGCGCACTCCTCACAATCCTTACGCCCTTCGCTCCCTTCTCCTGGCTAATTCCAGCCGAAGGTCCTGAGCTGCTCGACACTTTCCTCTCGCCCGTCCTCGTCCTCGGCGCCCTCTACTCCCAATGGCGCATCGCAGGCGTCATCCAACCCGTTGCAGTGGAGTTCGGTGATGTCGTGTTCATGTATCGTCAGGTTATGTACTGGCAATTGGCGTTTTTGGAGATAGTCGTTGTTGTGGCGATTAATTGGGCTCAGAATGAGATCTATCGCAGATTTGCGAGTGTGGGTGTTATTGCTGGACTGTGGGGGATTGGGTGGTTTGCGACTCCGTTGAAGATGAAGTTAGTGGCTTGGGAACACATAAAGTGGATTTGGACTTTGATGGCTTTCAACGAGGCAAGGAGGGTTGTCGGAAGTGGTCGAGGCAGACGGTACTGATTGTGAAGCAAGTGGGAATCAAAAATGGTGGAATGGCGCATTCTTTCAGAGGATTAGTTCATGAAAGGGGGAGATTTTTTTTTTGGAGGAAGCTTTTAACTTGGCTGCACAAGATTTTGGGATTCAAAGACGCGGCTAGACTTGATTCTAGCAAATACAAACCTATAAATTAGACTTGAGCATTTTATGATGTTGTGTGAGGTCGGAACAGAGAATCTAGCTTCAACTAGCTTCCCAAAGCGCAGTGGAGCAGCTGGAATATGCGGCAACGTCAAACTGAGAGAGATCTGTCAGTGCAAGAAATTCTACTGCTATCAGCGCCGGGATCAATATAATAATAAGTGAACGGTAAGAATCCCCTGGCATGGCCCTGGAGGAAAGTAGAAAATCATCAACAAGTAATTCACAGCCAACGAGCAAGAAGTCGGTGTCCCGAGTTTCGGCTCTACCCGCCAGCTTGCCGAAAGTAAACAACGCTAACAGCCGGGCTCAAAATCGCGTTACGAAGCCGGCTCTATCGGAAAAAGTGGACGGATTTGAGAACCATACGACACAACGTGCGAGATGCGTCAGGCAGGTTATCTCGTAATATCGCAATCTGTGCAACACAACGACGAGTCGGTCCCTCCGATTCTGTTCCCGTAAAAGAACGCACGTTATGATGTTGTTAGTCTAAGATGTCCGTCCTAACAAACTACAAACAACCGGAAATAGCACACGTTGCTTTTTGCAATAACACACCTTTTCTCTCCAGCAAAGAAACCACAACCACGCTCTAGTCTTCAGGTCGATCACCCGTTCCTCCTTGTCCCTCTCAACCAGTCCCCACATCCCAACGCTCAAAAGCAGATCAACACCCTCCAAATCTCGTCCGAACACCAATCCCACTCTCTGCTTGTACAAGTCCACACAAAACGTGCCTGGTGAGTTGTCACCATCGGGAACTTTTAACCCGATAGCTTACCTGTTGTCAGACGTCCACGAGGATCCATGCGGGGTAGCGGCAGCATGCCGTGGATGAATGCATGGTAGGGACCTGGTTTGTGTTGTGGAACGCCATGGGTGGGTGGTGGCCTGTGACAGGTGACAGGCGATGAGTGACGGGTGAGAAATGGGGTAGGGGGTATGGCGTATGGTGAGCCTGGGGATATGAGGCTGGGGTTGGGAGCTGTCGAGACGAAGTGTTAAATGTGGATTAAGTTTCGGTGAATGGAGAATATAAGAGGGTGGATCGGGCTTGTTGAAGTATTGGCTCAAAAGAGAATTTCGCAAATGGCGAAGATACGAAGCTTTGGTGTAGGTTCCAAAACATCCGAACAGCTTCCATGGTTGAAGATCAGTCACGAATTGAATCCAAGAAAGAAGATTCTGTGTCCAACCACATTGTTTGATTCTATCTATCCTCCACCACCCTAGACAATTTCGAAATAATAGGTACCTGCAGATACCGTAACGAGAGACAAGAAAGGAATCCGCCAATCCTACCAATCCCAAAAAAAAAACCGCTCTTAATCCTCTTCAAAAGCTTCTCCTACCACAAACCCAAATGGGCAGAGCCAAAAGACCTTAGCTCAGTTTGAGTTTCGGTCATGCTAGACCTCTACCCAGCACTCCAGCCCTTAGTAGTGAACAACTGGAACATAAGTTGGAGGCGTATAAACTGGTGGGGAGTAAACCGGTACACTCGGCTTGCTCGAAGTCGTCGTCTTAGTGGTTGGGGTAGACGGCTTGTACGTGACCAGCGTTGTTGGTGGAGGAGTGTAAACAGTTGGAGGCGGGATGGACTTGGACGTGGTGGGAGGAGGTGGTGGAACATAAGTTGGCGGAGGCGACTTGCTGGAAGTAGACTTGGTGGTCGGAGTTGAATACACAGGAGGTGTTGGCTTGGTGGTTGGTGGAGTGGGAGGGGTGTAGACTGGGATGGTGGGCTTGGTGGATGTGGTTGGACAGGTACTGGCGTAGCTTAGGGTTCTGACGGAGGTTACAACGCTGTAGCTAGTGCTGGTGCTCAAGACGGTATAGGTCTTGACGACTGGGAGGGTGGAAAGCTGAGTTACATAGCTGTAGCTATAGGTGGGGACACAGACAGATGGGTGTGGTGGAGGTCCGTAGGTTGGTGGTGGAGGGGGCGGAACATAGGATGGGGGTGGTGGGGGAGGAGCGTAGTCCCTGGCAGCCACGTCCGCATTGTCAATAGCGGCGGCAGTTGAGGAGGTAGCAGCAAGCAAGCCAAGGAGGATGGCTTTCGAGAAGCTGAGGTGGATGTTGGAGAATGCCATTGTGTACTGGTGGAGTGTGGAGTATTGAATGGAGTGCAGATGTGGACTGGCTGGAACTTTGGCGCGCTTGGCTGTCTTGGATGAGAAGAGGAGGGAATCCAGAGGTTTATATCACTCTTCGTTCCCGCATTTTCTCAAGAACCAGATGGAACGACTGTCGTGGCAGCATGAATTCTTGTTTTCGAGGTCAAAGCTGCAGCTGTTGTGTCGAAGGAAGGTACTTTTGTCTACCACCATTCCGTGCTGGAAACTTCGAGGACGTCTGCATCCAGAGAATCTTTGACGAGAATGGAGGCATTGTCGAGGAGGTTGGGTCTGACGAGGAGAGGAGCATCATCCTCGATGAGGCTCTTCTTTCCCTCAGGCTCACATATACGAACGCCATCTCAATTTTGACACCAAATATAACCGCTTTCATGATGTTGTTGTTCCTCCGTACAACCTAGGTACGACCGTGATTCTCGTTTACATCGCCGTTCACGATATCAGGCACGTTGTGCTCATGTGGTACACAGCGCACGAGGAGGAATTCGCAATGAGCCCTTCCGGCTCAGCCGTTCGTTCTTCACGCACGTTTCTCGATCGACGCACGTTGAATGTTGAATTCCTAACGGCCCGATTGAAGGATATCGAATCCTGTAGTCCATGATTCCTGAGCATTTCCCTCCTTGGAATCCATTTCCCGAGGATTGATAGGGGTGGCTATCCTAGGCGAGTATCACGTGCAATGTTGAAAAATCGGTGCACGAAGTGCGTTCCAGTGCTTGGACTAAGAATTACTTCCTGAATCATTCAGACAGCTGGCTGGCTGCCAAGAATGAAGAAGAGGAGAAAGGCCTATCTGGAGTGAGGAGCAGCAACTGCGCCGCCCCCTTTGCGCCACAATTACGGCCGAAAACTGTGCCACTTGAATGCTGAGATTTCGGAAGCAAAACAAAACCTCTATAAACTGTCCATACCGCAGTCAAATTGTAACATTTCCGAAATATAAGAGTTTGGCGTTACATTTATTATATTCTCGGTTTGTGACTCCAAAACGTAGAGAAATGTGAAATCGAGTGTCTCCAAAATCTGCCTTGCGGTTTGTTTGGTGCTGGTGACGACTTGGCATAATTTCCTTGTCCCTATCAGGCTGCAGGAATTCAGCAACGCGGGCCATTGATAGCCCGATTAGGCACGATACGAGATTTCCAATTTATCACCCTGCAAGTGTTTGAAAAAGATCGTGAGTCAGTAATATTTATTCATACATGAGCCGCCGCCTTGTGCTGCTGATTTTAAGTGTTACCGTCCTGATCCTCTCCCAATGATTTCCCGAAACATGGCTGTCAAAACCCTATTGTTGAGCCTCATGGCCACCAGTGCCATGACCTTGACCCACCCGGGAGGGTTGTACCGACGAGATCTTGACGATGCATCAGTCGAGTACCTTCAGAATATGTGTCTGCCAAATCTTGGGGCCTACATGGACAACAATGGCCCCCTCGGGTTGATATTCCAGTCCCTCCACGACTCTCCAGCGCCTTGCGAGCAACAAGCATACATTCTGAACATCTGTGTTGCCAACGACACCACAGCAATCGACTATCTCGCTGAGCAACAATGCGTCTGCGGTTCTAACTTCAGGGAAGCGAACGAAGGATGTAACGCGTGCTATGCTGCTCACGGCTACACCTCGGATGTCGCCGGGGAAGCGATGCTATCGGCTATTTGGACAGCTGAATGCAGTGCCCGTCCTACTCAGAGATTTTGGGATCTCATCGCTGGTTTCGCAGAAACTGCAACTACAGCCTCAGAAGACCGAAGAACAACCACTCTGGAGAACGACCGATTTCCGAGCCAAACGGCTGTCAGCAACTATTGGACAGGCCTTCCCAGTGCAAGCCTGGGGAGCATCACCGGAAGCGCAACGGCGAGAGCGACAACTTACCCTGCCGACGACGACGACGACGAGTATGGTCGGGACGACTTCCCGTCACGCACATCTACCAGTCGGCGGGCGAATTTCTCGTATAATCCTACTGCAACGGGCACAACTGTTCTTTATTCGTCCGAGTCCTCGACCTTGGACAAATCTTCTCAACCAACGGCTTCAACTCCAATTACGAGTGCGCCTGTAACCGCAATCTCTCAGCCGCCAACTACCTCTACTTCATCTGTTGCGGCCAATGGAGGTGGGATGGAGATGGGTTTGGCGTGGAATAGTGGGGTAGTTTTGGTGGTTGTCAATGTTGCTGTTGTTGCCCTAATGTAATTACATTTAACTCTCATATCTACAAGGAATTGAGAAGCCATTTTGCTCTGCCTAATGGAATGTTAATGTTAATTCAAAATTGTCGGCAGTTTTCATAACGGTGTTTATGATTTGTGCTGGAGGGGATCCTTCTGTCAAGAAGTCGTGAGCACATCGGACGGATTGTGAAAGCATTTGTTGTCTCGTCATTTGATATTTTTACCTTCCACACTCTTCTTTTTAATATAAAACACGTTGTTGGTTTAAGCTTTCACATAAGGTTCGTTATCTCATCTTTACATTTCATACCGGCACGACCATGCCTTTGATGTATCATTGTGATTGGTGGGAATTATCACTACCGAGCTAAACCCATCTCAGATCTCGCAACTCAAAAATATATGTATATCCGCCAAGGATTGCGTGATGCAGGGGACAAAAATAATATTTTACTACTTGCACGGGGGATTTGAGTAATGTAATTTATATCAATCGCGTCTTATACTCGGGAATGGCAACACCGAACCAGTTGCCTCTCTCGGCTAGTTGTTGATCCACATATACACTCCCATGGAACTGGAAAATGATGGCATGTAAGCAGATAATAAATACAAAAAGTAGTGAAAGTTCTTGCCATGTTTCCAGTCAGTTTGACCTACTGCCGTAGTCCTTCAAGCTGTCAGAACTCGGAATTCGAGACCTGGTACCTCTCTACTTCGCCACACTTGCCACGTACATCAAGACTTGTTCAGACGGGATTCTCTCGTGATCTCACAATGCGCATCATACCCTCCTCCTAGCTCTCGCAGCAACATCAACAATGGCCTCAAAACTCCTCTACAGCAACCCTCTCAACTCAACCTTCGACATCTCCACCTGGATAGCCGAAGGCCCCCTCACAGCCACCGCCATAAACGGCACAATCGAGCTTTCCGGCGCCGGAAACCCAGACGACTACTTCGTCTACTGGGTCCCTGAAGTTTTCCCCGACGAAATTCGCATCACGTGGGAATTCTCTCCTCTCAACGAGCCCGGCTTGGCCATGTTCTTCTTCGGCGCCGCATCCGTCGCCAATGATGGGAAAGGTTCTATCTTTGACCCCTCGCTTAAACCCCGAAATGGGAGCTATCCCCAGTATCACTCTTCTGATATCAGGACTTTGCATGCGTCGTATTTTAGACGTCGATGGCCCGAGGAGAGGGCGTTTTTGTTGGCGAATTTGAGGAAGTCGCCGGGGTTTAATCTGGTTTCTCAGGGGGTGGATCCGCTGCCGCCGGTGAAGGATGCGGCGGGGGCGTTTTATACGATTGAGGTTGTGAAGGATAGGAGGGAGGTGAGGTTTTCGATTAATGGGTTGAAAGTCTTTTGAGTTTTATGATGATAAATTGACTGGGCCGGTGATTAGGGATGGGAGGATTGGGTTTAGGCAGATGTAGCCGCTTGTTGCGAGGTATCGAAATTTGCAGGTTTGGAAGCTTTGAATGTGTAGTGACTGGGGCTTCTAGTTCAATAGAGAGCTGCGTGAGCGGATCTCCATTATTGGCAGACTGTTTATCTACGTTGCTACCTTGTTTGATGAGACTGTTGCGAGGTCTGCGCTGTTGATATAGCAGGCAGTCCCCTTCGACTAGGAAAGGTACTTGCTGCTCATGTAGGTTCATGTCTCTTAACATCCACTGTCACGACATAGAGATGGCTCACGACCAGTTGTTCAAGCGAGTGAACAAGGCAGCTGGGCAAAGATCAAAATTATGTCAGCAAATCATCGAGAACCAGAATGCAAAGTTTGTTACTTGTAAAAGGTTCTAAGCCATTCGTCATTATTCGCCATTGCTCGTCATTACCAACGTCACCTGCGTGTGAAATTGCTACATATCCGCATTGTCCATCAAGATGTTCCGATAAAGTGTTTCCGTGATAGGTCACATCCGGCTTCCAGTAGCATCCGAGCGATGCTATCGTTTCTTTGTAAGAATGCAAAGTGTAGGGCTGTCCTCCCCTTGCTGTCTTCCATGTTTAGATTTGCTCCTGCTTCAATCAAAAGCTGTACTGCTTTTGCGTTTCCTTTGATGGCAGCCCAGTGGAGCGTCGTCTTTCCATCTGTAAGTCTGCAGTTTGGATCCAAGCCGTGGCCTAGTAACGCTATTATGTTGGCCTCGTTGCCCTTGTAACCTGCATCATGTAACGCAGATCGCCCTTCATGGTCAACGAGGGTTCTTGCCCCCCATTTCAACAGCAAGTCAACGATTTTTTCATGCCCGCGGAAACAGGCCATGTGCAGAGCGGTGCGACCGTGAGAATCTATCGCATCTATTTCCGCACCTTGATCAAGGAGCAGGCCAACTACTTGATCGTGTCCACTCATCACGGCTAAATGTAGAGCTTGCCATCCTACATCGTTCGCCGCAACAGTGGCGGCACCGCTGTCCAGCAGCATCTTTACCAGAGATATGTTTCCGCGATCAGAGGCACGCATGAGCGGCGTATAACCGTCCGGAGAAGCAGTGGAACATTTGGCACCGTGATGAAGTAGCAACTTTACTGTATCATTTTGGTCGTAAAAGGCTGCTGACAATAGAGCTGTGTATCCATGATTATCGATAGCCTCTGGATCAGCCTCCTGCAAGAGAAGATACTTCACCACTTCTACATATCCCCGAGTACAGGCTAGGTGGAGAGCTGTACGTCCTTTTACATCTCTTGAATGTATATCGGCACCATTCTCTAAAAGTAATAGAACCAGATCTTCGTGCCCCCGAGAGGAAGCTAGATGAAGTGCTGTTGACTCGTCTTCGCCCCTTGATTGTAACTCAACGCCAGCTTTGATAAACCGCTCCACCAGGGAGCGATGGCCTTGATGAGCAGCCAAATGCCAAGGTTTCATTCCGAATATGTCGCACGTATTGGTGTCATTACTGTGCTCCATAAACCTCTCTACGACGGTTTCATGCCCATTCCAGACAGCGTGATGCATTGCTGTTTCACCTAGTTCGTTGGACGACGATGGGACGGCTCCATTAGCGAGGAGAAGATCAACAATACCGATATGGCCATGAAATGAGGCATTATGAAGAGGGGTATTGCCTTCTTCATCTTGTGGTGATGGATCGTGGCCGAGTTCAAGTAAGATTTGCGTTATTCGTAAAGAGCCACCCCGAGCTGCAGAATGGAGCGTCGAGCTTCCATCCCAAACATCCCAGACATTTACAGAGGCTCCACAATCTATTAGAACCTCAACTACCTGTGGACTGTTTCCGATAACACCGAAGCTCAGAGGTGTGAGACCATGCTCATTCTTGCACTCCAAGTCCATTCCATGGTCGAGAAAAAACTGGACCGACCAAGCTAGCCCAATCCAACAACATTCATGGAACGCCGTGCATCCATATTTATCAGCAGAAGCATGGTTCGCTCCTCTTCTGATTAAGATGGGAAAAATTCGCTCGGGATTTGGACTATAGGAGGCATACTGAAATGTGCCCTGACCCGCAGCGTCCACACCCAAAATGTTCGCTCCTCGATCCAACAGATGATTAATTGATCTGACAGCGCCGTACCAACAAGCTATCAGTAGTGGCGAACATCCCTTAAATTTCCATGGGCCAAAGTACCAGTCCCCTGTTCCGATCTCCTGTGCTTGGAAAGGTAGGGGATCATTAATGTTGGCCCCACCGGTAAGAAGTTCATCTATCTCGTGCAAGTTCCCCTTAGCGGCAGCTTTGTGCAAAGGCGGGAGCTCTTCAACGTCCAGCTCAGGTGGACTATCACTATCCTCGGGCTCTCCGGAGGCTGATTTTGCTATGCGTATGTCCCGGTGGTAATGCACGCTTCTGAACATGAGGCTCTCAGCTGATGCACAAGTTGAGGGCTTTTTTCTCTTGCGTGAATCTAACTCCGAAGGCGCAGAGCTGTGTATGTTGGCCACCAGTGAAGTCTCAGTAATCGGTGCTGAGCTACTGTCATTATCAAAATCTGACTGCTCTACAAATCGCTCCTTGTCGAAGACACGGAATGTGAGTTGACATTTATGACTGTCTATTAGTTAATAATCACACTGTCTAGATCACGAGTACTTGTACACACACCATCGTCTTCGCTGTCCTGAAAGCATCATTCCAAGTGTTTGTTCGTCGCAGCGAGGGCACACTTTGTCATTAAAGGACTCTGTAGCAGGAAATACCATGTTCAAAGTCAATTGTATCCCAGGCTGGACGGCCGTAGCCCAGTTCGTGGCGTCAAGCAATGTTCCGTCTGAACTTTCATCGGTGATGGTATACTCGTTTCGTAGGATCTTCCGTCTCCCGATCTCAATAGTCCGATACATAACCATTAGAATCTCTCGTAAGTCCTACTCGAAATTTGAGCATATACTAATAACAAGAATCCATACCGCGAATCGTACATGTTACAACTCACATTTGCAGAGCCCAGTAGCACCAACGGCAATATCACTACTCTTCCAATGGCATCGAGCAGGATGATGGTATCCGCCGGTGTAAAATTTGCTTCCCAGGAATATCCCAAATTCCGTGGGATCTGCGAATGTTGTCGCACGATTGACTTCGAAATCTTATTTACCTCAATTCGTAGATCAGCGATGCTTGAGAGTACTTCTACAGAATTATTCGCAGTCGTGGCAGCATAGATCCTATTTTGCCTATGAGCTTCCGAGCCTCCGGTGGCGCGTAAAAGACCAGAAGATCTTTCTTACTCTGACAAAGCCGTCTTGTACATATTCAAAGATCTCAGATGCGCCTCCAGTCTTTTTTCCAGCTTGGCTATATCATCATTACGAAATAGCCAAGTGATCTTCCGCACATGTCTCGTGAGCGCAGAAGCTTTGCCTGCCACAAAGGCATCCGTGTATGGCTTCAAAGAGTCCTTGAACGCTTGCAAAGCGTCTTTGCACCTTTCATACTCCATTTGAATTCCATTGCTCATCGCCCCCGCAGCAGCCTTAAACTCGGGGCCAAGTTCGATCCCATTTATCTGCTGATGAATACTTGCTGAACTCATCAGAGCCAACATCAGAGAGTCGAGCTGCCCGACTAGGTTCTTGACTTCCGAAACTGAGCCAGTGGATGATTGTAGTGCTTGAGCGACATCATTTATAAGGAGCATGCAGGCGACGAAGTCGCCAACGGAGAATCCAAAAGACATGACTGGGGCGTGAAGCCTGGTGCAACGGCGACGAGATTCCCTGCAATAGTTCAATCAATAAACCATGGTGACTCCATTAATCCACGTTCGAGAAGTGAAGATCATTGAGAATTTGCGCGGAATTGTTCAGTAACCAAGACGCTATGGTGAGTTATCAGGACTACCAGTAGATATAAACTGCGCGCCGCCCCTCGCGGAGCCTTGTCCAATCTAGCTGAGTGTCCACGCTGCAGGCTTCTCACAGGGCTCTCTGATTTTTGTATCGGCTGACAGGACGGCTCCAACAGCCCCCAAATCCAAGAAGCAGAAGAGACCACGCTAAGACGAGGCTGACCACTCACCAACAATGAGAGGGCAGGGCGTTCTGCACCGCCTCCACATTTTGTTCATTTCTTACCAATGACGAACTTGCAGCAAAGTATAGACTCTGATCTTTTCGGCGTAATTAGGCTACTCATACCTGCCTCCCTGCCTCGGAAGTGATCTACCTGCAGCATAATGTGGATGATGTGAAGCAGATGATCATCAACCGTCGAATTATGTGAACACGAACGTTTGCCCGAGCCAGTTCCATTTTCTAGTAGAACCAGAAATTATGGTTGCTCCATGATTCTTCCGAGAGAAGTATCAGATTCTACCTCGCCTAATACCGTCCAAAGCAGGAGAAAATTCATCATGGGTATCCTAAATTCTTGTCAACTGGAGTCACATCACGCCCACGTGCATCATCAGCCGAAACCATTTACCTTAAGTAGGTATGTATATATAAAGGTGCTTCTGCCAGAATTTGTTCTGTAGAGCAGATAATCATTCTCTTTAACACTTTTCGGGGCTCTGGAATGGTCTTCTTCAGGGTTATAGATATTTTAATTCGATTGGTCAGCTTTTATTTCTAGGACCCGAGAGTTCTTCCTGAAGGCGCCTCCATGTATTAAGACCGTGATGATAACAGCACAACGAGCCAGGAATGGGATGAGTGGAAGAAACATAGATGCAGACAAGAGGAGGGCGGGAACTCCAGCTTACCTTAACATTGAAACCCTGTAGGTAGCAAGGTTGTCTTTCAATAATGAAGTCACGTGGACTTTCTATTGTTGCTAGGTTAGGCCAGCCTCATTGCGAAATGCTGGAAGTGGTCATAGCAATGGATCTATCCCAAGACGAAAAGTTAAAAGAAGCTCAAAACTTGTAGAATCCCTCTAGTGTAGTATGTGTTGATGGTCAGAGATCCAGGAATAGAGTAATACATTGGCTGGCTATGGACTGCAGATTGGGCTTCGTCAATAAGCACATTTCTGTGGCTCAGTAGCAAAAAAAGGAATCATTAGTGCAGACCAGGAGTTTTTCTACCGAGATTTCTTACTCACCTCTATCTAAATCAAAAATCAGATGGCAATTTGATGTCGTCAAATAGTCAAGCCTTGCTTCACATCCTCGTCATACTTCCTCCACATCTCCTCCACTACCTCATGCCTCTTCACCGCCAACTCGAAATCCGGCACCCATTCCCTCTTTCTATACCCCTCATACAACCTCGCAATTCCCCTAGCAATTACCGGTAAATCCATCTTACCCACCTCATCCCCTCCATCATCATCCTCATTCTCCTTTCCCCAAAAAACCTCACAAACGCCTTCCCCCTCAACAAACAATTCGATCCTCGTAACCGGCCTCGGATGCCCCATATGGATGAAATAATCCTCACTGGTCACCCTGATTTCACCTTTCTCGCCCTGAATTCGCCACTCCACAGCTGCTGTGCCTGGGAATGGAGCACCGCCACGTCGATGCATGCTGAATGGGACGTTGTGCTCTGTGATTCCTTGGAAGAGGTGTTGGTCGGGGACTGTATTGGGGGCGGAGGCTTGGACAATGGTGCTGTCGGGGGTGCTGATCGAAGAAGCTGATGAGACTATGTCTTTTGTGGGGTGTTGATTCATTAAGTACGATGTGTGGGTCTTGAATTCGCCCAGGACTGGACACATGGTCAATGTCCGATATTTATATCGAAGTGAAAAGTCGATGCAGGTGGATGTGGAGTGGATTGTAAGGGAGATAGAGGAAGCATACCGGAGACTACGCATTCCATTGCATGCCAGAAATGGATACTTAGAGTATTGCCACCGACTTCTCTGTCCAGGAAGTACCGTACATTTTTCCTTTCGGTACGTCCGGAATTCTGTATAACAGTCAGCTTTCCCGCTTCATTCCTGAACCACCCCCAAAATTTCAAGTTGCAGAACTCTGGCTACTGTATCCATAGTTTCGAAACATTCAGATGCCCATTGCCGAGCACTTGATTGCCACTCAAAGTTCTAAGTTAAAGAAGGCGGACAAAATATAGAAAGATCCAAACTTACCCCCAATGCCGCAAACAACGTACTCCCCAACACCTTCCCAACCCTCCCTCCACCAACCTCTCCAACGCCGCCACCCTTCCCCCAAACCAACTCCCTAACCTTCACCACCGGCTCCGAATACCTACCTTGCAACCCGACAATCGTCCTGCCTCCATGCTTCTTCGCCAACTCACTCATTTCCTTCGCAATCTCTAGGTTCTTCTCAAGCGGCCATTCCACGAAAACATCCTTTCCAGCTATAATACTGGGTTTCACCGTGCTGAAATGCCGGTCTACTCGTGTGTTACAGACTACGAGTGAGATTGAAGGATCGGCCGCGACATCTGTTCTTACTTAGTGGGGCAATTCGGAAATAGGGGCTTCGTATCATATTCTCATATCAGGATGTTGTGAAAGATTTCATTCATACCTTCAGGCCTTCCATAAGCCTTCACACTCCCTGGCAACCCATGCTTCTCAATACTCCTCTGTGCAGACTCAACGGAACTGTTAAGCAATGCGGCGATCTCGAAATGGGGTGATTTGAGAAGGTAGGGGAGGTGGGCGCTTGCGGCCCAGTTGGTGCCTTCGTACTGGTCGGCCGGGGTCGAGGAGAGGCCGATTAGGGCCACGCGGATGGGCTTGCTTGGCTGGGACATTATAAGGAGAATGGGAGAGGTAGTACGGTGTCAAGTGGGCAGAGGGGAGGGGCTGAGTATTGAGATATATTCTGTCAGAGAGGAAATTAAGAATTGGTGAGATGTTATGACCTTAGGTTCAAGAAGTGGAGCATCTTGGTATTTTGTAAGCAATGGTGTGATATATAAACAACCCAACACTTCTCACGTACTAGCTTATCAATCCCATCTCGACGGGAGACTGTAAAGTCCAATCTATATGATTTATTTCAGAAACGGGAACGGGACGAGCTTACCCGCCTCAAGTGCCAAGCAAGTGAAGTAAATAAGTCAGCAGAGTGGTAAGCGAGAGGCTGAAAGTATGACAGCATACCTATCTCCGATAGAACATTGTTATATCCTAAGTAAGAAATGATGAAATTACAGAAATAAACTCTCTAATTTATGTAGATGAGTAATTTTGCATAATTGCTTATTTTGACATGCCCACCTGCTGGGCCGTGATCACGTGCCATACCGCATTGTCAGATCCGTGATTGCGAAGTATGTTGGAAAGTGTAGGAGGAGTTGAAGGAGAGAAATGAAAATGAGTGGAAAATAGAGACTCGGTTAGGGGGCAGGGGTGTCGAACAAAGATCAGATCCCAGCTTTGCCAAATCCGGTCAGAGGTCTGTTAATTGGATTACAAATGAACCGACACTTCGCTAATTAACAAATACCTCAAATTTTGTACATACTGTCTAGCAGAAAATGAAATTCAAACAACTCTGCCCTTCCTCATACATCAGAATACTGCCTCGGCCCAGTGCAGACTTGGCAACTTGTCTTCCACAGGCTTCACTCCCTTCCTCTGCATCTCCAGCGCAACAGCATCAACATCCTTCCACACCCTCAGAATATTCCCACCCACCACCTTCCCCGCATCCTCATCACTTACTCCCCTCCTCAACATCTCCGCAACTAGATCTGGGAACTTACTCACATCATCCAATCCCTCCGGCGTAGTAGGGATGCCATCAAAGTCGCTCCCCAGCCCAACATGGTCATACCCAATCAAACCCCCAATATGTACAATATGATCCACCACATGCGCAAGTGTTGAATTTGCAGGATAGAACTCGGGCATCCCGGAGGGATCAGAGGAGTTGGTCACGCAGGAGACGAAATCCGGTGAGAAATTCACCATCACGATACTGTTTTTCTTCTTCACCATCTGGAGAACATCGTCCGGTACATTACGAGGATGCGGACATATGGCGTAAGCGGAAGAGTGGCTGAACATAATCGGTGCCGCGCTGCCTTCCCAATCGTCTGACTTCCCACTTCCGAGCACATCGCGCATGGTATCTTGACTAACGTGTGCGAGGTCGACGATCATGCCTAGGCGGTTCATCTCATGTATTAAGTCTCTGCCTGCGGGTGAGACGCCGCCCCATTTTGGTTTTGCGATCTCAACGCCTCCGCCGGAGGGGAGTTCGAGGAGTGCGGCGTCCGCGTAGGCGTTGTGGCAGTTGTGAGTCAGGGTTGAGTAGCGAACGCCGAGGGAATAGTAGTGGCGCAGGTTGGAGAGGGAGTTGCCGATTTGGTGGAGACCTTCAATGCCGAGGGGAGAGATGAGATGGCCGGATTTGAAGAAAGAGAGGGCGGTGCTGCTGTTGGGGGGTTGGGAGAAGGTTGAGGGATAGGCGGCTTGGAGGCGAGTGAGGAGGTCGATTTGGGAGTATGTGAAGGCGACGGCTGGTGGGATTAGCTGAGAAATATGATTATGTAAACTTTAGGACGGAAAGGACATACATTCAGCATAGTTCTCGTCTGAGAAATCTGATCCATTTTTGGGACATGGAACATATGCACTCCAGAATGCACCTCCATTCTTGCCTTCCCGTAGCCGAGGAAGATCAACATGAGCTAGCATCCCACCCTCTTCGAATGGTTTCTTGAAATCATCTCCATATATTTGGTTGTTGAACAGAAATCTGATGAGAATGGCAAGATCATTGTGGCCATCTATTCGCCATTAGTATGGTTTTCTCGAGAAATAACATGTGTACTGACCAATAAGTGGGGTGTCTTCCAGAATTCGATTGACTCGTTGGCTGATGGTCTTGGGAACAGGTCTATCATCACCAAGTAAATCTGAATGCATGACTATCATGATGAAGCTGGAGCATATACACAATGCCAAGATTATAGCTCCTATATCATTCCAGAGAGACCTTCTGGCTCGTCTATCCTCCTGCACAGGCTCGTTCTTGGCATGGTCGTCATTGATACTCTCAGGTCGGGATCCATGGATCTCAGGAGATCTCTTGTCTCTCGGAAGAAGAGGATCTTCCTCGCAAGAGTAAGACATATTGAGGATATAAATATGCAAAACCTGAAACAAAACAAGACTTCAATGCTTCATGGCTCTTTGTCGGAAATGATGTCGTCTGAAGTTGATTGATAAGGCGGATCTCGGATCACATGATGCCAAGACTGGGGCATCTCGTCTGGCACTAAACCGCATTGGAACGCTGCGATGATCTGCAGGCGTCACTTGGGATTTCCCTGCTGCTGCGACGAAAGAAAAGAAAGACATAGTTCATGCTGTAAATGCCTTCATCTTCTCTCCCTTTTCTCCTGCGTAGCCAACAATCATAGCGGTCGCCTTTCACTCACGTATACGATTCCATTCACAATATCCATTCCGTCTCAACACCGACGGCCCGCGACAATACAAGGATACAGCTGAAGGAAGCGTCAAACAGCTCGTACTCCTGATTCCCAACCGCCAGCCGCCCACACCCATCACCACTCTACACTCGTTAGAAGACAGTCACAACCCTCCGAATTCAGCTCTGCAGGCTCTGCGACCTTTGTGATCCTTCAACAGCACCAATTCCGCGCGCAAACACGCATAAGTCATGCCAGGCTTCGCAGACTCCTTTTGGTCAGGGGACTATGCGGGAGGTAAGAAGAACTGGATTTGGGGTTCTGGAATCACAGTCTAATTGTTTCTAGGACTTGGTGTTCTCTTTGGCAAGCTTCAACAGGGTGTACAGGAGAACCAGCAAATGTTGACGATTGCGCGGATGCGAGCAGAAGCTGAGGATTTGTACGGTTTGAAATTGGGAGAAATCGGGGCAGCTACAGACAGGATAGGTGGAGGTTTCTCAAGAGACGATGGAGCAAGCGTTAAGAAGGTAGGGCAGGACGAGAAGAAACTGCGGGGACAGACATCAGCTGCTAACAATTTCTTAGGCATACGATGGAGTTCGGACGGAGATGGAAGAGGCAGCCAAGAACCATCGGAAAATTGCCCAAAGCATTCGAGATCTAGTCGTCCTCCCCTTCAGCAGATGGTGCGATGCCCACGAGTCCCGAGTCCAAAATTCCCAAGACGATCTACAAGCACGAATAAAACTTCACGACAAGCAAGCCGAGACAGTCAAGAAGCTGCGGAGCCATTACTTCAACAAGTGCAGATTGGTCGAGGATATAGAGGAGGAGAACAAGCTTGCTTTCCAGGATCCTGAAGTCAGTCCCAAGCCAAATGTGCCCGAGATCAAGGTCCAGGACAATGAGGAAGAAGAGGACGAGCCAATCGAGATTGGAGACGAGGTCTACCAGCCGGAACAGGTCAAGAAGATCCTCTCACACGTCCTAAATACCGTCAGACTGGGCGAGACGAAAGTTCCTATCCTTGGTACATACTTAAATACAACGAGTGGAGCGGATATTGTAGAATACCTGCAAAAGAACATGGGCGCAACGAGCGTCAGTCATGCCGAGCGCATCGGTCAGGATTTGATCACAAATGGATTTTTGCGGCTCATTGGAAACGTGGGAAGCATTTTCGCGAACAGCTCCAAGATGTTCTATCAATGGAAGCCCAAAGCTTTCCAATGGTCTGGTGTTCCAGAGAAGAAGGTACCTATTAGCCGGACATTCTCATTGGCCTCCCAATCCGAATATGCAGAGTCTCCAGTCGTAGGAACTGTCACTGATTACCTGGCGGGATGGAACCCTCTGAACACTCAACATCCAAACGAGACACCAGGAGACAGACTTCGAAGAGAGGCAGCTGAGGCGGATGAGAGATACAAGGCAGGCGTCAGAAAGCTGGACCTTCTCCGCTGTCAACTGGAAGAGGCTATTATCGAGCACCTGCGATATTTGGAGAGGTGTGAACTTGATCGTCTAAAGGCAATTAAGACCATCATTCTGGACTTTTCTGGAACCATTAGCAATGTCATTCCAAGTCTTCAATCGACCGTCGACAACATGATGCTGTATCAGGAGACTGTTCAGCCAGTCGGCGATCTTCGATATCTTCTGGAGAACTACCGTACTGGTGGCTTCGCTCCGAAGGTTGTGGTCTATGAAAATTACTACAACTCCGCAGATGAACAGACGTTCGGTGTGGATCTCGAGGCCCGTGCTAGAGCTGATCGCAAACGTGTTCCAGCTCTCATCACCACTATCCTTACATTCCTCGACAATAGATACCCAGATCTCGAGGGTGATGAAGCTCGCCGAAGTGTCTGGTTGGTTGATGTACCACTTCATCAGACCCACAGGATACGTGCAGCGCTCAATACTGGGAAGGCGTTCGGAATTGAAACATTGGAGCCTTTCGATATACCCATCACTGCAAGCGTCTTGAAACTGTATTTACTAGAACTTCCAGGTACGTTAACCCCTACTTTGATCTAAATTACATGCTGACAATTCTAGACTCCCTGGTCTCTTCTCACGTTTACGAAATTATGAAAACCATCTATTCTTCTCCAGCATCTGAGTCTATCGATTCTCGCATCTCTGTCCTTCAAAATACTCTCAGCCAACTTAGATTGGCAAATATCGCAACCTTGGATGCCCTCATGACACACTTCACGAGACTCATCGAGCTTACTTCCGCCGATGAGACTTACATCTCCGCCTTGGCCACAGCCCTAGCTCCTTGCATCCTCCGTCCCAGAACAGAGACTTCGATGACGATGGAAGAGAAATACTCCTACCGTCTCATCAGAGATCTCTTCTCCCACAAAGACGCCATTTTCTCCGAACTGAAGCGCGCCTCCTCCCTCTCCCACAGCATCAGCGTCGATACCCGCCCACGCTCCGTCTCCGGCGTCAGCACCGACGAAAGCAATCGCAAAGCCAACATGGAAGCCCGCGCCCGCGCCATCATCGAAAAAGCCGGCGGCTCTCGTGGCCGCGACAAGTCTCCTGCCCCATCACCCCGCGGCCACCGTAGAGATCGCTCCTCCGGCGGTCCGGAAACTAGATTCCCTATCCAGACTTCTCCCACACATACCAATGACCACGCTAGAACACCTAGAGCAATCCCAGCTGCGGGAGTACGGGCCAGTCTTGAAGTCCCAGGCGAATCTGCACCCGTCGTACCATCCGAGACGGCGAATGGCACGGACTCCCCGCTTAAACCTATCACCAACGGCGCGTCTGAAGCTCCTATCCCTACCAGCGCGACGTATATCCCTGGTGTAGGCGATGGACTGGACGAAGTTGGTGTGGAGAAGAGGAATAGTCTCGGCAGATCTGCGCCTGCTGCGTCGGGGAGTGGCAGGTTTGCGGGCAGGAGACCGGTTGGACTGGCGCGCATGAGTCAGGATCAGAGTAAGAGGGATAGTGTGGGGAGTATTGGGGGAGGTGAGGATGGGGCTGGAGCGGGTACGGGGGCGAGGGTCGGTGTTAGCTTGACGGATAAGCCGATGGATGATTGAATGGTTTGAAAGTTTCTGCATTGTGGAAGCTAGGCTGGTAGGGTGGTGGGTCGGAGGCTCAGGCGGGGAGGTGGGTTTGGAGGTAATGGTGCATGACACGGAAATACATGGTATGGACTAGGTGATGAGAGGGTGACGGAGGTGATGTGTATGTATGCTTGTATGTATAATAGAGCTATGTGTTCTGTATCCCGGTTCTTCGCAGCGAATAACCAAACATGTCTTGCGAAGATAAATGAGGCCTGGGGCGGAAGAGGTACATGGGAGCGGAAATGGAAAATACGATGATTGTTGCTCAAACCAATATTTGTTATTCCTCATTCTCGTTTGACTGCCCACTTGTGAAGTTGATACTTATCCATTTTCCCTTTCTGGGTTGCGAGGTTTTAAGTCTCGTGGATTGTTTGGCTGTATTCTTGTTTCCATTGCGGCGAGATGTGAAATGACGTTATATTTCATGGTGCTGCGTATATAGACACCAACACAGAACATACTTTGCCCCCTTGTCCTTCATGTTGCTTTACCACAGTGTAAATTGCGCAACCACAACCGCTGTCACTGGCATCTGCTCTACCATGCCATCACTTGATGAAGTCACCAATGCTCTTCGATATCAAGCTTCTTGAAGATTCCATCCTATATCTCTTCCGTCTCCTGTGCGGCATTCCTCGAGAGGCGTGACGACTGGTTCGGTTATAGTCCTGAGCTGGAGAATATCTTTTAACCGGGACTTGGGGAAGGATATTGGAATTATTTGGGATAAGTTGAATAAGATTGCTTAATAAGCCTTGACGGGTGTTGAATTTGGACGTAGAAAATACGGCTAGTATCTCATGCCAAATCTTTGGGCAACTGAGAGCCACGCTTTTCTTGCTTGCTCGGTCTCGTCTCTTGACAATGATTGATAGGCCGGAGAGCTCCTGAATACAACATAAGATAGACAATTGAAGGAACCTCGAGGTGGATTCCTTAGAGTTTCTAAGTGACAGACTTGCTAACAGATATACATTCTGCACGCTCGGATATGTCGGAACAATGGACGGCTTGCGCGTGGCTGCCAACAAATAAGCATGACTAAAAGCTGCGTGTACACTTCTTTCTGTTCTCTTGGATAGACAGATATGGTCCAAAGATCCTGGAGCCCGAGTCACCGTGAATGCCATCGCCGGAAAGCCTGTCGATATCGCTGAGGTGACGGACAGAATATTGACCCTCCGACTTATGACTTTGGCCGTCTCCCGCCCCAATTTGAAGTCGATGAAATATTCTCTGCCGTTGTTAAACAAACTCAGTAGCTCAATAGTGGGACTATGTAGGAGTGCACCACTTCAAGGCACAGCGATAAGAATAAGGGAAGACAGGGGCCGGTTTCCAAGATAGGCAGGAGCTGCGTGGACCTTCAAGGCGAACTGAGTACTTGGGTGAAACTGATACTGCTGCATGGATGAGGTTAATTAGTCGCCGGGATTGATGGACGGACACTGAATCATTAATCAAATCGATTTCTTTGCCTGATGGCGTGCAGTGACTAGTGCTTCGCTTAGTGAATTTAGTGTGTAAACAACTAAACCCCACCATTCTCGCCCTGCATGCCCTTTCAGATGGTTGGACAACGAAGTCTAGATATTGAAGACCCAATATACAACAATAATTTCAAGAAATGGTTGATAGAAGCAGGCAGAGATATTTTCTTAGATAAGCCAGATGCCGAGATTACCAGAATTAACCTTCGTCCATAAATCCATGCTGAGATGTCTAGTTCGACGAGCGAGACATATGGATCATGAAACATCATCTGGGGTAATCGAATGTGTTGTGAGTTCTCAGATGGAACATTAACAACCCTAGCTTAAGATCTTCAAGAGTTATGTGAGTAACTGTGCGAGATTTGTTTCATGATACATTTGCAGATGATCGATAAACAGCAGAAATGGAGCGTGCAGCGAGAGTCCATTGGGGATTCTGTGCCGAAGAATGTATGTCGATGAAAAGTTTATAAAGATAATCAGGCTTTTGAAAATGAAAACTATGGCAATTCAAAGTCATTTGGCGTTTCAATAAGCCATTCAATCACTAGATATGGTTTATTGTCTTCGCTCCGCCCTCCAGAACACACTGATTATCAGCCCAATGTGCTTCTTCCTTCAAAGGCTCTCGACATGACATTAGTTTATCAAGACTTCAACGGACTGTTTGCAAGAATATTATCCCCTAGTGACGCCACAGACTTTAACATACCCTCCCCGTCGTCCTTGTCATATTCCATAGGGCTGTCCCAATCCGTCAACAATCTTTTGCCTCTCCTCCTTACTTACGCCCTTCTTCTCACCAGCAGCGTCAAGTGCAGCTTGTGTCTGGATTCTGGAGCGTGTAGCTGCGTCCCAACTTGCTTGTTCGATTTGGTCTCCGCGAGCTCGAGGCTTGGGGATATAGATCTTCTTGGCGATGCGGTGGCGAACCAGATTGCGGGCCGTTGGTTTTGAAGTTAGTCAAGCTCATTTCAGAGATGGGGATAGTATGAGACGTCAGACAAGAGAAAGTAGAGGACTTACAACTCTACATCCGTTAACTCCACCATTCCTACACCCATCCTATGGCCTTCTCCACCTGTTTTGAAGGCTCTATGACGACCCATGGTCCCGTATGAAGGATGGCCAATGGTGTGATAGTCTGGCTGAACTACTCAAAGCTCGTCTTCGGTCATCTTAGTCCCAGTCTCCTCTCTCCTTGCGTGTATCGCTGCTGATTCTGCTCTTTGTCTTTGGACCGGAGCTACTTCTTGCGCCTTGTTTGGCCGATTCCTGGATATCGATATCCCAATCCGCGTCCAAGTCTTGGTTGTCAGTTTTTTTGACCTCGGTGACCTGGTTGGTCTTTCTTTCCTTTTCCCTCTCCTTGACTTTGTCTTCATCCTCGGCCATATCCTTGCCCTGACTTTCTAGCTTGTCCTTGTACTTCCGTGGACCCTCCTCGCGACTGAATCTCTCAATGAGATGTCCGAACTCCTGATCCAGATCTCCGAACTCCACGTTAGCGAGTCGCCGAGCGAGCGGGTTCTCATGGTCTTCGATTTCTCTTGGAGTTGTTTTCGTCAAGTCGTTCCGGAGGTACCACTTCATCATGAAGAACTCAAATTCATTCTGGAGGATCAGTCAGTTAGTACTTGCATAAGCACAATCCGTGGAAGAAAATGTACCAGAGCGGCCACCCAAGGCGCGAAGTCCTCCCAAGTGGGGTTGGCTTCCATGAACTCCAACACTGCCTTCTCTCGTTGGATCATGATGCCTATGTCGCTTAGCTAATTGTTCTCCTAGACATCACCCAAATTTTGGTACATCAGCTTGTATGTAACTGTAGGATTTACCTTCCGCGAGACAGGAGCAATAGTAAAAGTGTGGGATACAAAAGCCACCAGGTGAAAGCGGTGTAATTAAGAGAAAGAGCCCCAGATCAAGTGTTGTAAGTACCTTTCCAATTGTATGGTTTTGATTTGTGTAAGTGTTTGCTGTTTCCCAAATCGAAGATGTTGATAATTTAAGGACAGAAACGAGAGATGTCTTTTGGCATATGACTCGAATCTAGGCACCTAGCGCACAACCGCCGATGATGATCGTCGACACTACCCATTCACCAAATCATCAAACACGAGGTCAAAGACCTCTGACAGTCCTCTATACCTTATTGGCGCGTATTTAGATACTGAGGAAGATACCAGACTAAGGAAGTCAGTTCTCCGAAATATTTGTTTTCGAGGTTGAAGCTGCCAGTAAAAAACTACATCAGCTCTCTCGGCTCGAAGAAAATCTAAGCAGACTCAATGGAGCTACGGGTTTTGCGATCAGGCTATCCCATTGTGGGAGTTACGAATAATGGCGTTCCACAACAGCAACAACGGCTGCCTTCCTGCCCAGCTCCTCCATCATCAATTCCTCCGCACTTGGCTCTGCATCCACAATTCCTGTCATTTGAATACTCTTGCGACACAAGTTTGCGAATCGAATATCAAGCACAGGACATAAACACACCGCAGTCTCGCCCGATGATGCCACAACTGCCGCAACAGACTCAGCAGACGGCCCCTCAGCCACGTCAACTCAATGAAGCTTTCTGGGAACCTGCTCCTGTACTTCACATGCCCGAGAAGTCATTCCACTAGAATACATCCCACCTCCTCAGCCTCAAAATAAAAACGATTCTTGAAACCTAAATCATCAGAACCAGTTCCAAGGACAACCAACGATGCCAAGAGGAGAATAGAGAGACTCCATGGATTTCGGTCAGCATGTATTCATCCCCGCTGATCCCTCCTACGACCTCTTTGCTCTTCAAACCCCACACAATTATCAACTTGGCCCACTTCTGATCAATCAACCGCATCCTGACGATTGGCTGAATCCTTACCTGAACATTGAAGGTAGAGAACAGGAGAACCAGCGATATGCACAGATGGCCGCTGCACTGGTGCAACAAGCTGACAAAAGAAGACATCAGGAGCTACTGGAACAGGAGAAGGGTAATTTCCAGAGAAAGCAGTGAGCATACTGCCTTGTAATATGGTAGACTCATCATGCCTCCTTTTGGCACTGGAGGGATATCTGGTTGACTTGGGGCATGCGAGAAGGGACTTTGAGTTCAAAATCTTTTGATTACGCGATGCGAAAGATAGATGAGTTCAAAAATGCTTCTTCGTGAACATAACTGCCCCTCCTTTCATCTGGACGTCTTATCTGTCAGAATATAGAGCATGCAAGGACGAAAATACGACGCACTACTAGCTTTCTACGCTAAGACGTTTCCCACTTTCCCCACTACCATTCCTCATCTCATCTGTCACATGCCTAAAGTGCTACTATAAAAACATTCTTTTCTTCTCATTCTGCCCAAGATATCTTCTTTCCTTCCAGAGAATTCAGTCTATATTAGGCAAGTATCGGAATCGCAAAGAACATTTGATATCTTGTCTGATTTCCGTTCAAGCATTCCAGATACGAGGGCAAGACTGGCATAGGTGGCATTATTAGTACAAAGCCTTTTTATTATATGAGAAAAAAAAAATTAAAAGATTAAAATTAGAAAGTTTTGTATCCTAAAAGGCAGATCAGAGTGTCAGATCTGGCGCTTATAATATTTTACGCAGCTGGACCCCTGCTGGATACAAAACTAAGTGCTAACATAAAATGCTACAACGTAGGATACAAGAAAGTAATTTGCTCAAATATAACCTTATAGTCAAGGCTCTTTTGGATACAGCCTATGTATAGAGAGTTAGTTCTAGAAAGAAGAGCAAATTATGACGAGAGAGGCAAGTGCTACGAATAGATCTACAAAAGCCACAAGCAAATAGGCTGCACAGTAACAATGAGAGGTGTGATCCTATACAGCATTTCTGACTATTCTTACAATATCAAGCAGGTTCATTGTTCTAAACAAGCAACAAATCTACCAGAGAGGAGTTCCCCTCTACTAACGCGTCATATTCCACCCGAATCCGTCTTTCTCGCAGCCCATTTCGTCTGCGCCTCAAAATCAACCCGATCCTTTCCAGTAAGATTCTTCAACCCTTCCGCCCTGAGCTCAGCAAACATCTCAAGTGCCTGCTCGTACGTCTCATTGGAAGTCCATCCATCGCGGCCCACGAGCCCAGCTATCGAATCCCAAAAGTCCGCTCGCTCATTCCACCCTTCACCGTCTTTGTAATGGGCCTCCAGCTCCTCTTCTGTGAAATGTATTGGACAAGGAGAGTCGAAGCCCAGCTCGTCCCAGTTTCTGTACAATTTAAATGTTAGTTGTGATAGGGAGATGTTAGGATGAGGAGTGAACAAACCGCTCGAGTCGAATGAGACACTGCCGAAAGGGTAAAATATCTCCATCCCAAGTGTTCGCAGCAAACTGCACCGTCTCTCTCCTGGTTCGGCCCTGATGTATGCGGAGGATCTCGCTCAGCAACGGATTGACTGATTCAGTTTCCGTTTCATAATGGTACAGCACGATCGACTTCTCAACCTGATTTCTCGTGCGAGCCTTCTCGTCGCCCTCTAGGATCTCGTAATCATCTGGAAGCTTTAACAGAACTTCTCCGTTATAATCCGCGAGTTTTGGATGACGGAATTGAAGGAATAGAGGACCAGCCCATGTATCCTGCCAGTCAATTATACTGGTGATTCGATTGCCTTCCACGAAGATATTGGCGGAGTGGAGATCCCAATGCCAAAGGGTGGATTTGGAGAGCTCCTTCTTCTTGGGCAAAAGGTATGGCACCATACGCAGGAACATTTCGTAAAGCGAGATGTGGGAACTTGGCGAATTCTGAGCTTCAGATGGGAGAAATACATCGTTTGGTGGTTTTGGGACAGCAAAGCTGCGCAGCCACGCGATTTCCCGATTGGCTATGGATTTGAGATAATCCTGTGGGTTTGCCCCTGTATATTGGCATTAGCTACATATTACAATTTCCGAATGCAAACAGTTGAACGAACAAGAGCCTCTGTCAATGGCCATGAACGCGCGCTCCCCGTTCCAGTAATCTCTGTCGACAACTGGTCCAATGACGAAACGCCTTTGCACAATTTCTTTCATATCTGCAGGAATATCGCCCACGACGTTGGCTGGCTCACAGCCTGGAAACGCATCACTTGCGAAGTAAATGCTGCCGTACCTAAACTGATTTTTAGCATACTTCAGGTACTATTTCTCCGACGAAATACAAACCGTGTGAAAGATAGTGAAAGCAGCTTCTTCTCAATCTTGACTACGCCTTCCACGATTTTGTTCTTTTCGGAAACTTTTTTACTGCCCCAGACATCAAGTAGCTGGGTTCCTGATGCCTCCTCCATGATAATATACTCAGCTCCTACAGGATTGCTTGCTACTGCGCTCCATGTGAAAACCTTTGGAACGGGGATGTTAAGTACGGTTCTTGCCTAGATGGAGGCACGGTATCAATCAATATGCTACTGTGACTGTAATTGCGGACAAATCTCACAAAATCCATGGTTGCAACTTCAGAAGCAGTCGTCTTCTGTGCAGGACCAGCGTTTAGGTTGGGTAAACGTGCAATCGCAACAGATCCGTTGTCCATAACCAGTCGAAATACTTTGTTGTATCCACCTTCAGCGAGTTTGGTCATGGACACACAGGATCGCGCCCTAACGCTTTCGGCTGCGATTCGCTGCAGCTCTTCCACATTGAACACGAGGAACCGTTCACGTAGCTGACTTTCTTCATCCCATAGCCAGCGACCACTCGTGTATCGAAAGAAGTGCTCATGTGATGAGACTGACTTCGTAGCCAGTGTGCGTGACCGATTGCGCAGGATACTAGGAAAGAAGGGGGACAAAATGCGCAGCAGAAAACAACCTTTGCATGCTGATGATTGAGAAGTAATGAAGGACCTAAGTAGGGGCCGTGCAGAAATACGACTGAGGCGAGACATCTGCGCCGGGAGGCAAGGATATATCGCAGTCTGAAGAGGATTTTGAAGAGAGCGGTCCCAGATGTGGGGCGGAATTGGACAACCATGTGAAGCGAGCGCTTATCGGGCATTTATTTCGGCGCTAATGCAGATCTTAGCGAGCCCGATTGTGGTAGAAACAGGGGCCTCCAGAGATGCTAACAGGCGTTCTGAGTAGCGTCACTCTCGCGTATTTTGAAGTACAAATAAACACTAATTTTCTGTGCAAAGGAAAACAAAATTGTCACCCAGATACATCAAGTCAAGCATGAAATGACTATTGCAGACATCCAGACCCGCGGGCGTACCGATCGATTCAACCCACAAGGTATATGCAATGTGCATGACAAGTCTTTTTTAGACTACGGGATGGACTCTGTGAAGCACGTTGCCTTGAGTTGGTAGGATGTTAGCTATGGCAATGGGAACTGCATATGATGTTAAGGCTTTTCTACGTGTACTTTATGCTTACTAAGACACCTAGCACTCTCGTCTTCCCACTATGCTGAACTAAGCAGTCTTGCATTGGAATATATTCTTAAAACACATCTTGGTACCTGCACCCTCGTACGCAAGACATCACGCCTTGGCCTTGCTTGCGTTACCCATGATCTCAATCTATAGGTCTCAGAAGCTTTGGTAATAGCCCCAGAAGCTGCGAGGTGTCCTAATTTTCCAGTCCAGCATGTTCCCTACTACCTTATATTACCTTCATTACCCGAAAATGCTATTTAGTAAATCCTGGTTCTGTTCAACCTTAACTCCGACAGCTGCTTTTTTAGAAATTCTTAGCAAGATCAGGTATATATGAGGTTCAACAAGACGACATGTTTGGCACTTTGCTTTTCTTATTTGTCCTAAACAGAGACCATCTTAGATTCTTGGCGAAAGCAAGACTGGCACAGATAGCAAGTTTATTAGTGTCTTCTCATACTTTGAGGAATAGAATCTTATCTGGAAGTAGATATAGTAGCATAATTTATACTTAGTAATTCATAGAGTAGGTAAGAAACACAAATCTGGGGCTAATAGAATTTTTTCTGGGTTAAATGTTCATTAATCAGCGACATAATATAAAAGATACATCTGATCACGTATCGCAGTACCCCTAAACAGTAATACTCAGATAGTTCTTTCATCTGTACGATATCAAAGTAGTTCCAACGTATTTTGCTTCATGTCCTGCCATAAAAAATAATCAACCTTATTTGCCCCACATAGCGCCTCGCTTAAATGCAGAAGGTAAATAATGACTTGGAGGACTGTTGAATACTGAGATGGGGATTCATGACGTTGGTGTATCATTATTTTATTACTTTGATAATATAAGCGTACTCATGTGCTTTATACTGATTTAGTGAAGTTTGTGCCTGCGGTACGCCAACCACCCGTTCTACGCCGCTTCCCCAACACTGCTTTCTGCACTCGCCTGCTCATGTCACATGCGCAGCGGAATGATGCGGCAAAGATAAACAGTCTGTCTTACTTAATGTACTCCCTTAATCATGATCTACCGAGAGAGTAGCTTTCAAGATCAAGTGACCATGCCACCAATACCTCTTTGTGGTACAAAATCTCCACCATGTATCATCCCACCAGTACCCTGCCAAGCTTTATCCACCATGTACACTAAATGTCACTCTTCCAGTTTCCAACCTTTCACCATAGTCCCAAAAGAAGAAAAATCCAAAAAAAAAAAAAAAAATCAACAAACACATACACAAAGCTTCCGCTCAGCCACAGGTATCCATCCATTTCCCCTCCTTCCGTCTCCTATCCCACACAAAAAAGAAAAGACAAAGAAAAATTAGTCCACCTATCCCAATGATCCATCTTATGCTACTTGTCAGAACTCTTCGGTCTGACAGATCACTCTTCCTCGCTTTCCTCACTCTCCTCCTGAGGCTGGATTGTCTGCGATGGCCCAGCTCTCTCCCAAACCGCGGTCTCTTCCTGGTCTTCTGTAGCCTCTCCAAATTCCTTGTCCACTTGCGTAGCTGCCTTGCCCTTGCCCTTGTTCTTGGCAATGTACTTTCGGCGTGGCTTTCGGTCGTCATCCCGATAATCCTCCTCATCAGCACGTGGCACGGCTCTACCCTTGCCCTTGTTCTTGCGGCGAGGTTTGCGAACCTTCTTCCGATCGTCCTCCTCGTCATCTTCCTCTTCCATGTCTAGGCGCTTGCGCTTGTATTGGCGACGACGTGGCTGTTCAGCAACCTCCTCTCTGTCCTCGTCCTCTTGCTGCATGACCCCACGCTTGCGCTTATATTGGCGGCGGCTTGGCTGCTCAACGACCTCCTCCTCATCAAATTCCTCCTGTAATCCAGCCTCCTTGGCTCTCTTTTTTGCCAAGTAGCGTTCCATTCTCTCTTCCAAATTCCATCCGCAAGTTGCCTTATCGTCATCGTACTTCGAATCATCGTCCGACAGATCAGATTCGCTGTCTTGATCCTCTCCAGCAGCAAGTCGATTGCGTCTAGCCTGCTTTCCTTCACGAATCTGCCGGAACTTTCCCAGCTCGTACTTGATCAAATGGCCGTCGATGATCGGGTCCTCCTCCCAGACATCACCTCGCTCCAGGGCATATTTTGAGGTTGTATGCCGGAGGAATTGGTTGAAGTTGAGGGCTTCTCTGTGAGTCATCGACGTTTGAGGGAAAGTTTTCTTGCCATGGTACTGATTCATCGTGTACTTGGCGTGCTTGCGGATGGTGTTTAATTGCGCCATGGTGAGTGTGGCCTTGGGAGTGCCCCAGTCTCCTCGCATCTTCTGCTCGAAGGTACGACCCTTGGCTCCAGGTCTCAACCTGTCGACGGTGACACGTCCTGGTTTGATCTTACCCTTTTCAAGGAACCATTTCTGGGCTGTTGTCAGTCTTCGTCCAGTATAAACGGCTGTCTTCTGGACTTTCTTGGCGGGCTGAGGCTGCTCGTCTTCGTCTTCGTCACGCGATCTCTTGCTCGAAGGCTGCGCTGTTGGCGCTCTAGAAGGACCTTCTCCATTATCGATGTGAATGGAGTCCTCCACCAGAGATCATCGTCTGAATCGAGATCGACTGCAGTCTGTGGAGCTATGCCGATGTATAGGCCGTCGACTTTGCCAAATGGATGATACAGGGAGTTTATCTCCTTTTCCTTCCGGAGTCTCTTGTCGTTCGCCTCGGCGACTGGTACTCCGGCCAAGAAACGATCATTTCTGCGCTTCTTATAGGCTTGCCAGCGAGTGTTCTTCTCCTGTTGGGTCTCGTAGACCTCACGACTTCTTTTTTTCGATTTGGTCGCAGGAGTGGGGGCAGGCTTCTTCTTCGGCATCCAGTCCGAGCCAGAATCTGATGAGTCCGAGTCATCTGAGTCGGTGTCATCTGGGGATGCTCCGACGCCTTCCTCTACCTCGATCTGCTCGTCTGTAGCGGCCTCAAGGCTTTGTGTGGTGCCCTCCGTGTCCTCCTCCACCATGACGCTCTCGCCTTGGTCCTTACCATCTTCCTTCTCATGGGCAGGCTCTCCATCCGAGTCCTCTTGCTCATCTTCGGAGCTACTCTCAGAGTCGTCAAGAGTGTGAGTCGTCACATCTGACTCCTGTTGACAGCAATAAGCCAGCAACCAAGAGAGCTTCTGATTAGCAATCTCGAGTTTTGTACCAAAGTCCTCGTTGGACGAATCGGAGAAGAGTTTGTCAGTTGCTTCTTTGATGTATGACTCGACATCGAAGTCTAGCTTGAGATCCGGGTTTCCAAAGGTCTATTCGAAATGGTATGTTAGCTTTGTGTCTTGAAATAAGGAAGATTTGCTGGCATTTGGTAGAAACTAGATGAACTTACCTTCGTCCACTTGTTGTGTGTGTTCCAAAATGCGTCTATGACCTGGTGGGAGGTGTTAAAATCAAGCTTACTGCCAAGACCAGTTTCGAGGAGTGGAGTAGAATCTGGCTCGGAGCCATTGACATAATTCTCGGTTGTCACATCAGTGTGAGAGACATAGCCGCTGTCTTCGGTATTTGGGGTGGTGGTCTCATCGCAAGAGGTTTCGGCTAGAGACTCCTTGACAGAGTAATCGCCGTCAAGGAATGCCTCAAGGGTCTTCTTTGGGGACGTAGCGAAGATCTGGTGAGCTCGGGTGTAGGAAGACATCTTGACTGGAATTGGGTAATTTTGAGTTGAAGTTGGCCGTCGGTGGGTTTGTAGTGGGCAAAAAACCAAAATTTTGTTTGTTTAGAGAGGAGACTTGAGACTTGCAAGTGTGTAAAGTGTATGAAGAAGTGCTTGGAAGTGAGCAAGATGTTGTACAGTTGCAACCAATGTACAATTGAAGCCCTCTTGATGAGTTTTGGTGTTCGAAGTTGGTGTTTGGTGTTGGCAAATGTTCGTGGCTTTGGAAGCAAGATGCGCTGGATTTAACCTCCAAGACCTGCCTTCATCCTCAGTGGATGGAAAGTGGACTAATCCAAATCTAGGCTCGCCGACGATGTTATGGCTGGAAAAACTATAATACGGTGATCACGACTGGTATATACAATACGAATGGCAGTTCTACTTCTGAAAGTGGTAATATTGTCGCATCCCGAGCTTCATTGACGTCGGGGTGGCGCGGTGGCATGGCAAGAGTAGCCGAGGTCGTGATTTCAAGAGTCCTTTGTGCGGTTTTGACGCATACTGCTATACCCAAAGCAAGATTTCTTTTGGTCGACAAGGAAATCACACAGCAAATTCCCTCTAGCAGGTGAATCCAGGATGGCGTATATAGGGCTCGACTCTTTGCAAGCCGGAAGTGGAAAATATCGTGTTGTTATGATTCACTGAGTAAACAAGAAATAAGCGACAAAGCAGGGTGATGAGTCACGTGAAACTTCCCGATTCTGTAATCAAAACAAGCTACCTACCCAAGGGCGCCTCATAAAGTGCGGTTCTCGATACTCATTGGAAAAGAGAGTTCCTTTGCATCCAGTAAAGTCATTCTTCGAAACTTCAAATCTTCCGAACTCCGCAGAAACGGCAAAAACCTTCAGGAACGCTTACCGGATACCCTCCAGTGCCGTTCAACGCCACCATCATGGAGTCCAAGTACAAGCCAGCTGATTTCGGTATCCCACAGAAGTGGATGACTAAAGACGAGCTCCTCGCTATTCGCCCATACGCAGCACTCACAACTACTTTCTTCAACAGCAGACCGTCACACTACCGGTTCCTAGTCCCCCTCACTGAGAAAGAAGCGATCAAGTACTGCAACATGAAAGGGGAGACATATGAGAGAATGAAGGGCAAGACTGCTGAGGAAGATAAAGAGATTAATGAGAACCTCAGAGGATTCCGAAGATCGATTCGTCGTGGCATTCAAATGGTGCTGGACAAGCGGCGGGAAGAGGGAGGTGGTGTATGTGATGGAGAACCGGAGGAGGATTTGACACTCTACGATGCAACCGATGATGAGTACTTCGAAGTAACGGGAGGTCAAAAGATTGATGCAGACGATGAAAGCCAGGGCTGGGTACTTCTTTGATCGTCGTGGAGTAGGGAGATGGTTCTGGGTTCATAATATTCGGCATGTTACTTGGTTACTTCGTAGAAGATGTCCAAGGAGTTTCACTCATATATGTGCCTGCGGAGCCTGGGTAAAATTGAGTTGTAGTTTGCATACCATCGTTTCTGCTCTTTGGTCTTTGTTTACTATCACGTTTCTCTTTGTTCTTCGAATTGCCGATAGAAATTACACATGACAATTACTTTGTTTTCATTTCTTTCCGAAATCTGCAGTGTTTTTCTTAAGTGTCCTGGGGTGTTTGCTGAAGAAACAGCGCTGGTCAAGCCAGGTGGTATTTCACATAATCTCCCTGCAATCACATGAAAACCTTGACGCTCGAGCGCGGTAAAAACAATCCATTAAGCCCCTGGAAACAGAGAGAATGCGAAACGCTCCTTCTAACTACCATTTCAGTGTTTATGATGATAGTCTATGAACACGAGAAGTTCCTTGGAAAAGTTGCAGCGGTCTCAAAACGTGACTTGAGATTTCCACCGATAAGGTTCCTGGCACTGTCCAATCAACCAACATGACTTACTTTGAAGATTTCCCGCGAGTTCTGTCTCTACTTCTCTTTGGCTGGACTGCTTTGGGTACGAACAATAAACTCAGACTGACCCCAATTGGAATTCTCAGGGGAATCACGTGGTATTTATCTCGGCTTCTTCACCTCGGTTAAATGTCGTACCGCCAATACGAGGCGGTGAGCTCCGATCCACCCCTTATCCCATCTTTGCTCTTCACTCCCCCAGCCTCAACTCCAAATCTAATAATCATCACAAATCAATTCTCCGCTTTATCTCTCGGGCGCTTATGTTTATTTGCGTCGCGAATCTAGCGGCATGTGCTCTACCGAGATCCTCTCTCCAGTGCCGGACCTTCCCCATCTATCTAGCTTAAGGGGCCATATAGTCTCTAGAGATACTGGGGTCACGCGCTCCAACATCCCAAGTAGGGAGGTGAGTGAAGATATATCTTGGCGACAAGGCTGCCAAGTCGCCCTTGCAAGGCCATTGCATTGCTTATCTCAATTAATGAATCGTACAAATCGGCTCCCTGACCAGATGCTGTCACCTTGTCTCGGTTGCGATGTCGTGATGGAGGTCGCGAGACACAACATCAGAGGCTGGAGATGAAAGCCTGACATTGTTCCTTGCATGTGCGCAATGTATTGAACAGGGACATGTTATCAGATGAAGAAGGTTGCAAGAGTCTCCTCCGACGGAACTGCCGTCTACGGCCTAAATTCCCGAAGGAACTTGGTAGCCCGTTCGCTGGCAATGCATCGGGGTCTTCTATCTAGCTCCTTGAGGATGCCAGTCACAAGAGATCCAATTGATTGCACTTCCAAGGGCGCTTCGACACCAGGAACAATATCTCCCTCCAGTCATATGAGCATCTTGTGCCTTGGCTCTGCTAGCTCCAAGAGGAAGTTATCTCAATAGAGGAAGACTTAAGACATGTTCAAGCATTCGAATGTCTTGGTATATCTGCTTTTGAGATGGTTCTCCGATATGGATGAGATAGGATAACGGTATGTCTGGGGAAAAGATGAAGAAGTATAAAGGGGATGATGGATAACAAGAATGGGAATCCTGTCAAGCAGACTCGCAAGAATCCTTCAGTCTCTCATTGTCAAATATCTATTCTTTCAAGATGCGCTTTCTCTCTCACGCTGGAACGGTTGCTCTCTTGGCAGCCAATGTTCTGGGTCACCCATCTGCCCCATCTACCTCAAGACGCGGACTCTCCCCAAGAGTCATCGACTTGACCAAGTTCCGAATCACAACCGAGAGTACTTACAGCAATGCCACTGCCACTGCGGAGTCTGAGATTGTCCCTCTTGTGAGAAGAGCTGACTATGTTGACACTGCTACTGCCTTGGTTGCAAGCGTAGCACCTGGTGCTGAGTTTCGCGTCGTGGATGATCACTACGTGAGCGACTCCGGCATTGCCCATGTCAACTTCAAACAAACTGCACACGGTCTAGATATCGACAATGCCGACTTCAATGTCAACGTAAGTTCTCTTCCCTCAACCACAAGTTGGTTTAGTAACAAAATCTAGGTTGCCGCTGATGGAACTGTCTTCTCATATGGAAACTCCTTCTACACAGGAGCAATCCCAGCTGAGAGTCCTCTCGAGAAGCGTGACCAGATTGACGCGGTCGCTGCTCTGCAAGGCGTGACCAGCACCTTGGTTCTTCCCATCCAAGCCTCTGATGCCGTCGCTGTTCCAGAGGAAGCAATTGAGCACTATGTCATTGAAGGCTCCACTGGTACACTATCCGAGCCAAAAGCAAAGCTCGTCTACTTCCAGAAAGCCGACGGTACTTTGACACTCACCTGGAGAGTCGAAACTGACATCGGTGACAACTGGCTATTGTCTTATCTTGACGCAGTCAGTGGAAGCGAAGTTTTGGGTGTTGTTGACTATGGCTCAGACGCTTCATACACTGTCTTGTGGGTAATTAGAATTGTTTTGATGGAACTCGCTAATCGAAACCAGCCCCTGGTTAGTCATCGATCCCAGCAAGGGGAGCCGCACAGTCGAGACCAACCCTCAGCTCGCCGCTGCTTCTGAGTTTGGATTCCAGAGTGACGGAACAACATCCTATACTGTCACCCGTGGCAATAGTAAGTCCTTTCAATCAATGTGCATTTACGGCGGTCGCCGCCAGCTCGAGTTCTTGATCTGATTCTGACGATATTGTAGACGGTATCGCACAGGCAAACTGGGAAGGCGACAGTGCCTACCTGAATGACTACAGACCCGACGGTGGCTCGGGTGCAAACTTCAACTTTGGACTCGACCTGAGAAATACCGACCCAAAGACCTACGCTAATGCTTCTGTCGCTCAGCTCTTCTACACTGCAAATATGTAGTAAGTATTCAGCTTTTCATCGCCCAGGCCAATCCTTTCCTCTTGTCACTGAAGATGATAATGCTAACATATCTTTTCCCTTGTAGCCACGATCTCCTCTACGTCCTCGGATTCAACGAGGCAGCCGGTAACTTCGAGACCAACAACAACGGTCAAGGCGGCCGTGGTAATGACGCTGTCCAACTCAATGCCCAAGACGGAGCTGGTACCAACAATGCCAACTTCTTTACCCCTGCTGATGGCACTCCAGGACGTATGCGCAGTAAGTATAGCTCGAAGTTTGGCATATCCCCAACGACAATATAAATTCACAAGTCCAGGACTGACAGCCATCCAGTGTACATCTGGACCTATTCCACCCCAAAACGTGACTGTTCCTTTGACGCTGGCGTAGTCATCCATGAATATACCCACGGCCTCTCCAACCGCCTCACTGGAGGCCCGGCCAATTCAGGATGCCTCGGCACCACCGAGTCAGGCGGCATGGGCGAAGGATGGTCCGACTTCATGGCCATCGCCATCCACGTCAAGACAACCGATACCCGCTCCAAGAACTATCCACTTGGCGACTGGGTCTACAACAACCCTGCCGGTATTCGCAACTACCTCTACTCCACCAGCTTGACAACCAACCCATATACCTACAAGAGCGTGAACGGCATGACCGCTGTGCACACCATTGGTACGGTCTGGGCTACCATCTTGTACGAGGTCTTCTGGAACTTGGTCGATCAGTATGGTATTACTTCTGCGAGAGTACCAATCTTCTCTGGCAAGGTGCCAACTGATGGACGGTTCTTGGCAATGAAGATTGTGATTGAGGGAATGAAGTTGTCAGTACTCCAATCAATCCCTTACATATCGTTCACGTAACTAACTCATAGCAGGCAACCTTGCAGCCCAACATTCATCACTGCACGAAATGCCATCATCGATGCTGATCTCGCTCTGACCGGAGGTGCAAACAAGTGTCTCCTCTGGAAGGGTTTCGCCAAGCGTGGTCTTGGAAGTGGTGCTTCTCAAGGTAGTGGAAGCAACAACCGTGTCGAGAGCTACACTCTGCCGAGCGGTTGTTAAGTATAGGGGTGTCTAGGAGCGATTGCAGCTCGGAAGAGTAATGGGTGGCTCCACATTTGTGGAATTTCTTGTTTGCATACTTTTGGGGTGTCTTCTTCAAATAGGAGTTTTTGTTTATGATGCTATGATATGATGGAGTTAAGTGGAGAGAATGAAGCTTGATATTCGATGCGTTGGACCTGGTCCTCTGCCTTCACGGATTTGATGCCTACTTGACCTGATAAATGTGTTTCAAATCGTGCTCATAGTGCATTCAGCCCATTTCTAGTTTGATACCGAGCTTTTTTCGTCCGCATTGCGCCATAATTGTTTTGACTCAACGATATTCCTCTATTCCGTGATTGATAATAAAGCCGTGGATATTTACCCATCGCCATCGTGCTTACCGCGTACGAAGATGCAGTGCTGATTAATAAGGTCTTGGGATGCCCGCCTATCTTACCCGAAATCGTCCTCTTATCTCCGAGCTCATATTACACCCGAGTCTCTCGTCCCTTCGTAAACTCACTCGTTACTAACATTGTTTCTTGTTTTAAATTATCCAAGAATAAATAAGAGAAGCACTTGTTGTCTGGAAACTTGCCCTTGTTGCACCCTCGGAGACAACAACCCCGATGGAGATAGATACTCTCACCCCATCGTCATTCAAAGATGGCAAGCCCGTACCCGCAACATCTCGACGTCCAATACGAACCAGGAACCGGAAACCATTGTCGTGTACGGAATGCCGCCAGCAGAAGATCAGATGTAACCGTGAGAAGCCATGTGATAGCTGCGTCCGATATAAGCGTGATTGCAGATATAGCTCGGTATCAGATCGGCAAAAACGACTAGGCATCGCTAATGGTCAAGACAAGAGCATTGGAAATAAGACATCCAAGGGTAGTCTTTTGAAATGGAGTGATCATACTGGCTCTAGTATAGATTCCGATTCGTCAGGGTTTGCGAGCGCGATTTCAGGCCCATCATCGGCTTCCTCGACAAGTCAAGATAAAGGACCAGCTCACCCTAACCATACCCAAGACCAGAACGACAACACCAAGAGACATCGGATCGGGTATGCGAGCTACAAGGATAAGAACGTCAAATTTAAAGGTCCCTCACACTGGGCTTCCATCACTGGGAAAGTAAGTACATCAGTCATACCGCATCTATGTTAACGCATTCTCACGCTAGTAGTTCGAAGAAATCGAGCCATTCATGTTCGGATGCAGCCCAGCTTTCAAAGAAACTTCCAAACGACTCAAGGAGTGCAAACGCTTCTATTCAAGCCGAACAAAACGCAACAGAAATTTCCCATTCCGTCATGGCAAGCATAGCAATTTCGTCCCGCCAGAATCCGTCCTGTCAATACTCCCGGATCGACAGCTAGTTGAGTCGTTCATCAACAATTATTTGACCACCTTTGAGATGACACATCGGCTTTTACATATTCCGACTTTTAAGATGGAACTTGATGAATTCTGGATTAATTCGCAAGATGCCTGTCCTGCATGGCTTGCACAATTTATGATGATGTTGGGTCTTGGCTGTCCACGTGCGAAACGAGTGGAGGATATCAAGATGGTAGACGGCTTTCTCGACGCCGCGGAATTTTATCTCAGCGAGACATCGTTCATGTATAAACCCAGCTTGGTGACATTAAGAGCCATGTGTATGATGGCCATTGCGAAACACATCGACATCGTTGCTTTCGACGATTCGGATGGACTCTGGAGCTTCATGGGCGTTATCCAACGACTCGCTATGTCCATCGGTCTCCACCAGGATCCGAGCCACTTCGAGGATATTGGAGATATGCCACTCTTAGAGATGGAAATGAGGAAGCGACTCTGGACCACTTTCATGTGCCTCGATGTGCAAATGTCCATGGAGTCAGGGATGCCGATCCTGCTCGCTTCACCTGACTTTGTGGTTCCGGAACCGAGAAACTTCAACGATGAATACATTTCCTTGGAGTCGGATACATCTTTCTTGCCTGATCCCAAGATCTTCACATCTTCTTCACACCAGCGCGTACTGGCACAATCGCTTCCACTAGCAATCAAAATCAACTCCCTGATCAACTCCCCCAATCAGCCAATCGACTCAAACACCGTCCTAGCACTCAGCCATCAAGTCAAACACCTTCTCAAAGACGCTGAGAATACGTTCAAATCTGCTTCCATACAGTATCCAGACTGCCCTTGCGTCAACCATCAAAGAATAGCCACAGAAGTCTTCTTCCGCCGCCTCCTCCTCGCCCTCCACCGCGAACAATCCCTCGCCCCAGACTCCATCACCCTCCACCCCGAATCCTACTTCACCTCCCTCTCCTGCTCTTACTCCCTCATAATCCTCCAACGCACTTTCTACGAAGAATCCTCCACATCCACATCTACATCCAACGAATGGCTCGCCGAGCTCTTCAAAGCCGACTTCCTCATCGCAGCCCTCTATGTCTCTCTCGGTCTCTGGCAGAACACACTCTCCGACAAACAATACACATTCGGTGTGCAGATGCCGGAGCGGGCCACGGCCAAGATTGCCATGGATGCGTGTTTGGGGATTTGGGGGAGCAAGATTGCGATTTCGCTGGATCACTGTAAGACGCATTATACGTTGGGGATGGTGCTGAGGGGCATCGAGGCGAGGGAGGAGAGGAGCGATTTGTTGGCTGCGATGGAGAGGGCGGCGATGGCGACCATTGCGACTGTTGAGGAGGCGTTTTCGGGGATGAAGCAATGATTATGGGGACTTGATGAATTCTTGGTGTCGCTTTTGAATGAAAATAGAAACTTTGAATGTGGTCTACGTGGTTAGGATTCGAGGACGAGTCGGGGTGTCGCTCCGCAGCTCTTTATGTATCATTCAAGGGAATCCATCCTGAGACCTGCATGCCGGAGATACAGAAATGACAAGGCCGTGCTCGGGGCAGAATGTATGCATTTCTGTCGACTCTCAAGGGGTCGCCCCCAATATGTCAGATTCATGCCAAGCGTATAAACCGCTTTGAGAGAATTAACCCCGAGTTGGTTCGGGTCTGACAGCAGCCAAAATTTCGTGGATGGACAATCTACAGTTGGCAAAAAAAAGGCGATCCCACTGACGTCAAAGACTCACCGTGTAGGTCAAATGATTTATAGTAATAGCTTTGGAAGAGAAAAGACGAAGTAATAGAAGCTGGTGGGCATGATTGTCACTATTCGATTCTATGGACAGGTTTATACAGCTCTGTAGACTGTGCCATGCATATTTTAGTAAAGCGTAAGGCAGGCTGCAGGCAAGCCGCTGGACAGAAAGAAGATCAAGGAGAAAAGATAACTCATGTCGAATAAGCGAGGAAAGCCGCTCCATCACATCGACCAAGAACCGATATTCCTCTTCTCCTTCCTTTCTTTCTGTCCCAGAGCCTGTTTTACCTAGCCTTTGAAGCTCATTCCATCCACAGACGAACTTACAGTACAGTACTTCCGTCAAGGAAGGAAAATAATCCCCCTCACCTCGTCTCGCCTCGCCTCGCCAAACCTCGGTACCCCTTTTCCGGCACCCAGACGACACGCCGTCCCAACACAGCTAGCCGAATACCTCATTGAGCATCAATACGCCACCACGACCACGCCCCACGCTGCAAAAAAAACGTAGCAGCCAAGCATTGGCCCAGGGCTGCAGGCTGCAGCGTGCGTGAGGTGGTGCCCTGCATGCATAGAGGAGCATTAATGGAAGCTTAATTTCTCCCAGCACCAATTTTAAGAAATGAAATATGTCGCGGTCAGCGCGTCTCTTTTTGCGACTTGTTTTGTGGAAAGTTTATTGTTCTGAAGTGCCTGTGGACGAGATGCGGATGCGGATGCGGATGTCAAGTTTAACTCTTGTGGCTTGTGTCTGACTGATTGATTGATTGATTGATCGGCGCGGGTGACACACGGACGGACAAGGAAGGACAAGAACTACCTAGGATTTGCACAAGGCAGAGTAGTAAGCTAAAGGTTTATCAGGGAGGGAGTGTCAGCTTCATCTCTTTCTTATCGCTCGCTGGACGTCTTCACTTCTCATCCTTCATTTTCAAATCGAGTTCAATCAATTCGCTTCAGCATTGGGGAGCTGTGCGTACTGTACAGATATTTTAGATCCAGCCGTCACGATGGAATTATCCCCTTTACACCCCCCAACAGAGAAACGTCCTCTATCTGAATCGACGCGAGGATGGATACACCCCACACATCCCCTACTGGGCACCCAAGGCCGAGTCCGGATACGTGCGCATTTCACGATTACCGACTGGCTGTTGATGGGAGGAATTCTCCAATCTGTCATCATCCTCTTACTGCCTATTCGTCCCTTCTACGCGTTACTACCGACGTTTGGACTTGCAATATTCAAAGTCACGAGACTGGTTCTGAAGATTTATGGGCTGGTTGAGAATCCGTTGATGGAAGGAGTTAAGCATGGGAGGTTAAGTGCTGTGTTTCCGCCGGCTGAGACGGGAGAGAAGGGGACGGGGATGATGAGGCAGGTGGGGGGGAGTGTTGGGGGAGGGGAGATGTGTATTCTCTTGCTTTCGAATAGGTGTACTCAGTGCGTTCCCCTCACCCATCAACATATATCAATAAACACCAAGCTAACTGAACCGATCCCCCCAGCCCCCTCGGACTCTTCTACTCCAAATACCGCGAGATGGGCACCCACGCCAAAGCCATGTTCACCGAGCTGGAACGCTCTCCCCTCACGCACGGCTTCCTCGGCTACACAGACTACAGCTCCAACAACGTCCCTACACAGCCGCACTCCCTCTCCATCATGTACTTCAAGTCCATCTCTCACGTGCACGCCTGGGCGCACAGCAGCCCTGCCCACCGCGCTGCGTGGGAGTGGTGGGATAGCGAGCAGAAAGCTGGAAGGATCGATCATCTCACTATCGCGCATGAGATATATGGCGTGGAGGAGGGGAAGTGGGAGAATATCTATGTTAATGCGAGGCCGTTTGGGTTTGCGGAGACGAGTCATGCGATTGTTGAGAAGGGCGGGAGGAAACTGTGGGCTTGTCCGGCTATGGATGCGAGTAGGAGTTTTAGGACGTCTGGGCAGAGGTTGGGGAATGTGAGGGGGTAGATAGGGTAGGTGAGGGTTGGGGGTGAATTAATGATGAGGGGGAGGTGGAGGGAGATTAAAGTTGTTATGCTGTCTGCTTTGGATGGTTGGGCCATGGCTGATATAGCAGACCATGAGGAAATCTTGATACCCCTTTTGAAAGTTCATAAACTATCTGAAATCCCTTTCTTCTTTACATCCATCCGACACATGATATCCCAGAAGTCACCAAGCAGCATTTGACCAAGTTGTCTCCTAATTCCTCGTCTTCGGCTGCTTTATGGGTCTTGAAGCGCAAGTTAAAGACAGCACAACTATCCGATCTAGTTCGGCGCAGACAGGAAGCAGTCGAGCCTACTCAGCAGGAGTGTTGACTTTGTTGTAAAAGCTACCCGAGACGTACTAATGAGCTCTTGGTGTCGTGCCAAATAGGATCCGAAGCCCACCCAACACCGACACGTGTGTATGAGATCTGGTCCGATGAAACGTCATTCTTGCAATCGAGGAGTAACCCTCTACAGTGGCAAAGCGCCATTTTTGCTGAGCATTCAAGCCGAAGGAAGAAGAACTTATTCTGACTACCTCTCTCGCGATCGAATCGACATACGTTATTGGCTCCATTCTGAGGAAGATCCGCATCCTCCGAAAGCAATGGCCAGAATTTATACTCCGGACCGCTGTCTTCATCTCCCGACGGATTTTTCCAGTGCTTTCTCGAGGTTTTAGGTTTCAACTCCGGTTCCAATGAGACGTGACACTCATATATCTGCCCCGACATGCTCTAGTATTTCAGACCCGTCAGACGAGGTGATGACTTGGCGTAAATCAATGCGGCAGTCTGGGCTGTCAACACCATCAATACCAGTGGAACTCTTAACAGGATCGACAGTGCTAGCCCAAGACCAAGATGTGGCACGTACACCTGTCCCCACTGCCAGCCTCATGGGGCGTGTCCTCGGCACCCACAGCAGAGCATTAGAGAGGTTTTGCTCCCACATCCCCGACAAGTACCGGCCAGGAAAGCTAAGGGTGACAAGTCTGGCTAGGCCTGCAATTGCAGGAAGCCTGTCTCTTGATTTAGTCAACTGCAACTCGGAGAATTCCTCCCCACCTCTGACCATATGCTCAAGAAAAGGTTGGTAATTCCGGCGTTGTTGGTAGACGAATGCCCCAGTCTCAGAAGCTGCATGCCTCGAGAGTATGTCGCGGCCTGTTTGGAGCCATCATAGAACAGAGGTTTACAGATCTCACCAGTCTCGGCCCAGAGCGTGGATCTGCACTCCCAGTACATCTTGCGCGTTGTGAAGTGCACGGTACGTCGTGAACATAGTCTCTCTTGCTTGACCCATCCGCGTGTAGCAAGATGGCTGCCATACGTTCCAGACTCAAAATCTTCTGCGAAATCAATGAATGGTATGCTGAAGAAGAGTTCGCCACTCGGGTCCGAATTGGGAGTTCCGCGGAACGGACAAGCAACGCGGGGAGATCTGGGTACGTCAAGAAATGATTCGTCGGAACCTTTGGTTGAGGCTGCTGCGATTGTGAGATAGGATTGACCGTATATCAAAGCCATCTTTTGGGATTCGCATGCCCAATCTACATAATTATCGCCTTTCTGGATGATGCATAGCGCGTCAACCCAGAGGTGGCGAGTTTTGAGCTTTCGGGTGAAGAGTACCGCGTCCTGAATGGCTTTGGCAAAGCAAGAGATCTCAATACCCATTTGAATTTGAGCAAGGTTGTCCTTAGTGGTGACTAAGCGTTGGGACTTGCCCCAGCAGTAGCTTAGAGCAATGTATTCATGTCGACCTTGTACATCCACTAACCTGACCTTCGACTGATCTTCCATCATCACATCGATTAATCGACTTGGGAGACCGAAATTTCCGTACTTTTCATGATGTTTGCTGCTGAGGTTGTGAAACATTTCCGACGAACATTGATTGTGATTGAGACAACAAGTTTTCAACAGCTCACTGATTCGCTGGATGTTATTCTCTGAAAGGGCATAACGGTCATTCAACTGGCCAGCTTGAACCCCAGCTGCTTCCGCGGCAGAGCCTTTTCAAAGGTTAATTGAATATACCTAATGTTTTGGATGAGGCTTCTGACCCTTTGCAGCAACCATGACGAGCTGTGCACCAAATGAGGAGAAGCATCTCTTCCTCACTAATTCTTCTCCAATCGCCACCGCGATCTCATCCAACAAGAGAAATTCGTCAACTGGACCTTCAGGACAAACCCGGTTAGCTTTCGTTTTTGGAGCCAGACTTCGGCCAGCACTAATAAGGCGTACTGGTCCAAGGTCATCGCTGAGGCTATGCATCAAAACTCGGTTTCTGTTCAGTGTGCGTTTCACTGATTGCGTAATAAGCTCGCATAAGGGACATGTTGATGAACTTAGAACAAGTGATGCAAAATTTGGCTGGTGCTCGTAGCCTATGCTACTCTTGAGGGACTGGATATTGATACCAAGGCAAAATGTACAAAGAGCCTCGTTTTTGGCATCCTGCGTCGGTAGCTTGGCTGCCGAAGAGGTCATGATTGTATATCGATGGAGTTATAACAATTCCGTAGACTGCTTACAGTGAAGGGAATAGAGAAGGCTGAGAATCTAATATCAGATATACTGCTGAGGGGTTCACTGCATCACAGGCACCATCACGCGGGTGTGCGTCTACGGTCACCAATCACGAGGCGAGCAGGCTAAAGCCGATTTTGAAGCCACTGTATATGACTGGATAGCCACAAGCATGTAAAAACCACTGAAGACTAATAAACTAACAAGCAGTTGTTGAATGTCGCGTATCCAGCTATACGTCACAGGCACGCAATGCAATATTATATGAGGAAATACTTAGCCTGAACAGAACACCGTCACTTGCCCCAAGCTAAAGAAAGTTAACGGATTTCAACATCCTTTCTCTTTCTTTGATTTTGATCACTTCATAATTGGACAAATTTGAATATGTTAGGGAAGGAGCTACTTGAGGTTTCTTCTGTATATAACCGCGGCTTCAGCTTACCTTCAACAATCAAGCTTGATACAACCCAGAACTCTGTCTCCCAACAGAATAGTAATCCTTGTCGTATCAACAATCCTATTGTCGTCCTCTTAGCTAGTTTGCAAGAGAGTAATTCTGGATTTTGCCATGATAGATTGCCAATCATATTCAATGATACGAAATGATCGATCCTACGTGATCGCGAGCCTGGCTGCAAATCCTCAGAGAGGTATGTTGTTTGTTTGTTGTCTGCGGTTGGATACGGCTTGGAATTCGTCAAACTGCTTGGATTCGAATATGAATTTGACGAATCCTATACAAGCAATCCCTCATCCGAGAGATGTGATTGCTCGTCCCTCTGAAGCCGTTGTGAAATATGTAAATCCGAGATTCTGATAAACTAGGTTGTTGGCGGCTTGCGAGCGTAACTTCGCAATAACATTCCTCTGACATTCTTCTGAAAATCTTGTTCACGTGGTGACTCCTCATTGGGCATTTAATCCTTGTTACAACACCTCCAAATTTCCATCCCATAATAATCTCGCCACAGTCCCAGATTCTGAAAGTTCAGGTTCCTGGAACCTTCGCAGCAACCTCCCGTTCCACCGAATCTGCACCTCCTTACTCTAGAGATCCTCTCGCTTCGCACCAAATAAAGTGTGGCGCCCTCCCCCACCAAAAAGCTCAAACCTTCTCTCCTAATCCCTAATCCCACAAGTAGCATCGCATCACATCCCTCCACCGCATCGCCATCGAGTCGTGGAAGAATTCCCCCCTCCCTCGGAACACGAGCCGCAACTCACGATCGCGTGCGTGCGGTGCGGCGTGATACATTTCCTTATCACTACTGAGCAACTAATTATTTCCTGCGGGGTCCCATGGGGAAAGCGAGCAAGGTACGAGTAGAAAGCAAGGGACAAGTATCCCCCAAAAAGGGGTGACGGCCCCCTACGTTCCGCACCGCACTCCCAGCACCACCGTCCGGAGAACGCTACCACGTTTATCCATCTCCCGGAGGAAGGGGGGTGAACGACCACGCGACGTAAATAAATTGAAAAAAAAAAACAAGAGTTTTTTCGTTTGAGAAATGACCCGAGCAGGGGAAGGCAGTGGTTCCCACCAACAGGCGTATACCTGGATCTGGGATTCGGCTCGTGGGCCGAGCTGGCCCTGAGGTGAGTGTGATCAGATGACAGATGAACATATATTGAGGGGAAGGGATTGTCTACTAGGTAAGTAGGTGGACAACAAGGAAGATGGAGCTCGCTTAATGGTAAGGGGGCTTGTGTTGTGTTTGTATGTGTGTGTTTGTGTGCGGGAGGTACTCCGGTAGGTGGCATATGCTTGTTTGCAAGATGTAAATTATATTGCAAGGGATGCCGAGAAGCTTTATGGTACCTTGCTAGAGCGGTCCTTGGGGGAAATCACCACAGATCAGGAATTTTGAGTATGTTGGCGATCCCTTCATCTAAACGCTAATTCTTACAAAATGTTCTAGCTGCAACCAACCCCCGTTTTCGGATCATGCTCTCCGCCAACAGCTAATCCTTTTCTTCTCCACTTGAACTCTCAATGGCCGTTGTACTATACCACTCGGAAATGGTAATCTACCATGGAGACTCTAGATTGATGTCCCATCGGCCCGCCATGCCTCATCTAAAGTCCTGCGAGAGTTATATGCGAGCAAGTCCTTGCAGCTCTGGTTCAAAGCAGAGTATATAAAGCCCAGCACCCTCCTCAATATCGGATCCTCCTCCGTCCAGGACAGCAAGCATTCTCTCACTTTGTTCTTCCATCCGACAAAATGAGAACCCCATCCCTCCTGCTCAGCAGCCTCCTCGCTGCAGGAGCAGCACAAGCTCAACTCGGACCCTACGCACAATGCGGAGGACCCAACTGGAGCGGAACAACGACTTGTGTGTCAGGATACTACTGTTATTACCAGAGCCAATGGTACTCTCAATGTCTACCAGGAACAGGAGGAGGAGGTACGACTGCAAAGCCAACCACTACAATGGTGACCAGCACGAAGCCAAGTTCGACCACGACTTCCAAGCCTCCTACTTCAACTGGTGGCGGAAGTGGAAAGTTCAAGTGGTTCGGTATCAACGAGTCTGGTGCTGAATTTGGCCAGGGGGCGTATCCTGGTGTTTGGGGGAAAGATTTCACTTTCCCAGCGAACGGTGCGCTTGATGTATGTTCTCTCCCTCGCTGTCTCATCCTCAATTTCCTACTCAAGGAGTCAAAATTAACACCAACATGTACAGACACTCATCGGCGAAGGCTACAACATCTTCCGCATCGCCTTCTCCATGGAGCGCCTCGCACCATCCGGCATCACAGGTACTCTTGGCCCAGCATACCTCGCCAACTTGACCGCCACGGTGAACCACATCACCAGCAAGGGAGCATATGCCATTCTCGACCCGCACAATTTTGGACGGTTCAACGGCGCCATCATCACGGATGTGAACTCCTTCAAGACCTTCTGGACGAATGTCGCGAACCAGTTCAAGTCGAACTCCAAAGTCGTACGTGCACCACCCAGAGATATCTTCCATTTCCACTTTGGACTCTTACTTTACCCATCTCCCACATTCCACCCCCTTCTTGTTTACCCTTTTGCTGATCACTCGCTGACACACTCACAACAACAGATCTTCGACACCAACAACGAATACCACGACATGGACCAAACCCTCGTCCTCAACCTCAACCAAGGCGCCATCGACGCCATCCGCGCCACGGGCGCCACATCGCAATACATCTTCGTAGAAGGCAACTCCTACTCGGGCGCCTGGACCTGGGCCCAAGTCAACGACAACCTGAAAGCCCTCACCGACCCGCAGAACAAGATCGTCTACGAGATGCACCAGTACCTCGACAGCGACGGGTCCGGCACCAGCGCGAACTGCGTTTCCGGAACGATTGGCGCCGAGAGGATCGCGAGCGCGACGGCTTGGTTGAAGAGTAATGGCAAGATGGGCATTATTGGGGAGTTTGCGGGAGGGGCGAATTCGCAGTGTATGAGTGCTGTTAAGGGTATGGTGGATGTGTTGAAGGCGAATTCGGATGTGTGGACTGGGGGGTTGTGGTGGGGTGGGGGACCTTGGTGGTGAGTTACTTACTCTTATCTTCCTCTATCTCTTTCATTTGGGAATTTCGAAAACTGACTTGCTTTCGTAGGGGCGATTACATCTTTGGCTTTGAGCCACCGAGTAGCACTGGGTACAACTACTATGATTCGACGTTGAGGACTTATGCTCCTGGAGTTTAAGCGTTTGGCTCTTCCGTCTATCTAGTCTAGGGGATGAGTTGAGATGAGACGAGAGGGGATTGAGATGGGATAGCATGCCGTTGGAAGGGGAAGAAGGTCTTCTTGTAGATATTTGAGTTCGGACATCATTTGTATATACCGAGAAAATAACATTCCAACAACTTGTTGAATACTTCTTAACCACATAACTGGCAGCTTTTGAAAATCTACAATTGCCTATCTGATGGTAAGAGTGGTCGCTCTCGTTGGACTTTGTCTCTCGGATAGGGCAAAACTCTCGCCAGTGCTGACTGGGGAGAAATGTTGTCACTCTGAGTCCGATGAACATGTGTTAAGAGACACAGCGTGAAGGGAGAAATGGTATACTCAGATGCGATACTTCTTCTCACTGCGGTGCTAGTATTCATTGAAGCTCACCCGAGGGCAAGAAGAATACAGGTAGGTCATAGGTGACACGATATCACATCTCATCACACAAGCCAGAAGTAAACAAATATGTATGGTGAACGGACTTTCATTTTATTCGTATTTGGATATCAATCAACCCTCGAGATCAGAATCACCGATCAGATCAGATCATTCCACTTAATGTCTTTCCATCCCATCACTCAGCGCGTGTTCGCTGTATCGCAATGTCTCGCGCGCACGCACGCACGTACGCCAGCCGCATGAAATGGACAGGAGCACTTCCTTTTTCCACCAGCTAGCCTCTATGTATGTATGCATGCATGCGCAAAACCAAGTCAAGCCAAGCCAAGCATCGATCTGATTCTATTCTCCTCGCTCGTCTCCTCCTTTCCTATCCCACCCCCATCCCATTCCATCCGCCTGGATGAAGGGGGCGATGAAAGAAGAAACAAACAGAGAATCGGGTATCTATGCCTTGCCTGCCCTTTTGCCGAATTTGGCAGACCCCACACGCAATCTTTCTTTTCCATGATGAGAAAAAAAAATCGATAAAAACCGAAAAGCAGAGATCAATCAGATCAATCATTATCCGAATAACCCATTTCCCAGATCCCCCCTTCCCATATGTCTGTCGCCCTATGAGAAGAGAAGAAGTTCCGAGAAGAAGATTTTTCCATCCATCCATCCACTTTTGTCTATCGCAACGCAGAACGAAGCAAAAAAAAGTGCCAACGCAATTTCGCAAATGATAAAAACGACGAGGAAAAAACAACCACGTGCACGCACGATCTTCTATGTGGAAGCATCAGACCAGACCAGACTAGACAGTCTGCCAAACCTCCGATGAATATTATTGAAAGCAGAATTGATTCCGAAACATGACCGTCATGATGCGTTCTGTGACCCAGGGATTTTCCACGCTCCCCAAGGTGAATAAAACTCAAATGACCGGTACGCCGTATGTGGCGTCTCATGCATCTGCCTGATCGCCTTCTGTCTATTGGGTATCTCGAGACGAAGGGGACAGCCAGGAACAAAAGACAACGCTATCTATTCGTATGCCGTTTGGATGGTCGAAAGCACAATGTAAAGCCAGCTCAATTTGCAAGGGACATGAGCCAGCTTCGATCGTGATTTTGCCGCCACCAGAAAATCGATATCGCAAAGCAGAGAAATCGAGTTGTCGAAAAAATGTGAAAGAAAAGGAACCGAGTGACCCAGGCATCAGTAAAGGACCGATACCTCAAATGACGCCTTTCCCATGTCTATGTATATAAAACAGGGTCGAAGGAAGACGTCGTCAGGGTGGATTTACCACCAAGATTGACCACCACCGCCGCCAGATGGGTTGCCGTAGCTTCCGCCACCGTAACCACCAGCTGGGGGTCCACCACCGTATGCAGGAGCACCGCCATATGCAGCAGCAGGAGGAGGTCCACCGAATCCACCGGCACCGCCGCCATAGGATGGGGCACCACCAGCGAATCCACCGCCGTAGGATGGTCCGCCGCCGCCACCGCCGAACTTTCTGAAATCACGGTTGGCACCGCCTCCACGTCCACGGCCACCACCGGATCGTCCACCTCCGCGTCCACCACCACCGAAGGATCCCTCACGGGCAATGTTCTCGAGGAAAGCTGGGACGTCTTGGTTGGCCTCCTTCAATAGATCAATGAGATCACGGACAACACCTCTGTTGCCACGGTTGAAGAATGCGGTAGAGATACCAGTGTTACCGGCACGACCTGTACGACCGATACGATGGACATAGTCGTCGATATCGGTTGGGAGATCGTAGTTGACGACGTGGGTGACATTGGGAATATCCAAACCACTGTTACATAGTTAGTTCTGTTTACATATGCGGGGCGTGAAGTCAAGTCTCTCGAAACTTGTTCGAGGAAGATTTCAGACATTGGGATAATAAGACTTACCGAGCAGCAACAGCAGTGGCAACCAGGATGGGGCAACGTCCGTTTCTGAACATCTCCAAAGCTCTCTCACGTTCGCGTTGAGTACGATCACCGTGAATAGAAGTGGCTGGGAAGTTTTGGTTGATGAGGAAGTCGGAGAGAGAGTCGGCCATACGCTTGGTCTCAACGAAGATCAAAGTCAGACCGGCACCGTGGGTGTGCAGAATGTCGAGCAGGACTGATCGCTTGTCCATATCCTCAACATATTCGACCTTTTGGGTGATGTTCTCGGATGTGGAACCAACACGTCCAACAGACAAGAAGACGTAATCCTTCAAGAAATCACGGGCAAGCATCTGAATGTCGCGGGGGAAGGTGGCGGAAAACATGAGAGTTTGACGATCCTGAACACCTGGCATATCCTCACCCTCGACAATACGACGGATTTGTGGTTCGAAACCCATGTCCAACATACGATCAGCCTCGTCAAGAACCAAGTACTTGATGTTGCAGAGGGAGATGCGACCACGCTCGATCAAATCGACCAAACGACCTGGAGTAGCGACCAGAAGATCACAACCATTTCGACTGTTAGCAAAGACCAAAGTGAGAAGGGGGAAGAGGAAGGGGAAGGGAAAAGAAAAATTCGGTTGACCCGATTTGCGTACCACCTAAAAGTTGATTGATTAGCTTATGTACATGAGCGAGCTTGTTAACGTGGTCATGATGGAGTGACAAAAAGAAAGAGTTGGCAAGACAGAAAGAAAGAGAATCCGTGGTGTTTCGACGGCGTCCAAAAGTTTCAAAATGACCCCAGCTTTACGAGATTAATGATATTCAGACGGCGTCAGACAGTCCGGAAACGTCCTCAAAAACATCAGCTTCGGTATCAAACGGGGCCGCCGATTTGGACGCTTTCGCCGCCGCCAACGCCAATACTCTGAGCTGTTTGAGGTGTGGTTTGCCGGCTAAATGACTTTCAAGCCTCTTTTGAGAGTCGCAGGGACGCTGACAGTCTTCGCACCAGAACGTTTTGTTCATTCTGGCATTCTGAGCACCACCGCGTCCTTTGTAAACCTTTGGAACGCCAGACGCCTCCTCAACCTTCCGAGCATGGCGATCAGTCTTCATGTGGTTGTCGTAATTGGCCTTTGCGCCGAAGGTTTGATTGCATGGCTCACATCTGTAGTCTGCAGCACCAAGGTGGCTGTTGATGTAATTGACTTGGTTGGTAGCTTTCGAGCCTGGTGCTCTGGAGGCTTCTCGTCTGGCTACAGACGCGGCAGTTCTCTCCGCAGCACATCGGTTGATCTCATCAGGTGTGGCGTCCGGATGATGAATGCCAAGTTGTTCGGTCATGGCGGAATGGCCGCAGAGACCATCATATGTGAAACTCTCGCGGGACCATGGACAGAAATCGGCCATTCCATAAGATTTGTCGCGATTGACCATAGCGGCGAACAGGAAAGCAAAGACAGTCTCGAGAATCAGGAACAGACTGCGCAGATGGAACACATCCGACGCCTTTGGCAATCCTGTCCAGCACAGAAGGCATTTGTGGGTGATCTTGTACCCTTCGAGCATTGACTTCTCGACCCATCGAGGCATGGGATTGTCCGAACCGGTAGTGCCGTTTTGCTCTCTTCTGTCATACTTGTTGAGTCTTGACTTGACCCCCATTTGGACGGAAGTTCCACTGCCGACGTAAACTCTTGGACGACGTCCAGAATCTTCATGCTCCAGTACCAAGAGGTAGATCGCCCATTTCTTCTCGGGAGACAATGACAATGACTTGAAGTAGTTTATCGTCGGTGGAGAAGAAGATTGGAGAGCAGGGAGCAAGCCAGAGGCAAATTGTAGTGGCAAACGCTTCCAGAAAGACTCCATGGCGCCCCTGGCAGGAAAAGCGACTTCATGCTCGATGTTGAACATAGCACGGCTGGTGACAGAGAGGAATGTCCACGCAAGCCACAGAAGCAAGGCGGAAATGTCGTCAAAGCTCGTCAATTTGGCAAGGTATGACGCCTTATTGAAAGGTTCACGAGTCTCCTCAAGTGCCTTTGTGGCGTACGTCTCCTAGCATAGGTGTAAGTACTTGTCAAACCAATGCAAATCGACAGTGCCGATTAGGGTAGAAGAGAGCTTACCTTGTTGACCACGGTCATCAATGACTCCTTGCCTGGAGCAGACTCATGAATAGTGAGTTCCCTGACGGCATTGTTGGGTGTAATGTCGGAGAGAGCTTCTCTACTCGTGGCAGACTGTCTGACAGCGTCTGACGCCTTGAAGTACTTTGTGATGGTATGGGAGGGACGGATGTCGGTCTTCCTCTTCTTGCCAGTCATCTTCGAAGTATGGACGCCGTTCTATCTGTGGAGAAAGACGAGGAGTCACACCTGGACAACGTTAATGCTGTGCACGACGCGGAGAGGACTAGACACTTACCAAGTAGAGTGTCTTGGATACACCGACCAGGAGCGGCAGAACCAGCTCAATTGACGTTGCAGACCAGCCGCAGAAGCTTGAGACAGGTCCTTGCGGAGAGGTTGTTGAGGGATGAAGAGGAATCATCCTCGAATGTCGTAAGGAACATTTTGTAGCACTTGCTACCCCACGGATGGAAAGAACATGTAACACTCGATACTTCATGGAAGGAACGAAACGCTGTACTGCTCAAATGGATGGGAAGGAAGGGGGCACTCACGCTCGATTTGACGGAGTTGGGACCCGATATCAGCACCACCATAAACGACACATGGACGAACCCAGGATCGGTAGGCGAACTTGCGGGACTCGTCGTAGATTTGGGAGACAAGCTCACGAGTAGGCGCGAGGATCAAAGAGGTTGGGTAAGCCTTGCGTTGGCGTCCAAAGTTGGCTCCCGATCCAGCTGGGGCTGGAGAAGGACCGTTGATGAAGGCCTGGGACAAGATGGGGAAGAGGAAACCACCAGTCTTTCCGGAACCAGTCTGGGCACAAGCCATCAAATCACGACCACCCATGACAATTGGGATGGAGTACTTCTGGACTGGTGTTGGGACCTTGTAGTGAGCGAGCTCAATGTTGCGGATCAAGTGGTCATCGAGAGGAGGGTTGGTGAAGCGGAGGACCGGCTCGGGGACGTTGGTTCCGGAAGCCTCGACTGGGATATCGTCGTACTTCTCGAAGTTGATACCAGTCTGCTGCTTGGTTGGATCATCGGCGATACCGAACAGCTCACGCTCCATGCGGAGGTTTACGGGTCCGGCGATATGCTTGCCATCCTTCCACTGTCCATCACCACCACCACGAGCTGGGGCAGAACCGGTGTTGCCACCTCCAGCTCCTGGGTTGCCGTATCCGTTGCGATTGAAAGCCTTTGGCTCAGAGTAGTTGTCCCATCCGCCAGCGGCACGTGGGGGAGGGGGTCCACCGGCACCTGGAGTGAAGTCAGGGGCGTTGGCCCAGTTTCCTGCGGGACGAGGAGCATCACCTGCGTATCCGTTTCTGCTTGGGGTAGTACGTTAGCAGGCCATCAGTGAATACGGGGGAGGTTAGGGTATGGGTATAACTTACGCAGCTGGTCCAGCCCAGGCACTGCCGTTGATTCCACCGTTCATTGGGGGCGGGCCACCGTTGGGAGGTCCGGCAGGAGTTGGGCCACCCATCTTTCCTCGCATGTGAGGAGGGATGTATGAGCGTGGCTCTCCAGCACCCCCAAGGCTGAGGTTGCCCATGTTGAGTTGATCCGCCATATTGGTTGTTGGTCGAGGTGAGGCTGAAGATCGAGGTTGTTGGTATATTAGGTTCGAGTGAACTGGTGAGCGTTGAAATCTGCTGTTCTCGTTAAAGACCGTGGGATCTATAAGAGAGCGTGAGAAGGTCTTTTTGCGTTGTGTTGTTGTGGAGGCGAAACGCCGTCGAAACGATTAGGAGGACGAGAAGGCCGTGAATGATGGATGCTTCTGATCCGAGTGAGTCTATGTCAAATCAAACGCGAAATCGTAACACGCAGAGTAACGTAGAGTGTGTATATCCCCAGAAAGAACGAAGAACTTTCAAAGGAAAAGAGAGGAGTAGTGGTGTTGTTGTTTGCGGGAGAGGGTGAAGTAGTTGTTTGTGGGAGGGTTGGAGAAGGAAGAGGGAGAAGACGGACGAGACGGTCAAGAAGGCAAAATTTTAGTAGGACAAAACCGATAACTCGCTTGGCCTGATGCGACTTAGCGCTGTCCGATTGGGGTGAAGGGCAGACCCCCAACAGAGGCCAAAGCTGAGTATTAGTCAGCATAAGTATTCACCGCCAATTTACACGTGATAGTACTGTATGACGATTGGGGCGGGTTTTGCCCGTCTTCCATTGAGCTGATGTAGGGGCGACAGGCGATGGTTTCTGATGCCGCACCGAGTCAGGTACATTACATACTGTATCTTCTGACATGACATGACTAGGATCTGATACAATGAGAAGTTATACCTCTGTCTTGTAGTAGTAGTACTGAATCATTTCTAGATTATGATTTGCCCATACATTGCCCGCCAGCTCTCACGGCCAACATCCCACGCCAATGCCGCCACTCCATGGCCTGCCTGCAGCTGAGGGCTCTTGAAGGCAGGACGAATGAACAAATCAAGTGGCTTTGATTGGATTCTGCATCTTGAAATCCTGCATAAAGGAATACTTGCAGTATGAGGCGACGAATAGGAAGTACCGAAACTGAAAATTGCTCTGTTGGAGGCAAGTCGACAGGCTGATTTTTGATTGGCCGCTTTGACGGGTGTTTTCTTTTGGTAAGGGGAAGGGGCAGACCCTTTGACATTCTCTTGTTTTCTCGCTTCGAGAAGGTAATGTAGAGAGTCAGGTATTCATATTTGTATATTCAACTTAGATCTCCGAGATATAATATGTAGAATGCTGTATCTCCCATTTCTTGGCCATTCGTGAGCTTATCCCCTGTACCTTTGCTTCTTGGTGTAGGATGCCTACATCAAAATTTACACAGACAGTCTCCAGGCTCCAGCTCATTTCTCCACAAGATATTCTGCTATATATTTTATATTCGAAGAATCACCATCTCAATTGTCTACAGCCCTCAAGTCATCTTATTCTACCTGTCCTTCCGAGCTCCAAGCCTGTAGCCCGAGTTGCTGCTCGACTGTGTTGGACTGTGTTGCCAGAGGTGGATAATTTGAACAACAAACAGATAACGGAAGTCTTTTCTTGAAGGAGTCTCTCTATTCCCCTTTCTCTTTACTTAAATCTCGTTGAAGATAAAAGTAAACATCTTTATCGATGCAAACCAAAGATTTCCCCTCGTTTTTCCTAGATATTCCGGTTTAGATGAAAATAAATACCAAGATTTCATACAACTTAACCCACCTCTCCAAGTAAGATTCCAGTTCAGTTATGATAAAGATGTACACCAAGATTTCCCACCACGAAAGTCACTTCCCTCGAAGCAAATATCCAACCCAGTATAAAATAACCCTCCTAATACCAACCTACTACGCACACGAACCACCTGAACTCCAGAAAACAAACCCCCACCTCAATTCCGGCCCTATTAGCCTGTTCCTAGCTATCATGACCACAAACACCAGGAAGTGAGTCAAGCACTATTTCAACATCTACAAAGAACCGAATTCTACTAGTCAAACTGCTCTATCCAGCCAGCCAATTAACAGCCAGTGCCATTCAAACGAGCCAAAATACAACACGGAAGACATATAATACATGTCATTGAGCCGTCTTAAAGCACTCCATTGCTCATACGTAAAAGAAAGAGTTATAAACGACCATACCATGCTTAAATTGCCAATTGAACATTCATATGTACACGGAAAGCTACTCACGAAGTAAGATGAAACACCCGAAAAGACACGAATCAACAATATATATCTTCACAGGATGCCTGACAGTCTGGTACTACAATTACGATATAGACACATATAGATATACGCAGAAGAATATAACACGTTCAACAACGAAATTAAAGTCGCGAATCCAATTGGTAGAGAACAACACACCACACCACAGCTAGCCTCTCCTTCTTTCTGTACTCTTGACTTGCTACGAAACAGCTCTAGCTCTCTCCACCATACATAAACGCACAACTACCCTCGCTATTATTACGTATAGAGCATGGATATCCCTTCGCCTTGAAATACCACCGGAAAGGCAAGGGGATTAAGTAATCTCCTTTGTTATCCATATCCATAGGCATGTTTACTTCCCCTTCTGCGTCTGTTCCTGCTCCTACTCAGTAGTAAACTTACCCAGACGGCAGAGCAGAACCAGTTTTCTGTCTTGAAGAACGTACATCCATCGACGAGGGCTATCTATCTGCTTTTCAGCGCCGGTGATCAGAGATTAGCTTGGTGTAAAGAGATAGAATCGCCATAAATCTTATTGCTAGGCTTATCGTCACTTGACGAGCTTGTTCCGGTTTGCTGTATCAGATAGGACAGCCGTGAAGAGTTTGACCTTAGGTAAGTCACTCTCTTATTCATAGAGAAAAGAGTGTCTTGAAATCAACCGCGTTCGCCATTCCATTGATGCCATAATATCGCTATAATACAGCCAGCCAGTTGATCATTGCTTGCCTTCCATCCCATCCCAATGATCCCAGCTAGTCATCCATCCACCCTCCGTGCCAATCCACGCAGCCACTCACCCATCCACCTAAGGACAAGCAATCCTCTCCTCATCATTCCACTCCACCTCCCTAATCCCCTCCTTCGTCACAACCTTAACCAGCATGCCCTTAAAATCAATCGGCAGCCTCCTCTTCAACTCATCCGTACACAGCCTCAGCAGCTTCAATCCCTCCTCATACCCAATATCCGGATGATGGTGCTTATCCAGAATACTGAGGCAGTAGTACTGGGCGTAGCCGTGGGCGGCGTAGGGGAGGGGCGCCAGCGACGCTAGGTAGTCGAGCCAGTAGAGGGAGGGGCGCAATGTGATGGGGTCGACGCCGCCGAGGAGCAGGTTGACGTTGTAGGGTTTGCGGGAGCGCAGGGAGGAGGCGAGCTCGCCGCGGACGAAGTTGGCTACTGCTGAGGGGGAGAGGTCGATGCCGTTGCGCATGCTGTAGAGTTGGGCGTTGGCTTGGATGTATTCTGCGAATTGGACTGGTGGGTGTTAGTAAGGTTATGGACGCAGAGGTTGAGGTAGGGACATAGGAGGGGAGCAGGCTTGGGGAGGAGAAGAAGAGACAGGACAGGGCTGAGAGGGAGAAGGCAGATGGCATGAGAGGCTGAAGAGAGCAGGAGACAGCAAAATATCCAGCAGCAGAGTCGCAGCGGATCCAGCTTCTCCAGCTCCAATCCAAACTTCATGTCATGCTCCAAGCCCAGATCCAAACATCCCATCCTTCTCTTTCGATCCAGCTCAACCCAACCCAGCTTAATCCAAACAAAGCAGATTCCAACTCACTAGTATCACCCGCCTCCCCCGAGAAAGCCATCAGCGTATGTTTATTCAACGCGCGCGTCTTATCATCCGATGCCTTCAAGATCGTAGCTCCACGCATCGCAGCCTTCGACGCCGCAACAAGCGTGAAGTCCTTGCCCGTAATGCCCAGTAATACCTCCCTGTTAAGTACGAGTATCAGCAGATATACATTACAGTACGATTGCAGAGCTGTGTAAATGGAGTACGTACATTGTGAATGTTCTTTTTGTGCTTGGTTTGTGAGGAGGTTTATTGGTGTTGGGAGGTTGATGTGGTGGAGAGATAGAGCTGTATTGGGGTCGAGGTCGTTGCTTGCTGGACCTCTCTACGCGTGGAGCTTGCTGCCTCTGGTGGTTGTGAAGCTTGGAGCTAGCGGCCGCATGTGAGCCAGGAACAAGCAGAACCAGTCAAGAATATTATTGATTTGGTTATTACTGGGCTTGAAAAAGGAATCTGAAATCTATTTAAAAGAAGATCCAAGTGCAATACAATATTTATTACTGTCTAATTCAATCTTACTCGTAGTGCTGAAGTTCAAGTCCATGCTGTTCCTCAATCCCGCCCTAACCCCAATCCATCCCCTCACCGCCGGCAGAATATAATTTTCCAATGGCAGCGACAATCTTTCTTGGGTGCAGCCTCAGAAAAAAGTTCCCCAAGTCCCCTCCAGAGCTTCACAACACTCCGCCCTCACCCTCACCACCGCCACAATGTCCTCCTTCTTCACACTCCCCTCCGCTAAAAAGCGGAAACGAATCGATACCTCAACATCCAATTCTGCCCCAAAGAAACGAATCGCATCCACATCCACCGCCTCGAAATCCAAGCCCTCGAAACCGGCCCCAAGAAAACCCCAGCGCGATGAAAGTATATCTGGCAGCGACGACGAGAGTGACGGCGGTATGGCAAGAGAAGATGATATGGACTTGGATCTAGCAGATGGGAGCAGCAGTGAGGAAGAAGGAGGTTCAGACGCCGAAGAAACTGCAGCAGAGCGCCGTCTCCGCCTGGCAGAACGCTACCTCTCAAACATCCGCAATGAAGTTGAAGCTTCCGCCACGAATGCAGACCCTTCCGCCTTTGACGCCGAAGAAATAGACCGCGACCTCATCGCCGAGCGTCTGATTGAAGATGTAGCTGAGTCAAAAGGACGCCTGTATAGGAATCTTGCTGGAGAACTAGATTTTGAGAATGCAACACATAGCTGGTTTAGGTGGAATAGCGAGACGGTTACGAGTATTGCTACTTGTTCGCCGTGGGCATATACAGTCACGAAAGATCTAGGTTTAAGCAAATGGCGGATCCAAGACCTCCCCTCTCAACAATGGCTCCCCAAAAAAGGAAAGCGGAAATCCAAAAAACCACCTCCCCCACCCAAACGCAAACCAGAACAAACCCTCTTTGTCCGCGGCGACAGACGAGAAAGCAAGAATAACTCATACCAAGGGCACGTCGACACGATCCTCACCGTTACCGCCTCCCAAGACGGCAAATTCGTCGTCACAGGGGGAAAAGACAGGCGCATCGTAGTCTGGGATGCTGCAACTCTAAAATGCCTCCGCGTCTTCTCCCAACATCGTGACTCTGTGTACGGGCTCGCTTTCAGAAGGGGTACAAACCAGCTGTACTCCGCTTCCAAAGACAGAACCATCAAGATCTGGAGTTTAGACGAACTCGCATACGTCGAAACGCTGTTCGGCCACCAGGACGAAGTCGTCGACGTCTCAGCCCTCGCGCAGGAACGCTGCATTTCAGTCGGAGCTAGAGACCGCACAGCGCGCTTATGGAAAGTAGTCGAAGAGACACAGCTCGTCTTTCGCGGCGGTGGCGCCGAGAAGAAATCCCGCTCAAAATCCTCCTCCTCATCTAGCAACCCATCCCGCCCCTCCGCCCAAGAAGGCAGCATCGACCGCGTCGCCATGATCGACGAGGAGATGTTCGTCACCGGCTCCGACAACGGCTCGCTCTCCCTGTGGGTCGTCCACAAGAAGAAACCGCTCTTCGTCCTGCCCTTCTGTCATGGCGTCGATCCTGCTCTTCAGCTAGAAGACGTCTCGGCTGAGAAGAAACCGGATCAGAAGGCCAGGCCGCAGGCTACGCCGAGGTGGATCACGGCGCTGGCTACGATCCCGTATTCGGATGTTATTCTGAGTGGGAGTTGGGATGGGGAGGTTAGGGCGTGGAGGGTGAGTGAGGATCGGAAGAGGATTGAGGCGTTGGGGACGTTGGGGAGTGAGGGGATTGTTCCACCCACTACTCAATCCACCTCAGAACTTCAAAATGGCGACACATCTCCTAATATCAATGGCGATGTAGCCACAGAATCTGACGCAGTATCACCCACAGCCCCTGTCAGAGGCGTCATCAACGACATCTCACTCTTCGAGAGAGGAGACAGAGGCAAAGACGGGGTATGTGTCGTTGTGGCTGTAGGAAAGGAACATCGGATGGGAAGATGGAAGAAAGTGGATGGAGGGAAGAACGGGGGTGTTGTGTTTGAGATACCACGGATTGGCGGGGAGGTTGAGAAGACGAATGGTGTTGTTGAGGTGGATGAGTAAGCTTGTTATGAGCAGTCGTCGATGATTGAAGTCCATGATGAAGCCTGAAAAAAGAATGAAGATGAAGCTGAAGCTGGATATGAAGAAGGAAACGCATTGTATGGAGTTATTCCCTTAGCATGGCATAGCATGCTTGGCATTGTTGGTGTTGGTCTTGGTCTCGACGATATTTCGTCACCTACCTGTACTTACTTGTTGTCACGACTCAGTATCAAGTGGCGCAACAAAACCGTGGCATACTATCTTTCCACTCAGAGAGCTACCTTTATCCACGCTCTACTGCAAAAAATATACAGAATCTCCTCCAGAATTTTGATCTCAGTCTCTTGTATCCCCATACTCGTCTTTGTTACTTGTTTCTTTTCAGACCAGCTCGCCATCACACAGCGGGCTGCCCACCTGGCCCGGACAAGATTGCATACTCGTAGATCATGTACCTATACTCACACTTTAATCCTTTCGGCTCTCCCGCTTGGCTGTATGTATCTACCTATTCGGAGTAGCTGCAAGCTTTAGAGACTTTCCCGCGAGTCATCAAAAGAGAAAGTAAACAAAGCATTTCTCTTCAACACAGTCACATAAACTTATCCACTTGCTATCTTGGATGGTATGCAGATGGCTGAGTGCTGAATTGACTTGGTGGTATGTAATTTATGTTATTCAGCTGCTCAAATGACAATAAAGCGCAAAGGGAAAATCAATGTCACAGCGTGACGGTTGACTAGGGAGGACACTGGAGGAAGGATTCGGTAGGAAATAGACTCCGTAATTTTCTTCTTTTGAAGAATGTGAAAGACATATGGTCCTTTGCTCGGATGGATCTGTCTGTATCATGAGATAGCGAAGATGGGGCAATACACCTGGATTCGTAATGAGAAAGAGAGAAATATGGCCCGTATTAAGCTTGACATGAGAAAATTGGAGATATATGGGGATCGGGTAGCTAGTAGGAAAGGGTGTACGAAGGGGGCCGCCATTTTGCATTTGGCAATACTCTTGCTATGAGTCATAAACCATGTAAAAGGGAGAGCACAGATATGTGTGTACTGGTATATTATTGTATCATGATCTGCCCTTCAGGACGTCTTCCCCTCCTGGAAGACCCTACATCTTAGCCGCTGTTTAGTTCTTCACAATAAAAGTACATATTCCTGAGCTGAAGTACTTCTTCAACCAACATCTCGTCGATATACGGTGGGTCTGGATATCCTATTTTCAGGAATCGACCTTCCGCGCATGGCATGGCATTGGCCAGCTTGAAGCCAGCACACATCAAGACAACATCTCGAAGTCCTCGGCGCTGGTCTCTGGCAGCGGCCCTTTCCTTATCCTCTGTACACCTGTGAGCTATCACCTCTTCACAGGCACCTTGCCCTTCCCCTTCCCACCACCCTCCCTCCTCCTCTCCCAAACCTGCAAATAACTCTCCCCAAGATACAACAGCTCCTTCTGCGTCTTCTCCACAAACAAATCCTGCACCACAACCCACTCCTCCCTCCCCCGGTCCCTAATCTGGCACTTCCAAGCCCTCTTCTCCTGCTCGCCCTCCACAGCATCCTCCCTTCCTCTGACAGCCTCATGCACGATGTTCGCCACGAGGTCATACCAGATCGGTTCACCAGGGGGATGTAGTGCGGGATTAGGCTCCACATATGGCGACATATCGAGATTCCTGGCGTCGAATGTGACGATTGTGGGGTTGCGCTCCTCCACAAATTTGTTCTTGCTGAAGCGCTTGATGTGGAAGAGTAGAAATGGTGGGAGAGGGTGAAGCAGTCTGTATCGTTTCCGCTGGTTGAGATGTTCCTGGGCGTTTAACCCGTCGTATTTGCTCAGGATATTGGTGAGTGGTATCTGCGGGATGATGTTACGCTCCAGCTCGTCTTGGAAGAGAGGTGCAGTGGGAAGGTCGAGGGTTAAGAACATGAATCTGTTCACGTCCGTTTGTACGGATGCTGCTTCTTCGAAGCGGAGACGGTCGCCTGCGTCGGCTTTTGCGGTGATGGCTTGAGATTCGACTTTCAGCTTTCCTTGGAAGACGCGCTGGATCATGCTGCTTCCGGGTTTGGTCTTGCTTCCTCCCAAGGCGAGATGTAGGTTGTTGAGGAACCAGGAGAGGAAGTCGACGGGGTCGGATTGGTTGGTTAGGTTGAATCGTTTGCTTGATTTGAGGGAGATTTCTTGGAGGAGTTCGTGGGGCGAGACGTGGGACTTGAAGGCTCGAGGATTCCAGATCTTGCGGATGAGGATGGACAGGCGTTTTACCAGTTCTGGCGACGAAGTGAAATCTTCTAACATGAAATAATTCCGGAGAGGAGGGACATGCGATAGTGCCTGTACTACGACATTGAAGTAGTCGTTCTCCTTGATGTTGTTCATCCCCACGAACCCCGGCGCATATTCCTTTCCTCCCAGTGCCCAAGCCGTTGTTGCCTCTCTATCCAACGCCATCACTTCCTCCTTGGTATACCGTGGATCGGACACGAACTTGATATCGTCCAGACTCTTGTTCTTGACCTCGTAGCCTTCAGGCAACACATATACCTTCTGCGTCTGCATGTTGATGTAAACATGGTGGCCCACCTCGAGCGCATGGAAGTAGGCGTGTGACTTGGGACCTCGACCTTGATAGTATTTTCCGCAGACCAAACAGGCGTAAACATTGATGTTGGACAGCGACACAGAGCAGAGTTTCTCAAAGTCGAAGTCCAATACGCCCCTCTTGATCGTATCCAGGTACAGATCATCAAATCCCTCTAATGGCGCATCTTGTCGCAAAGGAGCCCTTGTTCTATCCTCATCTTCTTCTTCGTCATCCTCTTCGTCTGGCGTTGCTGGCGCATCAGTCCGACTTGTCTGCGCTTCCTTCAGGCTGTGTAGTTCCATTCTCTGCTGGAGGGGAAGCTCGGAGCCATTGTGTAGATCGTGGAAGTTATCGACGCGGGATTTCTTGAAGGAAGGGGAATCGGTGCCGGCGATGTCTTCGAGGGCTTCCGCAGCTTGTCGTTTCGCCATTGTGGGTGAAAGGGGCGGTGGGGTGTCGTGGTGTTGTTGACAGTGTCTCGAGGTTGACGAGTCGTGATTTTTTTGTCGCGAAGCTGGACCAAAGCAAACATGGCAAACATTTGAGGCAGGTCTTGGCGCTTGACCTCTGTCCCGTTTCTCTTCCACCCCACACCAAAACAAGCGAGACAAAACAACGACATGTCAATAACAGTGTGTGATGTTCCGTAGAGTACTTGTACCCGCTCTCACATGGACACATCTTTGCAGTGCCCAGCTCCGTGTTTCTTAAAAAGTTGACTTTATCATGCCGTGAAAATTAAGTTAGGCTATTTTCTCTCACTCATGACACAGGCTCCTGTCGCCTCGATACGCTACCACAAACAGACCCATACAAAACAACTGGCTGAAGACCATGGCAGGATGTGAATCCAAGTTGACCGGCCTCGAATTTGTTGCAAATATCCTCCAGCCACTCGAGCTAGTCGTATGGGGGGATCTCGCGGTACGGTATCTCGGCGTCCCCGTTGTCCATGAGGCACGTATTGAATACCCCAGCTACCTGTCTCTGGACTCTTCTGATGCGTGGTTCTATGTAGTGCTATATGCTGGGTATACGCGATGGCGTGATGGAGACGGCAGCGGCGGCACTGGCAGAAGCAGGCTTCATCCGCCAGCGCTGGTCTTATGGTTCAACAATTGACCCCGCCACCCGCAAAGACGACGAGATGTTGCAGCGTGTACATGCAAGAATCGGACTTGCCTTTGCGAATTTTGATGCGAAGACGATTCGCTTCCATTACCCCAATGATGACAAGCTGGTCCAGCGAACTATTCTCATACCCAGTAGCTACCTCCACTTGGCTGTCTGTGACCAGCCATCTACCCCGGATTCTGCACCTACCCAAGCCCTGCGATTACAGCCGTCATTCTACGTCGACGGTAACCTGTACTACCCCAACGTAGTCGAATTGCTTCGGAGCTTTATTGAGGTTTACTTGGATGAAAGAAAATACACGGCTATCCCAAACTGGCAAGCGAAATTGTTAAGCTGGGCTTTCGGATATCTATACGGTGAGCTACTGTTAAGGGACGATATTCTGGATGACTGCGAGAGTGAAATGGTAAAACAATTTTTTTGACGAGGAGATCAAGAGAGGGTCTGGGAGATCGAGAGTCAGGGAAAAATGGGGCAAACCCAAGGCTCCCATTACCAACGACCTCATCAAGGACTTTCAAATAGACGAAGCATTATCGACAGAACAGGCCATATAGACTCTGACTATATTTCTATAAGTGGAACCAAGTCTCAGTTTTCGATGAAATATCCACTATGGTTACGATTTTTTTCTGAATGCAGAAAAAATATGAGTATGAAACCAAGCCGCAAACATTGTTGTTGGACTTTTAAATCAACTTTACATGAAAATTGCCCTTAATGAACTGCTGAGTGGAAAACGTGTCAACCTAAGAGGTCTATAGAGTCTGCCAAGCGCAACGTCGTGTAGTGCATTAGATAGGGACGACAACAATATATATTTTCTTGGTGCTACATTGACACACGATATTCTCTTGCATGGATATTGCATGGATACTTAATAATGAGACCTATACGATAACAGCGAATACGTGGAGTCATCTGGCATCAATATTCCAGCTTCTGATAGCCCTTGCACAGAATCAACGTAACCCCACAGGCACTCCTCGAGCTTGCCAGCAAATTTCATGTTCGCCAGAACCTATCAGCTTGACTATCGACTTTCAAATACTCGTTTGTATACTTCTAGTGCTAGTTCATAGAAGTTCCCGCATATCTCATTGGCGCCAGTGCCAATCCAAGACCATCCATATCTCTTAGAATCGCGTTTGTGAAAGTTGCATCGAAAGTCTCTCGGTAGCTAGTTCTTATAACCACAGAGTAGCAAGTGGCACCCAAGGATATACAACATTGCTTACAGCTTCGGATTGGATTTATGCTGCTGGCTAGCCACTGCGGTCAAACGTAAATACTGAGGAAGTAGCTGACAGATAGCTAGGGCCAACTCGATTATTCATGGCAGCTACATATTGCCTCAGGATATAATATTGTGAGCAAGAACAGGGGCTAGATAACGAGACCTCGTACCAGCTTGAGAGCGGTAGGTCGACTTGTGAAATGGCTGTGCCCTTCTGATCGTCCAAGATATCAATTTTTTGGAGACGCCGACTTCGAAAACATCGATCTATCTGTTCTATCTAGAAAAAGGTGATCCCGAAGCAAAGAGAAACAGTAGTCTATAGGTTGATAACTTTCATAGCCTTGCAATGACCTCACCCAACATAGCAGTCGCGCGCTGAATTTGAACTTCCATATCCTCATACCAGATCCAGTGGAACCGCGACAAGGCATCGTCACGGAGTTTATTCAGATCACGGCCATACGGGCCCTGAAAGTTGTACATCTCCCCAGCTTGCCGACTCGTCTTCACAACTTTCTGAGACCGCGGTCTACGGATGGCATCGTATGCTTTGAAGGCCATTGGAATGTCGGCTGCTGTTTTGGTGTTGACATCTGCGAGGACTTCGGCAAGAATAAGTGCATCTTCGACGGCTTGGCCTGCTCCGGAACCTTGATGTGGAAGTGTGGCGTGAGCAGAGTCGCCGAGGAGAGCAACGTTTGCCTTGTAGAATGTGGGAAGGGGTAATGTATCGAAGAGTGCCCACTTGTCTGGGTGGTGGTCTTTGATCATCTGTAAAATTTATCATGTCAGATTGACGCTGCTGCGCAGAAGCCTATGAAACCTACAGATATAACATTCTGAACTTCATCACACCATCCAACAAAGTCCCTCTTCATGTCATCATACTTTGCATCTTTGATGACCCACCCTTCATGGTTCCATGCCTCACCTTTGTTCACCGAAGCAATAACATTGACGGTCTTGCCATGATCAATCGGATAACAGAGAACATGACCCCCTGGAGCAAGAAACATCTGAGCGTTGACGGCGAAGCCCTCTCCAAGAGCTTCCTTGGCCTTCTCCATGGGAATGATAGCTCTGTAGGCAACCGTACCAGAAAACGACAGATCCTCCTCGGCGCTCTTCCTTGCCAAAAGTACTTGGCGGACAGAGCTTCGAATGCCATCACATCCCACAACAGCATCTGATCTTGCAGTCGACCCATCAGCGAATGTGATTTCGATTTGGCCACTTTCAAGATTCTTCATACTAAAGAATCGTTTGTTGAAGTTTGCGATTCCCTCTGGCACGAGCTTCACCAGCTCCTCCATGAATCTCGCCCGATGGACGCTACTAAGTCCAGTCAAATCTGAATCGAATGTTTGAATCTTGGCGATCATGTCCGTATTATCGCCCCCATAACGGAAGTTGATCCAAGTCCGTCCAATACCTTCTGTTTCTTCTTCGGCGGCATGGGTGGCGAGTCTATCGAATGCTTCGCGGATCGCTGGATCGACCAATTTCATGGCGCGAGCACTGTTAGGCCCAAATGCAACTCCTTGACCGATTTCGCCAAATTCAGGGGCTTGTTCATAGACTTGGACGGGGATGCCTCGACGGATGAGTCCTAGAGCTAGACAAAGTCCGCCAATACCGCCGCCGATAATGGCGATGGAGAATGGTTTGCTTTGAGGGGGCATTTGGCGTAGAGACATGGTTGTGAAAACTCTGCTTGCCAGAGGTTTCGGCAAAACATGTGTTTTTCTGAAGAAACAATAGGGAAGAATTGTCTGGACTTGAGATGGCTGAGGGTTCGGTTTCGTAGGTCGAAGTAATATCTGCCTCAGTGTTTAGTAATTGATAATCGACTTCCTGCACAAGACAAACCCAAGTCTATTTTGAGAAGTAGAATGGCCAATAAATTTCAGCTTGCGAAAATTTCATATAAAAATAGCCCCAGTTCAATTATTGAAGCTGAGATTTCTGGAAACCGTCCACGCGTCTTGGAGCACAAATATCAGAAGCAACGGTTGCTTCAGCTCCTCTCTCCAAAAACAAATCATGTGCTACTCATGTCGGAAGTTCTAGAAAATACTTCGTGCAACCTGCATTGTCGTACCCCATGTCGTACCTGGATATTGCTGAATATTGATCAACCGCGCATTATGAGTCCGTGGTCCTGGAAAGGTACTTTTGTAACCTTGAAATGAATCCACTTTGGCGTGGACAGTAGCACAGATCCGTTCCAACGTACTCGGTGCCAGTGGCAGTCAGCTGCTCGCCGTTGGAAGTCAGACTCAGAACTTCCACTTTTGTCACACATGGCTGTGCCAAGCGTCCTCAGCCCTATATCGACCTCATACAGGTACAACGGTTGAGTTCGAGGCGTATCCTGAATCACCTGACTATCTGTTGTCCTTCGGAATTCGTGACACAGAAGCCATGATGATTGATAACGTTTGTAGCTTACCGCTCTTTTATAGAGATATCTACTCTACACAGTATATGGTTGACTCTTCACCGTGGCGTTGAAAAGTCGGAGTAATCCGGTAAAGAGGACGACGTGAGGATTGATGTCCACTTTCAGTTTCACAAACCATACGGTTTAGTGCCGGATGCTATTTTTGAGCATATCGACAGTTACACTCCAGCTTCATACTGGAGTCAAAAACTTCAGCTTCAAGCCTCAAAGTGACCTCCGAGCACGGGAGGCTGCTCAGAAATGACGGTCAATGAGACTGCGGTATTGGCGTCGGATTAGTTTTCAGCTCTCAAAACTTGAGGATCCAAAGACTGTAAGAGAATATGCGCCTCGGAAAGTAGATCGGCCGATACCCTCGTAGGGTAAGAATAAATTTTCTGAGCAGGAAGTAGAATGCAATTAGAATAGAAATATGAGAGAGGCGTGCCCCAATCTCATGAGATCCAAAATCTTCAAAGGCATCATAGTTGACGGAAGGCTAAGTCGACTCAATCAAGATTGAGGACCTTTACCCAGAGTTGTGACTCAAGCTATCTCATCTCTTGAATCATCCCCATCATAGCATTTCGTCACCACCACACCTCACCACGCTATGGCTCCGTACATGGGCTGGCCGCCTTCATCAGGGGTCCTGACGCCGAACACCGAGCCTACCACTCCACGAGCTGAGCATGCAGAGCCCATACACAACAATTATACCTCGGAGGACATAGCAGTCGTGGGTATGGCCTGCCATTTGGCAGGAAACAACAATAGTCCTGAAGATCTCTGGAAATACATCCTCGAGCAAAAAGTTGCATCGGGTGAGATCCCTCCACTTCGGTGGGAGGCATATTCCAGACGAGACCCAAGGAATGCCAAGGTATGTAAGACTGTTCCAACTGGATATGAGGCATGTAGCTGATCATGGGATAGATTCTCAAGGATACAACATCCAAAGGATACTTCCTCCAGAACATTGAAGACTTCGATTGCAGCTTTTTCGGTATCTCACCAAAGGAAGCGCTTTTGATGGACCCACAGCAGCGAATCTCCCTCGAAGTAGCATGGGAAGCTCTTGAGGATGCAGGCATCCCGCCTCAAAGTTTAGCAGGGTCCAACACAGCCTGTTTCATGGGCATCAACAGTGACGACTACGCCAAGCTCCTGTTGGAAGATCTTCCAGGTGTTGAAGCCTGGATGGGAATCGGCACGGCGTATTGCGGGGTTCCGAATCGAATATCATACTTGTTGGATCTGAGAGGTCCTTCGACGGCTGTTGATGCTGCTTGTGCTTCTTCTCTTGTGGCTATACACCATGGAAGGCAGTCCCTACTAGCTGGCGAGACTGACCTCGCTATCGTTGGTGGAGTCAATGCCATGTGTGGCCCAGGACTTACACGAGTCCTCGACAAAGCCGGTGCTATCTCCAAAGATGGTACATGCAGATCTTTTGATCATGAAGCCAATGGGTACGGACGAGGTGAAGGTGCTGCTATTGTCATCTTGAAGAGACTAAACGATGCTCTCCGAGACAGCGACAACGTCTTAGCAGTCCTCAAAGGGTCTGCCGTCGGGCAAGATGGCCGCACAAATGGGATCATGGCGCCAAATGGCGTGGCCCAAGAAGCTGTGGCTCGTACTGCTCTCGGAAAGATCAATCCCCTCGGTATCCAATATGTCGAAGCTCACGCCACATCAACATCTGTTGGTGACCCGGTCGAGATCACAGCCATGTCAAACTTGTATGGCAAGAATAGATCAACGGAAGCTCCTTGCTACATTGGCAGCGTAAAGCCCAACGTTGGCCATTTAGAAGCTGGTGCTGGTGGTGTCGGCTTCATCAAAGCCGTTCTCGCCCTCCGACATGGTGTTATCCCCCCTCAAGCAAATTTGAAAAGTCTCAACCATAAGATCGACTGGGCAAATGCTGGTATCAAGGTCCCTCAGGAGATCATCGCATGGCCATCAGTTGAAGGGACAAAGAGAGCCGCCATCTGCTCGTACGGCTACGGAGGGACTGTCTCCCATGCCGTCATCGAGCAAGCTCCACCTGTCATGCGAATGAAGTCCGCATACAGACAACATGACGAACCAACCATCCTCCTTCTGAGCTCGACACACGAGAAGCGAATTCCGAAATATGCCAGCGCTCTCCAAGTATGGATGACCGGAAATGGTGCAGACATCTCTTCCGCTTCAATTGGAGCCACCCTAGCGGCACGTCGTGGCCACCACGACTTCAGAACTGCAATCATAAGTCAAACTCGCCAAGATACCACTGAGCTTCTGAGCTCATATGCTGCCGGTACCAAAAGCAATCAACTCATTACAAGTCGAGTCATGGATAAAGATGACACACGAGTAGTCTGGATGTTCTCGGGCCATGGCGCACAATGGGCAGACATGGGTAAAGAGCTCCTTGCGAACGAACCTGTCTTCCGCAGCGTCATCGAAGATCTCGGACCAAGAATCCAGTCAGAGGCAGGTTTCTGCCCCATTCAAGCTCTGAGCACAGGCGATATCGCGAGCACCGACAAGGTTCAAGTCTTGACTTATGCCGTGCAAGTTGCTCTTGCTTCCTTCCTGGAGTCTAAGGGTGCAAAGCCAGATGCGATCATCGGTCATTCAGTTGGCGAGATTGCTGCAGCCGTAGTGGCAGAAGCCCTTACTCCCGATGAAGGCGCGACTATAGTGTGTAGAAGAGCCATGCTTTACCGACAGGTCATGGGACAGGGAGCAATGTGTCTTGTCAATCTGCCAATTTGCCAAACCTCGCAGATACTCGAGGGTCGACTTGATATCTGGCCTGCGATCGACTCTTCTCCAAACTCGTGTGTCATAGCTGGATCGGTGGCAGCTGTCAAGGATTTCTCGGTAATTTGCGAAAAGGAGAAGATCAAGATCTTTCAGGTCAACTCTGATGTTGCATTCCATACTCCACTGCTCAATCTACTGGCTGAGCCTCTCCTGGACGCGTTGAGAGATATTACCCCCAAGGCGCCATCCATTCCTCTGTACTCGACAGCCACTAAAGATCCACGAGAGCAGGCTCCGAGAGACGGTTGTTATTGGCTTCAAAACACACTCTCTCCCGTATTGTTGAAGTCTGCTGTCCGAGCTGCAGTGGATGACGGCTACCGAATCTTCATGGAAGTCTCAAGCCACCCCGTCATCTCGCACTCAATCAACGAGACAGTCATGGACATGAACATCGAAGAGTATCTCGTGACACCAACTCTCCTTCGCGGCAAACCAGCTCGACTTTGCCTAGCAAAAGCTCTTGCGGCACTCTGGAGCAAAGGTGTGTCCATTGATTGGAAAGCCTACTTCAGCGGAGTCGAGTGGGCGAAAGACGTCCCCAAAACACAGTGGCAACATACATCATACTGGAAAAAAGTCGACGCTGGAACGGGATCATCTAGCCAAGTTCATGATGTTGATAGTCACAGCCTCGTCGGTCAATGCATTCCTGTGGCGGGAGAATCCAAAACCATCTTCACGACGAAACTTGATGAAGAGACAAAGCCATTTCCTGGAAAGCATCCTTTACACGGCACTGAGATCGTTCCCGCAGCTGTGCTGTTCAACACCTTTTTGGCTGCCACCGGATCTCGAACGCTGAGTAATATCCACCTGAGAGTACCTGTTGCAATCAGTGCTCGAAGGGATGTGGAAATAATTGTTGATGGAGATTCTGCTCGCATTATGTCCAGACTCATCCCAAATAGCACCGAGAAGGTGGATAGCGATGTCGGCTCGTCTTGGCTGACACACACCACTGCAAACACAAAGTCTGATGGAGCCATAGAAGGCGGATACCTCGACATCTCAGACATTGAGTCTCGAATCAAAGCAGAACTCAGGCCTTCATTCACAATTGACTACCTCCTCAATGTTGGCGTCCCAGAGATGGGCTTTCCCTGGAAAGTAACTCGACACCTCGGAAACACAGAAGAAATGCTTGCTCGAGTCGACGTCTGCCCAAGCATCAAAGATGAGGATGCCTTTCTATGGAACTCGAGCTCATGGGCCCCAGTCTTCGATGCAGCAACCTCGATTGGCTCAACTATCTTCTTCGAGACACCTCGTCTTCGCATGCCAGCTCAAGTCGATGAAGTGACCGTCTTCCAAGATGCTACACCTCCCAAAATTGCGTTCATCTATGTCCAGAGATCGAAGACCGACCTCGCATCGGATGTCATAGTTTCAGCTGAAGACGGTCGCATTCTGGCTAAGTTCACGACAATGAGATTTGCCGAGATTGAGGGCACGGTAGGAAGTGGTGGCAGATTCGACGAACTCATCCACAGTGTCGCTTGGGTTCCTGCTCGGTTGGCCGAAACAGCCCTCCCTCTAAACCGAGTCGTAATTGTTAGGCCAGAAGAAGACCACCTCGTGAAGAAGTATATGCGTCAACTCTCCAAGCGAAAAACTGCAGCAGTTTGTACCACCGTTGAAAAGCTTGAAGCCCAACTGTCCGACGTTGAGTCTAGCGGCACTGTCGTTGTCTACGTCCCTGGATCCACGGGTGAAATTCAGAACATCCAAAAGACTGCCGAGAAGTCTTGTTTCGAGCTCCTCTCCATAGTCAAGCTTATCGCAGGCAAAAACCTCCCAGTCAAGATCTTCACCATCACATCAGGGGCTCTCCGCGGTGAAACAACAGCAGCGCTCTCCTTTTCTCCTCTCATAGGACTAAGCCGCATCATCGCATCCGAACAGCCAGACATCTGGGGCGCATTGATCGACGCCGATTCCCCCACCTTTCCCTTCCAAGCAGTACGATACATTTCCAGCGCAGACGTGATTCGCATTGAAGACTCTGTTGCAAAGGTAGCCAGACTTCGACCACTTGCAAAGACGATAGCTCGTGCCTCTCAAGGATTTACCCCCAGGCCAGAAGGCACGTATCTCATCTCCGGTGGGCTTGGATCTCTTGGTCTGGAAGTCGCCACACATTTGGCTGAGCAGGGAGCTCGACGAATTGTCCTGCTGTCTAGACGTTCTCTGCCTCCTCGGAAAGACTGGGATACTTTGACTGGGACACTGGGCGATGTAGTCTTGAAGATCAAAGCCCTAGAAGAAGTGGGAGCAAGTGTCCACGTTCTAGCAATCGACATCAGTTCCCCAGCCGCCAACTCCGAACTCGCTGCAAAACTCGACGTGCTAAACCTCCCACCAGTTCGAGGCGTCGTCCACGCGGCCGGTATCGTCGAAGACCAACTCGTGCTCTCCACTACTGAGAAATCATTCTCTCGAGTTCTCGCTCCAAAGATCGATGGTGCGCTCGCACTGCACACACTCTTCCCACCCAAGACCTCCGGACTTGATTTCTTCATCCTATTCTCCTCCTGCGGTCAGCTCTTCGGGTTCCCAGGACAAGCATCCTACGCCTCTGGTAATGCGTTCCTAGATTCTCTCGCTGAGCATCGTCGTCTTCAGGGCGACAATGCGGTTGCATTCCAGTGGACTAGTTGGAAGGGCGTGGGTGGGATGGGCGATAATGAGTTTGTCGAGGCCGAGGTCGAGAGCCGTGGCTTCACGAGTGTGAGTCGGGAAGAAGCGTTTGCTGCTTGGGACGAGGTTGCAAAGAGGGACGTAAGTCAGGCGGTGGTGCTGAGGAGTCGGGTTCTGGAAGCACATGAGCCACTGCCGTGCGTGATTCTGGAGGATATTGCCATCAGAAAGACATCTGCGAATACATCACTTGCGCAGAACTCGACTGCCGAGGCAGATAATTCCATGGCTGCGGGGGCATCATCCGTTCCCAAAGGTCCGGAACGGATTCTATTTCTCACGGAGAAGATTTCTGGATGTGTTGCTGCGGTTCTGCAACTTGCAAGTGCTGAAGATGTGGATCCAAAGGCTGCACTGGCAGATCTGGGAATGGATTCTGTGATGACAGTTGCTTTTAGGAAGATCCTCCAGCAAGAGTTGAAGGTCAAGGTTCCACCGACTCTGGTATGGGGACATCCCACTGTTAGTCATTTGGTGAAATGGTTTGATGGACAGATTGCATGAAATGATCCTGGTGGGCCGTTAGATTTTTCTATTTGATGAAGATTGTTACTTATCTTTCTGTAGCTTCTTGTTGTCTCGAGTCAGCATGTCGGGCGTCTGTTTGGGTTTATAGAATTGCTAGGTTAGAACGAAATCACTTCAAAATGTCCAAATCTGTGCAGTTGAGGTGCTCCATTTATATCGTCGAGCATCTACACCATGATCATATCCTGATCTGACTCAGCGAGCCCACTACTGACCTCAGGCTCAGGTTCCAGCAACATCAATCCATCCATTTCCCTCTGGGTATACTCCATCAAATAAGCCTCATCCCACATATCCTCACTGCGTTTCCGATTCTTCTCCGTATACGCCTTCAGCGCATTGTGTACCTCTCTCAAAGTCTGCTGTCCTTTCACGGCCCGAATCTGCAAGTTTGCCAGTCGTGCCACGGGATAGCTTCTGACTAGCGTGAATAGAATTCGTTGTGCAACAGCAGCTGTTCTAGCGTTCGTGTTCCAATCCCGAATGCGTAGAAGCAGAGTGAATATCTGCTCATCGGACAGAGACGCGATGACTTCATCGACGCCCTTGACACCACAGAGACTTCCTTCCTCGTGTACTCCAGTCACCACGGATGTGAAAAGAGAAAGTAACCGAGCGGGGTGGTTGAGCTGCAGGGAGAGTGTGATGGCTTTTCGGTATGACTTCGCATGGATGTAGTTCTGCAGCTCTTGTTCCTGCTCTACGAACTGTGTCGCAGCAGCATTTGAGGCAGCCTGGGTCGAAGATGTGGTGTCCTTCCAGAACGTTACCGTCGAATCTCCACTTCCTGAGACGATCATGTTGGAAACAGGATGGACTGTCAAGGCCCACACTCGATCCTCGTGATTATCTAGCGTGCAAGAAGTCTCGCCAGTACTTGCGTCCCATACCATACATAATCCATCACCACCAGCACTCGCAAACTGAACATGTTTCTTACCTCTGTCTTCTGGATTTGGAAGACCCAGCCAGGCGACTTTGAGTACACTATTAGTGTGACCTTCGAAAGTTCGGACACAACTGTAATCCGCTAGGCTCCATATCTTGATGGTTTTGTCTCCACTTCCTGTGAGAACCAGTCCTTTCCCAGCTGCTGGTCCGCTCTCGCCGATAATAGACGGAGTATCTTTCGGCGCAAACTTGACAGACCAAACACCACGCTTGTGCCCACGAAGTATTCCCTGCACTTCTCCTTCTTCCACAGACCAGATTTTGACATTCTTATCTTGAGATGCTGAGGCAAAAAGTTGAGTTGTGTGGTTGATGTCAAGGGCATTGATGTCCTTGTCGTGGGCCAGACGCGTGTAAGCAGCTCGTGGAGCTTTGCGCGTGGACGACTGAATATCCCAGCGTTTGACTGTGCGATCCTGAGATCCAGTCAGAAGGAATTGTGGTGGGTGATCAAGAGGTGATTTGAACGCTGGCGATGATTCGGATGGTGTTTGTTTCGGGAGGGCGATTGCTCCTAGAGATTCCGCATGCCCCGTAAACGTAGTATGGCATGTGAAAGACGAGGTCTCAGGATCAATTCTCCATAACCGTGCAGTATTGTCCTTCGCGCCCGTAGCAATCCAATGTCCCGACCAGTCGATGTCCAAGCAAATAATGATGTCTTCATGGCCATGAAGCTGAGCCACATCTGCACCAAAGTAGTCCGAATCCGCACCAGTACCCAAAGAAACAATCCGTATTTCCTCGGAGTTCGGTGCAAGCGCGAGCAATGATCTGTCTGGGAGGAGATATCCCAAATCAATAATCTCGTCGTGAGTGCCCGATATCCGCTTGACTTTGTCCAGAGGTGGAATTGTATGTGCTGCCTCTTGAAGAGAGGTTGTTGAGTGTAGAACGAGAGTGTGGTCCGACTGCACAGTCAGAATTCTATCCTTGAAAACTGTCGCGGCAACAATCGCATCAGTTTCTGTCTGTGGAGATTGCGCTGCTGTAACCTCTCGCCCAGTAATCGTTTCCCAGACTCGGATATTGCCATTGATACCTCCAGTATATGCCATCTTTCCTGCCTCGACGAATCCAGCTGCTTCAACCTCCTCCAGTACTGGTACAACCTTTCGCACCTTCCACGTCTTGGCATCCCACCACATAATTGTTTTGTCTCTACTGGCGGAAAGGAGGGCATTTTGTTCGGACGAGTAATCGAGGGACGTAACATCGGACACATGCGAATCGAGAACCGCAGCAGAGGTCCGCTTGTACAAATCCCAGATTCGAACCTTTCCATCTTGACTTCCGGATGCCAAACGATAACCTCTCGCTACATCGGTTTCTGGCTCCTCGCTCTTCCTTCGTTTTCGATTTCTGCCAGAAATCCCAGTCTCCTCTTCCTGTCTGTTTGCGACTAACTGGAAGAAATGGAGGGCTGAGATCAAAACATTGGGTCCGCGGAATGTATGTGTCACGTAGCCTCCGTGTATATCCCAGACTTTCACTACTCCATCTGCAGCACCAGTTGCGAGGTACAAGCCGGATTGATCAACTGCTAGAACGACGACAGGTGTGGTATGAGGCTTGAGAGTTCGTAGGACTTCGAATTGGATCGTACCGTCCTCGGAAGCTGTGAGAGCGTATATCCGCATAGACAACGATCGAGAGCATATGATGAGATGCGATGCGGAGGGGGTTACTGCTGAGTGTCAGTGCTGATGGAGACTGGTGGGGTAATTCGAGAAGTACATGTCAATGTTGAGATAAGTTCACCATCCTAGGTCTGCTTTAGTAATGCCACGGATCACACAGGATGAAACATACTCCCTCAATCTTCGCCAATTGTTTTCCGGTCTTCAAATCCGTCAATAAAGCATCTTCTCCAAGTGTTGTCGCAAGAATGCGCCCATCTTGATCAAGGGCAACGCTGCCGCCGGTATAGATTGGCTGAATTGTATGTTCTGGCTCGAAAGTCGTCTGATATGGGGCTTTATTGGCCATGGTCGAGAAACCGCTGCGAGCTCGGATTGTATCGAATGCAGCTTCAGAAATACAGCTTGTTGATTTATCTTGGTGTTTTTGGCAGAAATCTTTTCTGGTTGACAGGGGTCTGGAGATAAGCTTAATCTTAGCGCCCCGCTAGCGCCGCATCTCTTGAGACTCCGCAAGTCTGGCAACTTAGGAACTTCATCTATCCAGACGTTGCAACGAACCAGTTTATCGTCAATAATATTCTGTTTTCTATTCAGGGTTAAACATACCAGGGCGATCAGTGCCGACCCTCGAAGGCTGTACCATCCAGGTTCTACAACATACGAAGCGAGGATGTCTACTCCTTAAGCAACCACACGTTAAGTCAACAAACAGGCGCGATGGGTCGACAGGAATACTTAACGGCTATGGCTTTGGTAGGTAGATCTATATTTCTCCAGAATTTAGTCCTCCAGCTATTCTTTTATTTTTTTCAATAAGCTACAAAGGACATAATATCCACTTTTCCATCGATGCCTCCATCATCGTCATCATCACGTGAAGCCTGTACTCACGGATCCATCTAGGGCCGTGGCCATTACGAAGACGAGATCATCGAAACTGCTGTAGAAGGCAGTACTAGTACACAGCAGTACAATGATCGTGGTCATCCCCGGAACCCAGAGACGAAGAGACGAGAACGGGAGCATGTACGAGCAGCAAACGAAGTAATGCAGGTCACGGGTGTGGTGGAAGATTCGTTGGCCGCCAGGCAGAAGATAATGCAGCTCATGAACGACAAGAATCAAGAAACGTTCACTGGATTGAGATTTATGGAAATCGGTCGGGGTGTCTTGGTTGGTGGGGTCTGGGGAGTGATGGGTTTGAGGAGGCGAGTCCTGGTATGGCACTATTCTACTCCAAATGGAAGCACAAAACTGATAATTGGCAGCTCTACAAACCTTACGCAGAGACAAGATTTCTGGATATTCTTCGACAGGAGAGATCCTTTTACGGGATCCCGCACATGTTCTTGTCCGGAGTTCCAACCGTGATCGCCTACCACATTTCTGACTGGGTGGCATTCTTCGTGGAAACCCTCATCGACCAGTATTACGATGGAGATGAGAATCCTCCCACAGAACGACAAGATTTCGTTCGAAATATTCTTCATAACTTGTGAGTCCCTTGTCTTTGAGTGTTGTGCATTTTGTTGATATCTGAAGTCGCGACGCAACATTCTGCTATCTTACGCTACACTTCCGCCTCTTCGCCATCCTTCAGCAGCTGAACCTTCTGCCAGCCTGGCCTTGGTTTCCGAGTCTCAAATCGTTTATTCCATTCTCATCCTCATCGCCACTCACCATGCCACCACTCCCTTCTTTGACTACCCCATCCATTCTAAGCTGGGGAAGGGCATTGGCTACTACGCTGGCACCGATGCTTGTGATCTTACTCCACGGGAAGATCAAGTATGCCGCATCCAGCATCATCTACCGTCCCATATATAAAGCTCTTCCTCGACCAATAGGCGACAGCATGTTCGCCGGTTTAAACATGTCAGCACCAACGATGGAATACGACACACCAGATCGACCAGACGAGAGGCAAGGCAATCGCTCCGACGAACCAACCCTTCGAGCTTTGGAAGGAATGCCAGCGATGACTAGTGTCCATGGGGATGACTCTGACGATGAGGAAGAGCCAGCTCACGCTACTTTAATCAGCTTCGATGTCGAGGCAACAGAACCCGTTGAAAATGCCACAGGGACTTGGTCCGCTGAGCTGCGGAGTGCAAATGAGCCAAAGCCAACAGAAGAAGTGAAGTACAGAGTTACAGGTCTGACCATGCTGCCACCCATCATGGCCACGGAAGGGTTACGGGAAATCGTAGCTGGAATAATCGTCATGCCACTCGAAGCAGTCATGGTGCGCATTATTGGCCGGGCGTACAGAGCCAGTGCTGGACTTCCCATGGTCGATTTATATCCAGTTGGATTCACTGTCCGTGGATTCCAAAACATTTTGTCAGCTTTGACGATTCAATTAGTTGTTACGGGCATTGCCTGGGCTGGCTTCACGATTGGAACGCAGTGGTGGGGTGGGAGGAAGAGGGCGATGATGGCTGAGAAGGCTGCTGCTGAGAGTGCTGAGACCGCGGCCGTTGATTGAGGGTGGTCGTCAGGCGTCGTGGTTCGATCTGCCTAGAGGAGACTTGCCTATGATAATATAATCCGACTTTACGAAAAGCTTAATGGCTTCCGGTTCCATCGAAGGTGTTCCTCATCCCCTTTTCCTGCTGCATCTGGTATTTAAGCAAACTGTAATCACAGTATGTGAAAGCACCGAGAGCAGAGCTGGGGAGCCTTAAATGATGAAGGAAATGACATAGTAGTGTCTGCTAGTTCGAGTCGAGTTTCTTCTTTGGTTCCATGTCATAGCATATCACAAAACTACTGACTACACCACAAAGATCCCAGCTACAACATTGAGAGGAGCAAACAACATGACTCGCAATCCGCACATCTTGCTGCGTAGTCGAACCTTTCTCGGACCGAAGCCAGTCCCGCCGCTAGCAGAAGCTTGACCATTCCCAGAGCCGCAACCACTGGCTCATAACCTGTTGTAATCAGGATGCTTTATTTACTCTACTCTATCAAGGAAGCTCTCTATATGCACGTAAGTCCTTTATTCCTCCTTAATAGAGCGCTATGCCTGACCAGCTTTTATTAAAGAGCTTCGAATTATGGAGCCTCTTTGAGCTATTCAAAGACCTCTAAAAATAGTGAGTTGTAAAGATCCCTTTGTCCAAGAATGCGATTCAGTACTATATGGCAATTTTGATGCAGCGAGTTCGTTTCGGTGACAAGCAAGCTGTATTCATGTCTCTAGTTGGCGGCGGCTCTCTCCTCATAGGCACCATTCCCGCCATCTTCTACATGGAGAAATTCGGTCGTCGATTCTGGGTATGTGCCATGCTTCCAGCCTTCTTCGTTGGTCTCCTCATCATCGGATGTAGTTACCTTATCCCAGTCTCCAACATACCCGCCGCGCAGGGCACTTACATTGCTGGCCTGATCATCTACGAAGGCTTCTTTGGCCCGTACCCATGCCTGACCTGGCTATCGGTTCATAAGACGTTTAAGACCGTGCAGAACACTGAAGTCAACGTTTTAAGGGAACATTTATACAACGCACAATATTTCAAGATATTATTAGTCTTTGCAATTCTTTGAAAAACGGCTCTTTATTATCCTCTGACCTTTTTATTGATTATTTTATTAGGCTGTTGCGGCTAGAAATACCATTTTCTCCTGATTTAGGTGTCGTGCCTCAAACGGCCACTTAAAAGTCGGATCGATAGCCTGGGTCATTCCCTCGGAAGTGTATCCCACCTATCTCCGCTCCTACGGCATGGAAACCTCAGACGTAACACTCTTTCTGTGTTCTTTCCTCGTCACCTATTTCTTCGCACAAATGCAAGAAGCCATGTCGCGCATCGGTCTCACCCTCGGTTTTTACGGCGGTATTGCTGTCCTAGGCTGTATGTATCAACTTCTATTTATGCCCGAAACCAAGAACAAGACACTGGAGGAAATTGATATCCTTTTCAGTCAACCGACTGGACAGTTGGTCAGGGAAAATTTCAGGAGTGTGGTTGTCACGGGCAAGGACTTCTCGTGTGGAAGGTGGGGGAAGGTTTTGTCGCCCGTCAGCGAGAGCGACATCTTGAGGAAAGAGAATGGGCATAAGAGTCAATGGATCCACAAACTCAGCACCAGGAGTTGATGCAGCCGGACAAGCAGAGGTAGGCGGAGATATTTAGTACCCAGTTTAAGGAGGAGAAGCTAGGTTTAATGAATTTGTATTGTGTGTGCCAGATACATAATTTCGAATGAGCCGATTCCTGAGGATGCTTGTGTTTTGGTTTTAGTGCATGCAATTCGAGATTTGATACCCAGGTATGCTATCATATGCCACTGCTAGTTGTGCTATTTTCATGTGCCGATTCTCTGATTGTTCTCGCGAAAGAGCTCAGTAGACTTTTACCCCATGCCGTGTGTCCTAGACCTTAGCTCGCTTAGCTTGTCGACGGCCAAGTCGTGGGAAACAATTGTTGTTTCTCCCAGCTGCCAGTTAGCAAATGTAGCCAGCCGTCATCTCCCCCACCACCAATTTTGCGCCATGCCATTATCAAAGCGCCAACCCTCCCGTCCATCTCAATCAGCGCAAGTCTCACAACATCAGCACCGCACTTGAAAAGGCATGGGATTGTTCAGTGCGCATCCTTCCATGAGAGTCAGATGCTCGATGTTTCCCATTCAAGGCCAGACCCAATACTGTAAAACTTGATGGATGAACTACTGCATTCCCACATGTGAGGACGTGGTTGTCGATCGTCCCTCATATCTGAACAATAATCCCTGGAAACTCCCCGAGCAAAGAAAATCCATGCACAGAAATTCACTCCACTGTTTGCTTCGGTGATGCATTTCACGAGCTCGAACATTCTCTCTGTCGCTACCATTGCATTCTATTCGCCTGCAGCAGTCTTGACCTTCTTCCTCTGTCTGCGCCATGGCTTCAGTCCAAATACCGGCTTCATATTTCTCTTTTTGCTCTCTTCGATTCGGATCTCTGGCGCAGCATTGAATCTTGCTTCAAGTCATGCCTCGTCCATTCAAGCTGCCAACTTGAACACGTCTGCTCTGGTCCTATCTTTCACCGGCATTGCTCCACTTATCCTCGCAGCTTTGGGATTGGTTTCCACAGTCCGCCTCGGAATGGTAAAGATCTATCCTACGACAATCAAATCGATTCATCTCTTTCCCCTTCGCGTCTTGGTTGTGGTAGCACTTGTCCTTTGCGACGAGGGAGCGATTGAATACGGCGCGAGCGTTGGCGCAAGTAGTCCAGAGACTTCTAGGATCCCAATAACATCTCGGATCGGCACAATAGTTTTCCTAGTCGTATCCATCGCAACTGCAATTGTCACAGCCGTGCTGTTCAGATTTCGCTGTCTTTTCGACGACTCAGGTCAATACATCTTATATGCAGTGGCTGTTTCGTTACCATTCATCGCCGTGAGGGTTCTGTTTGGGTTCCTGGGAGCGTGGACTCCGAATCCCGATTTTTCGTTCTTGGGAGGAAGTGTGCTGCTCCAGGGTTGTGTGTCGATTTGGCCGGAGATGATTGTAGTAATCATATATTCCGGAATTGGAATCATATCGCCTCGTCGCCCCAAGTTACCTGACCAGCCAAACGAGTCAGAGCAGAGGAAACCAGACCTTCGGAGAACGAAAATTGTACTTGTTAAGCCATGGAAAGTAGTGGACGTTGAGAAAACTCCCACCGTCATAACAGATGAGCTGGACGGGGACCAGGAACAGAGGGAGGGCAGTTCAGAGGGGAATTTAGATTATGCTAGTATTCAAGCAAGGTTGGGTGAGGATTTGCAGGATAGGACTCAGGAGACTTTCGTGCCTCGAGCCACGGCGATAGGTGAGAGGTACTTGGGAATTGTGACAAAAGACTATTTGCCGCCGTTGACGATGATTGATTCGGCAATTGTGTTGAATAAAGTTTTAACAAGTTAGAATCTACGACGGATAGGCTTCCAATCATAATCACCGAGAGATGTTAAGATCAGTGCAGTGGAGTGGTTTCAAGGACAGCTAGGAAGCTTGAGTGATCAACCATATCGGCGAGCAGTGTAGTGGAAGTCAAGCAGGAATTAAGAATTTAACATTTTGATATATGAACAGTAAAGCTCGATCGATAACTCTAATGCGCTCTCTGTGGTGCTAACTGCAGGATGTCAAGACGCAGTTCATCATACTATTCCCAGACATACCATTTTTAGAGTTTCTTTCTGGATAAGTTCTTCTGAGAGCCAACAATGGAAGGACGCATTTACCAGAGTCATCAAGCAAGCGGTTGCCTTCGTACTTGGCTTTCTCTGCTGCTGTCCCTTCTTCATGTCCTTCTCCACTTGGCGCTGTCAAGGCCTTGTCAAGCATGCTGACTTCGCACGAAAATGATAACCAAAAACTTATTCCAAATAAGTTGTCGTAGCCATCTTTTTGATAGGGATTGAAGCAAGCCTGAACGGACAAGAGCTATGAGGTCATGTGCTGACAAGTAGTTGTCAGACTGACGAGGCTCATGGTATGCGTAATGCGCCAATTCATTTCGGAAGTTAACTACAGGAAATGTTGGAATACTGCATTTAGTCCCGCATTGGGCCTGGTGAGCTGGGTGTTGATGTGCCAGCCAGATGGCCCCGGTGCATCCAGAGATAAGGTGAACGATTCACATGGATTGTACGGCCAGAGCGGTCTGTACATCAGCTAACTTAATCCTCAGACACAGTACAATGACGAGATCTCCCGGCAACTGCTGCAAACCATCAATGTATCCAAGTTGAAGGGGTTAGATTCGGAAGATGCGGTTTGCGACAGACTTGTTGTGGCGCCGAACTGTCAACTAGTGGCGACGAGCTCTTTGGCTGCTCCAAAATGGATCAATAACGAGATATAGAATCATAAGCATGATCAACATGTGTGGGAGTACAAGACGAGACGTGCTGGGGGTCGAGGCAATCACTGGCCCAACTTCATGTGGGGATCCTGCATTCGAAATCTTCTGTTTTGAACCTGTGGGATGCGGTGTGGTGAAATACACATAATCCAGACTCTGATGGATATGAGGGGGGAGGGGGTTTCCGCCGATCCACGGGGATTAAGCGATTGTCGGCCTCAAAATTAGTGCATTCCAATGCACTCCGCCAAGTAGCCCAATGTTAGGACTTATTTTCTTCGCATATGGCCGATGTCCTCGATTGAGCGTGATGCAGCATTATACAATATGGTGGACGTTGCCGAGTACTAGACCTCGAAATTACGATCTGATTGTGGCTTACGCCAGGACATGATTCCCAGGAAGTGGTTGGGTGCCTCAAGCTTCAGTGCATTCAATGCGCATGACGTATCGTACTGGAGGAAGATCTGGATGCAGCCGTATCCATTGCTCACTGGTGAGGCCGACAACATGGAGTACTCGGCGAAGCAAGTTACAGGGGGCCCAGTTTGGCGTGAGTCATTTCTGTAAAGCAAAGCCTCCTGCAAGCGTCGCGAAAGGATTACAGACAAGCCGTGTATGCTTTAGATCTCGTTACAAAGCAGACTGCCAGAAAACAGCGAGGTAGTGATAAATAAGCCAGCCCCCGATACTCTCTTCCCCTTGCTGCTCATAAGTCGTGATCATCTGCAATATCATCAGGATGGCTTCCAATTCCCAAAACACATCGGAAAGCAAGCCTGGTCCAGACACAGATTCTCGAATCAACCCTTCGGCTGTTGCTAACAGTCCATGCACTACTAGCTCGAGAGTAGTAGTTGTCGGCATATATGGACTTCCGGGGTCTGGTAAGACGTTTTTGCTGAACTTGTTGAGCTATGAGCTTCGCAGAGAGCTTTTCGAGTTCTATGATGGATCCGAGATGATTGCCAAGATCTCCCCTGGCGGTCTTGAAGGATTCCAGAGACTAGAGGAGGGCGAGAAAGTACAATGGCGCCAGCTTGCCATTGATACAATTCGGGAAGAGTGTGCAAATAGTGGACGAGTTGCCGTTGTCACTGGACATTTCATGTTCTGGCCAGAGGAGGAAGCTGGAACGCCAATATATACCCAAAATGACCTTGAAACCTTTACGCACATTCTTTACTTGGATACTCCTGTCCAGGTTGTCTTGCAACGTCGTCAAGGTGACATGACGAGACATCGCCCTTCTATGTCCTTGAGCCATCTATCGAAGTGGCAGGAGGAAGAAAAGACACAGCTGCGCAATCTCTGCCGCAATCATGGAATTCTATTCTCGCTTGTCTCACAGCAGGCGACACTACTAGACAAGGTCTTGATGCTGCTACGTGATTTCCAGTCTCATACAGAGGACTACAACTTGTCTCTTGCCGAAAGCTTTCTGGATGAGTCCGTAGTGGCTGGACAAACCGAGCTGAGGACAGTATTGGTACTGGACGCCGACAAGACCTTGGCTGCAATGGATACCGGCATGTTGTTTTGGCAGAAGGTGCACGCTTCTCAGCAAGGAGAGAGGGACGGCCCTTTGAAGGCGTTGTTCAGTAGCTCGCTGGGTTACTCTTACACGGCCTTTCGCCAGGCAACTTTGATGTATGAAGAGATAGCTGATGACGAGAGATTTGATTCCATCTGCCATGAGGTGGCATCGATGGTGACCATGTATCCCGAATTTGCGATCCTATTGAAATTGGTGATGAAAGAGAGGCATGTTGGTGCAGTGATTATTAGCTGTGGATTGCGTCGGGTTTGGGAGAAGGTGTTGGAGAGAGAAGGGCTCTCCCAATCGGTCAAGGTCATCGGCGGAGGACGTATCGCAGATGGCTTTGTCGTTACAGCTGGATTGAAGGCGGCGTTAGTGGCTCGTTTGCAGAATCACCACCAGATGTATGTTTGGGCGTTCGGGGACAGCCTGCTCGACTTGGAGATGCTGAGCACGGCAGACCAGGCTATTGTTGTCGTGGGCGACGAGAAGACCAGAAGCAGAACGATGGACTTGGGGTTGTTCAACGTAATCCGAGATGGTCGTCTCCAAGCACGCCAGGCTGTGCTGCCTAGCGATTCGATGCCTCGTCTAAACACCAGCATGCTTCCCTTGATTTCTATAGTGGATCCGGATTTTGTCGATTCTATCTTTCGCCTCCATACTCGACAAGCTGGCATCAAAGTGCATCACGCAACGGATCGGAACAGTACGAAGCTCCTGATGACGCCGATGCGAGATGCAAATGTTAGTGGTCCAGCCTTGAGGGAAACTCATCGCCGTGTCGGAAATTATCTAGCCACCGTCTTTTTGACTTGCGTGGTTGGTATCGAGGAGATTCCGATATCTCACGTACAGGGTTATCATACAAGCGGCTATCGACTGCTAAACGAGCAAAAGACATCGATTGTAGCGCTCATGCGCGGCGGAGAACCGATGGCTCTCGGGGTTAACGAGATCTTCCCGTTGGCTATGTTTGTTCATGCAAGCTGTCCAGAAGACATCAAGCCCCACCATCTGCAAGGACAATCTACTGTTGTGTTAGTGGACTCGGTGGTGAATAATGGCACAACCGTGGTACAGTTCGAGCAACATGTACGCAGATTGAATCCCACTATTCGCGTCGTGATCATTGCCGGTGTTGTCCAGGCGCAGTCCGTCTCTGAGGGTAGCCCTATCTGTCGGCTTGCTCGCAGCCAGAAACTTGATATCATCGCCCTTCGCCTCTCCGATAACAAGTTTACTGGTAGGGGCACCACCGATACTGGCAATCGTCTCTTCAACACAACGCATATGCCATGAGAATATAAAAGATCTGTAAGTACTGAATATTATGAGACAGAGCTTTTGGCTGATAACGGTGCCAGTCGAGAGCTGGCGCGGTGAGGGCAAGGGTGTCAGAACTCAGAACCAGCTATGATGCTCCAGAGATGCTAGGAAATGAAAGTCTTTTGAGAATGATTAGTCTTGTTTACACGTAATAGCAAAGAATATACGGAGCCTTACAATGTCATTCCTCCGGCATCCTATTCCACTTGTATACATGCAGTTCTTCGTTGCCCCAATTGCCGACGTGTGATCATGAATGCCTATGGCAGGAGTGGCCAAACTCGTCGCAGACGATAACTGATTCGCCTGAAATTCACCGGATCAATTTGGTGACGTCGAGCGACCTCCTCAAGCTTGTGGTCCTTGCTGGGATTCACCACCTCACGCACCTGACTATAATGAGGAGTGTTGCAAAGAATAGCGACCGTTCGGTAGAAACTCCAACGTGACGTATACTTTGCTAACATGTACGCGTATACCAGGACATGACGAGAGGCCACGAAGCGGGGTAGCTGTCGCACAGGGAAGCCATCACACCGAGCTCGATTGATGGAGAAGAACACGTCCGACGTCTCACTGAGCTTTCGCAAAGGCGTGTTTGCTGCCCGACGCTCTCGCAATTCCTCCCGAAGTCGGTCTTTGTACCAGGACTGTGGGGACTGTAGCGATAGCCCTAGCATTTTATGCCATCGTCTCAGAAGCACGTCGCCTAGATGGCGCATTATCGTACAGCGAGTTTGCAATTTCTGACAGGCCAGAGGTTCTTTTCTTTGGATCGTCAAAATAAAATTAAGGCAGCTCCGTGGGCAACAGATATGTAGTACAAAAGCTTACATGATATATGAGTCAGCACGAACAGCGAATACAACAGGAGCGTGACTGCTTTCGTGGGGGCGATTGCTCTGGTAGGGGCGATTGCTTTGGTAAAAGTAATTGCTTTAGTAAAGGCGAACAACTTTGGCAAAGGCAGATGAGTTACATAGGTGCTGACAGGTTCTGATAAGGGCGGACTGTTTTAGTAAGGGTAAAAGACTTTAGTAAGGACAGAGAGTTAAGTAGTAGTAAAGGGTTTAGTAGTAGCAGAGGGCTTTAGGGGTAGTAGAGCTTTCGTAGTGACAGAGCTTTAGTAGTGACAAAGCATTAGTGGTAGCAGAGAATTTCGGTGGGGGCAGAGCTTTAGTGAGAACAGAGGATTTTGGTAGTGACAGTATTGTTCACTCAACCTTGCTTACTTCTTCCTTCTTCCATATCTCTTGAGCTTCTCAATATCCCCGTGCCTTTGGGAACTCCTCGAGGTCTGTACGACTCTTCTAGCCCTTCTACCCAATTGCACTAGCCAGCCCCTTCGTATTCAGTTTGTTGTCAGACGCCACCCTTGCACTACTTCGACTCTTCAGAGCCTTGTCGTTCGCGATAAAGTATTTTCAAATTAATCGATCCCGATTTCCTCTTGCGCCGTTGAGCCAGAAAGGGTTGAGGTTTGGGTTATATTTGTTTCTAACTACGCTAGCTTGCGACGAGTGTTTTTATCTCTCTCTAATAGTCTTGAAATACAGAAGGACTATACTAATAATACAGAGGGTAAGAGCCTGAAGGTGTCAGGGGTACAGAAGGTAGAGTACTAAGACAGAAGGAGATAATACAGGGTAAGTGGAGTGTGTACCAAAGGGTAAGTAAAGTGTGTATCAGAGGGTAGGCGTAGTGTGTACCAAAGGGTAGGTAGAGTGTGTGCCAAAGGGTAGGTAAAGTGTGTACCAAGGGGTAGGTGTAGTGTGAGTCGCAGGGTAGGTAGAGTGTGTACCATAGGGTAGGTGTAGTGTGAGTCGCAGGGTAGGTAGAGTGCGTACCATAGGGTAGGTAGAGTGTGTACCAAAGGGTAGGTAGAGTGTGAGTCGCAGGGTCGGTAGAGTGTGTACTATAGGGTAGATAGAGTGTGTATCACAGGGTAGGTGAAGTGTGAGTTACTTAGGGTAGGTGAAGTGTGTGCCGTAGGGTAGGTGTCGTGTGTGCCGTAGGGTAGGTGTAGTGTGTGTTATAGGGTAGGTGTAGTGTGTGCTGTAGGGTAGGTATAGCGTGTGTTATGAGCTACCTACGTGCTAGGATCGAGGTTGCAGCGATTCCTCGAGCCTGAGTTAGGGTGCTAGCGATATACCCGTCTAACCACTTAGCCCTAGAGTGCCCTAATAGGCCCTGTAGGGCCTTATAGGTCTTCGCTGTTTCGGCTTCCATTAGGCCTCCTGCCGAGAAGATCAGGGGGTGAAATACAGGGCCTAAGTCGCTGTATTTAAGCCGTTTAGCGTTTGCTGCCTCTGATAGCGTAGCATAGGCTTCTTCGCGTGCTGAATCCTTGTTGATTGCTACTATTTGAACGTCGTAATAGTGCCTAGAAGTACCTATAAGCACTGAAAAATCCGGTCGTTGGCTGTTTTCTAGGGCTATAGGCGTTCTAGCTGGCGTAGGCTCCGATTCCACTTTAAGGTCTTCCCGGCTAGAAAGGGTAGTAATAAATGCACGGGTAACCTGGTTATGGCGTATAATCCAGCGTCGTTCAGCACCTCTACAGGTGTCTTCGTGGCCTATTTGAGGGTAGGCTCCACAGGCGGTACAGGGCGAAATAGGGGGCTTTACAGGGAGTAAGAGCCTAGTCCGTAGTGCTTCGGTAACTGTAGAATCCGCTAAAAGGTGGTGTTTTTGCGTGGGCAGGGTTCTAAGCCAGTATCGTCCGAGGTAGCTAGCGTTCTCAAGCTTCGATTTTAGCGCTTGTTTTGATAGGGTAGGTAGAATCTTCTCTTCTAGGTCTTGGTTAACGCTAGAGAAGACCTCTTGGGCTGTCGGTACAGGGCGTCCAGGGGGTTCCGGGTAGAGATTAGGGCATATAGCCACTAGAATCGATCGAGAGGCTTCCTTAGCTGCCCTATAGAGCCCTGGGGCTAATAAGGCGTGTATAGGGAGCCCTAAGCCTCCCTCTCTCACTGGAAGAGAGAGTAAAGCCTGGCGAATTAGGGTAGTCTTCTCCCCTGGCTCCCTAGCGATTAGGGCTTGTACAGCGTACTTGATTCGTAGGTCCGCTAACCTCCAGAGGTCTAGTAGGTCTTCCGAGTACAATTGGCGCTGTAAGTGTCGTAGGAGTAGGTGTATACTACCCCGTAGGAGTAGGGTAGCGTGTTGTTTAGGGAGGTCTCGTAGGGTATATAGCGCTGTAGCGAGAGTGTCGATTTTCCCCTGGAGGAACGTTCGGCGGTGTGCTACAGGGCCTATAAAGGTCCCTAAGGCCTTAAGTCCAGTGGTTTGTAACTGGGAGATAGGGCTTTCGGTGCTCTTTTGGCGGTTAAGAGCTACTGGAGAGTCCCTGAAGGCTTCTATAACTACAGGGAGTAGTGCTGTAGTTTCAGGGCTAAGGATATAGATATCGTCCAAATAAGCTATAATTGTAGCCTTCGGTAGGGTCTTTTGGAGGTGCTCTAGCAGGGGGCGGATCGCTAGAGAGAATAAGAGGGGGGCAATAGGGTCTCCTTGGCGTACTCCTTCAGCGCTTGCTAGCGTGTGGCCTTCGTTTGTTACTAGCACTGAAGGCTGGTTATAGGCCCATTTAGCGGTCCGATAGAGAGTAGGGGCGTATTTAGCGACTGCAGCTGCTATTGAGGTTCGTCCGATTCGGTTATAAGCGTTGATAAGGTCTAAGGAGGCGATTTGCTGAGTTTTTAGGGTATTTGGGCCGGTAATAGCGTCGTCAAGGAGGAAGATTATAGGCTCTACACCACCTGGGGTGCTAACGCCTAATTAGCAGGGTAGAAGCATAGACGGCTTGAAGGAGCTGATAAGGATCGCTTTTAGGGCTACCTTATAAATAAGGTCCCCTATAGCGATCGGTCGCACACCTCCGTCAGGCTTCTGAAGGCCTATAAGTCGGGAAGCACATAGGAGGTCGACCCCTGGAGCTGTACCCTGTCGAATCATATTCGCTAAGTGTGTAAGCGCTATAGTTACAGGGGAGTTTTCCGAATTTAGCGCTATATCAAGTAGCGGGCGGGTCCAGCCGCTGAGGCCAGGGGCTTTCTCTCTATTAATCGATCGAATAGCCTGTCGTATCGTTTCAGGGGTGATATTTTGCCCCGGGGAGGGGTTAGCGTTACTGAAGGGGTTATTATGCCCTATAGGGTGCTTCGAGTATAGCGTATTTAGCGTCTCTGGAGTGCTAGGAGCTAGAGGCGTAGGGTCGATTAGGGCTCTAGAGGCACGCCCTATATAGCCTTTTTCCAGAAGCTTAGTCGCTCTTTTGGCGGGGGAGTCGTTTGAGGGGGTAGGGGGTTCAGGGGGAGGTCCCTGAGTTTCAGGGATATCCGGTATAGTCGTAGGGTAGGCTTTCAGCGTTTTAGCGAGCTCTTCCTTCTGTAATCCTAGGCCGAGAACCCTGGGAAGCAGTAAAAAGTCCAGTAATTGCTTCTCTCTAGGCTGCCGTAAGAACGCTAAAGCCGCTCGATTAGCGGCCTCTGTAAATAGCGCTGCTTGCCTGGCGTGGAGACGTGTTTCAGGGACCTTAATAGTGCTATATCTCATGAGGGATTGCATATAGGGGTTTCTTAGCGCTGAGCTTATAGCGTTCAAGTGGTCTTTAGCGCTCTCGTCTAGGGGTGTAGGCGCTGAGGAAGCCTGTGGGTGTAGGGGTGTAGGTGCTGAGGTAGCCTGAGGCTGGGGGCAGTGGATCGATTGTTGTAATCCAAAGGGTAGCTCAGATGTGAGGGGGTCGGTAGGGCGTTTTAGTGTTGACGTTCTAGGGCGTTTAGGCGCTGAAGATGCTGTGCCTTGTGTTGATATAGGGCGTTTAGACGCTGTAGGCCCTATAGTACGGCCCTGGAGTGTTGGGTTACAGGGTAGGCTAGGTGTGGAGGTTTCGCAGGGTAGGTGAGTTGTGGTTTTTTTAGAGGGTAGGTGAGTTGTGGTAGTTTTGGAGGGTAGGTGATTTGTGAGGGGTAGGTGTGTTGTAGGGGTGGTTGGGGGAGAAGAGCTTATTATTATAGGCTCTTTAGCGTGAGAGGGTGCTGAAGCTTGGGGAGCTTTAGGGGGTGATTCTAGGGGTGAGTAGCTTCGGTTGCTTATAGGGGAGCCTACTCGTGATAGTCGAGGGAAGTAGGGGCTATCAGAGGGTAGGCTAGGTGTGGTAGGCGTCTTATCGGTAGGTGTAGTTGGTATAGGCGTTGAG